GGGTGGATAATATGGGATGGAGAGAGTCTGGGATGTATTAGCTGAAATGGAATTGAATTGGATCCTAAGAAACGATATTGCAACGTGTTGGTGATACTAGATATAAAGACTGAGGAAGATGCCTGCTCTACGTGCACCCGGGCGAAGTTCGGAGTTTGTCCTGACAAAGTTCGGACTTACGAGCAGACACCTCGCATCGTAACCTTTACTGCAAACCACCGTCGCAAGTAGGGACATTATTCGGTTCCGCATACCCTTGAATCTGGCTCGGGTACATGGGCTGTCTAGAAATCATAGGCGGATCAAAGGATACTGAAGCGACTTATTATCTTCCCTGTTCCCGTCGGTGCCTGGTACCCGGATCCGCACGACTTTGCCTGACGCGATGCCGAGCCGCAACAGGCCCAGCCAGGCCGTGACATGTTGAGCTGAGTAATGTGTGCGCAACTGCGTGGTGTGCAAAATTCTCCGTGGCGTTGTTGGAGTTCCTCGGACGCAAGACGGGATGAGGTTTGGGGTACAAGACCACCACGGTATCACGAATATGAGCATCAAGGCGTGGGATTGAGCGGGTGATCAGCCACGATAGCTTACATTACTCCCTGGCTTACGGCGCGCACACGCAAATTGTTCGCGTGTGGGCGGCTTACGGCAGGTATCGCTTTAATTGGAAAAGGCTTATCTTGTGGCGGACGAGCAAAGACCCCTGGTGGGAGGTCTCGGTAGGGCGGGCGTTCCGTCATCGCTAAGAAAAAGTTGACTTCCAGTCAGGGTACATGCCAGACAGCCATTCCTCAACACCTTTTGTTCGCCCTTCCTTCCCTATCAATTCCACTTTGCCATTGATTTCCTGAAGCTTGCTCGTAGCTTCGTATACAGCAATGGCATCCAACATGAGGCCGCTCGCCACCGCCAATGCCTTTGCGCAGATTCAGCTCGCTGGACGCAGGACCTTCACCACACAGCGCCCGTCGCTTATCGCCAACAGGGCACGATGGACGCCCCGGCCTACCCAGCATCAAATTGTGCAGCGCCAGTCTGTCCGCCAGCAGTCGAACGGAGCGCCCAAGCCGAAGCCCAAGAGGTTCCGTATGCTGCGCTGGACATGGCGTCTTGCCCAGTTCTCTGCTATTGCCGGTCTTGGATGGGTCGGATATGGCATTTACGAGACACGCAACCCGGCCGATCAGCCACCGCCTGACCCAAGCAAGAAGACGCTCGTTGTTCTGGGTGAGTAATGGCTCAATGGTGTGGGCGCAATTGAACTATGTCTAACACATGACAGGTACCGGTTGGGGATCCGTTTCCCTCCTGAAGAAGCTTGACACGGAAAACTACAACGTCATTGTCGTGTCGCCGCGAAACTACTTCCTCTTCACTCCGCTCCTCCCTTCATGCACTGTCGGCACCATCGAGCACCGCTCCATTATGGAGCCCATCCGCAACTTCCTGCGCCACAAGAAGGCCCAGGTCAAATACTACGAGGCTGAAGCCACCAAGATTGACTACGAGAAGAGGGTCGTCTACATTAGCGACGACTCGGATATCAAGGGCGATGTCTCTAAGACCGAGGTGCCTTTTGATATGCTGGTTGTCGGTGTTGGTGCCGAGAACGCCACCTTCGGTAGGCTACACGCGCATTGCCATTGTATTAAACTGACAAAGAACAGGTATCCCCGGTGTTAAGGAGAACGGTCTTTTCTTGAAGGAGGTCGGTGACGCCCAGCGCATCCGAAACCGCATCATGGACTGCTGCGAGACGGCTACCTTCAAGGATCAGTCCGAGGAAGAGAAGAAGCGTCTGCTACATATGGTTGTCGTCGGTGGTGGACCTACCGGTGTCGAGTTTGCCGGTGAACTCCAGGACTTCTTCCACTCTGATCTGAAGAAGTGGTTACCCGAGATTCAGGACAACTTCAAGGTCACCCTCGTTGAGGCTCTGCCCAACGTCCTCCCCATGTTCTCCAAGCAGCTTATCGACTACACCGAGAAGACCTTCAAGGAGGAGACCATCACCATCCGCACAAAGACCATGGTCAAGAACGTAACTGAAAAGTTTATCGAGGCTGAGTCCACTGGTCCCGATGGCAAGAAGCAGCTCGAGAAGATTCCCTATGGTCTCCTCGTCTGGGCTACTGGTAACGCTCTCCGACCCATTGTCAAGGATCTCATCAACCAGATCCCCGCTCAAAAAGATTCGCGCCGTGGTCTTGCCGTCAACGAGTACCTCGTGGTCAAGGGTACTGAAAACGTCTGGGCTGTCGGTGACTGCGCTGTCGCCAACTACGCCCCCACCGCCCAAGTCGCCGCCCAAGAAGGTGCCTTCCTTGCCCGCATGTTCAACAACATGGCCAAGACATCCGAGATTGAGAGCGAACTCAAGCAGCTCTCCATTGCCCAAGAAACCGCTCCCGGAAAGGAGGCCCGTGACAAGGTCTTCAACGAGATCAAGGCTCTGCAACAGAGACTGAGGCGCATCAAGCAAATCGGACCGTTCGAGTACTCCCACCAGGGTTCGCTCGCATACATTGGCTCCGAGAAGGCTGTTGCCGATGTCTCGTGGTTCGCCGGCAACATCGCTTCCGGTGGTACCATCACCTACATCTTCTGGCGCTCTGCTTACCTCAGCATGTGCTTCAGCACCCGCAACAGGATATTGGTCATGCTTGACTGGGCAAAGGCCAAGATCTTCGGACGTGATGTGTCACGTGTCTAGATGAGAAGACATCAGTCTTCCTCGGCATCATCCCTATCCTGTTTCCTTCTTTCCCTACCGCGCAGATTCCTTAAAAGTTTCTACGTCTCTGTCCTCAGTGCAGTTTGGGTAACTTGTTCTTTCTCTCCCTTTTGAACCTGTGAAATATGAGCCACTCTCCCTACGTTCTCTTCCTCTTTTATTTGTTTGTTTAGTTGTAAGAGTAGAGTATACTGAGTGGGTCTTTTGTTTCTGTTCCTGTCTTGTCTTGTTGAAGTGTAATTACCTAGCAGCGGACTCTTCGGGTTCTTCGGTGTCCTTTCCTGATAGAGCCCGGCGTTTCGGTAGGGGGTTCCATTTTGCATAGCGAGCCATTCTTGTTATTCTTCTTTGGACTTGCGGGGCTATAGACGTTTTGTATAGCTTATATGAAAGAGATGAAGATTAAGAAGCCGTGGAATAGATGTATTTCTGTATCGTATGAGTGTGATATTTATATATTCACATATGTATTTTTATTTGAAGTGTTTGCCAAATTGTGAGTGATGGCTGTGCATTGACGAGAAGAAAGTGGAGTAGGACAGGATTGAAAGTATAAATGAGATTTGGTTATAACTATCTAATTTCGTAGATGTAGGATGTTGGAGACTTCGTTATAAGTAAACGCCTGTCGTGTAAAGACCTATTCAACAATGGACATGGAGAGATATAAGAATGCCGCATAAAGAAAACCCCCATCATACATCAGAAGATGGATATGTAAACCCCCATTCATCAATCAATCCCACAAAACGCCCATGATGCATGCAAACAAGTCAACGAAACGATGTGCTCATCTAAGATCTACCGTGGACTACCCACAGCCCCATAACTCCTCGGACTAGCATGTCTACTCGTGCCCAACAACGCCCTTGCCTCATCCAACGCACTGCCCCTGCCCTTAATTGGGATACTCTTACTACTCCCACCGCCACCACTAGATGACGATAGCGAGCCCTTGCCACTCACAGGGCTCGTTTCCTTGGGCGTGTCTGCAGGCGTATGTGTCCGACTAACATTCGGTGTCGCCGCCACACTAACCGCAGGAGCCCACCCGCGCATCCATCCACTGACTCTGCGCCAGTGCAGACTCCTGCGTACCAGCCTCCCATGGTCATCCACGGTGATGATGACCTGGTCTTCATGGCCGGGTACAACGGACCGGCCCCTAGGCTCCGCATCACCGAAGAACCAGAATTGCAACCCGACCGCTGCGTCCATGATGAGGACGCCGGCGGCGCCGAGAAAAAAGGGTGCGGCGCGTAGGACCCAGGCGTCGCGGTCGCTGCCGGTGCTGGGGTCGACCCAGCCGGCGCCTGTGCCGGGGGCGTACGAGTACCAAGCACACGGGTTTGTGAGGAGTGAGGTCGAGTAGAAGAGGTTGCCGAAGAAAGCGGCGGCGAAGAGGGTGGGGGAGAGGCCGGCGGTGGAGCGACGGATTTGGTTCTTGTAGAGTTGGGGGAGACGAGAGCCCAGGTACAAGAATGTGCTGGACCAGGAGAAGATTTTGCCGGCGAGTTCGGAGGCGCTGGTTGTAGAGGAGGTTGTGGAGACGGTGCGGGCGCGGAGAAGGGCCGGGGCGAAAGGGCTAATTGGCGTGGCGGTCGTGGGGTTGCAGAAGACGGCTATGAGGAGGGTGATGTAGAGGACTGTTTTTGGTGAGGGCATTGGGGAGCTGGATGCGGCTACGCGGCGGACATGTGGGTTTGGCGATGCGCCTGAGGGCGTGGTACCGCCCTGCCACGATGACTCCTTGGGCGCAAAGTCTGGAATTCTGAAAGAGCCTTTTGTATTTGGGCGCGGCACGTCTTTCGCTTTACTTTCCGGACGCTTGCTGTCTGCTGAGTCCTGCGACTTGTTGGACGGCGCCTTTTGAGGGCTCCCTATGCCTACGCCCTCGAGAACCTGATGCATGGCCGCACCCCCAGGGCCTGAATTGCCGCTCGCGCCAGAACTACTCCAGCGTCCCCAGACGGGGCGCAGAGGCCGTCCGTGATGTAGCATCTCATACCACACCCACTGCGAGCACAGGCAGCAGTCGACAAAGACATAGTACCCTGCTATGATAATCTGCCATGACGCTTGCCCTGTGAACAGACATCCCAACAGATTTGTCACATCACCCAGCAGCCATTCGGTCAAGAAGAATGCGCTCAACCCCGATGTAGATTTCAACTTGTGGTTCTTATATATTTGAGGCAGCTGTGCGAACAGCCATGATATGATACTGCACGTGCCGAGTAATGTAGAGACGAGGGCGAGATTCGTAGGTACGCAGGTATGGAATGTCGCGGAGAGATGGTAGAGGAACGCGTTGGCGGGTTCGCACGCTGCCGGTAACGGGGGCTCTGCTATGTGTAGGGGGGATAGATAGGGTGGCATGGTGCCATAGATCGGTGTGGGAAGCTGGTGGGAAGTAGCGATACGGATTTCACGCGTGGTTTTCTAGGGGTTTGCTGGAAAGTGCTCCCCAGGCTGCGGCTCTTCTCGCCGTCTCTTCTTCGCGTCGTGGCAGTGTAGGCACGGCGATTAAATGGTGATTAAGTTGGTTGGAACAGCCACCGGGGCGCAGATGCAACCTTGGACAGCACAGTCGCGCGCTCCGTCCAAGAATGGTAGCGAAGTTGGGCTTCTACGACGACTATCTCGGAGCCAATAGTGCGACTTGAAGTTGGCTTGTTCGGCGGAGCCCTGACGTCGGCGTACCGATGGGTGGTTGAGAGGGCTGGGGGCACGAGGACAGGATGCTTCGCAAAAGCAAGCACTCGAACAATGCAAAGAAGGAAGTTGAAATGTGAAGACGAGTAATAGAGAATGAAGCGAGTCAAGACGTCAAGAAGCAAAGACACGCAGCCAGTCCCTTGGCCGTCAAGAGTCATCAACCCCAGGGCCAGCCACCAGTAGCAGCCGCAAAGGAAGCTCTCCACACTGTTAGACGACGCCCCAGCGGGCTCGCATGACCGGACACGACGGCGGGCATGGCTAGGCCAGGCAATCCGGGAAGCGATAATGGGTAGTGTGACTTGGGCGTGTGGGATGTCATGGCCGACAGATAAGAGCTTATCTCGAGACCAAGACAGTGCACACACGATCAACTGTCCAGGGATCTGGGCGAAGTCGCTTTTCGTCCATTGCCGCCGCTCGCGGGCCCTGGAGGGCTTGGCCATGCAACTCATCTCAGCCTGCGTCGGAGCGGAACAGGCACCGACTGGCTCCTACGACTCTAGAGTTGCACCGCCAGATCTTCGTATCCCGACCTTCGGATGGAGTTTCTTACTTGAGTCGTCATGTTAAGGGTCCTGCTGCTCCTGCTCCTCCTCCTGTGCAAGGCCCACCTCCGCCATCGGGCTGATCCTTCGCTTCGGCCTTGCTAACGCTTAAATCAACTAATAAATACCACTAACATGGCCTCCGAAACGTAACAAGAATCCGCCCGTTGACCGCTGACGTACCGACATGTGCGTGAACCATGTGGCTACTAGTCCTCACATGTCTGTTGTAAGCATGCATGTGGGTGGCTGCACTTGTAAAGGGCCATTGCACACACCGCACGGGCTTGGAAACATGCATGATGACGCCTCAAGGTAGAAATACTTAAATTCGCTTGTGATTAATAAGTAGGTACATTCGATGCTATCACGATATGAGCGTGTGACCATTGCACCTTCCCCGCCGATGGAAGCCCAACCTCCAGCGTCTAGACAGTATTGCGATCATCTTCGATCCTCGAATATGCGCCAGCCTGCTTCTGAGCCTTCCATCGGGGACTGCTTTCCATCAGCACAGTTTGGTATGCGATAAAGGCCAACCCAACCGACTTACTAGAAGAAGTTCTTAAAGCCCACAATGCCCGCCGCCATGGCCGCATATCCGCCCAGCAGCCTCGACCAGTTGCCCTCTTGTCCGACAGCCAACGCAACGAGATCGTATACCAAGCATCCGCCAAAGATCCAGTCGCTCATGCTTGCTGCCGCGGCAAAGCCTACACCAGTCGCGACCTGCACGAGCGAGCTGGGCTCAACACCAACAAAGTAGGCTGCCGATGTGTTGTGAAGGAGGTCCAGCACACCGATACCCGCAAACGTCTTTGCGACAATATGCGTTAGGAAGTTGGGCGTTGAGCGTGTGTCGAGCGGCTCGAGAGCCGTAGCGATATAACCGACTTGTGCAAGCGTATTGATGATGACGAAGATATTGGATGCCTCGAGATTGTTCGCATTCCAGAAGAACATCCAAGCTGTGTAGTTGTCAGTATTTCGATTCCCTCACAGGTCGCATCCAGGTAAACGTACTTCCGATGCAGAAATTGCCCAAACTATACACCCATGCGAACTTGTTCATCATGGCGCACTCCTGCGCATTTCCATCTTGCTTCCATAGCTTCCACAGCCAGACCAGCTGGAAGATTTGTTGTGGGAAGAAGAAGGCACCGATGAAGTATGGGTATGGAGAAAAGGCCGCAAGATTCCGGTTGTGGATATCCATCATATTGGGCGTGGAGAAGATGCCATATTGTTGCAGTGCAAAGTCGTACACAAACGATGCTGGCGCAAGGTAGCGCACCGTGGATTGTGTGTTACCCATAGCGGTTGTCGTTGTCGTTGTTGTTGTGAGTAGGTATTGGAAGAAAGTGGGTATCACGAACAGACTCAACTGCAATAAGTAGCTAGAGTTTTAGAAAATCGATGTAGGGAAGATGGGAATTCAAAAATAGCAGATGCAGCTTGTGCTTCTTTGTACAATGTCTGCGTCGCGCGTCTTTGCTGCGCGGAGTCGAAGACGTCATGCTTAAATGCGCCATCTTTCCAGGGTCCGGTAAGCCCGATCCGTCGCCCACATCGTGGCCATCATCGTCGGTAACACGGCGCAATGTTTTGCACCGACTTTGGTTCGGACTATTCGCGTATTGTTGATGTGCCCGGGGATGGAGGCTAGGAATGCCGAGGCCGAGTGGGCTACCTACGTACTTCTAAGGAGAGTCAGCGTGTTTGACGACAAGCTGTTGCTGCTCCTGCGACGCATGATGCACACGCGTCAAGATGAGCTCAACCCATGGCACCAGGTGTGTATAAACTGATCATTTGCTCCCCTGGCGACATCTTGAGTATAGGGGCACCTGGCTGTCATAATATACTATCCAATAGGCATGCCTGGCGACTACAGTGGCCTTTGTACACTAACATGTCAGATATTATGTCACCCGGGTGTACACGTATACCCGTCGCCTTCACGCACTTGAGTCTGCGAAGACTGGGTAGGTGCCAGTGGTACTCAGTGCTACGATCCTGCTTATTGTGGTGTGCAATACTCACAGCTTCCTCCGGTTCGCGAGAGGCAGTCACACAATGCCTCTCACCAAGATGACATACATCTCTTCCTCAACCAACACGCCCACGGTACATCCATTAATACCTACCTCAACATTCGCACAATAATACATCCGTTATGAGTCTATCTTCTATGGAAACTGGGAGGGATAGAGCTGACAGCTCGTCCGTAACAACTGCCATGGACCTAGTAAGATTAGGCCATGACGAAGATATACCCCCACAGTATTACAAGATATCCACTGGGGCACAGGCAAAGACTGGTGATATCGCCTTCTGTCTTTTGAAAGCCGACATCCAATCTTTTAAAGGGCCGGTTGATGCCCAGGCGATGCATACGTTGAAAAAGAGTATAGTCGCCGTAAAACGCATACGAGGCCGCAACAACGGCAAGATTGACGAGATCCTGGCATTCTTACGTATCAAGAAGTATCTCTCTGCACAAGAAGATAGCATGATGACTCAAAGCGTTCGACACAACATTGTAAACTTGATGGGCCTAGACAGGAAGTGGAAAGAAGCCAAAGACATCCGAAACTGGACTTGGCTCGCCATGGAAGCCATCATTCCTGGCATCACCATAGAGGATCTATTCCAAGGACAGCACAAACTCGGCACAACAGTCAGAAAATACATACCTCACACATTTGCGCTGGAATTCTTCCTACAAATCGGCCAGGCGCTCGTATTCCTTCACGAAAAAATGAACTATGCACACAGAGACATCGGACGCGAGAATATACTCATCAGCATCGCACACCCAGCACAATGTGAGGCTGAGAATACGGAGCTTTGCACGCAACATCTTCCGATTGTCAGATACGTCCTGGTTGACCTCGAAGCCTGCGGCAGAACCGAAGATTCATTTCGAAATATCTGCAATAAGCAAGATGACGTCTTCACATTTTGTTACTTGGTCAGGCAGTTAGCTGATCATGGGGCTGTAGAGGGAAGTGATGAGTGGATTGCATTCCTAAAGTCTATGAGGAAATTCCCGCAACACAAAAATATTATCGAGTTAATGGTGCTATGGGTGGAAAGGGTGAGGGCTATGCGAGACGAACAGGCGGAGGTCGAGAAGGAGGACGTGGCAAAGGTGTTGGATTTTGTAAAGGAGAAAGGTGGGGAGAAGGAGGTATATGAGAAGATGGATGTGGTTTTGAGAGAGAGGCGTAGTGAGTGAGCTAGGAACGTTGTCGGGGTTTTTATATCCGGATATCCTATCTTTCCTGACCATCGAACCTTTTGGTTTCGGAACAAAACTCCCAATTTATGACATCCGGATCCTCTAGCACAGCATTAATTTTAGTGCTACCTGTGGATAAAGTGCCACGCCGAATCGATGCTGTGCCATGGTATTTGCATCGGCATGGGGTAAGCATCTGGCTCGGGAAGGAGCTAGCCCCGGGAGCCACTGACTATAACTACCGAGAAACCAAGACTTTGCTCAAGCTGATACACATGATCTTTCGGATCATCGACAACATCAACAAAACAGGTAAGCCCGCATCTCCCTTGTGCTACTCTAATTCACACCTACTGATCACAATACAAAGTAAAAGGATGATACCTACTATAGGTTCGACCATTGCGCAACCTGAGCATGAGTTGTATGCTCGCACAATCAACCTGAAGTCTACCTACACACGCGAACGCCTACTCCGAGCGAAGCGAGCTGCTGCATAACTTTTGTGAAAGCGTGGTCAGCTGTATCTCGTTAGGCGCACAGGCCTTTCTAATGTCCTGGACACGGGTACACGAGTTCACTTTCTTCCCGCGACTAGGTACGTACCATGCATCCCATGTACATATATGTAAGCTCAGGGCAAGAGAAGATGACTAACAGGATGCAGTGGAGCCTTCAAGCCCAGGCCCATGTAATATTTTGACGTCACACTACATAGTTATCGCATGTAAAACAGGAAAGGATGAATTCGAACATCTTACTGTCCATCATTGCCCTGGCTGTAAGGTATCTTTCTAAAAACATTAGGCGGCCGCTACCCAACTATCATGAGCCTGAACAGGTGAACAGAGATATTGTGAAAATAAACTACCTGTGTCAAGCGGCCAAGGACAGTTCACTCCCGTTGCTTACACGGTATGGCCGCTGGAGAGCCGCGCACAGGTACCGGACGGTTCCGGGGATGAGGTATACGGAAAAGGGATGAAATCAGCACTAACCACATTGATCCAACAAATGCATGTCAATTATTGAGCCTAATATCTTACGGATGTACTGGGACAGGAATCTCGGTCGAATTACAAGAAGCTAATATAAAAACAACGTGCTTTCCCGTTACCGGGTCGCAGCCAGCATCGACATAAGCACAGAACCTGCTGCCATCGTTGTCAAGCAGTTTCTCGTCGCATCGCAGCCCGTACCACATTTCATCACACTATGAGGAACCTATTTCTATTTGCCGCCCTATCGGCGAATGCACTGTCAGAGGCTACCTTTGAGCCGTCACACTTTAACGTCACTGAGGCACTGCTTCGAAATGGCGTCCATGCGTCGGTCATACCCAAAGCTTAATGTAGCTGCTCCGTAGCCGTATGTTATTGAATTTCTACCGGAAATCCTAGAGTGTACTAAGAGACCTTCCAGTGTGAGACCTTGAACCGCATCTTTGGTGATGATCAAGTGGATATGCAATCCGAGTCTGTATACAAGGCATTTGTTAGTGCCTACTGGTCCGACCAGCAAAAGGTCATGTCGCCCAAATGCGTCTTCAAACCGCAGAAGTCCCTAGATGTATCCACAGCTATTCTCGTCGCTCGTCTTACGGATTGCAAATTTGCGGCGAAAAGTGGTGGACACTCCGCAGTAGCAGGAGGATCGAACATTCAGGATGGAATCACGATCAGCTTCGAGAGGATGAATCAGACAACACTGTCTGCTGATAAGAAGAGCGTATCATATCAGCCTGGCCAGACTTGGGCTCAGGTATATGACAAATTGGCCAAGGACAACGTGGGCGTTCTTGGAGGGCGAGTTGCTGACGTTGGTGTTGGTGGATTGACCATGGGCGGAGGTAAGAGCTACATCATGTCAAGTTCATAATCAAAAGTTTCTAACATCTCACTCTAGGCATATCATTCTTCTCGAGCATGTATGGCTTAGCTTGCGATAACGTCATTTCGTACGAACTGGTTACTGCCTCTGGACGCATAATCAACGTCGACAAAACCTCATATCCCGATCTTTACCAGTGTTTACGAGGTGGTGGCAATAACTTTGGTCTTGTCACAAAGTTCACTGTAGTCGCCATTCCTAGGCAGGGGAACATGTGGGGTGGAGCGCGACTCTACCCTGCAGCCGTGAGCCCTGCTGTTATCAAGGCTTACTACAACCTCGGTATGAGCGCAACAAAGGACCCAAAGTCCCATCAAATCGTGTCGTTTGGCGTCCTTCCCCAGGTTGGTCAGGTATCCCTTGTCCAACTGGACTATGCCGATCCAACTGGCAACGCTTCTGTATTCTCCGAGTATAACGCGATCCCAGGAGCCATACAGGACTCTACAGGAATCAATAGCCTTTCGAATTTGACACGTGCACTGGGTGTCCAGCCTGACTCAGGGTCTCGACAGTTGTTCCGCAGTTGGACTGCCAAGCTGGATGAGGACATGGCGAACACTATCAAGAACATATACTTCGAGGAGCTCCCCAGTATTCTTAACGCAACAAGAATTCTTCCCGCTCTAGCCCTCCAGGTTCTCACCCAACCGATTATAGAGAAGACTCATTCGAACGGAGGCAATGTACTCGGTCTCGACCCTAAAGGTGGACCCCTTTTATTGGCCTTGATCTCGATATCTTGGGCCGATAGTGCCGACGACGAACGGCTTCACCAGTTCACAGCGAGAGTGGAGAAGCGCGCCGTCGCCGCAGCAAAGGCCAAAGGCAAACATAACGACTACATTTACATGAACTACGGAAGCCAGTATCAAGATGTTGTTGCTGGTTATGGTTCAGCTAACAAAGCTCGAATGATTGCCGTCTCTCACAAGTATGATCCGCATGGTGTGTTTCAGCAGCTTCAGCCGGGTTACTTCAAGCTCAATGGTGCGCCACAGCTTGGGGCTTGAGGGCAGTCACACTGAGAGGTCTCGGGGTGAATTTTACATGCTACAGATAATATTAATACACTCCGATACATACTCATTATCTAATCGACATGTTCAGTGGGGTATGTCTTATACCGTGACCTGTAAGGTGTTAGTCCTCTTGCGATTGCGAACTTGAATCTGTAATCTCTCGAGTTGTCTGTGTGCGCGCAGCTCGTTGAGTCACCTTCACTTGCAATGTCCTACTATCATGTTTTACACAACCTGGAGTTTACCGGTGAGCCAGCCCAACGGCTGAACATTAGCCAATGAGATCTAATGGCAGCACCGAAGTCATAGTGAAGCTGTATCCAGAAAGAAGAGTCATGCCGCCTTTCGCGAGCGTTTGCAAACGCGCACCGAGGCGCGTTATCTCCCGACTCTCCACCTGGACCCTGGATTTGCTCTAAATTTGGATTTCTAGTGCCCCCCCCCCCCCACGCGCAATTCAAACACCAACCTCTCACCTCTCACTTCACATCATCCTCAACTTTTTCAATACCACAGTCGACTCCATCTCTAAGCCTGCCGCGAGTCTCGACCGCCGCCATCTCAGTATGTGAACCCACGATGCTCAATTAGTGTTTACTAACCTTGTCTGGAATTGTCATCATGTCTGCGCAACCGGGTCACGACCACGTCCTCAATGGTGACAGCAACTTCGACATGGGCAACTTAAAGACAGAGATGATACTATTGCAAAAGCAGTTGTCAAAAATCAACATCAGCTCCTTGGTAGCGGAAATGGTCTCCCTGGAGAAGAAGAATACAGACGAGGCCGAGCAAGGACTTGATGCCGAGCTGAAGGAGGTGGAACTTTCGATAGACGCTCTTCACAAGGCGATCGCGTAACTCACCGTCGTTGCCGCTGCTTTGGCCGCTACTAGGACCGCGGACGAGGAAGAACAGAAGGAGTCGCAGGATGTGACCACGGTCGATGAAGAAGAGGAGTCGGACGGTAGGGCCTTGTAAGGCTTTACCCACTACGACAGGGCTTAGCCATCTATTCTAAGTATGTGTTCTTGGGAATGGACTGCTTCGGCGCATCAAGAATATTAAGGATACTGGAACAGCACATGATATAGTAGCCTGGCACCTGGCTGCCTGATGCAATACCAAAGTCGAAAACACCTATGCCAAATACATTAGTGGAATCTTCAGATGCTTGTCTCTCGCAAATTACGCTACCAGTACTTCTAAAGCACCGCGAACCTTATGCTTAGAAGGTTTCTTCGTATCCTTATCGCCGTCATGGCTCGTGTATACTGTGTTCACGTAAGGTTAAGAATTCACATGTCATCATTGACTGGCTACTCTCTCACCTGCCAGTACCCAAAAGGCATTAGTACGTCTAGCGTTACACCCACTAAAGTATATATACCGTTCTTTGGCCATCCACTCTCCTCCTCTTCTTTTTCTTTTCTTGAGCTCAGCGTTCACGTCTGCTCCCTTTCGGTTAAGCGATGAAGGGGTCTACTCGCAAGCTTCGCAGCTCTTTCCAGTCTATCATCATTTTGACTCTGAACATACATTCATTAGATGGTTCAGAGTTTCATTGCGCATCGCGCAGTAAATTAACAGGAGATCTAGGGATCTATTAAACAACTCGGTCTAATCTATATGCGACTATTAGGCGCTACTATTAACTTTGTTCGTTCGCCAGGTGAGCGGCCCTCTAGAGTACGTACTACCCAGGGGATACTTAATCTTCATAGATCCCCTATCACAAGCAGCTCTAGTTGTTCGTGAGCTACAGACACATCTGGAGTGCTTATAGCACCCTTGTGCGTCGAGCAAGAGACTTAACCTACACTTCGGTGAGGATCAGGTTAAATCTGAGCTGACTCGCACCCTCATTCTTTTTTCGTTGATCTCCTTGCCTTTTCGGCGGGAATTGAAGAATAACAGATCTTTTGCGGTCGCATGTGTGGAAGACTGTATTGTTCTTCTCTCACTTGCTTCTTTGGTGATTGTCGAACATTGAGATGAGCGTTCTCTTTCACACATTGAGGACTATGTTGCGCCTTAATAGGCGTGCTATTATACAAGATCCAGGGTGTCATAATCACGGACTACAGTGCATTTCCGACATGTAGAAGCAATGGGTACAAAGCTACTCTCTCTGGAAAGTTTCTCATGACTTGGTAAATCATCTAGGTCTTTCTCATATTCCCTAGCTTACTTTGTGACTGCAAGTGGATGACTACTGTTGATTTCCATCTCAGCATCTCCCTCCCCGGCCACCCCGGCCAAATCCACCACCGAGACCGTCACCGAGGTCATCAAAGAGCCCTGCACCGCGCACTCCATAGCGACCTCCAGCTCCGCCAATGCCTCCTCCAAAGCCTTCAACAAGCGGCCCACTGAGCCCAACAGGATTTTCCTGGCGATACTGTCCTTGACGTTGAAGAGGCTGACGTCTACCAATCCCCATATCCTCGCCGAAATCTTCCTCTGCGAATCCCATCTGACCATCCGCAGGCATCTGTCCGCGGTATAGCATGCGAAACAGTTCAATTCCTCTATTTACTTCATTGAGAACGTCTTCGAAGTCCCCTGCTGTGTAGCGCTGTCCATAGCGGCGTCTAGGACCACCGATGACCAAGTCATTCATATCCACCCCACGGCCGACACCACTAGAATCACCAAGTCCGCCTCGGTGGAATTGGAATCCTGCTTGGCCTCTAGGGAAGGCGTTGGGAAGATCATGATGGCGCGACCAGCGATCTGCTACTGGTGGACACATGGCTGCCCCTCTACTTCCACTCATCGTGTGCGGTCTATCAGTACCGAACATACAGGGCCTGTAGCTTCCATCGTCGAAGTCGTATAGGCTGTCGCTGTCTGAGTCGTCTTTGAGGGGAGGCATAGAGCGTCGGCGCTGGGAGTTGAAGATATTGCGGCGGTCGGAGGAGTTGGTGTTCTGGTAGGGGTTGAGGGACATGTTGGTTGTTAGGTTGAGAATTGTTGCTTGATTTCGTTGATGCTTATTGTTTTGAAGACGGTATTGTAGATGTGAGTGAGTTTTTAGGTCATGAATAGAAAGAGTGGTAAGATTCTGAGAGAGGTTTTATATACGGGCTGAGGGGCGGTTTGCAGGAGCGACATGTGAAAGGAGACATGCCACCGGGCTACAACAGTGTACACGAAGTAGTTATTCGTAACCATGTTTAGGGTAGAGACAATACATAATCTGTGAAGGCCAAAACGGGAATCTTGAACGCGACTATCGTTGTGATGGCGTCTTCCAAACACAGCAACATGACAGCGCACAACACGAGGAGAAGGGGTGTGAAGTTATAATTGTTTTGGAATCAATATCATCAACAGCTCACAAAAGGTCATAACAAGCAATCATGACCTCAAGCCCTGATGATTAATCACTGCCGACATCAGCTTGCGCCGTCACTCCATGGCCCTTTGTCACAGGAAATGGCGTCATCTAGATCAGTTTCAATAACATCAACTCCAGCTAGACCCTCGATCAACATAACTTGACACATGTGGCAAACTCTTCGATATCACAAAGAAGATCACATACTTCTGCTCGTGTTGAACGAACAAGACAGCCCCTCAGCCAGTACTGCACAACTACTCGCTCCAACTCTTCACGTCTGCCATACCATGAATACTAGAATAAACACAAAACCGACCCACGCCGAAATTACAAAGAAAAAAAATATAGATATAGAGAAAGCTCAGCCATGAATGAAAGGGTTATAGGCATACTCCCAAGACAAGTCAGCCTCGTCTCCCTCCCTGCCTCCACAACCCAACCCAGGAATCCAGCCTCGTGCGGGGTCAACGCACTCCAACGCACCCAACCACCCAACACTCACACAGTCACCCGCACCACTGACCGGAAACCCCCTGTATACACACCAAACCCAGAAAAGAATGCACGACCCAGAGTACAGATATGCAGGTCGCATCACAGTGCAGCAAGGCAAACAGAATCCTGTCAGGGCTATGCGCCGCCGATGATGGTTTGCGCACCGTTTTTGTTTGCCTCGTTTCTTGGGTATGCGGCTCTGCTGTGTACCGTACCCGCAGACACGCATGCATGCCCTATATTTTTTTTGTTAGAATTCTTAGGCGACGTATGAGTGTGGGTGTATGTCGCGAGTTCCCGGTCAATAGTCTAGCAACACGTGCCTTCTCTGCAGCGCCTCTCTTGACCAGGCGACCAGATCCATGGCGTTGCAGGACTGGAATTCGCTGTTGCCGCAATGGCCGCAGCATCATCAACTATGCCATAATTCGCAGAGGCCGACGCTGATGCTGATGCTGATGCTGATGCTGATGCTGATGATGATGCTGATGCCTTTTCTCCCTGCCCATTAACCCCTACCGCCACCGGAAACCCGCGGCTGAAGTCCACAACAACAATGCTTCCGAGGGCGCTGTCGTCACCGGAATTGTACGTGCGCCCCGGCTTGACCATGTAGATGAAATAGTTGCCATCGAGGACACCGGTGACGCTTTTGGCAAGTGGTGTATTGCCGGATGGTAAGGCTGGGTTCATGATGGTATGCAAGTGCTTTGAACAGGGGCAGTGGGATGCTGGGGGTGGCCACATGCGGATTGGGGAGTGACGATATCGGGTTGCGTTGTCGATGAAACCAGGTTGTTGGGGGTGGATGGGGGCTTTGGATTCGGCGTTGTTGCCGCTGTTGCTGTAGGTGTATTGAAGGCCCATTTCGCGTCTTGAACCTACGCGTAACCGGAGACAGGGTGGTTGGGAGGGGCTGTTGCAGCAGCGATCATCCTCTACAAGGTCGAGGAACGATGTACATGCGTAGTTGTATGCTCTGAATTTTGTCCTTGCGAGCATGAAAGAACGGCGGGTCGTGTCTGTGCTGGAGAACTCGGGGTGTTGATTCCAGCTGTAGAGGGCTGGCGTAGGCTTCCAGTGGGGATGGTTTGATGAGTCTATCAAGGGGACGAGTGGCTCGTTTTCAGGTAGTAATTGTTCGTCGAGCATGTCCTCGAAGTCTTCACCGAAGTTCAACTTAGTGACGTAAAATGTACGGGATTGTCGCGAGGATGCCTGTACCCACTCTCGTCGTGACTCAACAATGACAGTATCGTTTGTGCATTCGTCAATTTGCAGTGTTAGATCGGTCCATGTGTCGTGGATAGGTCCTTCTTTATGCTGTCGACGGTAGAGACGCTCATCTTTCTCCACCTCATCCGGCAATGGCGAGTTGAGCGGGAAGCGAACCACATGGTAAAAGGAAGTGTAGTCAATCTCCTCGACCTCAGAGGACTCTTGATTAGAAACAGCGTAGAAGTGGTTATTGTGTATCTCGAAAGCGATGGTAGAGCCAATGTCAGATCCGTGAAAATTTTCGAGCAACAGTGGACGTTCACGTCTCGGTAATGGAAAGTTAATATCTAGAGAGATGCCTTCGATTTCCCATTTACGCTCCCCATCATCACCTCTACCAGTATGCGTAACATAGTAGAGATAACGAGAGTTGTGCCTGACAAGAAGCCTATCACAAGCAGCAAGTGGTATTCTTTCAATGACTCTTTTGTCAGTTGGACAGTCGGGCGCGGTATTGATAGCGTAGATATAGCTGGTTTCCGATCCCCTGATCTTGGTGCAATAGATGGCAAGAACTCCCTCGGAATAGTTAAGAAGCCGAATCTTGCATTCTCCGGGGAAGATGGGATATCTTTGTCGAATAATGCTGACCAGATCAAGAATACTACTCGACTGGGAACGTAGATCCGAGACACGAACCACCTCACCATGCAGCACGCATATAGTCCCTTGTCGATACGCAAAGGTGTTCCCGTGACCCAAGCTGCGAACAGAGAAAGGATGCGCAGTTGACAAAGCGTGTCTTCTGTCATAAAGAGATTGAAGGGCTTGTTTGTAGGTGATCTTTTCTGCTCGTGCTAACTCTGCCTCTTTCGTATATGGATGGTTGATCTTTCCAGCAGCGTCAGCACTTGATAAGCATGATGACCGATAACGGTATGCTTACTTCGACTGTACGCCTGGCGATCGTTCTTTCGTCTAACGAAGCTCTCAATCGCCGACATGTCTGGCCGATGTGGAAAACGTCTTCAATGTCCAAATGCGAGACAACACAAAATATCAGATCAAAGGGGAGCTGATCGAGAGAGACAGTCATGAAACGCGGACAAGGGCTGGGGATGAGGATGTGAATAAGGCAAAGAGGGCAAGTATGCAGGGTGTATGTAGGTGATGGGCAAGAAGAGGTATATTATGTGTACATAAGAGCAGTATCCGAAACTTGCATGCATGGACCTTAATCAGCCGGTAGTACTTCTCGGGAACGCGCTGCAGACACAGACGTTCAAATACTCAATGTCTGCGGAGCCCCATCGCATTCCAAGGTTCAGAAAGGCCAGACCGGAGCATGTAAGGGCAATGCATAGTTCCGGCGTCTTGTGGACCAGGCTGAGATCTGCGGGGTTGAGGCTCTGTGTTCAACTAGGCCAGCCCTACGTGCCGTTAGTGATACAATCAGGCGAATGAGATAGAAATGCAAACAGATCTAAAGATTTTGTTGAGACAAAAAGTGAACACTCTTTGCCCATGCATTGATTGGTACACATACCTTTCTAACAGATTTGACCATTTTAGCGTGGTATTGAAGCTGTCCGGCTGATCAATATTCGAGCCTACCACTATAAGGCTCTGCTCCCTAGAGCTAGATACTATGTACCAAGAGAGACTAGCGTACCTGGGAAAAGTTGTAAGTTAACCCCCACTATGCGGCTCTGCAGCGGCGCAGCTCCGGCCACGACGTAATCTGTTTGTTGTTACGTCGGCCTCAGCCTTGTTGTCCACCGGATTTAATGAAGAAAATGGTAATCAACCCTTTAAAATTTAGATTATTGAGAACATTCGTACTTTCTATAGCTGTCTACTCTTGTTTCCAAAGCTATCCATGAATAAATCTTGTCAGGTTTCGATTGCTGCTCCAAGGCTAAGCCGCGCTTGCCAACACCCAGCCCACTAGAGCCTGCCATTTTCAGCCTGATAACATAACCGGTCATAATATTGCCTTCTATTCCAATACTATACAAGTGCATCATGTATGCGGCGTTCAGAACCCCGCTCTTGGATTAGGCGCGGGTAACGCCCTTTGCCCTGGATATGTAGTATGTTACGAGCCCAGACTTCGTGGAACCGGTTCATCCATCGAGGTGGGTCATCATGTATCGAGTGCATCGATCCGGTTCCGGTATATGCAGCACTCAAGCAGACTGAGAGATCGACTGACAACTGGTCCACCAGGAAGCACACGGAGCACACCGTTGATGCGATTGACTTGGCTTCGCTCACACAACCAGCTCTTGTAACCAATAGAGCCAATCCTGTTGGATGAATCGATGTATTGGCAGCGCGGGAGATGCATAAAGGTCCAAGTAAAAAAAGATGTCGTGTGGTTGTGCGCTGCTCTGTTGCACCACCACACGAGCGTGACCAACTGGCAACGACCAGGCTGGCTTGCACCACGTTCAACAACGTTATACATCGTAATATACAGCGTCGCGCATGGTAAGCCAACAGAGGTAACCGTTAAACTTGTGTCGGGCTGAGATACTGAGGGTCTGTCAGGAAGGCGATAGAAAGAAAGCGTCCTAAACCAGTTCCTCATTGGCTCCCATGAACGGTAGTCTGCCAGGTCAAAAAGAAGGACGTAGGACTATACCACATCACTCTTCAGGACCAGCTCGTTGGCGAGCTTGGCCCTCCCAGCCACGGAGTGGCCAACCGTTGGGCAAAGTCGAGTATGGCGGCAGGATATAGCGTCCTTCGCAACTTCCTTGGTCTTTACATTGCAGGTCACATAAGCCGAACACTTTGCAGTAGCACTCCTCGGCGAAAGGGCAGTGGACGGGGGGCTTGCCGAAGATGACTGTTGGAATTAGTACACAGTACAATGGGTGATGCAGAGGAGACCAAAGATGGAGACTCACTGTGCCAAGAGTATTCAAAGACGCGTCCACTGATGGCATCACCTAGCCCAGTCTCCATGATCCAATCACGATACCTTACATAATCTTCTTTCTTCCTCTCCCTTATCTTCTCCTTGGTCGCAGCAAATTGCGCGCAACAGCTCACGCCCACTGCGCTAGGAACCTCCTCTCCAGGAAACAGGTGCTGGAAAGCCTGCTTATAGTCCCCACCAGCATGTACAGCCTCCCTATGCTCGCCTTCTTCCGCAAGCGGCTTGATCTCGGCCGGACAGCCCAGCGACCATGCGCAGCGTATATTCACATAGCCTTCTTTCTCGAGATAGGGCAACTGGAAATGGCGAAGCATGGGTAGGCCGTCGTAATCTGGGTCATCGTTGTGCCATTGATAACGGTTGGGATGAATGAAGAGTACGTTGTCGGGAAGGGACGCGTAGTTGTCTATGATGTAGCTGGCAATGTGATATTAGCTTGGCGAGTCGCTATCGGGGCTTATAAGAGGGACATACGTTAGGTAGACCATGCTCTCTCGCCCCTTATTCTTGGGTACCGTGAGCGGTGCATTTGGGTCGTCGACGCGGTATATGTTCTTCTCCCACTCTGGGAAATATTCCTCTAGCCACGTTGCGTTCTCAGACTGCTGGCTAGCGACAACAATGGCAGTACGACGTAGTTTTGCACCTTCATTGGCCTTGAGTGGTTTCTTTTCGACAGTAGGCGATGATTCGTTGGTCTGTTGCTCGTCGTACAGTTCATCGGGTAGGTGTGTCAGACTGGCGGATCCAGCTGCAGTTGCGCGTTGGTCCCAGAGCTCGAACTTCAAATGAATGAAGAGCGCAGTGAGCACGACAATATTGACAATAACGACAACATTTCGAACAGTTATTAGACGAGGCATGGCGCCACAAAGTAACCTCGGTGCTTGCACTACGGTTTCATGCGGAAGCGTTGCATCTGGGGAAGTTCACATGCGCGCCAGGGGAAAATCGGCGCTAAAATCGAGCGCCAGTCATCATACGGTTAGTCAGGGTCCAGAGACCGCTCCCCACCGCGAACTCCACAATCTTTCCAAGCTAAGGTACTACTGGGCATTTGTGAGTGGTACTGGAACCGTACACTTTGTGTCATGCTTCATCATTCGTTGGTTGCTCCATATCTAGCCTATATTTTTCCATCTCTCGAACCTGTTGAGGCTCACACTCGACACATTGAACTAGGTGTAGATCTCTTCGGTGAGAGCGTTCAGTTCGACGCCTTCCTTCGCAATGTCCTCTTCCTTGAGGAAAAGCAAAGGCATCTCAACGAGTGTACCCTTGATGGTGCTGAGTACCTCCTTGACCTCACGTACACCCTGCTCGCCCTGACTGAAGTTCTCTGCAACAACATGGCCCCACTTGTACAATGAGGGCTTCTTGTTCTCCTTGGCCTTCTGGTCTTGTCCGAAGAAACGGGAGTAGTACTCATCGTACTGCTTCCAGTTCCTGACTTCGTCCGTGGGCACTGGGTGGAACACCTTTCCGAAAGCTTGTGTGTTGGTGTGCGCCCTCCAGTTCCACATGCCCAGGAAATCGTCTGACAACGGGTCGACGACTTGTCGGTCCTCATCCGAACCCCAATCGTATTTGTTGGGTATGCCGATTGGTTCGTAGTTGGCGTCTGGACGCTCCATATCTTGGGGCTTGAGTAGACCGAGGTGCTTTCGGAAGATCTCTCTTCGCAGACTCGCGGCAAACTCCGACGCGCGATATGGCTGCCCATTCATTTGCGAATCGATGGGCTTTGGATCCTGGATGATAATAGCGATCTCAGAATCATGGTCGCCCAATTGAGAGCGATCGTTGAGATTAGCAGATCCGCAGATGACAATCTGGTCATCAGCAATCAGAAGCTTGCTGTGAATGTACAACTCCTCAGACACGAAAGCGTCCATTTCAGAATCGGGGCTACCTTCCCAGGGCACATTGCGGATGTCTTCGCCGCCAAGCATGTAGCACTCGCTGACGGTATCCCAACGCCCGTCGCCAAGACCCTGACGACCTCCGACCTTGCTGGCCTCTTGTTGGTAGCGTTCATAATCACCTTGATTGCCTTGTTGAGCTAGAGGAGGGGCTGAGGAGCCTTCCATCTCGTAGACACCATACTCCTGCGTCGGCGGTGGGCGATAGGCTTGATAGTCGCGGGCACTGTCGTGTACAGCGTCAAAGCCTTCTTGGGCTCGGTTGTACGAGACACCGCTGCGCTCTTCAGTTTCTCGCATGACCTGACTGGAGTTGATGCGATCATAGCTGCGAAGGTTGTAGAAACGGATGTAGTCCATGGGGTTGAAGCCAGCCTTGGCAATCTCTTCGTAAATGGAATGGCCTCCGCGGTTGATCGAGTCATACTGGACTATAAGAAGATTTCGTTAGCAAAGGATGCCCAGAATATATAGACGACTGCGGGAATGATGTCTTACACTCCATGATGGCGCGAGTACCAAGTGCCTCGTCGAGCTTCAGGTCGCCGGCGAATGCAGGTACCGAAGGAATCAGAATAATCATCTTGTACTTTTCGCCATTTTGAGCAGCGCGAACAATGCGTTCGACGATGGCTGCGCCGATTTTGTTTCTGATCGGCTTCTGCTGGTCGCCAGTAGCAGTGATGAAGAACTGGTTTTCAATGTACACAAAATGCTTGCTGTTGCGAATGACCTCGCAGTAAGCGTTTTGAATCGAGTGCTAATTATAGTGTCAGACGGACATTTTGCAGGGCATGACTTATTACTGACCTCAGTGTTGACCAGATTGTGACTCCATTTGGCAGCACTACGCGCGATTTGGCACTCGACGCCGCCTCTCTGAGCGCTGTGCTCGACGTGAGACTGTTGCTGACCCTGACTGGACCCATGTTCGTACTGTTCAAATTTGCTTTGCATCTTCTGGCGCAGTCCACCTGTGCGGCCGAACAGTCCTCGATCGCCTTCTTCGCCACCGAATCCGCGTTCGCCCTCCTCTTCGCCCTCGATGCCACGCTGCTGCATGGGAGGGGGAGGGTAGACACCGCTCTGTTGAGCTCCGCTGCTGGTTTCGGGTAGTCTGGCATATCTGGTAGCCTTCTTGCTATACTTCTCGTCATAGATGAAGTTCCAGCGCTGCGAGAAGTGTGTGCGAAGATCCTGTACAACGGGGCCAGAAAGACACAAGGCGACATCAGACCATCCCATACGAGAGCTCTCTGTTCTGTCAAGCTTGTTGTTCTCCCAGTTGGACACATCTTGGAAGTCTATCAGAAGTTAGCGCCATTGGACATGTGTATTTCTGCCACAAAGACAAAGGGTAAGAATCAGTCTAGGTAGCTTCTGATGTTTAAGATCACCAATCAAGGTAGGTATTCACTGATATACTCGACCAGCTCCACATGGTTACGCCAGAGAGAGCCAAACTTACCGAGCATGCGGGCGTTGTTGAAATCCTGGCCCGGGAAAACGATTCGGTCGACATTGCCGGGATGCGCGTCCGCGATCGAATGCTGATTTGTGTCCCAACGTCCATAGCAGAGGTCCAGCCCTCCCATAAAAGCAGTATGACCGTCAACTAGGCAAAGTTTCTCGTGATGTGCCCAATACATGACAGTTCCTTCGTGTGCTCCGTAAAGCGCCTTTAGGCCGTCTCCCGGAAGCTGTACGAGCTTTGCTGGTGACAAAGACATGTTCTTGAGGGAAGCGAATAAATCCGACTGTAGTACGGCCGCGTCCGGCAAATGGTCGGGATGTCGGAAAACACCGATATTGGGGTGAGATCTTCGAGATGGTGCTTCGTGTGGGAAGAGGAGACTGTAATGGGTGATGCAATCAGCGGATCTGTTCTTTCCCACTCTTCAAGAGACTTAAATATGACATCTAGACCGAGCCGTACAAGGCCTTTGGTGAACCAATCCGTCGAGTTTGGCAGGAGAGAGTGAAGGTAGTTGGGCAATATTGGGTTAAGTAACTTACGGGTCAGGGCTTGGGTAACCTCCTTGTATACAATGATGTTGACCTTCACGCCGCGTTCGGCTGCTGCGTGCAGCATTCGATCGACCCGGTACTGTTGGTTCTTGGCTGGAGGTCGGCGAAGATAGAGCTCTGGTGACAGCCACCAGTCTAAGATCCATATCGACTCCTTGGCGCGCTCCAGTGCTATACTAACTGCATACATGTAGCTACCTTTAAAGTGAAATACGAAGTCAGTATACTCCTCAATTCCAATTCGTTGCTAGAGACTACTTACAACCATCGACATACCATTTGGCCTCGTTACCATGTCGTTCAGGTGCGAAGCTCAAGAAGCGATGTTGTTCATGGTACTCTTGCCCTGGCTGTGGCTGTCCACCCTGCTCGTATGTAGTCGCTGCTGCCGGAGGTTTCTGTGCGTGATCGTCACCCGAGATGGCGTCCTTCAGGTCGGAGACGAAGCCATGAAGAGGGTCGTGAATCTTCTTGAAGAAAGACATGCCGCCGCTGCTGCCTTGGTTCGACGATGAGGGTTGGGATCCGGTATTCTATAAATTCACTGTTAGACGCCTGGTGGTAGTAGAAAGTCAATGGGTTAGAAGGGCGGATGAGGAGGGTAGGCGCGGGTAGTCAACGCTTGGACTACGGTAGTGGGGCAATTGCAAGATTCCAGAGCTCTGCTACGCGTACACTGTACCATGACCGCATCTATGTACCGGTTGCATGTTCCAAAAGAAAGTACTGACCTCTTTCTTGCCAAAGCCAAAACGCCGACCCACGTCGCCGAGTAGGCCGCGGTCACCCTCTTCACCTTCACGCGTGTTGTAATCGCCGTACGCCAAATCTTCGTCTCGACGAGACATGGTGAAGGTATTGTAGTATTGTAGCTACCACTTGTTCGCCGCAAGTCGGTGGATATACGAGTCTTGTGTTGCGTTGCTGTTGACGCGCAGAGGCGGAGGTCACGGTGCTCAGCTAACTTAGACCCCGCTTCATAGCCTCAGTGCAAACGGGGCATGCAGGGAACTTGCCAGCTGAAACAGACACCAACACCAATTGATTGCGCCCACATCCGTTGCACTCCGTTGGCGCCCTGTCGCTGTCACAGCGCTTGGGTTCGGGCAGCATCCAACGCGTGTCAAGGCGTACTGTAGCCCCCACTACCCCTCATAGGTACATAGCTCTTCCTCGTATCGACGCCATTCAGGGTGCTCTAGTTACGCCTGCCGGCCGTTTGCAGCAGTTTGCAGGATATAGTGTACTACACATGTTGCTACACCAAGCTTAAAGCATTCTACCCAAGTTCAGATGCTTACACATCTTATGGGTCCGCAACGGCAGTGCGGCACGCATGTGCATGACGTAGTTGCGAGCCGTCGCCTGCTCCAACAGCTCCTCGGCAGCTCGAGAGCTCCTCATCTTATCTCCCCGCGCCGTTACACACACGATTGACATAGTTACTATATATCGCCCTCTATATACTACATAATGGCCTTTGCTCCTCGTCTTGCATCCTCTGCCAGATTGGCATCTCGTGCATTTGCTTCTGTACAACTTACAGCACCACTTGTAGCTTCCCGGGGCTTCCATTATACATCCACTACAATGGCACAGCATCCTATTGCTACCCTGAACGTAGGTTTTGTTGAGTAAACAGTGAGTGTTGCTGACTCAATTGTAGGAGGAACTCGTCCCCCGCCTTCCTCCTTCTTCGCCCACTCTTTTCGAGGCCAAGAAGAAGAAGAACCTATCTTTTGAGGCCATTGCGAAGCATGTTGGGCGTGATGAAGTTGCAATTGCTGCTCTCTTCTACGGACAGGCCATGGCCTCAGCACAAGACATCAAGAAGCTCTCAGAAATTCTAGACATTGATGCCGGAATGCTGGAGTCGCAATTGTCTGGCTTTCCTAATCGAGGCAGCACTCTCGACATGCCGCCAAAGGATCCCACCATCTACCGTCTATATGAGATTGTACAGAACTACGGACAAGCGTACAAAGCCGTTTTGCATGAGAAGTTTGGCGACGGCATCATGAGCGCGATTTCATTCAGCACTAAGATAGAGAAGGAAACGGACGACAAGGGCGAATGGGCCAAGATTACGCTGAGGGGCAAGTGGTATGTAGATCTAGCCACATACTGGCGCATTGCTGACAGTTATGCAGGCTGCCGTACTCCCGATTCTAAGTGGCTTGTAGTTCCCATGGGATGAAATCTGTATTGCTGTTCTTCAATCTTAGTAATAGCCCTCAAAAGATAGTTGCTCCTGCCATGTCTTCACCGCAGTTGAGGTGATGTGTCCATGCCATTGGCCCTTTATGTACTTTGCGTACATGTAGGCGCTATCTAGGCACGTGATGTTAGCATTGGTTTTAGTATACTGTCATATTTCTTGGTTGACTGGCATACTTGCTACGCAAAGCCTCAACCTGTTTCTTTTGTGCCGTTGATTAGGTGGCGTCGATTGTGGGTAATACGGTAACCTCGACCGTCCACAGTTCTTTCCTCTTTCAAAGCCTCCTTCACCTGCTAAAAAGCCTAACCTCACTCACGCCGCCCTTATGTAATAGTCTATAACCCCAACAATTCTTCCCTTATCTTCTCCACACCACCAACACCACCAATCCCACAATCGCTTACACGCCTAGATAGCCAAGCTCTCGCTCTTCGTCCACCTGCTCAGCAACTGCTTGCTTCTGTGAGCAAGCGGCGGTAGTTCCGACGATCGCCTTATTTCCGCTTTCAGTTGATCACTATACATCCTACATTCACTCGACAGACAGCTGCAAGATCGCGTGAGTTTATAGATGCTCTCAAGCACGCCAGCTGTTGCCAAGACCGGTTAGTTGACAAAGCTCTAGCATACAGACCAACCAGCTACATCCACGGCTGCGTGCGCTCGAATCCCACGAAGTCACGATGCCCGTCGTCGTCGAGCCCACGCGGCGCTTCAAATGCACCTATAAAGACTGCAACATGTCCTTCGACACAGAGAAGACCATGAGAAACCACAAGAAGAACTCTGACGAACACGAATACTGCGTCAAGTGTGATGAGGACTTCGACTCCTACGAGGACTTTGCCATGCACAAGGTGTCGCGTCCTTACGAGCACGGCAAAGCATGTGGCATCTGCGGTGACGAGTTCAAGAGCAAAGAAGGCCTGCAGCGCCATATCGAGATTACTCACAAGGTCGATCAAAAGCTCGTCTGCATCGGCTGCAAGAAGGCTTACTACCGTGCATGTCTCTTCATCGAGCACTTGGAATTTGGTCATTGCAGCGTCATCACAGCATCACAGTTCCAAGGCCACGTTGTTCACAAGTATCTCATCACTGAGCTGTTGAACAACAACAGTGCATTGGAGCGTTTCAGGCAGAAGACTTCAAAGTATGAGGCGGCCGTTGACTACGAGGAAGAAGGTGGAATCGATCTTGACGATGATCCATTGGACGACGACGGAGAGATGGACAAAGTCATGTTTAAAGCTATGAAGCCCAATACACCCGTAGATGCACCGCCTACCTCTGCCTTTGTTGGTCAGTACCCGCCCTTGCCTAGTCAGGCTGCTGAGTTCGAGATTGCGTCCAGCCTTGGTGGCATGTCTCTGGATGGCGACGACGTGTCCGATACGTCCACAGTCATTGGCTCCCAGACCGCTCTCTCTCGTGCAGATTCAGCACGCAGTACCTACACTCCAAGAGGTTTCTCTGCCGCCGGATCCAGTGTTGCTTCCGATCGGGAGCCCAAGGTTTGGGGTGATCGTAAGGGCAAGTCAACTATTGCAAAGCTCTTCCCGAACGCTAAGCCCAAGCCTACACCCAGTGAGTTCTCCATCATTGCACATGACGAAGCTATGGAGCACGAACACGGCATCAACATTATGCGCACACGCTTCTGGGATCCTATGAGCAGCGACTGGAACCCCGACAAGTTCTTTGACTCCTTCATCAACAAGTACAACTGTCCCTTTGTCTGCGAGTAAGTCCAGCATCCCAGACCCAATGCTTCCAAGTAATACAAAACTAACACATGTAGACAAAAATTCGACGCAGTCTGCGATCTCAACGAGCATATCCTCGGAGACCATCGTCTAGTTCGTACAAAGTGCCCGAAATGCCTCAGATACTTCAAGTCGGCCACGGCGCTCATGGCACACTGCGAAGCTCGCGGCGCTCGTTGCAACGTCAACAAGTCGGGCGACTTCGGCACGTTCCTTGATCGCATGTCAGGTGGCTTTCTGGGTGTTGAGGAGAAGGTCCGTCCTGAGCACCTCAACACCCAGCCCTTGATGCTGAGAAACGAGGAAACGGGTCATATGGAGCCGTATCAGCCGGTTATCGCTACTTATCTACAGTACTCGGTCACCACACCCCCTGATTGGAAGGATCCTGTTCGTCCGTCTGTGCAGATTGGCGGTATCCCGGTCACGTCTTCATGGTAGGAGGGCGAACGCCTGTACGTCGGCGACGATGGGTTGAGGCGGAGCTTGGGGAAGGAATTTCGAGGTATATGGAATCGGTTGCATGTAGGTGCATGCTTCCCGGGTCTCAAAAGTTAGTTCACTTCACGGTACTCTCCTTTTTCATGTGGCAAGTGCCTTTTTCAGATCACTGTCTTATGACAGATAGCTCCTAATCAAATGATATGAGCTCTATCTTCTTCCCTCTTGCAACGCCTGAGTGACATGAAATACTTGGCATACTAGTGTACAAAGGATACTGTACGCGTCAGACACGTCTATTAGGTGCTTACCCACACTGCCAAGTATGCCATGTCACCCAAGTGCTTGAAAAAGAAAATACTGTGAATTCCAGATGATGCAATGCTGTGGTATCGAAATGCCCCCTTTCCTTTTCAACTCCAGCCGTTATATCATACTTTGTGATACGAGTAGAAGAAAGAAAATAATTAGTCCCTTCTTTCATTGAAAACGCGAACAATTCCACTATACCCTGTCTCATGCCCGCGCCGCCATCTGACCCATTTCCCACGCCAAACTCAGCGGCTCCAACGCACGCTTATTGGGCGTCGTCGACGTAGTGCTGGTGAAGTTTAGACTACCCATGTCGCACCAGTTGACACCATTTGTCTTGACGGGCTGTTATCAACAACGTTAGCAAAAGTACACACTTTGCCATGATACAGAGGAGGACTTACCAAGCAACTCAAATGCTTACACCAACTACAAGTATTCCTCCACTCATAAAAGTTCCTCAGCAGCAGTATAAACCCTATAAAGACAGCGACGAGCCCGCCAGCCCTAAGAACCCACCACGCCCACCAAAGCGGCTTCCTGCCCTTGAAGAAGCCCACGGGCTGTTTGGCAAAGGCGGAGATTTTGGTTTTACTTTCCTCGGCTGTCGGGGCTAGGGGCTGGGTGTCCACTGTTGCGTATGGCGGCTCGTTCATACCGGTTCGCGCACGCAGACTCTGCGGGGAGTGGATGATGCAAATACCCAATACCAAGCCCATGCAAAAGCCGCCAATGTGGGAGAAATTGTCGAGACCGGGGAGGAGGCCGATGACGAAAGCGATGGCCATGTCGAGGAGGAGAAACAGCAAGTCTTTTACGGGACTGCGGCGTGTGGACCAGTTGTACAGTAGATCCAACATAGTGAGAGCGAGGATACCGAATAGCGAACCCGAGCAGCCGACGGATGTGAGGCCTTCAGGTGCGTAATTTCCACCGAGGACGAAGCCAAAGATTCCAGCAGAGAAGTACACGAGGAGGAAGCGGAGGGGGCCGATTTCTTTTTCCATGTCGCGGCCTAGAGTCCATTGGAGGAGCATGTTGAAGCCGATATGTATGAGTCCGGCGTGGAGGAAGATAGGCGTGATGAATCGCCACCATTGGTTGGGCTCGCGGCTGTGGTCATCGAATCTTGTGATGCCGGTTTGGTCGGGGACACCGCTACCCATGCCGCAGAGTTCCGCGAGGGTGCATTTGGGTGCGTCGGCGTTGATGGTTGTGGTGTTGGGACAAGGCCATTCGAGGACGGGTGGGTTGGCTTCGATTGCCTTTCTGATGTTGTGCATGCAGGGTGTGAAGCGGGCGCCCATGTTGATGAGGACGTAGGGTGAGGGGCCAATCATGATGTTGAAGGTTGGTTTGGTTTGGATGGGTGATCCTGTTAGTATGCCTGTACATGTTGTCAGCGCCTGGTTTTACTTTGCCCTTGTTTGCCCATGTCCACACAAGTATGTTGACGTACCATTCTTTACCAATTCTCCAATGAAGACGCCTACTTGTACGGCTGTGAGTATGTATACAACCCACGTCACTCGCCCACTAAATAAGCCCTTCTTCTTTTTGCTCTTTTTCCGTGCAGGTTGTACGCCCATGCCGTAATACTCGGGATCGTTATTAAATCGCAGTGGGGCGTCTCCGTCATTCTTGTGTTGATTCTGTTGATTCTGCAGCGGTATTGCGTTTTGGTCGGCAAACGGATCTGGTTGTCGCGCGTACGGGTCGTTGATATGTGCGGTAGAGTCGTATTGTGTCGGTTGTTGATAGGATGTGTTTGAGTACGATGTATCGATGGGATAGCCGCCCAGGGCACCACTACTATGTGTTTGCCCTGGGTATGGCCGGTCGTCGAAGGGCGAACTGACGGGGGAGACGGATTGCTGTGTGTGGTTGCCTGGCGTGGGCGGTAGGGGCGCATCATTTTTGTGTTGCGGCGGGCCGGAGGGATTGAAGTAGTCGTTGGCCGCCATGGTGGATAAGCGCTCGTAGTCGTGAAGTTATGGAAAGCGTGGGATCGTAAAGGAAGTCGCGCGAGGGAAATGCGCAATGAATTATGAGTGCGACACTCGTTGAATGCCGAGAGTGTGAGTTAGATGGACTATGACTGCACCGCTACAGGTCGCGGGGATGGAGAAAGGATAGAACCTTGCGCTGGCTGAGGCGACAAAGGTGGCCACGAACAAGTCCAGGGGGTGGTTTGACGTCTCAGAAGGCTAGAAGGGCCAGATGAAGGGTTCCAAACCGTGTTAATCATGCGGGGGCGACACACACGACAGCAAACGATTACAGTGAAAACGAGCGTGGTGAATGCGAGGCTGAGATTGAGTTTGCGTATTCGATGCCGAGTGATGTGCAGCTCAGCCCCAACTCACAGCTCGTGTTGAAGACGGTACGCTTGGCCTGACTACTAAGCGTCGATGTGTGGCGCGGGTTTGCTAATAATACCCGTCGTGCATTAATGTGGACAAAGGGTGACCAGTATTAGGGTAAACATTAGGACTTCTGTGGCAACAACGGGCACCTGAAGGACTTCTTGATTCTACACAGCCTCGAACAAGCTGTCAAAAGTGGGTGTATGCCGGGGCAGCGTCTCTTCCGCGAGCCCCTGGAGCTTATGGCAGTTACCGCTAAGGCCTCGGTAGGGCGGGGCTTAACGATGCCGCATGAGCTAGCCATGATGCGCTAACCACGCTCGCTCCACTTGTATACGCGGACTCTGGCTGAGACATGCGTCACCCCTCGAGGACAGGCAGGGCAGAAAAGTCAGACATGGATCAGCAAATCGAGATTACCTTCAGATATGGGAGAAGAGATGGTATTGGTGTTTCTATCTACAATGGCGGCAGACTCTCTCTGCAATTCGGACACATTAGTCGATACCGCATCCACCCTTCCAAACACCCGGCATGGAAAATGTGTCGACAAGGCGTAACCATGTATTGTCGTCTCTGCAAAATCATGCTCGTGCCGCCCATGCCCGTAACACTGGCTTCATCCGCACCTGCAGGTATAATCGGAACTTCAATGTCGTTGGCGCAGATGCTGCAGTCGAACACTTTCTTGCCTTTAGACCTGGACTCTCCCGATGCTTTGATTGAATCGCCATCTGCGGCCGATGATGACGGCGCATCGATCGTCGAAGGCGAGTCAGGAGACGTGGAGACGTTGAGTGGCAGAGCAGCGCCTTCTTCGTCCTCGCGTAAGATGGGGTGATAGTCGTAAGCCGGTGGTGCCCATCCTTCCCTAACGAAGAATCGTGGGCCTAACACCTCCTGGCTTGCCAGAACCACAACCTGCACCCAAACCCACCCCACCAGAACACCCATCACTCTCCAGTCTGTCCTCGCAAATAGTACGTTGTCTTCTTTCATGTAGAAATACGCTATAGGCATAATCCGTGCCACGCTCGTTCCAACAACATAGTCCCAGCGTAATGCGCGCCGACAGTTCCGCATAATGTTGCGGTAGATTTGTGGTATCCAGAAAGATAAGTAAATGAAGGAAACTACATCAAAGTAGATGGCACGGTAGGTTGTGCGGGCCGTGGCGAATTGAATCGTGATGAAGAAGAGGACTATCAACATCAGACAGAACCGGCTATAGAGTGCGCCAAGTTCGGCCCGGGGATTCGCGTTTGCGTTGTTCGTGTTAGCTGTTGTTGTGGTATTGTTCGCAGCCGGCGCAAGGTCTTCATCGGGATCGTCCTGGTCTGGTGCAATGATGATTGGAGTTGGCGGACGTGGCCGAGCTGCGGTTGCTGGTAGTGGCAATCCCTCCTCAGCAGAAGGTGCTGGAGTGGCAGTCCGAGATGCTGGAGCAGGACTTGGCGTGGCTGCTGCTTCTTGTCTTTCCTGGCGAGCCCTTTCTGCAGCTTGAACAGACCAAATATCCATTAAGAAGCGGAGGTGGGTAAGCACGGAGAAGAGGGCTATGAAGGCGATGCTGTACAGTGCCAGCTGTGCAGTACCAAGGAACAGGTACATGAAGATGAGGATCAGGAATGTAAACCCATCTCCCAAAGCCATCATCGCAATGGTGAAGAAGCTGACTCTGCTACGCATCGATGGTGTCGCTGTCTCCTTCATTTGCTTGATAGTGAACGAGAGTTGAAAGGCAAGACTAATGGCAAATGCAAGAATGCTGTGTCTTGCCCTGACGTTGAAGTCCTCTGTCTTCGCTCCAAGCAGATGTTGGGCTTCCGACGGTGGGAAGTCTGGGGGACCCTTGGACTCAATGACGAAACCACAGTCTGGCGAGAACCCGACCATAGACATGGCGTGTAGAACATGCTGAGAGATGGGCGCTCCGGTAGGAAATCGTAACTCGTGCTCAAACCAGTCCATATCGACGTTGTACTGACTCGGCAGTTCTTGCAGATACAGCACGAACTCGCAATGATGGCCTTGAAACAAGCCCTCGTTGGTCCCTTCGGCTGCAGATGTCCACGGATTCCACAAAGGGAATGTTCGCTTTTCTTGTCGTTCGATGGCTTCATGTATGGTCCAGTTCAGGAACTCTTGCGACGTCGAATACATGTATGGCGACATCTGCATGTGGGATAAAGCGAAGATGCCTGCAAACCTATCGCTCGTAGTAGTTAGAACAGCAGTCCCGCTCTTCATGAAGTGAACGCCATGTGCCACGAATTCCCACCAGTTGCCTCCAAAGCTGTCTTTATCGCCAATGACCACCTTCGCGCTGATCTCAGATATGGTCTTGTTCTCGTTTCTCCGCATCTTGTCTTCCAGCTCTGTAATGTGCATGCGCAACGGCCCACCTGTCCCTGTCAGGTTTCTGTCGTACTCTATGAGGTGTCCGAATGGATTGTCTGGGGTCACCGAAGCATTGCCCATATCGCTAGGATGTCGTATGCGACTGAGCGGCGAGCGCGTCCATTCGCCTTGCACATATCCAGACAGGTTCCTATATACCGGCATCACGGGCTCGCCTTCCTCGGGCGGGCCATCCAGCATGCGTTTCCACCTATCTCCCAGTATCCGCTCTGACTGTACTCTTGCCTTCTCCCTCACAGGGTCCAACAACTCCCATGCAAATCCATCTTCGTCGCGCAACCCAGTGACATTTAACCATTTGTTTTTATCCGGCTTGAAGTCGCCGTATCGCGTCGTATTGAGCACGCCGAGTTCGTAGTACTCGCGGTCGATGACCTCTCGGAATCGTGAGCGAACATTGAACGCAGGCTGTTGTGGTTCGGGCGAGTTGATGAGAAGTAGGAGGACTATGAAGAAGAGGAAGGACCGGGGGTCTCTTCTTACTTCCATCGGCGTGATTTCTTAAGACTGTGAGCCGCCATGGAGTGGCGCGTGTTAACAGATGTAGGTAGGCGTAGAGGTCAGTAGCGCTCCCGAGACCAAGATGACGTGCGCTAGTTCCGAGGCGCACGTCCAAGACCCCACTCCTGGGCAATGCACCGCTTCAGGTTATATCAAAACTGTTAAGAATATGTTAGGTTCAGTCCAGGTCGGCGAGGTGAGGTTCGTGGAGTAAGCCCGAGCAGAAGGACCGACGCGGAATGATGATCTGTCATGTACGTCCTAAGATCATCATAACAACAAGTAGATAGAACAATAGCTCTTAGTGAAGTTCAATCCAATACAGGGTTACCTTTCGTACCTCTACTCGGTCGCCTATGGTAGTCATACCACCAGAGGAGACCTTGTTCTAACAGGTTATGAGCCCGGTTGCCTAACCCAACGTTATTGTTTTCAAACACCTACCCGAGTCACGAAGGACTCAGATTCAAGAAGGAATCAAAACATCCACCCAAGTCACGAAGGACTTAGATTCAAGAAGGAATCAGAAAAGAAAAGAAGTCGTGTACAACGCGGTTAACACGCAATCACACTTAAATACACCGTCTCTACACCCGAGAACCGATAACGACTGCACCGCCCGCAGAATATCACCCGGATCGCCCGCATCGCCCGCATCGCCTGTATCGCCCGCATCGCCCGCATCACCTACACTCTTAGCATCATACCACGTACCTTGCTCGCATAATAGTCTCACCAACTCAAAACACACAAGATGGCTGTAGAGAAGGAAGAATGGAAGATTCCCCAACTTACAGCTGAAAACCACGATACTTGGTTCCGCCGAAACAAGGTCAAGCTTAAGGGGAAGAAAGTCTTCTATGTCTGCGAGAAAAACCTGGTACAGCACTGCCAAATAGCAATAGCCGGTGAACTAACGGAGGCTATGGAAGAGTTGGAAATTGCTGAAGCAGACAAGCATACTAAGATCCGCGTCAACATTGAAAAAAGAGACAAGTACCTAGAAGATGAAGCCACTGCAATCGATCTCTTGTTTCGGTCGCTTACTGAAGATGACCAAGCCCTTATTGACGAATACGACACTGCCTTCCAGTTCTGGGCCTACCTACAAAAGAAGTACACCCAAACTGACGCCACAACCGCCAACATTTACATGACCAGAATTCAAACGTTCACATTCAATCCTGGGAACACAATTGTTGGATCATGGGAAAAGCTAAAGGAATACCGACGCAAACTCGTAGCAGCAGACGCTGACACCAACGGAGCTTACAAGGACTCTGCACTACTACTCGTTCTTATTAGATCACTCCCGAAAGAATTTAAGACTACGATTGACACCTTAAACGCCCAACTTAACCTTACGGTTGAACAGAAACTTAAGTTTCTGGAAGAGAAGGAGGTTCGAGACCAGCAAGACGCCGACGAAAAAGCTCTCCCAGCATTCCGGAAGACGGAGAAGTATGTTCCGCCTTACAAGCGCCGAAATCACAAGAGCTCACCACTATCGTCTGACTCCGAATCTGGTACTAAGTTTATGGTCCAATGCTTCCTTTGTGACGGAGCCCATGGCGTACGAGACTGTCCAAGACGTGAGAGAGCTCGAAAGCTCCTTAAGGAATACGACGCTAAGAAATCATCTAAGCCGCCTATTAAGACACTCAAGCAAAGGAATTCTCACAAAAAGACTGGCAAAGCATATGGAGCCGAAGAAGTCAATTCAGAGTCAGATGAATTATCCGAGACCTCAGACTCTGAACCCGAGGAAATTGAGACATGCCGTCTCTCAAAAGACATTGTCGGTAAGGCCTCTCCATCTACTTGGGCTGCCGACACTGGCGCCTCCTCCCACATGTCTGACCAACCCTCATTGTTTAGACGAATGATCAAGATCAAGCGAAGACTAGTTCGCGTTGGAGGGGGAGAATTATATGCAGACTGGAAAGGAGAAGCTCAAGTGGTGTGTAAAGACGGATCGTCGACATGGTTGTCAGAAGTACTGCTTGTACCTAACCTTGGAGTCAATTTGTTATCAGGGAGAAGAATTTGCGCAGCAGGCCTGAAGGGTCGTTTCAATTCACACGTACTATGCTTCAAACTAGGAAAGGAGATCATTATTAAAGCAACTATGGACGACGGCCTCTACGTAGTGTCACACATTGCCGATGGATACCACGAGACAGCATTCCTAGGCACGGAACCCCATACACCAGTTAAGAGCGAGCTTAAGGTTAATGAAAAGGAGAGATACCTGCTGTATCACAGACGTTTCGCACACCTAGGACCTACAAAGATTGCCAAACTCCACGAAGTTACAACTCTCCAGAAGAAGATTCAAGTTCCAGAGAAGATTGAAATCTGCGAAGTGTGTTCCCTGACAAAGATGAAGAACAGCATCCCTAAGCAGCTAAGAGAGCACAAGGCCACGAAGCTAGCCTTAGTACAGTTTGACATTGCTGGACCCTTTCCAACATCTCTACGAGGAAACAGGTGGTTCCTCCAAATTATTGATAGCTACACGCGGAAAAACTGGGTTATCCCGCTGAAGAAAAAGGGAGACGCACAACGGGAACTCCGAATCTGGAAGACCTTTGTAGAACATCAAACTGGCGAGAAAGTCAAAGCTGCTGGAACCGACAATGCACCAGAACTTCTACAGCAAGCTGAGGAATGGAGAGTTACACAAGGCGTGGAAATTCAGCCTACAACAATTGCTTCCTCACACCAGAATGGACCAGCCGAGCGAAACATCCAAACTGCTGAAGCTGATATGAGAGCAATGTTGAAAGACGCTGGTTTACCAATTGAGTTTTGGGATGAAGCTGTCGAAGCAGACGCATACCTACGCAACCGTACAAACACAGGACCTATGATCAATGGAAAGCAAGTCAGTCCTGAAGAGGCATTCACAGGAACGAAACCATCCATTGACCACATCCGTGTATGGGGGAGCAAATGCTATTCGTACATCAACCCTAAAACGATTCCAGCAGACCAACGACATGACAAGCTCGTGGACCGTGGCAGAATTGGAGTATTTATGGGATATTCTGAGACAACAAATAAGCAGTTCAAGTTCTATTCGCCAGAGCTTGGATACACCTCAAGGACAAGCCGATTGTCAGTGGACGAATACACCCCTGGAGGGAAAGTTGAACTACGACTGCGAAACATACCAGCTGGACCACAAGGAACGCAGAATACGATGCCAGACCGAAAACCAAGAGGAAGACCTAGGAAGGATCTAGAATTATCTCCTGCCGAACGAATGGAACCAACTCCTACCGAACGAATGGAACCATCTCCTGCAGAACCAATGGAACCATCTCCTACCGAACCAATGGAACCATCTCCTGCAGAACCAATAGAACCAGTTTCCGAGAACCTAATGGAACCATCTTCGGCAGAGCTAACTCATGAACCAGTGAAGCGTCACAGAGGAAGACCAAGGAGGCTAACTACTATTCCTCCTACTGCACCATCTGATGAGCGGGTTCCTAATCTTGTGAACGAAGAGGGGCCCGAAGAACCGTGTACCCAGTCTGTACGAGAAAAGGAGATTCCACGATACTTCACTAGACAAGCCAAACGGAAGAGGTCTAACGAAGAGATTGTTGAGGACGAGAGATTTAGCAAGATCGTTAAAGCTATGCTAGCCCAAGTTGGCCTTACAGAAGAGCAAACACGACTATCTGAGAAGGCTTTCGCAGCAACCGAGATCGCAGGAATCCAGATCCCCCAGACACACGAGCAAGCTATCAACGACCCAAAGTATGGAAAGCAATGGAAAGCAGCAATACTTGAAGAGATAATCGCGTTAATAGAGAATCGAACCTGGGAGGAAGTTCCAAAGCCAAAAGACGCGAACATGGTTGATTCAAAGTGGGTTTTTACAGTCAAAACGAATCTCGACGGGACTGTTGAGAGGTTTAAGGCACGCCTTGTGGCAGAGGTTTACGCAAGCACACGGAACAGACTACAACGAGACTTTTGCCCCGACAGTCCGCATGGACACCTTACGTCTGTTTATGGCCACTGTCGCAGCGGAAAACCTGGAATGTTTCCACTTTGACATTAAGAATGCATTCACAGAGTCGCACTTGAAGGAAGAGATCTTTCTTAAGCAACCCCAAGGAGTAGAAGTCAAAAAAGGATACGTCCTTAGAGTTCTCCGCAGCTTATACGGACTCAAACAGGCTGCTCGCGACTGGAACTTGTTGATAAAGAAAGAACTTCTGGCATGGGGATTCGTACAAAGCCTCGCAGACCGGTGCATGTTTATCCACAAAGAAAAACAACTCCGTATCCTCGTCTACGTTGATGACATTGCTGCTGCTGCAAAAGATCGAGCTCAAATTGATTGGTTCTACGAGAAGCTTTCTGGAAGATTCAACACCAAGAACCTGGGGGAGATTCATAAGATCCTTGGAGTACGAGTTACGCGAGACAGAAAGCGCCGCACAATCTACCTCGATCAAGAACAGTACCTACACGCAGTACTTGACAAGTTTGGAATGTCTAGCAAACAACACAGAGACAAGAAGATTCCATCTGCAGATTACACTTCATTTAGGCCAGCCACTGACAACGACACCCGAATCGACATCACTGAATACCAGCAAGTGATAGGGAGCCTTATGTTTGCTATGGTTCTTACACGTCCAGACATTGCATTCACCCTCGGAAAGCTAAGCCAATACATGAGCGATCCAGCAGAACACCATGGCCATGCGTTGAAGAACCTGCTACGATATCTAAGGTCGACAGTGACATTGAAGCTACGCTACGGACCAGGGGGAGTACACTCGCAATTTGTCATCTACTCTGATGCTGACTGGGCAAGCGACATGGTAGACCGAAAGAGCGTTTCAGGGAGCACTGCAATGTTCTACGGAGGTCCAATATCATGGTCTAGCAAGAAGCAACGGTCTGTTGCAACGTCAAGCTGCGAATCTGAATACATCGCACTATCAACATGCTGCAAGCAAGGCCAGTGGATTGCTCAAATGTTTAGAGATCTTGGGTTCCCAAAGTACATTGGAAAAGACACCAACAAGGTCCAGATGCTAGGAGACAACCAGGGTGCCATTGCACTTACAAAGAACCCTCACCTTCACGAAAGATCAAAGCACATCGACGTCTGTTATCATTTTATCCGAGACCTAGCAGAACAAGGCAAACTCGATGTGGCCTACGTTCCAACTGCAGACATGGTGGCTGATGGAATGACAAAGCCATTGCAGCGAGTCGCATTCGAGAGATTCAAGAACCAATTAGGAGTTGTCCTTGGACCGGACCTGCCCTGAGGGGGAGTGTTAAGAATATGTTAGGTTCAGTCCAGGTCGGCGAGGTGAGGTTCGTGGAGTAAGCCCGAGCAGAAGGACCGACGCGGAATGATGATCTGTCATGTACGTCCTAAGATCATCATAACAACAAGTAGATAGAACAATAGCTCTTAGTGAAGTTCAATCCAATACAGGGTTACCTTTCGTACCTCTACTCGGTCGCCTATGGTAGTCATACCACCAGAGGAGACCTTGTTCTAACAAAAACACTTATTTGCATTATTTGCAACCATTCACGTTTGTGAGTATAACAAGGATAGATCTGTAGATTTTTTTTTATCAAGGGGAAAGAGGGGTATTGATCGAATTGTATACAGAGGAAAGCGTCCAATATTGCTTCTTCATGACCTAGCCTAACACCTGCAAACGCCTCCATGCTTCTGAGCCTGCAACTTCGTACGCGTGAACCATAATTCTTCTAAAAGGGCATGAGAGCTGAAGTGAAAAGCCTACTGCATACTACCAATCACGGGTGGCGCCGACTCCAGGTCAACACGTTGGACTGTCTGGAGCAAGTCGTTGCTGTTGCGGACGAGGTTGCCAAAGTACTTGCGGGCTACCTCGGTTTCTTCCCTAGCCTTGCTCGTCTCCTCCTTCTTGAGCTGCAGCTTTTCAACATTTCTTTGCAGACCGATGCGAACGTCGTTGGCGGGACCCTTAAGTGCGCGGCGAACCTCGGAACTGATGCGGAGGGCGTTGGAGTGCGTGTAATCGATTGCTGCTAGTTGCTGAGACAGTTTGGCGCTTAGTCGGTGAGGCAGTGACTTTGGCACTGATGCCAGGACGTAAGACACACCGAGGGCAACTGTTAACGTTAGCATTAGTCCAACTTTGCTCGAGTTATATCCACTTACCACCAGCGATGAGACCAGGGATGATCAGTCTCCGTATGTTGCTTGTACCCATGACCTTGGCAGCACCAAGGGCGCCATCCACCCATCCGACACCACCAACTAATCTGCCACCTACGACACCAGCAACAGTCATGGCCATACCAGCACCTGCAGCCTTTTCTTGTCGTTCCCAGAGGCTCGCAATGTCAAAGAAGTCCCACAGATCAATGTCAATGTCCACCTGTCTAGCCAAAGCATGCACTGACTTCCTGAACATCCGCTCAGGGCGGAACATGACATCGGCATACAAGTTGTTGCCAAGATGCAGGACACCCAAGTTTTTGATACCGTTGTAGCCCTGTACGGCCTGAGCTCGCGCGTGCTCTTCGCATAGACGAACGCTTTCAGTGACTTCGTGTAGCATGGAGTCTCTGATGTCTTCGGCATACTGGTAGGCTGAGAAGAGTCCAGGGTATTCAATGCCAAGGTCTTGTTCTGCCACCTTTGCGATGCAGTTGTTGAGCGTATCCCGGGTATGGCCGTAAACTTCCGAAGTTGTGTCTTCCACCATGCGATCCACTGCTTCTCCAGCTTGTACCCGCGACTTCTTTGACTCTTCAAATTCAGGCTCGAGCGCTTCAATCTCTTTCTTTACGCGGTCCAACTCACTCTGGGAGACGTCTCGGTTCACTGTAGCGAGATTGTTCATGTCTCCCAGTAGGTTGAGAAGATAAGTCTTCGCTGGTGCTAGTTTTGAACGTGCCCTCTTCTCCAAGACGAATCGTCGCAATGAGGCCTCTAGGTCAGCGAAATCCCGCTGCTTCTCTGCCTCCTTGCCCTTTCCTTTGTCGTTGGGGTCGTCGTCACCATCGCCATCTGGAGGTCCGCCTGCACCCATTGGGATCGCGTTACTGGAGACAAAGTGTACGAGTTCGCTGGACTCCTTGAAAGTCGCCGGGCTAAGTCCGTGTACCTGCTTTAGAATCATCTGCTGACAACGCTTCTGGTCACGAATGGTGTCGAAACCGTTGACGACCATGAACATGTAAGCCTTCTCTCGCGCTGCAGTGAAGATGAAGTTCTTGGCAGATTCAGTGAAGTGGTTTGCGGCGGAGACAACGAAGACGACGACATCGATTTCCTCTTGGCGAGCGAAGACGGCAGTTGTTTTGATGGAGTCGGCGTTCAGTCCCGGGGCATCGATGAGGGCAATGTCGACCACGCCGTTGTTCAGGAGAGATTCGTCTACATCTCGAATGTCCTTGATGTAGATCTTGCACTGCGAGAAGTGGTCACTGTCGATGACAATCTTCTCCAAGTCCTTCAGGTCAAAGACAACATAGGTGCTCTCGTCATTCCGGCTGTACGTACAGCCGATGGGGATCGCGTGTACCTCTTCAACCATACCGTTCTCCCGGAAGTCAAGAACCTCGCAGAAGATACTTGTGCATGGCTGCTGGTCCTCGGGCAAGACCTTGCGTCTGAGTAGAGCGTTGCAGAAGGTGGACTTTCCCGCATTCAAATCTCCGGTAACCAGGACTTTGCTCGAAGTGTCTTCTATGCGTTCCTTGAGAGAGAAGAGATGGCGTATGCTCTGTTGAATTTGGCCGTCCAGAAGCGAGGCCACCGAGTTCTTCTCCAGCGAGTGCACCAGGTCCGACTGTGTCCGACCGCCCATGCGCAGCTCCAGCTTCAGGACAGAAAAGTCGTGAGCCAATTGTGGGGTGACCAGTCGAGGCTCGTCCTTGCGTTTGTTCTCAGCCGCTGAACTCGACTCGGCCATGGGGTCGTCTCCGATGGTCGTGCCCGCTCGTCGTGGACCCCGCGGTCGTTCAGGCGAACGCATATCCGGGTCGAAGTCGCCTATCGCAGACTGTGTGTGGTGCAAGCCGGGCCGTGCATCGTCTCGGAGGAGTGCCTTTTGCTTTTCGGTCGCCTGGACGGAGGGGTAATGTGCGGGCCACTTTAGATTCATCTCTTGGAAACTTTTCAATGTCTCGATGGTACCATGAATTGCGCGGCCAAGAGCATTCTTGTTCTGGTTGTATCGTAGTTGGAGCACATGGCTGCGCTGTTTCTCATGTTCGGCATTGCCTGGTCCGCCGGACAGGATGGGTGTGGGTGAAGGCCTGTCCTCGCCAATGTTGGAACGCCAACTCATGCCAGAACCCTCGCCGTCCTGGACACTTCCACCATAACCCGAGTCCTCGTCTAGCATAGATACGAGGCGGGCGGCGGCATCGCTGGTAGTGTTTCCGCCGCCAACGGTCATGTAGCCGGGGCCTACATTACGCCGCGGGACAAAGTCATCGGACACTCCACGGCGGCTCCTGGACGACTCTCCAGGCGTAGAGGGTCGGCTGTTGCGGCGGTCGGGATTCATCGGGCTATGTTGGTATTGTGCGCTATAAGGAGGAGCGCATATCGTATTGTGAAGGCGAGAATGCTACGGAGAGGGAGGGAGGCGGTCTGGTGAAGAATATGCGGAGAGAACGTCAGAGTTGGTGGTGCACACGCCACCACAACGGCAGGGATTGGCTGGCGTGCCAACAAAGTCCCGGTATGTATGAGCCCACTATGCGGCGGCTATGCCATTCGTACGCATCTATTACACGTGTGAGTTGTCCAAACCAGATATATCACTTGGACTTGAAAGTTGTTGTGCTTGGCTCCTAGTATGGTTGCGTAGGCATGCAAATTCTATAGCAGTGCAGTCCGACCAAGGCTCGGCATCGCGATAGCAGCGAGTCTGTCTGCCTAGAAGCACATGCCAGTAGAACACCAACTACCTGACGTTTACCGACTAGCTCGCAAATCATCACATTGAATAGAACACAGTGAATCTGTTGTATGCATTTATTCACGAGCTAGTTCGTATTCGAGAATTTTGCAGTCTATCCTCGTACATATCTCGTTGGACCGAGTAGACGTCAGGCGCTACGTGCTGGGTCCCACCTCCAGTCCAGATAACCTCTTCCGACGACGCTTCTGCGCGCACAAGTCGCCGTCATGAACGTAAGCCGTAAATCCTGGCTTTGAAAGTCTCACCAGCTGATATACATCGCAGATCGTAGAATGGGCCTTCGGAAAGCGCATGACGCCTGCGGAACGGTTGCGGAAACACCAACGCGCACTCGAGAAGACGCAACGAGAGCTAGACCGCGAGCGCGTGAAGCTTGAGAACCAGGAGAAGAAGCTGGTAGCCGACATAAAGAAGAGCGCAAAGAATGGCCAAATGGGGCCGCTCCGAATACAAGCAAAGGACTTGGTTCGGACGAGACGGTATGCCAGCCTGCTGTGTGTTGCGCTGCTGTCAATGTAGGGCTAACACTTGCTCAAGGTACATCCAGAAGTTCTATCAGATGCGAACGCAACTGCAGGCTATCTCTTTGAGGATCCAGGTATATCTATTTGTATGGATGCGCCTGAGAGCATGTGGCTAACACTGGGTAGACAGTTCGCAGTAACGAGCAGATGATGCAGTCCATGAAGGGCGCAACAAGTAAGCGCATTTGCCAGTCTCTCTGATATCATCTAATACCCGCTAGCACTGCTTGGAAGCATGAACAGGCAGATGAACCTCCCTGCGCTACAGCGCATTGCCATGGAGTTCGAGAAAGAAAACGACATCATGGACCAGCGACAGGAGATGATGGACGATGCTATTGACGACGCCACTGGCATGGAAGACGAGGAGGAGAGCGAGGATGTTGTCAATCAAGTCCTGGATGAGATAGGCATTGATCTTGGCCAAGCTGTAAGTGCAGTGGCATTCACAGCTGCGCAATGGCTAACGTCACATAGCTGGGAGAAACCCCGAGCGGATTACAAAAGAACGCAGTGCCAGAGGCCAGGGTCGCGCAGGCCATTGGGGGTGGAGGTGCTGATCCCGACGACGATGACCTTCAGGCTCGATTGGACAGCTTGAGGAGGTGAGGATGAAGTGCTCGGCACATGATAAGCTATGGTCGCGTTGTGTTCAGGGCTACATCTGACAGCATGGGTGTGAAGACTGAATCCATGTGACCATGTTCCATATTCAAGAGCGTTGCGGCCAGGCGTCTTGTGCAGAAAGTCTATCATTCTGGTATTTGACCCAGTGTTCAATTTCAAAGGGCAAACATTGCCCATGACCCATGTGTTGTCCATGACTGCGTTGGAGGTAAAGCCGCCTAGTCAGTCTCCAAGCCGGCCCCACGCTACGCGCCGGCGTGCATGCATTTGAGCCTAGATCTGGCTGATCTTGCCCAATGTGCTGGAATTGACGAGGCCCTTTGGGCAGCCTCGGAATCTCGTATTCGAGTTATAACAGCCGTCACAGGGTCTCTTCGCTGCCCGTTGCCCACTGCCAGCTTCATTCACCACAGCTAGCGGGGTAGAGGGGTTCGCCTTCTTTGATAGTGTACAGCACAGTGTTCCGATCCCCGCACGTCAGCCAGCTTGCTTCGCAGTTGACACGGCCACACCTACGCCTGCACAAGTCACAATCTACCTACCCAGTACCCGCTACCACAATCACACTATCCTTAGGCTCGCCCAATCTGCACCCTGGACCCTCTCCGCGCGCGTTGTGATCTTCAACTTGACGCCTTCCACTTGCGCCAATTGATATTTGCGGTTGCCCACCCCGCCGTGAACCTTCGACGTCATCACGCCCTAACGACGACCTCTCTTGCAACGCTCCCCTTGCGTCTGTCTACATCCTACAAGACTTTAATATTATTGTTTTTCGAACCTCGCTTATCCCAGCTCCTCACATCAAACGTCCCCACTCGCATCCCCTCCACCGCTCCCCGGTAAACAAGCGCTATCGCGATCCACTCAAGCTGGCAGGCAACAGGCGCCGGAGCGCCCAGGGAGGCTTGCTCTCGAAGATGTTTGGGACGCAAAGAGGATGAGGGTTCCACCCGTCGAAAGCATCTACCCACAATGACGCGCCCAAGCCCGCGACTACCGCGTCCGACAACGGATCTGCAGGAGCAACCAGCACCAACAGTAACGGCTCCTCCTCCACGGACCGTAAGCCGAGTGACGGCTCTCAGCCCGCCGAACGGAAACGACGAAGTAGTGGAGTGTCGCGTGCCCGTGACATGTTTTCCAGCGCAAAGCAGTCACTACATCTCGGCTCTTCTCCCACCTCCCACTCCAACAACGCCATGTCCGAGAAGCCCGCTACTCAAACCCCCATGCAGAAGCTGGGTAAAAGCGATGCTGCCCTCAGCGTCCCCCAGGGTTCCCTCAACAACTCTGCCGGTGAGTCCGCGCCCGGCCCGCGCTCGACTTTCCGCGTCGGTGTCACAGAGGACAAGAACAAGAAGTGCAGACGGACAATGGAGGACACACACGCATACCTGTACAACTTCCTGAGTACCCCGGCACCCTCGTATGGCGCTGACAAGGTGCGCTCCGTATCCGACGCGAGCTCCACTTTGTCGGATCCCTCGTCGCAAGCTGTAGTCGAGACGGACAATGGATATTTCGCCATCTTCGACGGACACGCCGGTACGTTTGCCGCCGATTGGTGTGGAAAGAAGCTTCATTTGATCCTGGAAGAGACAATCCGAAAGAATCCCAATACCCCGATACCCGAACTCCTTGACCAGACCTTCACTGTAGTCGACCAGCAGCTAGAAAAGCTTCCTCTGAAGAACAGTGGTTGCACCGCCGTCATTGCAGTATTGAGGTGGGAAGACCGAGTTCCCAATTCACAATCGTCTACAGGCTCTGTTCTCTTTGCTCCTGCGGCAGTATCAGCTATCAAACATGCAGGCGAAGGCGAGGTCAAGGACGGCGCTGATGCTGCTGCTTCAGCTTCAGCTTCAGAGCCTGTAGCTGAACAACAAGTAGAGGCGAGGTTGCGAAATGAGGCGAGCCGACAGCGCGTCTTATACACGGCCAACGTAGGCGACGCCCGCATTGTCCTCTGTAGGAATGGCCGTGCACTTCGTCTCTCATACGACCACAAGGGCAGCGACGAGAATGAGGGACGCCGTGTCGCTAGTGCTGGTGGCTTGATTCTCAACAACCGCGTTAATGGCGTACTTGCTGTAACACGAGCACTGGGTGATGCGTATATGAAGGACTTGGTAACCGGGCACCCGTACACCACTGAGACTGTCATTCAAGCCGACCAAGACGAGTTTCTCATCCTCGCTTGCGATGGTGTAAGTACTGTACCGTTTTGAAAGTAGAAGATGCTAACAATGGTAGCTCTGGGATGTCTGCTCCGACCAGGAAGCCGTAGACCTCGTCCGTCAAGTCCACGACCCCCAGGAAGCTTCGAAAAAGCTCGTCGATTACGCCCTCGCGCGCTTCTCAACGGACAACTTATCTTGCATGGTGGTTCGCTTCGACAACAAGGCACTCCGACAGCGGAAGAATGACGCCATGATGGGCGTGGACGGTGACCAAGCTACTATGAAAGGCGGAATTACCGAGGCAGACGCGATTGTGGCACAGGCAAGGAAGACAATTGGAGAGCCAGAGATATCGGTTGAGAAAGCAGCAAAGGAGATCATCATGGAGGAGGCTGAAGCTGAGCCCGGTCCCGAACTGAGCATGGATGCTGCGAAGGCGGCCAGAAAACATGACGTGTAATTGGCGAGGGCCCAGATCTGGAGCATGGATACACAGCTTTAACAAGCCAGCGTGGGTAAGGTTAGGGGGGAACAAGAAGGGCGTATAGTATTTATGCAAAGGCTGGCGGCAAAGTATGGTTTCTAGCGTACATGGGCTCTCCCTAGGTACCTCTCTTCCGTACACATTTTCTTAGGTTAGCCGTATCTCAGGTCTGAGCGTATGTATTCTATATCAAAGCACAGTAGAAATGCAACTACAACATTGGAAACGAGTGAATTGCTCTGCTAGCCCCGCATGTTTGCGCATTGACTTAAACTGCGCTAATGACGATCGATCGTGGGGTCTACCTCCACCACCTTCGCCAGCCCAGTCGAGATATTTCGCGTTCCGTTAGCCCAGGCCCCGCTGTATCTACATCCGAACCCGAGATAATTGGAGTCACAAGCTCCATGCGGCTCCGAGGAGCATCGCTGTAAATGACCATGTCAGGCGCCGACGCAACAGATTCAGCGACCAACGCCCTCAATAGCGATGCGCGCCCGGCCTTCGTGACGCCCAGGGATTTGCTCCGAGCTCCATTACCACCGAAAGAACAATCGCGCCAACTGTCGGCTATAGATCGCGAGCAGCTCGACGGCCTGGTACGCAGCCGCCCAGACTGCGATTAGACACGGCCATGCGCTGACACGAGGCTAGAAAACCATCAGAGCCTTCCTCAAGGCCAGAACCAGCTATGACGTCCTACCCATAAGCTATCGCTTGATTGTCTTCGACACAGCCCTGCTGGTTAAGAAGAGCCTGAACATCCTCAATCAGAATGGTGAGCCTACCGTCGTCGCCATGTGCACGTGGCAGGGTAGAGCTAACCGCGACTCAAAGGCATAGTTTCCGCGCCTCTATGGGACTCCAAGTCGTCCACATTCGCCGGACTGCTCACTACATCCGACTACATCAACGTCATACAATACTATTGGCAGAACCCAGATGCTTTGACAAAGGTCGACCAGTTCCGCCTAAATAGCCTACGAGGTATACAAGCCGGTCATGTCTTGTAAAACATTTCTCACATGAACAGACATCGAGAGATCGCTGGGCGTCAAGCCCATAGAAACCATATCGATACACCCCGACCGTCCCGTCTACGAAGCATGCCGCAAAATGCTCGAATCGCGCGCCCGGCGGATACCCATAGTCGACAGCGACGACGAAACACATAGGACCATGGTTGTTAGTGTCATCACACAATATCGTATATTGAAGTTCATTGCGGTAAATGTAAAGGAGACGCAGAAGCTGCGGAAACCGCTTAGGGAGCTCAATGTCGGTACATATGAAGATCTTGCGACTGCTTCGATGGACACACCCGTCATGGACGTCATTCATATGCTTGTAAAAAAAAGCATATCGAGCGTGCCCATTCTAGACAAAGCAGGTAGGTGATCGCATGATCTTTTTGGGAAGTAATATTTACAAGAGCAGGCACTGTCCTGAACGTTTTCGAGGCTGTCGATGTCATCGCGCTTATCAAGGGCGGTGTATACGATGACCTAAACATGACCGTTGGCGATGCGCTATTGAAGCGCTCAGAGGTATGTGGCCCGATAGATGTATATGGATGCGCGTTTGACACTTTCAGGACTTCCCTGGTATCTTTACATGTTCGCTGAACGACAACATGTCAACAATATACGACACAATACGAAGGTCGCGTGTGCACCGCTTTGTTGTAATCGACGAGAACAGCAAACTTAAAGGAGTTGTAACTCTGAGTGACGTTCTCGAACATACACTACTGGAAGGCATGGAGGATGAGTAGGATGAATCAATTCATGACCTCTTGTCTGCCTGGCAGTCGAGGTGGCTGGTACTCCATGGGCAGAGGACGAGGCGCTGCGACGACTGAAGCCCACTACCAAAGGGAGCTGAGACTTCACACTATGCATTACCAACAACGATGCTAGAGTCAAAGGTAAGTGGGACGTTTTGTAGAGGAACAAGGACAACTTGAGAAGGAATGTATGCATCAGAGGTGATCAAACCACTGGTCATCGAGTGCAGTGGGTGGCAAACAATAGATCTGTCCATTGATTGTTCAGAAGTATTATAAATAACTTTGAATCATCATCTCCATATTCAAAACCTTGATTAGAATACACGTCCCTGTAGTTCACATATTTGAGGCCAGACATCTGATCATATCTTGGTTTTCATTACAGTCGGTTCTTAGCAGCAGTATGCTACCTCCAATAAACTCAAACTCCTAAATTCCTTCCGGCTTCTTTTGCCATCAAAGAGAAACATACTTTCAGAAATCTCAAAACGCCTCAATCCCAGCCATCTTAACAATTCTTGCACCCCTGCTCTCCGAAATCTCACCCCTACTCACACAGGCTCTCATGTACTCCACAAACCCCCCCTCCTCCATACTCTCTCCTCCCAGTTCAGGAAACAACTGCGTTTTAACTTTTGCCACAAGCGCACCCGACACCTTTCCCATTTCTTCTTGCATCTGTAAACCAAGGACGTGACGTGTTTTACAAATTAGGTGCTGGTCGGAGAGACTCCAGAAAGAGAGCTCCTGATACAGTGCCATGACGAGGGTTTGGGAGGGACGGTGGCCAGTTAGGGCGGCGTAGCAGTGGTGGGGAAGGGAAGGGGGGGTTAGTGGTGTTAAGAGGATGGAAGGGGACCGGATGTGGACTGTGGTTGGGGAGGCGGGGTTTACAAGGACGGGGATTGCGGTGTGGTAAGTGACTTCTTGGGGGAATGTGCTGTGTGTGTTGTCTTGGGGTGAAGGGGTGTTGTTACATGGTGTGGGTGTGTTGACGTGGCGGCGCCAGGTGGTGAATGAAGACGAAGATGAGCTGGAATTCGAGGAAGGGACGGGGGTAGATGCGCCTGTTGGGTTCGCTGTGGGTGACCAGAGGGATGTGGAGCTAGTCGCTCCTAGTGTGGTTGTGGTTTTGCTCGCACTGTGGTTGTGTAAGAAGCTGGATATAGAAGGGAAGTTCAAGGTCGGGAGGGTAGGCTGAAGATGGGGTATTAGTTGTCGTAGGGAGATGGCGAGGGTTTGAGAATAAAGATAACTTACAGCAATCAAAGATACTGAAGCAGAGGTACGAGGTGTGAGAAAAGGGTTGACGATTTCAGTCGAGGCTTGACTGCCTGTGTTTGCGGTCTGACGAATAGGCTACAATCCTTGTTAGCAAAAGGGTTCCTACATCAAGTTTTGGGAGAATAACATACAGTAGTCGGTCTATCCTCCCTGTCCCCGTTCGATCCGTAATAGATCATATCAACACAATCCTCACATCCACTCTTTCCATGCTCTTTGCACACCGCTCCAGTGCGCCAATTACACAAGTAAGCGATGGTCTCTGGAACATCGCACTTCTTACAGCGCTCATTCCGGAACTTGTGCTTGCAAGTTTCAATCAGCTTATTTGAAGGGTCCTTGGACTGGAAGAAGGATTTAACGGTCGTCTTGATGTTACAGTAGAAACCGTGCTTCTTAGGCTCTTGGATGAAGGGGACAAGTGTAAGTTCAGTATGACGTTGATTCGAGGAATCTTCGCGATACTCGTCGGCACTCGCAAGTGAAGGGTCGGCACTCGCGAGTGAAGAATAGAGCCATTCTGGGTGTGCAGGCCGGATAGCTTCTGAGACGGAATTCGACTGTGACAAAGACGACGAAGACGATGATGATGACACAAGAGATGCAGGTGGTGTAGCCAGAGTTTGCGCAGGAGCTACTGTGTGGGTTTGGCAGTGGTGGACGTCTTTGTATGGAAATACTGGGAGTGATGTGGAGTCTTCTGTATTGGGGAATGTGAAGTCATAGCGCAGTTCATCCTTACGATCATCCAGACTCTGCCCTTGAACAATCGGCTGATAACGCATATACTTGCGCTTGTGGTTAGGGCGCTGCATTTCCTTCAAAGCCTGTTTAGCAAGGCCCTCACACAGCTGGTGGCGTTGCACTTTGCGATTGGTCATTCTCTAGAGGCGAGTTCGTGGGCAAAGAAGACTCGATGCTTCTAAGACGGCTCCCTCAGTTGGGGCAATAGGGTAGAGGCCCTGGTAGGCTGGCTGTATCTGGGTTGTTGAGTTGACCATGCGCTGCTTGGTGCGTTATCGAGGGAGTTGAGTAGAGGCGAAAGTGAGTGCGAAGGCGGACTATAGCTCTGCTAGACATAAGTAGCTAGGGTCCACGCTAACGCATTTGTACGTAGAGTGTAGCTTAAGGTGCGACTGCGCATGTTATGGGGTTTAATCACTGTAGTAACGAGACCCTGTTGCATTTGCTTTCACCAGCCTGTGGCAACCTAAATACAACGAGAGAAGAAACAAACGCTGTACTAGTCCTACTTGAACCACTTGAGAGCGCTGTTTCGGGTCCTCCATCTTTCATATTTAGATTATGCGTCCCATTGTTGATTTTATTTTTGGAAGACGTGACCACTTTTGTTATGGTGGTCTTCTACCGCACGCATCTTGTAGCGGAGCATGCAAATGACAAAGCCTTTGTTTGACTCGATATCTCGATATCTTGATAGTGTAAGATGACTCGAAAACCTGTATAACTAGACCCTGAATGTGTCTTTATTAGGTGAGGCTACTTAGTAGCAACTTATTAATACATATCACAGTTAAAGATAGTCGGCATGATTATAGTAGCTCTTTTAATTACAAAATGTAAAACGCCTATATAGAACAAAGTAGTATTTACCCTTGGTCGTGATTGATATATAGCAGTACTCCTGAAATGTAAACTTGTGTACTAGACACATTTATTATTATAAAGACAGCTTTCAAAACTATAGCACAGGGTATCTATTACGTGATGTTAGTTAGTATATTGTACAAGTTAAGGTGCTTAGTATCCTTGTTATACTAGTAGACTCCTTTTTTCTTATATTATGGGTGGTCCCTTTAAACAGCTATCAACTTCATGATACTGTCGTTATATCACCAAATAAGGTTCATATGGTACCCGGAAGCAATAGATAGAGGACACAAAGCTCAGTGGACTTGAACACGTGAATGACTGCCATGTATTACAGTTGTTAGGGGAAGATCAAATATTGCCTCTCAGTTTCCATCACCGAGTTCCCAGACTGTGGCAATAGTGATGAGGCACACCTGTGGCTCAGTCTAAAAGCTCGCTGCAAGCCCTGGTCAATTGCATGTGCTTATGAAAAGCGAACTGTCTTACATGTATGCAGCTGTACAACCGCCGTTTGCTTTTGCTTAATCAGCTACCGCCTCAGCATGTGATGAATTCTACCTGACAATCTCCTCTTACGTGCGTATCTGCTCGCCTCGGCTTGTCTCTACCATGTCTTCATTACGTTTCCCTCAGTAGAGATACGGGATAGAAGCACCACCAACTAGTCGCAGCCATGAAGCGCACTACTAAGCTACCAAAAGCAAGTTGAAAACATTGTATGGACATCAAGAGGCCACGAAGATGCGTCTTAGACGTATCAAGCTCATGCCATGCAACCATAATGCACACAACATCGGACAAGTGTCTCCATTGATCCTATGTCCCGCATCTGCATGCATAATCTATATATAGTGCCCAATGCACTTGTGCTATTATGAATCCTTAGAACAGTCTAGACTCGAAAGCTGCGTCTGAAAACATGTGAAATGTAGCAATGTTCCCGGTGTGCTGCTAAGATATTGCCATGTAAACTCCGAGCTATGAAAGTTGACAAGGTAAAAAAGACCAGTCGGTCCGATGGTGGAGAAGTATGTACAGTTGAATTGAAGTTTGTTTGCCACCGCGTAGGAGAAATAGTGGAACGGTATGATGTAGCCAGAAAACTCTGGCTTACCCAGAGACTTCAGCAAATTGTGGTCATGGCGAGAATTTCCGGTGAGAATGGTGGAGTAGATGAGCTTGCGAGAGTAGAAAGAATTTGTTGTCTGGACCCACTCGGTTGGAGATGCAAGAAGTGACTGCTTACGGCCGAGTTTAACCGGCAAAGTTGTACTTTTAGAACCGCCAGGCTATGTTCGTGTTGAAAAAGTAGCCTTCAGCATAACCATGTGATTCCATGCCCAGGTCTTGTGGCGAAATTATAACTCCATGCCGTCGAGATCTCGCATCACGCAAGCCATCTGTGCTCGTTTCGCAGCCTCGGCAAGGAGCGCAGCCTGGTTGAGGTAGTTTGTAGTCTCGGCTGCAGTTTGGCCTGCTCCTGTTCGGTTTGGCTGGTACTCAAAGCTGGGGTGTCGCTGTGCCTGGAGGCGATGTTGGGGTTGGAGTTGTTGCGACTGCTGGTTCAGGGAGCCAAAGTACTGTTGGTTCTGGGGACTCGTTGACGGAGAGACGGGTGGGGCAGACGCTGTTGACGAGCGTGAGGCAAGGCTGGAGGCGTTGCTGTTGTAGCTTGCGGTCGAAGTACTTGATGACTGAAGGGCAGTGAAGGCAGGTCGAATGGGCGCGCCATATGATTGCTGCGAGTAGTTGGACATGTTGGCGATTATGGGTTGTACACGTGTTTGTCGAAGAAGTTGAGGGGTGGTGAGGAGCGGAAGGGTAAAGGGTTCAACGACGGGTAAGGTGACAAGGTGGGTTCAGGGTTGATTAAGTAGACAGTGGTGGAGCCGTGGTAGCGTAAAGGGACGGTCGATATTACCCAGTATTGGCGATCCTCGGCGTGAACCTGGTACAATCACAGCGTGCTGGTCTAGATAACGGCGGAATGAGGCTGAAATCGGCAGAGCGTGAGCAGAACAGGATAACGCCAGGAGCAAGGAAAACTCGAGGAGAGCACCTGCAACTTAGGGCACCAATGGGTCGGTATTACTTGTACCGCGGCTCGGATTTGCTAGCCTGTGGATTTCGTCACTATCAAATCTGCCGACGTATGTACCCTATGCCATCGCGCCAGCCACAAGCTTTCCTTTAGTTTGGTCGGATTACCCCTTCTAGTCAGACAATTACTCGCCCTGTTCACATCATGCCCGTACGTCCTCGTCGCACCTTCCCCAGACTCGCTACTGACGCATGACGGCAGCTCGTCCTAATTTCAGGTTCCACATTCCCCCCCTCCATGCTCCCCCCGCCAGATTTCGCTAACCCACCAAAGGCTTCCCTTCTGCGGGTAAAACCACAAGGGCCGTTCAACTGAAAGACTACTTTGAATCAAAGATTACCAACGCTCCTGCTGATGCGCGTGTCTCGCGACTCAAGGTGCACCTCATAAACGACCAGACGCTTGGTGTGTCGCGCATCGTCTACCATACGGCCAAAGCCGAGAAGGACGCACGTGCGGAAGAATATTCGGCCGTGAAAAGAATCTTGTCGCGCGATGACATTGTTATTGCTGACGGCTTAAACTATATCAAGGGCTTCCGGTATCAGTTATACTGTGAGGCCAAGGCCCTACAAACACCGAGCTGCGTTGTCAGTATACTACGGCCGTATGGGGAGGCTCATCGCTGACAGTCCTAGAGCTGCACGTAGGTACACCAGCCGACAGATGTCGCGAGAACAACAAGAAGCTACTCGCCGACAAGGAAAATGACGGTGGATACGACGAAGAGGACTTTGAGAACCTGATCTTCCGATATGAAGAGCCCAATGGCATGACAAGATGGGACAGTCCCCTCTTCATTGTAGTAGAGGAAGACGAGAAGCCGCCATGTGACCAGATATGGGAAGCCATGGTAGGCAGTGACGGCAAGATGAAGACTGTCAAGCCGAATCTGGCGACGGTACTGGTACGTACCTCTAGCGTCCCCGACCACACCACCTTCTGACATTTCTTAGAAACCCGCGACAGAGCAGAACTACCTCTATGAGCTCGACAAGACCACGTCCGATATCCTCGCGCAAATCATGGTATACCAGAAAGACCACGCTGGCGAAGGAGGGGGCGAGATAGCCGTTCAAGACGTCGAGAAGCCAATTGAACTGCCTGCGACACCAATGACCTTGCCGCAACTCCAACGCATCCGTCGCCAATTCATCACCCTCAACCGACAACACAGCTTCTCGAAAGCGAGGATAAAGGAGGTCTTTGTTGACTACCTCAACGCCGAGTTCCTTCGCTAGAAGAACGCTCCCCAACGAGGATGCATATAGGAGGAGAGAGTCTAAGCGGATCCGGTCACGACGCGGAGAACGCTTTGTCGCTAGGCCGCCTCGGAATATTGGACAGATATTGGGTTCATGGATCTTTACGTCTACCCCCGTTAGACTTCGTTACATGAATCGCGCTGTGGATCCGCGAGAAGACGCCTGCAACACATAAACTCTGCCAACAAACAATTCTTCACAATCATTCCCCCGAAACATTCCGACCACCACCCCCACTATACCCCGACTTCGCCCTCTCAGTTCGTGCTGATAACCTAGCCATGTATTATGTACCCCGCTCGCGCGCATGGAATGACATCGCGTGATACTCCAGCACACCCCGCATTACGCCATCCCGAGAGTCTCTCCTTGTATACGCCCCCAATACCACCCCAGCGATCTCGCTTCGCGACAAAGTCTCACACGACAGCGCTGAGGATCCGCGGCGCCTTTTCGAGGGGACAGAGATGTAGATTACGCGATTGGGTGGGATATGTGGCTTGGGATCTACCTATCACGTACATGGGCATAATGCACTGTGTACCGTAACTGTTATGCCCATGTCCTTGCCGTTACTCCCCAGGCACAACACATCGAGATGCATGACGTGAAGCCGTTTCCACATATGATCCTTGTGATGCCTGATTCGGTCGTGATGGGGTATGGGATTGCGAGTGCTTCTCGTTATAGGCTGAGCGGTGTTGATCTGCCGAGTTAATCCAAGTATTGATTACGTCTACTGTCTAGATACGTCGTTATCTGTCTGTTCCTTTCTTAGCAGGTTTCTGTTGTCGCCCAAGAACCCCGTTCTACATACTCGATATGCTGGCTGAATCTGACCATTCCCTATTGATCACTTGCACCTCACATTATGTAAACACGCCACTTTTACATAAGAAAAAAAAGGGTTCCAGAAGCACAATCTATCAGCCCCATCCCTCTTAACCCCAGACTTTTCCCAGACCCGCATTATTTCTTCCCCACGTGCGTACTATGTGGGTCCTTCCTCTTCCAAGATTTTCTTCTTTGCCTTTCCTGGTGATCCGCACGTCAGTCCACACACACACACGCTAGACTGGGTGCGGAAAAAGTGGGTGCGTGCTGTTGCAAAGCGAAAGCTTAATCGTTTCTTGGGGGCTTTCCTTTTATCCGAGCGTTTCCGAGGAGCGGCACAGGGTTGGGGGACGGGTGAGACGGTGACGGGGTTGGGGACTCAAAGCTGGGGTGAGATGGGGATGTGGCTGAACTGGTGGAGGGCATGGTACGGATCAATTCGGGGATTTTTGGTCGGTGGGTGGAAGAAGGGGGGATGATCTGGGGTGCAGGTGTGAGATCTGTGGGTAGTAGCGATGGAGAGCTCGATAGTTGCGCACTTTGTAACATGTTTTATGGAAATTCATTACATTCAAGAATAGCAGACAAAAAAGTGCTGCAAGACTAAATAATGATAGAAAACGTTAATCAACCCCTGCCTCATTTCGATAGCGACTGTTTTCGCTCCTGCAAAATGCGTGGTATCTCAAAGCAGACTGTGTGGCAAAACAGTATCAAGAACAACAAAATGACACCCCAAAGCAGTATATACACAAATCCCTCGTATCGTCAATTTCGTCGTGAGATTCGTCATTGACATGGCAGTTACAAACCGCAATAAGCTCCATCGAGCGCTGCTAGATTCGCCGTGGTGTCGTAGTCTCCAGGAATCATGATGCCAGGGTACAGTCGATCGCTACCAGGCGTCGAACCGTAATCGCAAGCACCGGTGCCAAACTCTTCGCCGCTCGTAAGGCTCTCGTCGCTAAAGCTGAGAACACTTTGTGGTGGCGGGGCTTCAGAGCTGTAGCTGCTCCAGTTCCAGACAGTGGGTGACCACGTGGCATTTGCGGATAAGGGAGCAACATCCAAAAGTGCGTCGGCTCGTGGGCCTCCATAGATGGTGTCGTAGATGTTTGTTTGGCCATTGTCTAGCGATGAGAGCATACGCTCCCAGTCCGATGTTGAGACTTCGGTCTTGATGCTTGGGCCATTCTGAAGAGCATAACTCGCCGATGGGTCACTAGCAAAAGATAGGTAGTCGATATTGCGTTGTTGCTGCTGTCGCTGTTGCTGCTGGTGCTGCTGCTGGCTGGCTGACTGACTTGTTCGACGCTTGTTAGGCATGGAGAAGGATGCACGATGCGAAAGAGGGCTCAGTGTTGGTTCTGAGCGGGCCACAGGTGGCTCTGATTGTATGGAGGATAGGCTTGTAGACGATGGGTTGGCATGTACGGCCAGATTGGGTGAGATGGCAGGAAGGGTTGCTCGACGAGGCTCGTGAGCTTCCTGACGAGAAGTCTTCATCGCACTTGGCGAGAACCGCGCTGCAAGGGCCTTGAGTGACTTGTGGGTAGCACGGAAGGTGTCCAAAGGTGCTCCCATATGGCTTTCAGAGTTGTGTCGCGATAGAGGGGGTGCTGGCATCGGCTCCATAGGAGGGACAGCTACGATGTCACAACCCACCCACCGAAACTCGACATAGCCAGCAGCGTTTCCCTGCTCGAGCATGTCCATGACAGAGCAAACAAGGCGGTTGCTGTCCCTGATGAGTTTGCCTTCGCGGGCAATGTTGACCATCTGAAACAGGAGGCCAAAACCTGCTTGTACAAGCACCTCATTCCGGTTGAGACAAAACGAGAAGCTCAGCCTGCGTTCGTCTAGGAGCTCGACGATCTGAACAATGTGCTTGCAGGCATCGCCAACGGCTACTACAGCCGAAGAACCCCTATCGCCAAGGTTGGCAGCAACTGCTGGGCGATACACCAGCGCCCTGATATGGTGGTAGGCAAGGGACTAGTCATGTCAGCATACCGGGCATACAGTGTGGCGCAGTAACACATACCAACACAGGGGCTCTGCTACTGGTCACATTGGTACTTGGCTTGTCTTGTGCAAACGTCAACTTGAGATGAGGCGCGAGGTTAGTTTGCCAGTCCTCAAGCTCGTCTGCAAGCGCTGCGATAGTGCGGAAAGATATTTCGTGTGACGCAGATCCGGGGTAAAGTTCCGTGATGACCTTGGAGAGAATACGTGACAAGCGGAAGAGTGCCAGTGCGCTCGAAAGCTTGGTGTATTCCCCCGGGAGGGTCGGCAGGAAGCCCTTCTCGGTGACGTATTCGTCATCGGCATCTACCGGATACTCGCAGTGCACATCGTCCTCTCGGAGCAGCCTCGGGAGGCCAAGGTGTGCAGCGGAAAGACTATCAAAGATCAGCAACACGGCGGTGAGGTTTGAGGGGCAGGCAACCTACCAGTCAACCGTGTATAGTGTCCAAAATACCTTCTTTCGAGTTTCGCTAGTTAGCGCATCAAGTGCAAAGCGTTTCTGGGACTGATGTAAGCCAAGACGTTGTGACAGTCCTATAGCCAAGCCCTTGTATTTGAGCAGCCGAGAGTAGTCAGCTCTCAGCAGGCAGAAAATCTGGGCAAGGATAAGGCACTGCAGCGTTGTGATGTCATTTTCCATAAAGAAGCTTTCAATAGCACTCTGCCATTGGGCTTCGAAGGATTCAATGTCTTGACCATCGCGTGGCTTTTGGTGGGTTAGTATTGGCTTGAGACACTGCATATGGGTGATACGTACGTCACTGGACAGCGCAGCGATTCCGAAGACGAGGTTGAGTTGTGCGATTGCCTTCTTGTCGCTCATGGTATCTGGACTGGCAACATATTGCTCGTAGAGGATAAGGAATGCCGGTCGATGAAGGATTGGAAACAAAGGCGCCCACTCCTGGAAGAAGATGTTGATCATTTGATCTGAAATGAGACGGGGAGGGGCTTTGAACGAAACAATGCGCTGAGAATGAGTGGGAGTTCGCTTTGCGCCTGCGCCGAAGAAGACACTCGAGTTGATATCAGTCGACAGTCTGCCTGTCTCTTGCGCTTTTTGTTTGAAGGCCTCTGGTAAGTGTTAGACGATGCAGGTGATGTAAAGTCGTTAGGAACCGTACCAACAAGTGTTCGCCCACTCGAGTTGCCTACGAAGAACGAATCGTTGTTCAGATCATCAAGCAGGTGCGGTGCCTGCTGCACTTTAAACGTCTCATCCTTCTCTTGTGATGCCTCCCGGATTTCATTGGAAGCAGGTGAAAGTGTCGATGGTCGGCTTGCAGCAGAAGGCGCGGATGGAGAATGCGAATGAATACGCGATAGCATGTCAATCTTCTCGTCCTTTTCGTCGAGCAATTCCTTTAGTTCGCGGACCTCTGCCTCTAGTACGCGCACGCGCTCCTCCAAGGATTCCGTATACCCTCTAGGGAAGGCGCGACGGCTGAGCTTATCGCTCGTCTTGCACTCGAATCCGACGTTAGTGCATTGGGTGCAGCTGGGGCGGATGCCGTCGCATCGTATCTTCTTTGAGCGGCAGCGGTCACAAGCCTGGGCGATGCGGCTCTGACAGCTTGAGCCGACTTTGATCACTTTCATGGGCAAAATTCCAGGCATGGTGGCGGTTGTTGGTTGTGTGTCGGCAATACGGTCATACTATTCGTCTGAGGCCCGATGGGCGGTTCACTGATCAGTCGTGTCACGTTCTGTCATCCGCTGCGCCGGTGCTCGAGTATGGATGGTCGCTGGCCGTATAGTTGGTCAAGTTGGGCTTCGTTCCCGACAGGCGCGTATCGTCGTAAGCGTACCAGGCTCGAAGATGGCAACCGAAATCAACAGAGCGAGTGCATGCGATTTGCAAAGGCAGAGAGACAGACGGAAGAATCGGGGACGGCCTGGCAAATGTACTGGTAAGCTGCTAACTGCGACCCTGGCCTAGTCTTTCTCTGGGGAAATTTGTGGGTGCAGGTGGCTGCGGGGCGGAAGGGCGCCATCCCATCATGGAACAGACGATGGGCATATACTCGCCGACACCTCTTTCGCCTACTATTGGCCGCTAAACCTTAACGCTGACCCTGCTGCCATGCGACATGCAGGAATTGCCTTACTCGTCAGATTTACGACCGTCTTCTTCCGCGTCTATCAGCACCTCCGAATCGCGGACACAGGACAGACTGGAACGAACGTCTTGCGGGGTTGTGGCTTCAGCGACAAAGAACGCCTAAGCATCGCCATCATATCATTGGAGATGCCGGTCCGACCGCTGTCATTGCACCACCTGCCCGAGTGAGTCAACGAGCCTCGTCTATGAGGACTATCAGCACGGCAGCCAGCCGCTCGTTTAAAAGGATGGTCCTTTTTGCCGCCCGTATGATCAATGAACACTTTACACACCACATGTGCTGATTGTTTCCAAGACACCAGTACGGTATAAACTAGTCTAACACAGCCGCACCCTAATTTTTCTAGAAGCTGAACAACGTCGACTAGAGACCATAGGTAGTCTCCGGTCTTGTGGAACAGGCAGCGTTCGTGGAGGATGCAGGCTGCTTATATATATCGGCTGGGGGCGGATCAATGACGGGCAACGCGGGAACCCGCTTATCGCGCCTCAGCCCCCAAACGTGTTGTAACATCTTCTTCTCAGCCTGATGGATAACTTCTTCGCGCATCAATACTCCTGTATCGAGAGACCCTGTGTATAGGGCTTGAGGTAAGCATGTTGGACGCCCTCAACAATGGCCGTTGTTTCGGGATGGCGGCCACGCGAGCCGTGTGATGCTGTGCCACATGCTTCATTTAGAGTCATCGCAAGCAACATCTGTCAAATTTGCAATATTATACGGCAATTGCAGTGGCCAGATATATACGCCGAGCTTCGGCGGGTCTTCCCATGTTTGAACTTCAGCATAGTTGCACAGATAGTCAAGTATGTACATGCGATGATTAAAGAAGCTGAAATGAATGACCGGCGGGCGATGCTTCTATTGATCTTCTACGATGAATGAGCTTCATGTCGTGTTCCTGGCCGTTACCGTTTTAAGGCGACTTGCATGAACCTTCGGGGTTGTGTGGGAACCAGATTAATTAGAAGGGTTACACGACGTTATATGAACTCGTGCCGTAGACCCTTGCGAATGTGCAAATGTGGTGTTCACCAGGCTTTTAAGAAAAGTCGTCTTCTTCATCTTCTGCTCCTTCGTCCATGCCTAGATAATGTATAACGACCTTTGAGTCTAGGAGTTTAGCTTTCTGTATCCAACGTTAGTCTAAATCATGTATAGCTCCGCAGATCACATTCAGGGACAGAAGTATAAACGTCTAGCTTGTCAAGCACACTGCCGGTCTTGATGCGACACCACATGAGCTAGCAAAGACGTTCTTCGGGCTGCATCACTCATCCCAAGGCAGCCCGACAAATGCCATACTGCTGTCCGGGGTACTTGTAATGCGGGGTATAGGGAATGACAACGCTTACCTGCCTGTCAAGAGTGAGTAGGGCTCGCTCTAGCATATCTAGCTCCAGACTTCGGAGTCGCTCCGCCAGTGTCCACGGCACATCCCGTATAGTAGCCTCGCGCTTAGTGCGTGCCGATCCTTTGAGCGTCTCGATCTGCGCGTCAACGCGATTCTCCAAAAGTACTGTTGCGCGTAGCTGGAAGACATCCCATGCTGGGTCCTCTTCGAGTTGTACACGTAGCTTGACAGTATCTAGCTCCTGCTCCTTCCAGAAAGATTGGATTTCTTTCTTGCCGTCTATTGTCTGTCGAATCTTGAAGTCTAGACCGTCTTCTTCGTTCACTACAACAAGCCATACATAGTCGCTTTCCCATTCTATGGCGCCGTTTTGCTCAAAGAGGCGGAAGCCAGGTGCGGCTGTCGAAACATACATCTTGGCCGGTCTTAGTGGATCATCGTCTGGGATGTCAAGGTCCAAGAAAATGACTTTGGCAGTCGTCATTGTTTCTTCAACGAAGCCATACGAGAAGATGTTTTCACACGCTCCCTTGTCATCGCCGTACCTAAGTCTGTTAGGGAGGATACTACCATGCTGATGATGACGTACGTGATGGTAATCTCCCCGCCTTGCGCGATGTTTTTGCCATCTCGAAGCAAAAGCAAAGCGTTCCCGTCGCGATCAGTCTCGTACAACGCGGCTGTTGCATCGCCCGATGCGTGGTTGGCCATATCGATGCACGGTACCATGCAGTCACCGACGTCTGGAAATTCTAGTGCTCTAGATCTATACATGGCGTCCACACGCATCCAGTCATCGAAAGTCACCATGCCGCTGTCTTCGTTCCACCAGTACTTGGCACACCAAGGGATAGACTCGGTAGCGGTGCGCAGCTTCTCGAACTCGCGCAGTAGACCATTGAGTTTAGCGCCAACAGCAGGCTTAAGCGTGGTCCCTACGAGAAGTTCAAGTTCCTCTTCGGTCCAGAAGGTGGGAAGCAGCTCATCTGGGAGGAACTTGACGTATTCGGTAAGAGGGTTCAGAACACCGATATCCTTGGTGTCTGGACAACAGATGGTTGCTTGAAACAGTAGAAACGTGAGCACGGCACCTCTTGTTGTCTGCTACTTGTCAGTCTCATATTTGGGACTTCAACACCGTAGAGGTTTGTCACACCCTTCCAAAGTCACCAAGAGAATCGAGGAGGTCGTGAAGATGGTGGTCCACTTTTGCAATAAGCTCTATGCTTCGCAGAGATATGATCAACTCCTTGGGAACAATCAGGAGAGGCTCAACGTTGCCAGCTTGGAGGGCTTGGCTGGCGACGACGGTCGATCCTCTGTCTTCATAGCCTGGTAAAGGGCCGACCTTGACGCCATTGAACTGGACACCGTGGAAAGTGGCCCATGTAGGCAAGGCGTCGACGGGCTGCTTGAGCCATCCCTCTGTCCTGCCTCGTCGTATCATAGCAAGGACCAAGATTGTGGTCAAGTGTCGGGGGTGGATATGCGTCTCCCCTACGCAACGGCTGTGTTGGCAAGGCTAACCAGGTGGCACAACAGATGCAATAGCGGCTACACGGCTGCATGCAGAGGGCACGATCGTGATGTGAGCTGGCCCTTAGCGTAGTGATACAAACAAGTCTACGATTACAGCATCAATCGAGATGCCAGTAGCCAGTATTCTTTTGGACCCTGTGAGGTCATGCAGCTGAACAGCTACAGGGAGGTAATCAAGACACAAGACGTTTCCTAAGAGACGAAATCAGTCACTATTCTATCTGGGAGAGCCATGAAGTTCCAGGCCGCAGCCGCGCATGCATGAGCACATGACGGGCCATGCGGCGGATGTTGAGCAGGGAGAGGCTCACGTCGTGCCGTGTTTTGATTGCGCTCGGGCCAGGATGTCTAGAGTTGTTGTTGTGGCCAGGGCGGTCATCCCGAAACCGTGGAGTGGAGCTAGTGGTAGCGTCCGTGCGCGGTTGTAAACAACAACAACATTGACATCTGCTTAAACCTCGAGCCATCCGCTGGTCACACATCTTTACAGCTATTGTTTCCCCAAAGCGCAGCAGGAGACGCAGACGGCATTCACGCCCACAGCTCCAGTCCGACAGCCTCTCCTCAATTGCCCTGCGCTGCCGCCATACCGTGCATTTGTTCCAAGTACCTAACAAGTCACGCCTCCGCACCCGTCCCACCACGACATCATCGCAGGTACCGGTCGACCTTTCCTCCACTGAAACACGCATTCCGAGAGTCGCGCCTTCTTCTTCCAAATGTCTTCACCACGCGAGCGAGTAGGCAAAATGCCCCGCGCTTCCACGACTAGCTACGGCCAGGTCATCGAGGTGAGCATCACAACAAAGGCCCAAACAATGCGCCCTGAACCTCCCTTCTGATGCATGCGCAAATTAGTATATCCAAGACAGGCTCTATCTCGCATCTTACACATATGCGCCTGATGCCTCGACACCCTTCCCGTACCCCAAGCAGAGCCAGTCGCCTTCCAAGCGGTCGTCGCGGGCACATGCAGGCCCCACTGCTACTGGCCACAAGGCGCATCCCCCCGTCTACTTCAGCATCGACAAGACGCTGCTCTACAATGCCTTCCACGGTGACTTTGGCCCACTTCACATTGGTCACCTCTACCGGTTTGCTGTCCAGCTGCACGAGGTGTTGGGAGACCCCGCAAACGAGGACCGCCCAGTAGTCTTCTGGAGCGGTGCCGACTCGAGGAGTAAGACCACTCCGCCCTAACCACTCGGGTGCCGATATTAACATGCATAGGTCGCGCGAACTCGGCCTGTATCCTGGCATGCTACATGGTACTCATCCAGTCTTGGCCACCGCATTTGGCGCTGGCGCCCATTGCCCAGATGGACCCGCCGTGCATGCCCTTTCGTGACGCCGGCTACAGCCAGGCCGACTACGTTCTGAACATTCAGGATGTCATCTACGGTGTCTGGAAGGCCAAGGAGGAAGGTCTTTGCGGGCTCAAGGACTTCAGTTTGGAGGAGTAGGTCCGCCATGTTGCATCCACTGAACATTACTAACATGCTCAGGTACGAGAAGTTTGAGCGGGTCGACATGGGCGACTTCAACTGGGTCACCCCCAACTTCCTGGCCTTTGCGTCACCACAGCAACAGCCCACCCACGAGATCCCGACTTCCTCGCCCATGTATGCGACGCTTCCATCCAATATTGCCGAAATCCAACGATCTGGACTCCCTGGCCCTTTCAAGAACGTCCTCTCTCACTTCGTCGCTCGCAATGTCGGCCTCGTAGTCCGATTGAACTCCGAACTGTACTCATCCTCGTACTTCACCAAGCTCGGCATCCAGCACTTGAACATGATCTTCGACGACGGAACCTGCCCACCTCTATCGCTTGTTCGCAAGTTTGTCAACCTCGCACATGAGATGATCACCGTGCAGAAGCGTGGCATTGCCGTTCACTGCAAGGCTGGACTAGGGAGGACTGGCTGCCTCATTGGAGCTTACTTGATCTACAAACACGGCTTCACTGCCAACGAGATCATCGCCTACATGCGCTTCATGCGTCCAGGTATGGTCGTTGGACCTCAACAGCACTGGCTCCACCTTAACCAGGGCACCTTCCGCGAGTGGTGGTACGAGGATACCATGAAGGCCAAGTATGCGCAGATGGTGCCATCGACACCCACCAAGTCACCACACAAGCAGCGCCTTGCTAGCAACGGGCAAACCTTCACCCCACCCAACGGGTCGCAGAAGCGTTCAGCGCTCGGTGAGATTGAGTCGAACGAGCGAAGCAATTCAGGGCACATTGGCGTGCTAGAGGATAACCTGCCTGCACCCACACCAGGGCAGCCGCGGAAGACTAGCAAGCTTTACGGCAGCGTGCGACAATCACCTCAGCGCATCGATGAGAACGAACCCTTTACAAAATCGCACACAGAAGTCAGGGCAGACATCACTCGCTTTGATGGCGAGTCAGACGAGGAATTCCACCTCCGTCAGATCGCGCGGCGAACATCATCGCGCTCACCAGCACGGTCACCAACCCACAAGGAGAAGCAGCGTCGTGCTTTCAGCACCACATCCGTCGTCCAGACCTCGGTAACGCATACCTCTTTCGGCTTTGGTGACGAGAGTGACCTCGAGAACACTGCACCAACTGGCCGGCCAAAGACACCCAAAGAGAAGAGCGGAAACGGCAGCATCAGCATGAGCAAGATCCGCTCGAGCCCTGCACGACGAAGCACAGACGGCAAGTCTGGTGTGCGAAAGACCAGCGGTCGTGTTGGCAGCGTTGGCAATGCCATCTCTCGCAGCACGAAGTCATGAGCAATGTTTCTGGATCTCACCTTCCCATCTTAATTCTGGAGTTCTAGCATGGCGCCTTGGAGCACGACATCCTCCATGACCGTTGTTCGTTTTTCTTCTCCTCAGCCAGTTTCCTCGTCGATCAGCATTCCCCGTGGGCTCGACGCTACATATGTCTGTGGGCTGGCGTTTTTTATCTGGATCACCAAAGTGTGTGCATAACGGTGTTGTTGGGCTATAACCTTTATTTTGGAATCTCCTGGGGCGGTGGGGGCGCATGGGTGCTTAATGTCTTTTCTTCTCTTTTCCCATTGTCTGTCTCGTTTTTCACCAGTCACTGTTTCTTGCCCACCACTACATTGGTTGACTCTTGTCTTGTCCCTTTTCGCGCGGTAATCTTGGCCTGCGGATATGTTCATGACGTGTATGAGTTAATGACAAACAGAAAGCATTGTTAGTTTTAAAACTTAGTACTATTACTTTCCCAACTACGATACAAAAACAAAGACTTTGTTTACACACACACACACACACACACACACACACACACACACACGTCTAGTACTGTGCTGCTTATTTAGTCAATTAATAGCTGGATGATGGTGATCTTCGCCTGGTTGCCAGAACAACCTGACTAAAAGAAAAGGAAGTTTGGTTTGCAAAAAGAAAGTCTGGACAGACTAGTGCATCTTTGGAAAGCATGAACTTGATAGATTCCCATCAATCACCCATCCGTCTTGTGGACGACCAGCACGCGACTCGAACGCGCAACCTTGGCCTTAGGAGGGCCACGCGCTACCATTGCGCCAACCGGCCGAGTTGTGATTCATGAAGGTAAGTTGTGGGGTAGGATGTATATGTAGTTGGATGTTTGTGTACGACATTGCACACGTGCAGCGTGCATCGTTCTCAGTAGATATTCAAGAGAATGTGGATTGGTAGCAGTACAAAAGACTTTATTGGGATTGTGTAAAATTTCTCTCCTTGGTACAGGAAGTGGAGTCAGGGTTCTTTTTACACCATGGTTTTCGTTCAAGGTGGGGATTGATGGATGAGTTTGGCCGAACGATGCAGGTAGAGACGAGGAAGAATACCAATACATTCTTCCCTAGATGTCTGGAAAGGGCTTGTTTCATAATGATTACTTTATGTATATTAAGAACACTGGGTTTGGCTGCACTCTATCGTCGTTCCTTTATTGTATTTGTAACCAGACGACGAAAATTAGACGATGACGCCATCTTCAGTAGCTTTTTTGGGGGATACGGAACGCGGTCCTTGACTTATGTGCATGCCCGGCTGCCGAACACAAGAGAAGAGTCATACAAAGGTGTACATAATATACAGATCCAAGACTGTCTATCATACAGAAGTATTTTCGTTACAAGAAGCCTCGATTTGATCGTCTCAGACGTTGCAAAATTCATCTGTGTGCGTTGCATTTGCCATCGTGACCGACCGGGAAGCATCGGCGACTGCGGAGAAACAGCCGAGGAAACTGCGTTCTTTGTGTTTGTAGGTGTGGAACACTGAGAAAGCACATTGAATATTTTCGGAGTTTTCAAAATGGTATGTGGGCGGCGTGTTGGACGCGACGGTTGATTGACTGGTGTGACAGGTGCACGCGGACTCTTCCAGTTTTGCATCGGGCATGAGTAAAAAGGAGGTTTATGCACAAGTCCTCGAGCAAGCGAGGTCACTGTTCGATGGACAGAGGAATTGGGTAAGGAAACGTCGTTTTCTAATGTTATAGGAAAGAGCGTGGAAGTATGAGTTTTATGGCTTTTGTATGCTAACTCGTCTTCGCAGGTCTGGTAAGCCAACGTCTACACTATATCATGACTGGCGCGGTCTTTGTTATTTATATCGTCTAACACACATGCGACAGTAACTTCTCAAATACAGCGTCTCTGCTCTGGCACGCTTACCACTCCCTCCCTTCACCATCATCATCGGTAAACTGGGCTGGTTTCTACTTCACCGACCCAGCGAAAGAGACGCGCCTTCTACTAGGCCCTTTTCAAGGGCAGGTCGCTTGTCAGAGCATTGCGTTTGGGCGCGGTGTATGTGGGACTGCAGCTAAAGAGGCGAAGACGCAACTTGTCGAGGACGTAGACAAGTTTCCAGGACACATTGCGTGTGATGGGAAGAGCAGGAGTGAGATTGTTGTTCCTGTTGTACAGGATGGGAAGGTGAGTTTAGTTGGTTCAATTCGGGGATTGTGGAAGGAAAGTGCATAGATCAGAGTTGCTAATAAAGTGCAGGTAGTGGCAATAATCGATATTGACTGTGCGGAACTCAACGGGTTTACGGAAGAAGATCAGGAGGCATTGGAGGAGTTGGCAGAGTTACTTTCTCAGTCGTGCGACTTTTGAGACTGAGCTATTCTCGTAATTGCGCGACCTCTGAATTGGAGGGATTTGGGTCATTGGGTCTATCAGACGGAAGGTTTTGGGTGTGTCTTTTGCTCCACGGGTTTCGGGAGGTCTTCTGCGCCAGGAAATATTTCAACATGGTGTCCTGGCGTTGTCCGGCTTGGCGGAAGTATGTTATCATCGTATTCTGCGCATACTGCGTTACCGCTCTTCTGTCACATGTCTCTGTCAAAGCGTTACGAGCTACGTAGGGTTCAACAGTTCTCACAGCAATGTTCGTATGAAGTTGGGTACGCTCTGGCCTCCCAGTTCGAAATCGGCAATGCAAAGCCGACCCGTATTCGATGTCATCCACGTTTCGGCGGTGGTCCACGGGATACGCATTTCAAAGGTCGCCTATCTCGTCATCGCGGAGGTTCCATTGTAGAATCGTCACCGCAGGTGGGGCACGATAAGTGACATACACTGGTGGTCTCTGGCGTTGTTGTATCTGCCATGGATGGGTACTGGTGAAGCTTGGAGCAACGGGTGCCAGGGGTTCGGCCCTTGTGATTATTCTAAAGTGATAGTCGCTGCGATTAAGTTATGCATCCCCGTGCTCGGAGACGTGTCGACTCTTCGGTACAATGCGGTTAAATAGTAAGAGCCGAAGAACGTGCGAGATAAGCTGTATTGCAAATCTTTTGTCGACCGAAGGATGGAGTAATCTTGAAGATTGATAACTGAATAAGACGTTTACATATTACTCGTACGAGCTCGTGATGATTGTCTTGCAGTCGTACGACAGGCCGTTAAGATGGATGTGTCAGGTTGTTGTCCTTAATGCGCAAACAAAGCCATCTTGAAAGTTTCGGTGAGCACCTGAGGTCAGAGGAAATATTTCTGGGTAGGTTGTCGATAGGCTGTTGTTACCAAAACGTCGATGCTCCACTTTTGTCACATCACGTGCGGACCCGTTGGTTGATCTTCGCGTGTTCATGCAAGAGCAAGCCCACAATCACACCGTCACTCCACCACGATGCCATCTTCAGACTACACGGCGGTGGCAGGTGGCGCGCTGAAACTCAAAGGTGTTGGGGTCGACAAAAAGAAGAAGAAGAAGAAGGCTAAGCCCGCCGCGGATACGACCAAAGCCAGCGAAGAAGCTCCTACCGACGTCGCGAAACGACCCACGTCAGACGAAGACGCGTCCAAATCCCACTCGGGTACGCCAGGTCGCTCTCTATCACCCGAGTCTGCGGAACGATCGATAAGAGAGGGCGGTGGCAGACACAAGACCGAAGCCGAGAGACGATACGATGAAATGCGACGGAAGAGGTTGGAGGAGAGGATGAGGAAGGAAGGCGTCAAGACCCACAAAGAGAAGGTGGAGGAGCTTAACAAATACCTAAGCGGCTTGAGCGAGCACCACGACATGCCGAAGATTGGTCCTGGCTAAAACGCGCTCGGAGCTGGGTGGCTGGAAGCCCTACACAGCTTATATACTGTACACAGGCCGGCAGCCAATGGGAACAGAGTATCCTGGATATCTACCACAAAAGATTCCCCTGACTAGGCCATCCGAAGACGCGGAAAGAACGGCTTATTGTCTTACAGCACATGCGTATGCGGGAACGTCGAGGGATGCAGTTCATTCTGCATGACTCGAACAGCACGGGTACTACCAGAATAGGATGAATGGAATTGATAAATGGACACGTTGCTTAGTACGGCGCTGATTGTCTTGCCTTGTTTAAAAAGTATGTTTGTATACAACAATGTTGATGGAATTCATCCCGTGATCTGATGTCAATACCAGGGTTCAATTTCCGCGATTTGGGCATTCACAAGGGTCCTGGACTTGTATGCGGTACAATTCTTGGAGCTTGCGACCGTCCCGTTGGTGACTACCAGATGGTAATCTTCACATCGGTCAGCTACCGGTATGCTTACCGTCCGTCGTATGTGAGCCGCCCAGGATGGCTTGAATGGCACCCCACAAGCCAGGCTCAATACTCACATGCGGGCGGTCTTTCTCCGAGAATCTGGTAGGGCCGGGACATGGCGCTGTTTGGTTGTGAGCACCGTCATGTGGGTGGTACAGCGACTCTCACCGCCGAACAAACACGGCAAGAAATCCGCGATGTCGTGACAAGACTCACACCAGCGTGCAGGAAACTGTGATTGGCTTGTAGCTTTATTATTACACATGATGTGACTTTGAAAGCCGGTTCACGGATAGGGTGGCGGGAAGGGCTAGGTGCGCGCTTCCTTAAACTACCAGATACGAGCACCTTTGAGAACTGGCTATCTACCAACAACGCTCGGGTCACCCACGATACGGCTCCGGCATATGTTCCCTGAATCTTGGCTTCTTTATTGGCTAGACATGAGCTGCATGTCTGTACGGGCTACCGGTAATCTGCAAGCCTGTGAAAGCTACTTGATCCAAGCGTCGCAGTGTGGCGACATTCACTCCGCATGCCCAGAGTATAGTGAGCAAATTGACCACCCCGAGTACAGTGGACCGCAGAGGTTCCGACGCGGGGTAACGTTACATACTCCTTCAGACACACACACACACATGTGCCCATCATCATTTTCCTTCTACCTGCTGCATTTTCCGTATCTGGACTAATATACTAAACGGCCTTTGTTCACAAGTGTCGTTCTGGCGAAAGCCCGAGGCCATGGTCAGATGCCAAAAGTCAGGATAGTGGTTCGCACGAGCTGCCAGTCGCGGCCCTTTGTCGGGGTCTGCCTGCACTAGGCATTCTAGAAACACTCCTCATCTGGACACGCTCCGGAAAAGTCGTCAGCCTGCGATAGTGGCTTGCAGTATGATGGGCTGTCAAGCATGATCCACCTGCCCAGATTGCTTAGCGCAGCGCCAAAAGGCTCGATAGCTGCTTGCTTGAGCGTCAGCGAGGCTTGTCTCAATGCCAAATCTCACCCTTGAGCGAATTGGGAGGCCCAACGCCCCGTATCACCCTGTCGCGTGCTGCTCAAGTGACATGCCATCCGGATGAAAGCGATTGCAACAATAATGCTGGGGAAATCTTAGGGACCATACCCAGCCTGCCCGGCGTCAGCGTCACCACGACAATATGGCAATCAAGCGGCTCCAAGATCGTCCGGAAGCAAGCGGCTTGGGAGTGAGAAGCAACACCCCACGTCGGCTTGACGGAACTGCAGTCATAGTAATAACGAGATGCCGAAGTTGTGGTTGTCGCTCATCTTACCCCAGTCGCATGAGCTCACCCTTATCATGCACCCTGGGTGAACTTTAGTCTGGCAACGGCATCGCCGCTGTCCCTGGGGCCCTTCTATTCGCTAGTCAATACACATCTTACCACCAGCATTCCAGACGACCAGAGCTATGCCCCATTTAGTCTGCAGCCTGCTGTTTGCCGCTAGGGCCTAGCCCATGTTCTGATGTTGTGCTCGGTGGCCGGGGTAAGTGAAGGCGCTCGAAATGGTTGGAACACCGTCACGGACCTGATAATATAAAGATCATCCTGGTACTGCCTTTTACCTGTCTACTGGGACAGTCAACTTTCGCCCTCTCTTTCGCACCTTTGTGCTTGCCGTGCTACTACGCACTCTTCCTTGGTAGACCCAGGCTCAGCCCTATCATCTGCCTGTCCCTCCATACTAGGCGCATCGAGACCCCATCATGCAGGCCCACGACAACGAGAAGCAGCAGTTTGCTGTCGCTGGCGAGTCGCCCTCCGACCACGGTGTTGGCGATATCCACGACACAAAGGATCATGCCATAAATGAGGCTGCCGGTGTCTACGGATCGGCCCAGCGCGCCGAAGAATACGGATACGTGCAGCGAGGTCTCAAGTCTCGTCACATCCAATTCATCGCTCTCGGAGGAACCATCGGAACCGGTCTCTTCTTGGGTATCGGTGGTGCCTTCGCCAATGCTGGTCCCGTCTCTGTTCTCCTCGGTTACACTATCACTGGTGTCGCAGTCTTCGGTATGATGCAATGTCTCGGAGAGATGGCCACATGGCTTCCTCTACCCGGTGCTATCCCCCAGTATTCCGCTCGTTACGCCGACCCTGCTCTTGGTTTTGCCGTCGGTTGGAACAACTGGTACAACAGCTCCATCACCCTCTGTGCCGAAATCTCTGCTGCCGCCCTGTTGATCAACTTTTGGGACACGGAAGAAAAGTAAGCAAGGCCCACTCAGGAGCAGGGCAACATATACTGACTTCAGTCGCCAGATACAACCCTGCAATCTGGATTACCCTCATCATCCTGCTCATCATCGGCCTGAACATCTTCGCGGTGTCGATTTACGGAGAGGCCGAGTTTATATTCGCTTCGATCAAAATCATCACAATTCTAGGTCTCCTGATTGCCGGTTTGGTCATCATGTTGGGCGGTGCTCCCGACAAGGACAGACGCGGCTTCCGGTACTGGAAAGAAGGTGCGATGAAGGAATACGTTGGCACGGGCAATACCGGACGATTCACTGGTCTCTGGTCCACACTCGTCAACGCAGCTTTCTCGTACGGTGGTGTTGAGATGGTCGCCGTTGCCGCTGGTGAAGCTGCCAACCCCCGCAAGAACATCCCCAAGGCTGTCAAGCGTGTCTTCTGGCGTATTCTCTTCTTCTACGTCCTCGGTTCCTTCGTCATCGGAACTACTATCAGCTCCAACGACCCCCAGCTCACTGCTGATGGTGCCAAGGGTGCGCAGAAGTCTCCCTGGGTCATCGCCATGAAGAATGCCGGTATCCCCGTTCTGCCCCACATCATCAACGCTGTTATCTTGACATCGGCCACATCATCCGGCAACGCCTTCTTGTACACTGGCTCCCGTTACCTGTTCGGTATCGCACAAAACAAACAGGCTCCTCAGTTTCTCCTCAAGTGCAACAAGCAGGGTGTTCCCATCTACTGCGTTGCAGTCACAGCCTCCATCTCTTTGCTCACTTACATGAGTGTCAGCACTGGCGCCAGCAAGGTGTTCGCGTGGTTCCAGAACTTGGTCACAATCGCCTCGCTCTTCACCTGGTGCTCCATCTGCTACACATATGTCTGCTTCCGCAAGGCTCAAATCGCCCAAAATGTGGACCGCAACGAGCTGGTGTTCCGGAGCAGGTTCCAGCCATACACTGCATGGGCCGCTTTTGTATACTTTGCTCTGATCATCTTCTTCAACGGTTTCAAGGTCTTTACCAAGAAGAATTGGGGCCCAGACGAGTTGACCGACTTCTTCACCGCCTACATTGGCATTGCCATCTTCGGTCTCCTCTTTATCTTCTGGAAGGTCTTCAAGCGCACCAAGCAGGTCAACCCGGCCGAGGCTGATATCTGGAGTGGAAAGGCTGCACTTGATGCCGAGGTTTGGCCTGAGCAGATCCCGCGTAACGCTCTGGAGAAGTTTTGGTTCTGGCTTTGCTAGTCGAATGTTGTTATAATCGGTTTTGTAATGTCGATATTGGGGGTTGTTCCTTTTTTCTCTTTGCACGAGAGTTATGAATAGATGTGATAAGCCTTGAGCTGTGGGACACGAATCAATACATGTATGTACTCCATGCAACTACAGATGGTAATGTGAAGAACGAAGGAGAGCTTCTGAGTGCGAGGTGATGAATCTCCACATAGTTAGTCACTCGTGCGTAGCCACGCCCTATGGTTTTGCCGACGGCAAACTATGGGGCGCCTTACGGCATGCTCTCCACTGACATGCCAAAAGCCGACGCGATGATCGCCACACTTGTACCTTGGTGACCCATCACATGTTCGGAGACTTTCACAAGGCTCTTGACCTTCTAATGCCTTCACATGCAAATGCAAAATGCAAAATGCAAAATGTAAAATTCGGGTGATTGCTTTGCGCACATGTGCGCCAGCACTTCATTGGTCTAGTGCGTGTGGCTGGGTGCGGCGTGTTTCCGCGACACAGGTTCGTACAATCTCTGCAAACCTTAGATACGCCACGGTCCCAAGCCTTTTCCAGCGACGTCGAGTTATGGCTACTATAATGAGACCTCGACGTCGCAGATTATGCACGAAGACACGTCCAACGGTGAAGAAGACATGCGTCGCACCAGACTGCCACGAGTACCTGGTCCGTTAAGGCCATTTATCCTCCAAATCGGTGTTGGCGCGTATTTAAATTCCGCCCTGTCGGCATCTTCCAGGCACCAGTCTTCGTACATCAACGTCTTCTTATTAATACTGTACTTTTTGGTCCTTGTCCGGACTATTCGTCTTGTTATCGGAAAAGAACACGCGACCACTAGCACTTTCCGTACAGCTGTCGTGCGTAAGCCTGAAGCCCGGAAACTTCACTAGCTGGTCCCGATAACTATACGCTTCGGTCCTCGCGCTAACCGGACGCCTTGATGACAAAGATGGAATTGCACAGTTAGCAAGAGCAAGGAAAGTTCAGAGACGTTATGCATGGGCGTCTACATTCCATAGACTATTCGAGAAACTGTGCGCCCAGCTTTACCCATAACGCTGCCGCCACGAGGACCCTGAAACACTATGACAGACCGGACGAATGAAGCCAGCGACAAACCCGGCGCGCGATGGAACTTGTCCGACCAACTTGTCAACAGCCCGGACTCTGAGCTACCCAAAAAACCACAGGACCAACCCTTGAATCGCGCTTGTGAGGCATGCCGCATCTCAAAGGTTCGATGTCTCATGAATCCAGACACGAGCTCGTCGCAATGCCAACGATGCGCCAAGGCCAATCGGACTTGCGTTTTTGCGCCGCCTGCTAAGAGGAGACAACGAAAAAGAACAGATGTGCGAGTAACGGAATTGGAGAAGGAAATACAGCAGATGCGCAGTCTCTTGAAGACAAATACCACCAGATCATCCAATGACGTCAGCGAACATGAATCTGAAGACGAGTCAGACGACCAAGCACATACAGGAGAAAAGAGAAAACCCCCGAGCGTCCAAAGTCAATCGGCTGGGACGACGTCGACGTATTCTGTATTTACGGCCCCCGTCAGCACAGGACCAATGGCCGATGCTGCCGTCACTGGCGCGCCAACAGACTTTTTCGGGTCTTCTGAAAACGACATAATCGATCGCAATGTTGTCTCTGAAGACATGGCACGGGAGCTTTTGACTATCTGGCGCAATGAGCTCGTTACTGCTTGTCCGGGCATAACCATACCTAAACATTGGGATGTCCTCGATCTTCGGTCAAATAAGCCGGCACTGTTCCACGCAATCATGGCCGCAGCTGCTCACTCAAAAGGCTCCGCTTTGTCAGACAGACTCCATGAGGAGACAGTTCTCTTGTACGCTCGATCTGCGTTCATCAAAGGGGAGAAGTCAGTCCAAGCTATTCAGGCGCTGATTGTCACTGTTTCTTACTATTCGCCTTCAAAGACGCCTGGCCACCTTCAGATTTACCAGTGGGTTAACATGGCAGCATCAATGGCGCTCGAGCTGGGCTTGACTTCCAAGCCCAGAACGCACGAACAGCTGCCTAAACGTGCGATCAGAACACTACACAAGATCTCCTCACCAGAGGAACTACTTGAGCACTGTCGTACTATCCTGTTGCTATACATTATCAGCGCGGGCTTTTCGATGAGATTGAAGCGACCCAATATCCTACTCTTCAACAGCTGGATGGAAGAATGTTCCAACATTCTAGAAAAGTCGAAGCTTTTGGATGACAAAAGGATCCTCGCGTGGCTAAAACTACAAAGAATAGCTGATGAAGCTAATACCGCGTTTGGCTTCGACGATGCGAGTACTAGTTTCACTCTCTCGGAACTGCGGATGCAAATCATCCTGCGCATCTTCGATCGGAGGATGCAAGATTGGAGGAAGTCGGTCCCCGACGATGTCATGACACGTAGGTTATCTAGACAAGCTTCTTAGGTGTGCTTTGCTGACCTGTTAGTGAACCTCGAGCTAGAGTATCACGCAGATATGCTTTCCATGTGGGAGTTTGGCATGGACGGAGGCCGCTATGATGGTGAGTCGTATGCTCAATTGAGCACCTTCGAGACTAATGTCATATCCTACCAGTCATCGAGTTCAGGAACAGATACGTCACTCTGCCCGCGTTAGACGACGACTGTGTACAACCAGAGTCCCTCCTCTCCCGATCAGCCCTCCAAATCAACGCCACTACCAAATGCATAAGCGCAGCACATGCCATGCTAGACAGCTTCATTGCAGTCCCAACCGACAAATTACGAAAATCACCAAACGCCCTCTACGTCCGAGCGGTTTATTCGCTAGTCACATTGCTGAAAGCCGACTATGCCGTCGGAACCGACGCGGAGATGGGCGAGTTATTCGAAAGCCAGAACCTCAAAGTGCAATTTTATCTTGATACGGTGCTGAAGAAAACAAAAGAGGCAGCAGGACCGCAAGAGTGCCGAAACCCAAGTCACTGGAACTTTTTGCTCGAAGCAAAACTGAAGAGCTGGTGGGACGAATACCGGGAGTGGCGGAAAGAAGGTAGAGACCAAAAACGAAGAAAGACAAAGTCAGGCGACGATAGCGATCCAACGACTGGAAACCAAACACCAGCGTTTGTAGAGCCCAGTTCACAACATGGAACAGCATCCCCAGTCAACCCATCGCTTGTCACCACATCACAACAACAACATCAACATCATCCTCATCCCCCACAAGCACTACAAATGCCAAATTTCAACATCACAAACTCGTATCCTACCCAGCCAACGTGGAATACGAACGAATTGGGCCTCGACACAACAACCCCAGCACAACAACAGCCTGTGGGTGACCAAGCAGCATACACACATGAAATGGGAGATTTTTCAGCCGCGTTTCAAAACGGCGATTTGTATCTTTGGAATGATCTCACGGCTGATAACTTTAACGGGTGGGTTCCGCAGAATGGGCCATACGGGGGGATGGGATTTGGGGGGATGAATAGTCAGGGTTTCTGAACAATATCCTCGTGGAGCGGTTCATTTGACGAGTTTCTTGTAGAAGTAGTTTTCCGATTTAGGATTGTATAATTTTACCGTTGGAAATTATCTGTGGAGTTCCTCTTGCTCAACTCATTTAGGGTACAAGCACTATCTTGCGTTTGCTTTCTTTAGAATTTCTTTACTTTTCTCAAAAGATCATGTTTTAAATAGCGTACACGTATGACTTGACAGTTGTCAGGTACGGTGGAGTTTCGCAAGAACAGCCGCCGATCATGGCGTTGTGCATTCTGAGATTTTCAAATTTGCCGAAGATTCTCCACACAGACATGAGAAGTTTTGCGATCAGTTTTTAGTCCATGCCGGCTTGATGATGACGTTTTTAGAAAGAAAGAGTCCGTGGAATAGGAAAGTGGAGGAGAAGGAAAGTACAGCTTGCAGCAGAGGATATATATACACTCTGCCAATACATCTGTCCAGGTCATCAGGATGATTAATATTGCATTTCCAAGATCTCGGAAAAGGGACATAGGAGACGAGAGACTTTTTTAAGAACCAGAGAAAGTCAGCATCGTACCTTCTTGCGATCTTTTTTTCTGCATTCATAGAAGATATAAGTTTTCAGTGCTGTGTAGAAGAGATCAGGGGAAACCCCTAGGATAATCGGTTCATATACGCTCAGGCTGGAGCTTTGTAAAGCAGAACACACATATCCATAGTGCGAGATTTTTAGCCGGACTGGGCAAGGAAACAGCATGCCAGGAATGTCGATATGGTTGAGTATCGCGGGAGTGGAGCCTAATATTTGGACGTTGGTGACTGTCGGATCGTGAGTATCGGTAGAGACGTCGGCTGCTGGACACTTCGGCCCGACTTCGGCCCACCTTGCGCAGAGCTTAGGTATACCTTCGTAGCAGCTATGTTCGTAGACAATCAATCACCATCACCGAACAGAATGCATTCCTAGTTATCGTTATTTCCTTTCAGCACTAGTGCTATAGACCTTCCAACAGTGACAGACTTTTAAGAAGACGAAGAAGAAAAGGTTACAGATAAGGAGGAAATCAGGAGGACTAGCTGTCAAAGGTATTTTATCCACATGAACCTCTCAAATCATGTAACGTTTCGTATGAATTTTCTGGAACTTAGCTCTATAAGAAGGGCTGATAGATTATTTCAAGAGTTTCGGAATGTTGTATAAGTTTATAGTGGAAGTCGGAGAGCACGCCAGTGGGCGTGATATATTTCTAACACCCTGCTTTCCAATCATGAATCGTGTTTATGTTTTTTTGGAACTTTGACCCGATCTCCAAATATACTATTGGAACAAGGTCCCTCTAGTAGTATGACTACTATGGATAACCGAGTGGGAGGAGGGACAAGGCGGGGTGGCTGCAACGTACTGTATTGACTATCGTATTAAGTGTCGCAGACTCACTCTGTTGTGGTGGGTGCTATTGCCCACCGAGCAGTGCCTGCCACACCAGCATATCATGTGACTCCCAAGCACCTTCTACCCTGGACTGAACTCAGATATTCTCAACATATACCAATGTTTTAGAAATTTCGGAATGTTATGAGGATTTATAGTAGAAGTAAGAGGACAGCCTAGCGAGTATAGTATATATACACACAAGCCTTCCAGGCCATTGCTTCTAGTGGTGATTGTTTTGGAACCTGAAACCAACACAGGTTTATCCGGTTCATGTTTTGGAAAAAAGTAGAAAAAGTAGGAAATAGAAGAACAAGAGGTAGGCGAATGCGCTTTATCCATATCAGCCCTCACGCCATACATCATGCAGTCGTTAATTTTCGAAACCCGTGCCTCACATAGTCTCTTTGACACTGATTCTTTAAAAAGAAGTAGTAGAGATAGACATAAATCAGATAGAAGTAAGAAAGATAGAATATTAGAATATATTTTTATACAGCTACGGTGGCGTCCCTGGCCATGATCGCGTATACTTACATTTTGTTGAGAATATCTGGGTTCAGTCCAGGGTAGAAGGTGCTTGGGAGTCACATAATATGCTGGTGTGGCAGGCACTGCTCGGTGGGCAATAGCACCCACCACAACAGAGTGAGTCTGCGACACTTAATACGATAGTCAATACAATACGTTGCAGCCACCCCGCCTTGTCCCTCCTCCCAATTGGTTATCCATAGTAGTCATACTACTAGAGGGACCTTGTTCCAATACATTTTCAGTTTTCTAGAATTCGAACCCAACATTTTGAGGATAAATGGGATTTTAGATATAAGGAATCAAAATAGAGTATGTAGAGGACAGGAAGAGGGACAGACTACCACTATATATTTTAATCTTCACACGACAGGCTCCCAGGTCATCAACCTCGCCTTTTTTTTAATCTCTGGAACCCAACCCCAGCATGGTGTACGAAGCGTCCTCTTTTTGGAAAACAACAGATATAATTTTAGGAAAGTGGAGCAAGAAGGATAGATTTGCGCAGAGAGGCGAGGTTTATATAGCTTAGTAGAACACCTATCCAGTCATCGTTTTGTCCGCTCTGTATTTTAGGGAAAGTTAAAAGATTCTAGAAAGTCTCTCAGACAGCATAATTCTTGTTACTTTTCTTTTCTTTGTGTAGACAGAGTAGGTCGGGCTAAGCCCATAATTGCATCATGCCCTGTTTTTTTGTACGCACAGCTCCAGCTCTTCCACATAAGAGGTATGTCCTGAAGTTTGGAATATATTGTTGGTAGGCCTTGTACGATCGTACGGGGTGAATAACAACAACGAGGTTCTTCTGGTGACTGGTATTGGTATTCATTTGTCTACGAACATAGCTGCTACGAAGGTACACCTAAGCTCTGCGCAAGGTGGGCCGAAGTCGGGCCGAAGTGTCAAGCAGCCGACGTCTCTACCGATACTCACGATCCGACATATATAATTTTTAAACAAAATGCACACTTCAACCTCCCCGTGGGGTGTAATTCTCTTCTATTTAATTTCGAGGCCCAGAAAAGTCGCACACATGGCTTGTTCCCATTTCTATTTTTTGACACTCCATCATCTACTAAGTTATTGAATTTTTGAGTTCAGAAAGCTCTAGAGATATAAATAAGAAGAAAGAGGAAAGAGAGAAAGAAAGGGTCAAATAAGGTTTAATTACCGTATCCTAGCCCTTGGTAATCGGTATCTGTGCGCTTTGACTTCTCCCCAGCCAACATTGCCATGACTGGTACAGGGTTTAGTATCAAAGAAAGTCTTTATGAGTAAAAACGTGGAAGAAAGCCGTGCCATACGGTATTCAGAAACAGTTTTATGTTATGATTTAGCAATTCTAAGATCCAAGGACCATGGGATTTTGGTGAAGAAAATTTGAAAGTAGGCTCATACCAACGCCAGCGTGTAGTTTTTCATTGACTTTCAGTTTGCAGTTTTATGCCACCACCCAAACCCCAGAGCTCGGCAAAGAATCATACTTCGATTTGTTGGTCATTTTAGTTTCAGCACCAGAAAGTCCGCAGCCATTTCTCGTAGCACTCTTTTTTTTCGGAACAGGAAAAATTCTTGGAGCCTGCTAACAAGCAGCGTATTTTGGAAGAAAGAAAGTGGTACAAAAGTTGGTCAATTAGTAACTCAAGAGAACGGCAGAGACATCTAAGACAAGGAGATGACCTGTTTAGAAGGGCACATCGGAGTGATCCACGATGTTTTTAATCGCAAGAAAAGAGAGTTGTGTGGGTGTGGGTGTGTAAAGCAGGGAAGAAGTAGAACAGCAGAAGACAGATATACGCTTGATCTGCTCGTTTGCGGCAGCTCAGAACATGAACGATACAATCATGGTGTTTTGAGAAAGACACATGGACCGTCAATTTCGGATTTCAGACCGCCGAGTGGGAAAGAACAATGATTTCATTTCCCCGCCGCGCAGACACCCACTTATGTCTGGGGCCACCATCACCTTTGATACCATGAAGTCGCTCTTTGGAAGGTCCGAGCGGCAGATGAAAAAAGGGCACACAGGGGTACAAACATGCTTGAATCATCAGCCGTTTGACATGCGTTTGCGACTTCACAGGCAGCGGTCACGCAACCACAGTAGTGACATCATTGCATACTGATCTACAAAATCTACAGAAAAGCAAATATGTAATTACGGATCAGTCCATTATCGGTCTGAATATGTCATTACCATAGAAATGTAATGTACAATTTAGAAGGTTTACATCTTCTTCATATCACCCTCAACCCAATCGATAACCTTCTCCAGCAACGCAACATCAGCCTTGGCTTGTTCTAGCGCCTCCTTGCCCTCGACCACAAGCGAACCTCCACCCGAAGCTAGCTCCTTCTGAAATCGCGATGCCACCTGCTTCAGCACATCCAAGTAATGCGACTGAATGCCGTGGTTCTTGTCTAGATCCTTGATACCCAGCGTATGGTGAAGATGTTTAGCCTGAAGCAACAGGTAATAGAAGTTGAGGGCTGCGACATAGAAGCCCAACTCTTGGCGGAACTGCATCCAGGAATCTTCTAGGTTGGTGCTGTCGGCATAAGTCTTTGACAGATCGGGCCATAGGAAGGGAGCAACTGTGGAAATTGCGACCGGGGTTGCGAATATGTTTGTTTCTTCATGTTCGTCATCTCCCGATTGTACCCGAGGGCCGTTGGCTTCCAAAGTCTCGCCTTTTAGCCACGACACCGCACTTGCTTTCAGGTTCTCGTAGGGACAATGCTCCAGCGTATCACGGATGAATGTCAAGCGAACGAGATCATGTGGATGAGAGCGCAAAACGGTGGTTGTGAGGTAATGCGCATGGCCTCGTAAACTCGGCGACGGCGAGTTTGCCGAAATTAGTGAGATCGTCTGCAGATATTGGGCAAACGACTCGTCATCTTTGGGCTCTCCCACGTTGTTATTCTCAAGCGCAATCAGACCAAAACTAAGGACCGTGTCAAGTAACGGCTCCGGCTCCATGCCGACAGTTTGAGGTCCTAGCTTTCCGATAAAGTTGCTTAGTATGGTTGCGTGTTCCGGGAAGATGGAAATTGATGACGACACATCCTGCTTGGCTGAAGCATATAGTTCTTGTTTAACGTTTTGAGCGGCAATGAGTAGCAAGGCACCCGTTCGTGAAAGTGGGATGTCTGCTGCCGTAGCTGGTGGCTCATCCTCCGTCCCGGGAATACCTCGCTTTTCGTCCTCAGAATCCATTACAGTACGCAACAGATCCTCGTAATTCAACCCAAGGTCATCTGTCAAGGCTAAGATTTGTCCAAGTATCGCGACTCTTGAAGTCAAATCCTCGTCGTTGGCGAAGCGATCTGCATATTTCTGATAGTTTGGTTTATTGGGTATCCGACCAGGTTCATACTTCTCCATCAGCCTGCTCGCCCATGATAGACCTGGCACATCGTCGTCTGATGTCAAAGAAAGTACATAGTCTTCGAGAATATGCGTGAGGAAGGACTGTAATAGGCGATTGACCAATTCCGTCTCTTCGCTACTGGGCGTATCGCTCTGTGCTTCCGGGTCTGGCTCTGACTGGTTAGTGTTTGTTCGTAGTAGTATGCCGCTACTCCGTCTTGATGGCAAATGTGGCCTCTTAGTGCCGGACAGCGTTTTGACGAATTTAACGGCCGACAACGTGAGGTCTTCGATATGCGTGTTGGCCCTGTTGTAGGCGAGCAGGACGGCTTGTAGACTGGTAGAGAGGAATCGGCTTGGATATTTGGTCTTAACACGTCGATGTAAGGTCGCCAGTATATTTAGAAGTACTTCGAACTTCAGTACGGCAAGTGGTGGGACGATGGTGGCCTGGAAAGCAGGACTTGTGCTTGATTCACCAACTCCAACCTCTGGTACTTTTAGCGTACTTTCGCTTTCGTCCTCTTCGTCCGTAGTTTCCCGGGGTTCTTCAAACTCCAGTATTCGCAGTGCTTCCGTCACCTTGAGAATGCATTCTCTGGGGTTGCCCTTGGCAGCAATGTCCTGCAGACACTCCTCCGACAAGGGCAGCAATGGAAGCAGCAGATGTATCAGGTCCCAGCCAATTGTAGATGTGAGTTCGGCATCTTGAAGGACCTGGTGTAGGACTGGAAGGTTCTCCTCGGAGAGATTGTACTCGATAATGGTAAGATAGGTGATGGGATCCGTGACCGGTGGGCGTGAGGCTAGAAGCGGATGTTGATCCTTTTGGGCAGGATCCGGGGCACTGGCCATGACTCGTTCTCTTCAATGGATGCTGTAGTGCAGTTGTGGTGACTGCCAAGTAGCCAGGTGAGATTGGGTGGTATAACGTGTGTCTAAAGTGATGTTAAGACAGTAGATGTCAGGCAGTGAGTGTACCTGGAAATGTTGGATGGGGCTGGGCCCTGACGCAATGCCTGCCGGATTCGCATACTAGCCCCCGCTTCTGCCAAGACATTCACTCTTGCCAAATCACGGGACAAGAATCGGCAGCTCGAGTATCGCATCGCACGACACTTGCCGCATGAAGAAAAAGAGAACCACGAGCTCTCGATCTGTGCGCTCTGCATGACGAAGTGTCATGTGAAATTGCGCGGTGACCGTGAGCTAAAAGGAAAGGCTCCCATGTAAGTCTACGCGAAGCTCAGCTACCTGCAAGAGAAGGGGGACTAACGAATCGACGCAGGCATACGACTCGCATTGTAACCTCGTTCTTGGAGACGTTGAAGAAACGATATACATGGCCGAAGAGGAAGACGACGACCAGGAGCCCCGTGTACGGACAGTCAAGAAGCAGAGTGAGATGCTGTTTGTAAGAGGTATGCTGAGTACACGGTGCTTGGGAGAGAAGGCAAGGCTGACAGTACTATAGGCGATTCAGTAGTCCTCATTGCACCGGCAGAAGGAACTTCGCAATAATAGTGCCGTATAATTACTGGCCGAAGCAGAGTATGAGGCATGGGCAAAGACACACTTGGCGCACGGCATCAGCTGCCGTAATAAGGCAACGACCGGAACACAGACGCTATTGAGATACCCGAATATGGAAGCACCTGGGTGCACTCCTTGGAGGTTACAAGCATGACCAGGAGAATCGGTAGGCTGCATGCTGGGAAGCATATACCTCGTGTGAAAGCACTGGAGCAAGTCACTTGGTTCGCGTGTTACCTTGTTCAAAGAGATTCCCACAAATGCAAACACTCGTCTTTCAAAATGCACAATTCCATCTCAGAACTTACCCTACAAGCCGCGCGGTTGGTTGATTTCTGTCACTCATCACAATCACAAGGACAAAAAACACATTCTTGAAGATGCAAGTATTAAGCGCTTTTCATGACTACTGAAAGGTCAAGATTACGAGCTCATCGTGCCGCCGTGAAACGCAGATAAGAAACCCATCATGCACATAGTGCGATACCGTGACTAAACTCCTGTGCGTCCAAGACCCACCGATTGCCGAAACCCGACCATGAGAAGTGACCAAGGAGAAAAGAAAGAAAAAAAGACGGCCACCGAATGACGGTGTGCCACGTGAGTTAGAGAATTAAGCTAATAGATGGGAGTGAGTGTTCATGACCTCGTTTCATCGTGATAGGGTCCGCAGACGCTGTCCAATGCAAGAAAATACAGTCGAAGTGAAGTTGGTCCGTTGCGCTCCTTCACCCGTCCATGAGAGGGGAGGATGCAGCAAACGGTAGGGTGTGGGATGAGAGGGTCGAACGAGCCGTTGACGGCCATGGAAAAGACTTAGGCCGGATAACCATAAACACCATGCGCCGGATGTCCGAACGAAGGTTGGACCGAAGAAGACTGATGTTGAGCGTGTTCTAAAAAGCCGCCAAAGCGCCGTGTGTCGGAGAACAATAAGCAAGAATGAAGGAGATTCCGGTGGTGGCCATGCTGATGCTGGGGTTGAGCCGTAGCCGGCCGGTGGACATGGACTGCTGTGGCCTTTGCTGACGGGTGTTGGTGGACCATCTCGATGAGATGCGATGTCACACGACCCCTATGAGCCTTGTTAGAACGCAGTCAAGTCAGAACCACATGCAGACAAGTGTATTCACTTTCGCCTCCAGGTTTGACTCGCAGTGCTGTCCCTCGACAAGAAAGGCAGCGAGAAGCCCTTTGAAATCTCCGTCTCGACAAAGACGGAAGCACGCTTGTAACGCTTGTCTGTGTACTTCTCATACACAGCAGCATGGTGCTTCTGAGGGTTCTCACAGCACTCGAGGATGACCGAGATGAGCTTTCGGAGCTGACCCAGTGTGTATCCTGAGTAATGGACGTGCGCTTGCGACTAGGACGAGTTAGTGTGGTCAAGAGTAAAAAAGCAAATATCGACGTACCCAGTCACCCTTCTTCAGCATGAGGCGGGCGAGGCAGTGAGCACCGGCCGAGAGGAAGCTTGGGGCACAACCCACGAAGCGCTCATCCATGACGGTAATCTCCAAGAAGTACTTGGACAAAGTACGAGTCTCCAGGTCATAGTCGTCCGCTTTGCTGATGCGGCGAAGGAAGCTCATTGGACCGGGCCATCCAAGCTCGAACTGAAGCATGCTAAGCATGAAACGCTCTGCCTTGAGGACCTCGTCGGCAGTGTACGCACCGTCGACCATGTAGACAATCTCCTGGACCGACGGGCAGTTGATCTCTTCATACTTGGCAGCAACGAAAAGGGCAGTGGCGCCAACTAGTTGCAGCTTGCCAAGTGAGACCACCTTGCATGACAGGAAGCGGTCAACGTAGTTGACGGCGAGGAAAAGCGTCTCAGGTAGTAGAGTGAAGCGGTTGTGTACCTGAACGAGCCAATCCATGAGGACTGATCGCATCGACCACTGGATCTCAGCCTGGTGGTCCATGTATGTGGCGTTGGGCTTCATCTTCTCTTCGAGAGCATGCATATACTCGAAGATCTCATCGCCATACTCAGCAACCATGGATGTGTCCCACTGCTCATCCTCAATGTCTTCAGCGGAGCGGTTTGCCTCGACAAATATCCTAGCAGCTTCCAGCTCGCGTAGTGTCTTTGCGGTGACCCTCGGCGCAAGGACGGGGTTGACGCCGCCAGTTGTGTTGTCGCCGCGTGACCGACCGGTGGTGGTGAAGCCTTCTGTCTCATAGTATGTATCGGTCTCGTCATCCTCCTCGTCCCAGTACTCGTCTTGGTCATGGCCAGTGAGATCGTTGGCTTTGGCGAGCTCCTCGTTGCGCTCTTCTTCAAGAACGCGTGCCTGCTCTTCAAGAGCATCGAGATACTCGTGCCTGTCCTGCGCCCCGTTCTTCGACTCGACCTTGTCCTCCTTTTCAGGGATAGTCACGGACTCTTGGGACTGTGCTGAGGCACGGTCCATTTTGGGAAATGAAGATGGCTGGGTCTGGCCAGGGAGGGCCTGTCGCGAAGATGCAGGCGCAACTACCGTATCGACAGTTTTTGACTGGGTCTCTTGGAACACGGCGGTGGAGGATTTCTTGGAGAGAACTTTGCGGGCATTGGCTGCGGGCAGGCTAGCGTCGACGGTGATGTGCTTTGGTACCGAGGACACGACCTCACTGGTCTCGATTGTTGTGTTCGCCTTGGAGATGATGTTCGCCATAGGACGCTGCGCTGGTTTCAAAAGCGCGTTAGACTTTGTGACGTCCTTGACAGAGACTACAGCGGTATCCTTCAAAATCTCAAGTCCCTTCTTCTTGCCATTGACCTGCGTGTCATCCTTTGCTACGGGCTGGCGCGTAGTGTTGCTAACGTCACCGAAGACGGTTCGCTTGGCTGCGGCCGCCTTGACGCCTCCGACTTGCGCCATGGCCGACAGTGCTGGTGTTGACTTGTTGCGCGAGTGCAGAGTTTTGCCGGCGGGCAACTGGGGTTGCGCGTTCTCGTCGCGTATGCGGAGAGCCCGCAGAGGGCGTTGCGGCTGTAGGAAAAGTCTGTCAGCAACCATGGCAAGGAAGGAGCGGAGTCCCGTGCAGCTGAAATAGAGCTGAAGACAACGGCCGCGCGTAGCAAGTACAACGTGACGACGCTGACAGGCCAGGTAAAGGCGCAGGAGGAGTTTGTAAGCTTACCTTTGCATCCATTATGCGGTTAGTGTGTTGATTAAAGACAATAGTCTTGGGATGTATGTTGTGATGAGTGACCGTTGCAAGAGACGTTGTGTGCGATAGGGGGCAGCAGGGGACTGAGCGCTACAAAACAGTGGCCGATATAAAGAAACTATCCATCTAAGTTGGCGGCGATGAGATAGACGGAGGCGAGGTCGTCGAATGGCACGAAGAGGGGTGTTGTCGACAACAGCTTGGAATATATACGGAGCTTCGAGCGCGATGTTTTGATTGTTAGTAAATACAGCTAGCCCGAGCTTCCGTCCAGGATGCCGGCACGAGCCCAGCGACGGCCTAAGCGACGGGCGCTCGGGTCGCTCCTGACGTCGCGTCATATCCGAGGCTCGACGCGGGACCCCAACATCACCAGGAATCCATCTCTTTAATGCGCCGCACCGCATGTTTGCTTTGCACAGATGCAAACTTGTCGACATGATCGCAATGCACTCAAAAGCGCCCCGTGTGGATTTTAGCATGTCCCTACAGCTACATGTGCACTTACGCGTATGTGCCTGGAGTGCCTGATTTCAACGCGCCAAGACGTCATTGCCTCAGACTACCACACGAAGTCACGTGCCGGCTGCCCGATGACGGCCCTCTCTGAAACATGTTGTTTACTGCGCCCATTACCATAACAACATGGCAGATGAGTCTGACGTTGTTATTCATGCCCTCGAATGCGGCCGCGACCATTGTGCTGGTCTCGACCGCGCAGAATGGACCCGCCGCCCGCCGCCCACAGCCTATGGGCCAGCGCACTGCCACGGAATATCAAACGGCAGCCTACCCTTAGTCTTTGTTAACGGCGCCGTTGCCACAAGGGATATGGATTAAATAAGGTAACTTGTCTGGAGAAGGGGGGGCCATGGGCCTTGGGCCTTGGACCATGGGCGCGCTGGCTCCCGGCTTGTTATCGCATGTTTCCTTTGCTTTGTCCCCGCCCTGCGTACTGGCCGAGGGCCTCACCGACAAACCCATGTGGACCATTGACACACGTAGCGAGGTCGCATGGAGCCAAATACGCACACAACGTCTTTTCAAAGGGTCCGCGACCGGGGTTCCGACTGAAACTTCTTTGCGCAAAGTGCGGGAGACGTACAGTCGTTGCTCGACCCCTCATCGTTCTAGAGACTGTCCAAGCTTCACGCCGCCACGGGTTTGCAAAGGTCGCATGTCGCGCTACGTACGTCGCTCGTGCACATGCAGGGTCGCAAATCCGGAGCAGAGATAGCCAGCAGCGAGATACGGTGAAACCATACATGTCCAGAGCGGCGCGCATATGACGACTATGCGCCGACGGATTACTGTACTTTGCGCTACCATCGTCATGCTAGGGTGGGTCCGAGGCGATCAGACGCTGTCGAGGGGGGGAGGGGGGGCACATGTATGTAGACATAAAATCAAAAGGTCGCGTATTTCACAAAGCGCACAATTCCTGTCGGAATCTTGCGGCGACTCGTACAGCGACAACTGTGTGCAGTGGGAAACTACGCATGCAGGTGTGTGGTGTTGATTGTCGCACGAAAGATCTCTCCAATAGACGCCCGCCATCAACTGCCAACGAATCCACAGCGCTTCATCACCGGCGCTGGGCACCGGAAAGCTTCTTTAGCCTTCCAGCCATGTCTCTGTGTGAAGGCGATCCAGAATATGGTGACTTGAGCAAGTCGTCAAGGTTGCGCATTGTGCGGTTAGGGTGCCAACGCTGCCATGGCTCGTCCGCTTGTTGTTCACATGGAACGTACGCATGCATTCGGCCACCAAAGCAGCGTATCAGCTTATTGGCCATGTCTGATGTTGAGCAGCAGGAGTAGCCTTTACCAAGTGCTACCGTCATCCACAAGCGATTGAGTTGTCCTGTAGCATGCATCCTAGGCTCATTCAACAATTGGGCGCATAGCTGCCGCCCGGAGTCATCCCATGTTTCGACATGGCAAGACAGCAGCACATGGAAGACTACGGGCATCTGAAGCACAGTATGAATGCAATGCCTTTCTATGTCCATTTGCGTGACTGAAGGTTGCACGTACCCCGTAGTGGACCACTAGGTACATAGATGCCAGTCGGGTACTGAGGCGCAATCGCATATGGCGAGAAAGGAGGATGCGCGGTGCAGTGTAAGCCATTTTTGGACATGAGGATTTCATCTCAATTAGTTGTAGATGGATGGGCAAAGGCCAATTCGCGGTTTGAGGCGCATCTGGAAAGTGCGTCGTGACCTTGGAGCGGTCCTAGTCGGGGTTGTCTTTAAGTGCTTCGCTTCGGAGCCATTGCTCAACCCACCTCCACGCTTCTCCGTGCCAGTCCAACACCACCACCTCCCTCTCGTAAGTGCCCAACCTTGTCATCAGCCTACTATTCCATCTGGGTTCGCGCTTTAGCACTCAGATAGTCTCAATCCTGCTCTGCGCATTGCGGCCGCTAACCTGATGCTGGCAGCCAGCGGCGGTTCACGGATTCACATCGAAGCGTCCACATTGCCTGGCCAGGTCTTTGAGCACTACTACTGGTATGTATATCTCTCAATAGGGTCCTGCGACCGACTTGAGTTGTACATCTTGTTGCGACGCGGCCCCTGAGTCCCCAGCGCTGCCCTCCCTGTAGCCCGTCACCGGGCAGCGGTGACGACCTCCCCAACCAGCTCAAGCCCAGCCCAGCCTTGGTGGAACAACATCAGAAGCATCCAAGATGCCATCAAACATCATCGAGAGCCATCTGCTAACTCGCCATGCTACAGATTCGACGCCCGTTTATCCTTCCCCGACCGCCATTCGTCCCAAGTCGTCTTTTGCGACACCGGCAGGATCGGTGCGCCCCCAACCACATACACCCACAAAGACTCTCTTTAGAGGCTTTGGAATACAAGACCAAGACCGGACATATCGGTCATGCAAGTTCCCAACATGCTTGCTGAAACCCGGGTTGCTGGTACACGCTTCCCTGAGGTCGAACAGCTCATAGCGGGCCGACACCACGACGCCATGCAGTCGCCTCCCGACTATGACATGATGGCTCAGCGAGAAGACTCTGGCATCATGGATGTATATCCGAGTACCGAGACGGGCTCGGCGCATGGCTCCTTGTCGCCCTCTAAGCAGATGCCCAAGAAGCACGTCAGCTTCGAGCTACTGCTACCCCAATCGCCAGCCCACAAGGCTCGTTTACCGATGCGAGTTGATATCTACCCCCATGATACGACAGACTCCATCATTACCACAGTCAAGAACTTCTACGGTCTGTACGAGCGCCGAGGCGTCATCTTTGAGGACCGCCATGGCAATACGCTCATCGCGCGCTTCGAGAACTTCGAACACGGCATGACTATCTATGTTCGCGTCTCTCCAGAGAGTATGGACGCCGAAGACTACTCTCCTGATCCCAGACAGCAGACCATCTCGCCCCGTCGCCCTCGACTTCATCTTGATGAGGCCTTCCAGATGCTCCCGCCCCACCATCATCAGCAAGCGGGCTCCAGATCAGGATCCCGTCATGCGCGCCAAAGTCACTCACCTCAACCAGGTCGTGGCCGAAGAAGCGTCTCCGCCAGTAAGCGTATGCGCACTTCTGCAAAGAGTCGCGCAAACAGCTCGCATGGAAGCTTCGCCAATGGTGACGACTACAGCGATAGCGAAGGCGAGCATGGCTCTGTGACCAGCTCGCGTCGCTCAAGGAAAGAGCCCCTTGCAAGTGCTGAAATCAGCGTTGACAACATCGTTGAAGGCGGCCGCCGAAAGCGAGCCAAATTTGACAGCTCGGTAAGTACCTACAGAGGGCATGTATCGTACAATAGTCTGACACCCGTTCCTTCCACAGGAGCTGCCTCTGTTCGTACCACCTCAAGTTCCTATGACTGCTTCCTTGTCGTCCGTGTCTCCTCAACGGCGTATCAGCGGCAATACCGCTGGTTCTCCATACTCTGCCAATCAGCAGACTTTCTCATACTCGCATCCACTGCCTTCGCCGCAGAGTTTTGGCCAGGGAGAAAGCTCCTACCTCCAAGGACTCGTCACACCCTACTCTGCGTCTAGCAGCCAGGCACAGGGATACAAGTCACGCGCTCGAGGCTCAGGACAACACGCCCATTATCGCTATTCCGGTAGCGGTGGAGCTCTGCCCACACCCGATACCACTCTTGCGAGTATTAGCGTCATCTCTGACGAAGACGTTGCCCGCCAGCTTATGCGCTTGGGTGATGCCTCCAACTTCTCCAATCATCGTACTTCCACTTCCACGCTTGACGATGCCTTCAGCGGAAAGGCCGATGCAGCGTCATCCAGTGATGAGAGCGCTGATGGCAGTGACGATGACAATGAACTTCCCCCTCTTCCATACATGGCTCGTACAATGCACGACCACACTCGTGTTTACGACGGGGCCGAGAGCAGTGGGGAGGATTATGAGGATGATCGGGACGGATCCTTCAAGGGCGCCAGTGACGAGATGATGCCCGATGAGCACAACAACTATCGTGTACAGTCTGGCGTCATCAAAGCTCGTTCCGTGTCGAGCAAGTCTGGCAAGCATGGCAAGCCTCGCGCAGTCTCGAAGAGCAAGAGCAAGGTCAATGGCACCAGCAAAACACCAATGTCGCCCTCTTCTCTTCCGTCACAATCAAGGAAGGCATCTAATGCATCATTGAACTTCCAACACCAGCTCGGTGTCGATGAGGAAGACCTTTCCAGCAAGCCTCGTTGCCAACGCTGCCGTAAGAGCAAAAAGGGCTGCGACCGTCAACGACCCTGCCAGCGTTGCAAAGATGCCGGTATCAGCGCCGACGGGTGCGTAAGCGAGGACGAAGGTAACGGTAGAAAAGGCCGTTACGGACGCCACATGGGTGTCTCAGTCAAGAAGAACTCAACATCGTCAGCGACGTCAATGGCTCCTCCCCCAATGTACGAATACAACATGCCGATGGACGGTGCACACTCGATGAGCATGTCCCTGGACAAAAGCAAGAAACGCAAGAGGTAGGGAGATGTGTTGCGAAGACAATCACGTTGGGGTGTTGGATCGGAGCGATGTCGGCTTGGCTTGGTTGCTTCTGCTCATCCCGTATCTCCCTGCACATTCATTTTGGACATTACTGTTAGTCGCATGCCTCTCCTCTCTGGAGTCTTGGATAGCGAAGCTCCGCGTTGCTTTGGCGCCTTCTTGTCCCGCTCCTTGGCGAGGGCGGTAAAAGTGTTTTTTCGCGCTTTATTTCTAGCAGTACGCACCAAGGAAGCGAAGCGAAATTTGAGATTGTCACGGTGTTATAGGATAAGACCGGGCTGGGCTGGTTGAGAGGCATGGGTTCCTAGGGGGCAACGGCTGGGTTAGAGGTTCTGGGTGTTGGAAGACGGGTTTGGGTCATCCATGCTGTCCGCTTTGGCGAGCGTTTTCATATGTTCACTCCTTTACGACTTCGGTTGGCACTGTAGCGAAATCTAGTCGACGATATTCAATGATTAGCTTATTAGAACAAGGCGGTCTCTGATGTGACAGGAGTGACGTTCAACCCACTTATGTCATCTGTATGTACATGTGCGGCACGACCCCCTGCGCCGGTGAGGATTTGGTAACGGTTGCACAACATTGGTGTGATTTTGAAACGCCACAATCACACCAAGCTCCCACAGATGCATGATGCAACAAATCACTGCACTATTGATATCATTTCGATTTTCTACATAAACGGCTCCAATCTTCCAACAGGCCCGCACTACAGTATTGGTCCCAGAACACTGTCAGGCTATTTTGAGACGAGAGCCCCAAGCTTAAGTCGGCAGGAACGGGCTCGAAGTGGGGCGGGGTGGCTGACAGGGATCGGCGCGAACCAAGCTGGCCTTAGAGGCTGTGCTGCCTGCAAGCAATTATCCCTCGCAGTAAGGCGTACGACGCTTTCGCTCGTAAGACGCAGCCTCGTCACCTCGTTGTCTGCTCCGCCCATCTACTCGCCCTGTCGCCGGCTTCTCTCTTCTTCACTACCAGGCGAGGGGAGGTTGCGTGACGACTATTGCCATTGGGAGCCGATTACCTCCTTATCAGCCACAGCTGACCTCTCGGTGCCCCGACCGCCGATCCCCCCACTGAACGCGAGCGCGATGGCCGAGGGCTCCATCAAGTCCAGGATTGCAGCCCTCAATCTCGAGGAAGTTCACACGCCTGTACCTGGTACAAAGCCAATCTACAGCTATGACGCTGCTACTTCCAAGAAGAAGCCACCCCCGCCCCCACCCAGTGCGCGCCCACCTGCCTACTCGCGCCAAACCGTAAACAACCCACCAGTGCTCAGTAATGCTCCTACATCAGCGCGACAATTGGGGAACCAGCCCATGATTGGGAATGAAAGCCCGCAACCAGTCGCAAAGGTTTCTCCGGCACTGCCTCCCCGTCCACCTCCCCGCACTTCCGGTACACCCAAACCGTCACCCGCGCTGCCTCCGCGCAAAGCCTCAGAAACGAGTGTGCGCCGGCGCGAGTCTTCTGAGTCTATATCCACGGTCGCGTCGGGAATCTCAACACTCTCCCTAGGCTCTGCGAAGACCAATGGCACCTACCACAGCAATGGCAGTACGGGCACACTGTACCAGGTCAGGGCTCCTGCCTTCGATCCTGCTAAATTGCCTCCTCTGCCGCCAAAGAGAGCGCCTGAGGGGGAAAGGAAGAGCAGCGCGACGTTGAATGCCATGAAGAGTAAACGGGACTATGTACCTGCCCAGGCCCTTCCCCCAAAGCTCAACACGCCGAGTAAGCATTCAATTTACACAGAGAGCTGGTCCAAAGAACTTGACTGATGTGCACTATGTACAGACCTTCCAGCGCGACCGTCGTTGCCTCTTAGACAGTCTACCGTTTGCGAGCAATCACCTCGGCCTGTACCCGCCCTACCACAGAGACAGTCTTCAAATGAGACATCACAAAAAAGTAGGACAATCGCCCCACCACCACCGCGACGCTCAGCGTTGGAGATGGGCTTCGGTAATAAAGCACCTTCCCCTCCTCCGGTACCCTCAACCCGGCCCCCAGCAATTACATCAGACTCTGTGCCGACTCCTGGAGCACCACCACCCGTTCCACGCTCATCCAGACCCAATCTCGAAGCCATCATGGCCTCCAAGCCCAAGCCGGGTGCCGTTGCGAGCTGTCTCAAATGCCGAGACTTCTCAGGCCCAGATAATCATGCCGCCCAATTCCCGCGTACTCAACTTCCATCTTCGGATGTAGGTTGGCTTGCTCACCAGCTTTGCGCCCCATTTACATCTCCAACAGACAAGGCAAGGGCCATCTTCACTTGGCTACACCACAATGTTGATTACGATGCTCACTCGTTCTTCAATGGCACTGTTTCGCCTACTACTCCAGAGAAGACCATTGCCTCGGGTCTTGCAGTATGCGAGGGATATGCCGGCCTATTCGCTGCTTTGGCTCTGAAAGCCGGCCTGGAGGCTATGGTTTGCTCTGGTGCCTGCAAGGGCTATGGCTATGCCCCACTCGAGCCCGGACAGCCCGTGCCACCCTATCAATCGACCCACGCTTGGAATGCCGTCAAGATTGACAACGGAGAGTGGAAGCTTGTTGATCCCTGTTGGGGAGCTGGGCATCTGGGGTGTCAGATGCGAGGCGAAGGGTATGTCATACCGGTTCTGCCGTTTCCTCTTAGCTTCAGTTCTTTACTAACTTTATTTAGATACATACGGTCCTTTAACCCGAGCCAGTTTATCATGGACAACAACGAGTTTGGGTTAAAACATTTCCCTGGGGAGGCATCCCACCAGTTCCGTACTGACGGGCGTATCGTCTCATATGAGGAGTTTATGCGGGATGATCAAGGTGGGCGTGTACATGTCTTCGGCGATGCATTCAAGGAACACGGTATAGGCGAGCGAACCTTTGAGCCATCACAAGCACAGATCAAGGTAAATGATCCATACGCGCCCGCGGTGGTCCGTTTCCAATTCTCAACCATCTGTCCGCACTGGGATAACGCCCGTCACGGCAAGGGTCCGCCCTATCTTATGCTCCTGAGTATTGCTGGAAGAGATGGTCGCAAGCCAGACTACGTACCTTTCAACACTGACGGACACACGTGGTGGCTTGACGTAGCTCGAAATGAGCTTGGTGCACCCGGCCAAAAGATTGGACTTAATGCAGTCACGGTTTTCAATGGCAAGGACGCTCGGGGCATGAGCGTTAGCACTTGGAACAACAAGACAGCCTACTCATGCAACTTTGGCTGCGTGGCGTCGTGGGAGCTTGTCTGAGACCCATAGTCGTCAGTCTCAGCTCATGGACGAAAACTTTGTTCAATGGCTCGAACCGCGTCCACAACATACAGGCTTCAGGTTTTGAGTGCGGAGCCTTGAATGACATTGACGTCGGTAAATTTATCAATTCATATACCCTGGTTTTTGGTTCATGTTTGGCAGTTTGTATAGGCTTGTTGTAGTTAATTAAGTTTCTATGTAACGTGGGAGTTTACCAATACATAAACGCAGCACAAATGTATCACAGCATGTGAAGATATGCAGCCTTACATCAGCAGCCGTTAGTGGCTGATCTGTGGCTGAATCCTGGTGCCTTAGCTCGATCCGCGAAATAGTGCACCCAGGTCGTGAGGTAGGAACAGGGTTCGCGCGCACGCACTCGCACCCTCGTCCTACTTGTCCAACATTCGTCCGACCCAAGTCGCCTTTCCCTACGAGCACAATTTACCCAGGCCGTACTTTTCATCTCTACTTGTCAAATCCGCCACATATTGGCCGCTCCGTCCTCTGGGAACTTTCACTCTCGCGTTGCAAGGTCCCCGCCCGTCGCAGGGCCTGGGGAAGCATCGCTCGCTCTCCTTCGCAAACATGGCGACGGGATTTGTGGGCCTCTCAGTCGCGGTGACGCTACAGAATCCCCAGGGAGCTGTTTTGGTGGGCGTAGTCAGTGGTGTTGACCCGCAGACGTCTACTCTGACGCTTCAAGATGGTATGTTGCTCGGTCTTGTATTTTCCAGTCCAGCTCATTTCGAGCTTGAGGCAACATCTCACCATGTAGTGCCGAGGTATACGAGCATGTTTTGACCGACTATCACCATGTACTAATAGACTTTTAGTCTTCTTCCCGAGTTCTGGCCACCGTTTGGCTTCGTATAAAGTAGAGGGGCATATGATTGCGGACATCAAGGTCAACACCCCTGCGCCTGCTCCTCCCCAGCCTGCTTCGTACTCTCAATATGCGCAATCACATGCGCAGCAAAACCCACAAAACATTGGCCAGCCAATGCCGCACATGGTCAATCAACCGTCGTCAATCCCGCACGCTCACCAAACCTCACGTCAAACCGTCCCCCAACCAGCTCAAGCTGCACCCTTCGTCGATCCTGCCATACTCAGCATGGGAAAACGTACATCCAGGGCTTCCTCTCTCATCCAGCCCGTGGCTGCAGCACCGCAAGAAGCTCCCGCCACGCCTATTAAGCCTATGACTGCTGCGAGCGCCGCCACTGTATCGAATAAGAAGCATCACAATATCCGAAAGCCAAGTGCGGCTACGCTAGAAGGACCCTTTTCGTCGCTGGATATTGCGGATGCTGAGGAGGCAGATACTGAGGCAAAGACTGCTCAAGCTATGGCTCGCAGGGTGAGCATCAATACGACTAGAACTGGTAAGCCTATGGATGATTCAAGTCCACAAAAGAACGACGACGCTGGCAAAAAGACTCGGAGAGGGGGCAAGTCTCGTAAGAAGGAACTTGCCGCTCAAGAGAGGAAGAACGGATTGGGCCCAGATACCAGCAGGAAAGGGTACGTGCGATTCTTAGATATGGGACAGGCAGAACGAAAGTATGTTCCACAGAAGCTAACTGATAATAGCAAAGGTAATGGTTGGAGGAATACCCCCATGCTACAGGCTGCCGAGCAACCAGAGACTAGGACACCTGGTGTTATTGGCGGACGGGTCGGCCTTGCAGCAGCAAACGCCTCGAACCGCAAAACGAAACGGCAGCAGGCTCTTGAGGCAACCAACGGCTGGGCTACAGAAGACGCAACCGATATCCAGGAACTCCCCGAGTTCGACTTCCAGAGCAACCTCTCCAAATTTGACAAGCGGACTGTGTTCAACCAAATTAGAAATGAGGATACGACTGCAGATGAAGATAGACTTGTCAGCTTCAATCGCTTAGCCAGGCCTGGAACACACGGCGGGAAGAACCTACACCCTACAGAGAACGTATTGGACCGAAAGCTGAAAAGCACAACCAATACAAGCTCCGAAGAAGAGTCGGAATTTGGTAGTGGGCGCAACTCTAGACGAGCAATGTCAAGGGCTTCCGTTAAGAGAGCACCAACAAGGCAAGGCAGTGCTGTCGGTGTACAAGCAGACATGGACATGATGGGCTCTGGCGTGCTCCGTGCTAATCGCTCGTTTATCAACCGACCTTACGCATCTTCTCATGCGACTGGTAGTCCTAGGCCTGGACGTGTTGCTACGCCTCCCGACTCACCTCTTGAGTCCAGCTCAAAGGGCTGTCTACGTCTTATTTCGAATAATCGCAAGTGTTTTGCCATCACCCCTGGTAGCATGCTGGCGGTCGAAGAGACCGCAGAGGTGGAGTTTGGGCTTACGGAAGATCTCATCGCAGAGAGTTCCGGCCGAGGTATCGCTGAAGTCGCACTGACTGCCATAAACCCTGGTGGCAGACGACTCGCTCGCGACAATCCCAATCCCAACCCTGTAATAGTTGTGCTGGCAGGCAATCACCGAGGAGGCGCGCGGGCCATAGCAGCAGCACGGCAGCTTGCTCAACGCGGCCCGAAAGTCATGGTCGCCCTTCTCGGCTTCGAGCGCAACGCCGACTGGGACAAGGACATACGGCGACAAGTTGAGCTCTTCCGGAAATTCGGGGGTTCGGTGCGCGCCTGGAAAGAGACGGAAGAAGCTCTCAAGCGGCTCCAAGCACCACCCGAACTCATCATTGACGCTTTGTTAGGTCGTCACAAGGAGTTCGAAGCACTTGGTGATGGAGACCAGCGAGTGGTTCTAAGCATTGTAGGGTGGGCGAATAAGTCGCGTGCTGCCTGCCTCGCAGTCGAAACGCCATCAGGCTTAGGTGGCTTAACCGGCGAAGTCTCCATTCTTGAAGGCGAGCCGCTCGAAGTCCGCGCAAAGTACATTGTATGTCTCGGTGCGCCGCGAACAGGGCTTCTGAGAGCACTCCAGAATGGCGCCGGACGGGATCCTGAATGGAACATCTGGATCGTCGATATTGGGGTTAATAAACCCTGGCGCAGCGCTGGTATCAGTGGCGGCAAAGGCATCAAGTTCGGTGAGCAGTGGGTCGTTCAGGCGAGATTCGAAGAACCGCCTGCTCTTGTCGATGGCGGTCGCGCCTAGCACGTCGATACCGATGAGCCTCCCAAGTTGGGGCCCTGGAGCCAGAGCGACTGGAGAGCAGAGAGGCCTAAAACAGCCTCTTCACACTCTTCAAATCGCCTGAAGGTAAAGAAACTCCTTCAACAGGCTGTCCTCAAGAAACCCACCGGAGAACCAGTACATAGTTTTCTGGAGTGGATGTCGTTTCTTTGTTTGATTATTGTTATGCATTGCGTGGGCGTCTATAGGTAGGCAAGCGGATGGCTGGGAAATTCGTTGGGTTGCCTAGGTGGTAGGCTTCCCAATTTTGTTACGATGACTATGTCGGGATGAGATGGGATGGGGTTTTCATGGGCTTGTGGAATATGGATACCTCCAAAAGTAAAAGGATCATCTTCTGGCTGTTGGGTAAAGTTGAGATGGCAACTAGCTAGCTACTAGTTCAGCAATTGTAGCAATATATGCATTGGTATAAAATGTCTTTCTCTTTCTCCTCCAGTTTCCAGTGGTACATGTATGTTTTCTCGCTATTCTAGGGGGTTTCAGTTACTCAATTAACTATTCCTATCTCATAGAGAGTCATTTATGATAATCAATCTCGCTTCCTCTAACCTTTCCCACGAGAAGATTAACATATCAAACCTCTTTCTGTTGCGCGACTTCATGTTCGCGCTTGCGGGATAGCGAACGACCTAGGTGGGCGGCTAGATTCGGAGCAACGAAAATGACAGAAGTCTATATATGTTGGTGGTAATCTCTATGTATCATAACATGCTCAAAACATGCTCAAAAATTCAAAGCCTAGACCCAGCACTCTTCCACCCCCTCTCCTCCTCCAAACCAGCAACAAACCCACATACCCTCCTCACCAAATCTTCCACCACATCCTCTGGATCCCCGTCTAAATTATGATGTGCACCCTTTACCACACCACCATCCTCATCATCCACAACCCCACCTCCCTCGCGTATAATCCGCGTCCATCGCTTTAGCAAAGCCGCCCTATCCACCTTCTCCGGTACATACGGATCCAGCTCGCCTAACAAAAAGCACACGGGCGTCGTCGCCGGTATTCTCCCAAACGTGCTCGCAAAGTGTTCGTCTGAAAGGTCGCTGGAAAAGTAATCGTCATCGCCACCTTTCGCCAGTAGAGAATACGCTCGATACGCAGTCAACGGGCCACCCATTTCTTCCAGCACACGATTGCCCTCACGCGACAAAACCTCACTCCCCTTGCCTTTCTCCACAAACTCCCTCGTCTTGCTAATCGCATCCGCCAAATCCTGTTTCGCCTTTCCTTCTTTCCCGAAATCCTCCCATGCCTCACGGTCACTGACGCCACCCTGGAGTATCACGCCATCCAGGCTCTCCCGCTTATCATAATCTTTGCCTACGAGGTACTCCATGATATCCTGACAGCCGGTTGAGTGGCCCATGACGACGACCTTTTTCCCTGGTCGGAGGTTCTTGAAGTACGAAACGCATTCGTTTAGTTCGCGGGCGTCGCGTGCGAGGGAACCTGTGCCCCAGCCTTTGTATGAGGAGGAGAGGAGGACTTCGGAGAGGGTCCATGTTGGGGGGAGGGATTTTGCGATTTGCGTGGGGTAGGGGACGGTGAGGAGGCCGTCGGTTAGGCCGCCGACCCAGAGGAGGGTATTTGGTATGGTGGTGGAGGAGGAGGAGGAGGAGGAGGAGGAGGGAGTGGGCGCGTGCTCGAATGCGATGCGACGTTTGGAGTACTTGTGGGCGATGCCTGGGTGTGCCATTGTTGTGGTTACTGTGTTGGGGGTGGGTGTTGGATAGTTGTGGGCATAAAAGGAGTTTACAAAGCTGTAGCGGAGGAATTATCAAGGAGTAATGACAGAGTAAGGAGAGGATTGAAAAAAAAGCAGCTCGTGTTATGAAAGAGAGACGCGTTGCGTACTCAAGTGGGGCATTGGATGGTGGGGTAGCTCCTCCAACGCCAAAAAGTCTTCGTTCGTTCTATGCTTCGTGACTTTAAACGTGTCTAAGTTCGCTTAGTTGTGTACATGTAAGTTAGCGGCAAGTATTTCAGAGCAAAGCATACAATGGCACCACACATGTTGAGAAATAATTTCCATAAATCTAGCAACAACTTTAGTATGATTTCAACTCTTGCGTAGTACATCGTCTCCAACGAGCCCCCATGGGATCATGAAAGAGTGACAGGAATCAGATTCTCATCTCATCCTGAACATACCCGCACTGAAGCTACAGTGACCCCTTCTTGTATCGTCTCCCACACTCCCAGTATAGACTAACATGGGGTGCGAGATTTACGGAGCCTGCATGCGCTGATATGCGAGCTGATTACTGGCATGAATCCATGCGACGGTGCCTGAAGAACAGTGACTAATGCAAGTTACAGCATGGGATGGACCATTTATCGATATCGGTGCCAACGCACTGGCGGTCGCTTTCTCTGATCTTGTCGACCAGACATGCCGTAACCGGACGGTTGATGGCGACGCATGTCTTGCTCGGTCGTACGGAAGAGAGTGGCTCGCAGCCAAAACGTGTAAATTACCAGTAGGACTTGTCCCTACGGTATTATGAAGCAAAGGATCAGTCATAGACGTTGCTGGTGCCGATCTGGCTGGCGAAAGCCGTGGACACGCTACGAGCGTCATCATCCTCGAAGCCACCTAGTCCAGCACGCAGACCACGACTAGCACCAAATCCAGTGCCAACGTTCGGACCCTGGCGAGTAGACTCGACAAATCGGTTGAGGCGGTCCGACTGACTGAGAGATGTGGGCTTGTTGTAGTCGTTCAAGCTCAAACCAGAAAGGCTGATGCCTCCAGGCGCATCGCTGCGAGTATCCGTAAGCTCGCTAGCAGCAACCGACTCGCCAGCAACGCTGGGAGGTGCGCCATTCTTGCCCTTGCCGTTGGGACGACCCGGGAGAGGCCACGACTCCTGGAAATTGGAGAACATGGGAGGGTAGTTGGTGGGAACACCGACACCACCAAGCGCAGAGGAGTGAACCGAGGACACATCGTCCGGAATATATCCGACAATGGAACCGTTGTCGTTGTACTCTTGGCGAGGCTTATTTCCGTTGAAGCCAGTGGCGGGTCGACCAGATGTCATGGCATTGGCGTGTTGGTAGGCCATCTGGTAACGCTGAGGGCCACGGTAGGTCTGCTTTGGGCGGCTAAACTGCAGAAGTGAGACCTGCAGGTTGGTCAAAGGACCTTCAACCAGGCAGTTGCGCTCCTTGAAGTGGAGAAGAAGGTAATGCCACAATGGGTGCTTGGAAAGGACTTTAGGATTACCCAGGATGACAAGACCGTATTTCGCACGAGTAAGAGCGACGTTGAGACGTCGAGGGTCGCTCAAGAAACCGATGCCCTGGTGATCGTTGGAACGGACACACGACAGGATGATGAAGTCCTTCTCACGGCCCTGGAAAGCGTCGACCGAGGCAACCTCAACTTCCTTGTAATTTTCCTTCTTGAAGCTACCCGTTGCCTGCATGGAGCTGACAACATAACTGCGCTGACCTTCATATGGGGTGATGATACCGATATCGCCAGGCTGTACACCGGCCTTGAAGAAACGAGTGACAATCTTCTCGACATTCTGTGCCTCTGTACGGTTAAGGTAGGAGGTTCCAGAGGCTGATATTTCCTCTGCACCGAGGTTGGACCAGAACATCATGGGACTGTCGACAACAGGCCAAGGAAAATCGACATCACGACGAATACGCTCCTGCATCGTGACACCATTCTGGAGGGAGCCTTCGTAGAACATGTTGGAAGGGAACTCAGATAGGCATGGGTGCATACGATACTGAACCTGGAGTCGGATCGGAGAGCATCCCAGGATAACAAGACGCTCGAATAAAGACTGGTTCAGTCCAGCGGTGGCTGCCTTCTTGTTCATGATGACGGGTCCCAGTTGTTGATGGTCACCGACAAGTACGACCTGCTTACATCCAAGTACAAGTGGGATCATACACTCTGGCTCTGCGGACTGTGTAGACTCGTCGATGAGGACAGTGCGGAACTTCATCTTGGAGAGACGAGGATCACCAGCACCAACACACGTGCAGCAAATGACATCGGCTGCCATGAGGATCTCACGTTCAGCTGCGCGAGTGAGCTGCTTGAACTTCTTCTCATCCTGACTTGAAAGCTCGCCCACGTCGCTCTTCAGCTGGTTCAACTTGTTGAGCTCGACGTTGGTGTCGTTCATGCGAACCTGCTCATGGAGGGAGAGGAAGCCAACAGGAGACTCGACATCCTCTCTAGACTTTGCCGTAACACGAACAGTCTTCAATCCAGTGAGATGAATACGTTCGCACAGCTGATCAACAGCGACGTTGGAAGGTGCGCAGACCAGGACTTGGCTTTGGCTGATCTTGCACAAGTGGTAGATGATGGTGGCTGAAGTAACCGTCTTTCCTGTACCGGGCGGGCCTTGGATCAAGCTGAGCGGCTTCTGGAGAACGCTCTTAACAGCATTGATTTGACTAGCGTTCAGCTCGGGAAGACCTGGGACGCTGAACTTGCGAGGGATCTGGATCTTCATGGGCGCAGCTGCAACCTCGTGACCAAGGAGACGGTGGAAAATGTAGCCAGATACGCTCATCTCGTCGATGGCAAACGTCTTCATCGCGTGCTGCATTCGGTCGAAGGATGTGGCCTTCCAGACGTAGTCGGCACTGAAGTTGTGGGTACACTCAGTAGGGACTGACTTGTGATCGCCCTTGGTACGCAACTCAATTGTAACCTCGTCAGACTGGTTGTTGGGGATCTTGATAACGTATCCAACGCCTTCCCAGTGAGGGCGGAGTTCTCCGGTGTACCGCAATCGCATCTCGTCACCAACTGCAAGCTTTACGTCGCCCAGTTCGAGTTTAGGGAGGATGAAGCTAGCCGTGTGCTTGTTGTTCAGGGCCATGTCCCAGCGAACTATGAGGTTATCCTGTGACTGCGATTCCTTCAACTTGCGGTCATAGTCGGCCTCAATCTTGACCAGGGGACCGAAAACATTCTGGTACTGGAAAGCGTCGTCATAGCGGAGCAAGACCTTGGCAATAACCTCCTCTTGGCCAGCGCCCTTCTCCAGGTCCGCAATGGTGGCGTTTGCATTATCTTTCCATAGCTCTTCGAGTTTCGCAATGGTCTGGGGGCTGAGGTGGCGGGCACGGAGCTGCTCTTGGTCGGTCGGGGCAGGTACGAGCCAGGGGAGGAAGGAACGATCTTCAATCAGCGGCTGCCAACGTGACGTGTCCCAGTTCATGTCCTTTTGCGAGGGCATGGCAGCGCATGGCTGACGGCAGAGGAGAACAACAACCGTGTCTGATTTGGCGGGGATGAAGCCGAGGAGAAAGACATTCTTTGTACCGCAGTTGTAGCATTCGAGAGTTGTGTCGCCGAGAGAGGAGGCGGGGTGCAACTGGACTTCCTTGTGACGGGCGCGGACGAGATGGTTGATGATGTGCGAAGACGACGAGTTACCGCGGGCACTACAGAACCACTTGCTGCAGGCAAGGCACTTGACAACACTGCCGGCATTGTGAATACCACAGTATGCGCCTAACACAACAAGTTAGTATGGACATCCGACCGTATATCTGCCACTTCCAACGTACAGGCATGTGCCGGGAGTTCGACCTCAGCGTCCTCGGCCCGCATGGCAGACTGGCCGTTCCTTCCACCGACAGGCATGCTGGCCATGCTCTCCAAGTCATCTTCGTCGTACTCTTCGTCGTCGTCGGCGCGTCGCCTGCGTGAAAGACCGCCGCGGGCGAGGTCGCCATCCAAAATGCCCTCGTCTACATCGCCGGCGTTAATAGTGGCGGCCGAATCGGATACCAGGTGGTTGCCCATGTGCGTGAAGGCGCCCTCCATGGTGGCAGTTTGCGCCTAGGGCTCCCTCTAATTATAGATATTTCCTATCTTCGTGGGGTTTGAGTCTTTGTTGGCGAGGCTATCGCTGCCGAGTTTATCGGGGGCTGGAGAAAATATTTAGGCTGAATGTTCACACCATTTCCAGCGCGAGAAGATGTTGTTGCGCGTGCGGGTTTGCGCGCGAGATTTGTTAGTGTGGCGGCGAAAGATTGTGTTGCAGCGAGGCCATACCGAAGTTCAGCGGGGTCGGAGGTCGGAGCACAGATCCCTTAGCGCCGTTTGAGCCTGAAGCAATCATCCAGCCAATATCTCTTTCTCTCTCACATGGCCGAGCACTCAGTTACTTTCGATTAGTTCCCTCCAAGTCAGTCTGATACTCATCAATTTCGAGTACTTGATTCATTCTCTAGTCCTTGAGTTCAAGACTGTGATTGTCGTGAGTCCATGGTTGCTGATACTCACCTCGCTTTACCACATTCTCTCATATTTCACTCCCTTCATTGCATTGCTACATATAGCAGACAGCAATGAAATATCCTCCGTCCGGGAACCACTATATCGGTGGCGCTCAGCTATACATCATATGCCGCAGAGCCGCATTTGTGGATCCTCTCACTCTGGTACAAAGTATCTTCGAGCGACAGCTAGCCGTATACGCCATCATACTTCCCAAGTATTCACCAGCTCTCCATCATGCAGCATCTTTCTCCGCGCCATCAATGCTACAGAACCTGCAGGGTTTGTCGACAACCCCGAAACCTTTAGTCAAATGACCTCCAACCATTCTTACTAGGAATCGCTAGCATAAGATAGCCATCCAGAGTACATTGCATCTCTTACCGAACCCATACTTGTTCAAACTGTATCTCCCCTCTCTTGAACCATATTAGTCACTACACAGAGGACGGCATCGAGATTACGATATCGGTATACCGTATCTGGTAGAGCGAGCTTACAGTTTCTAGGAGAATCCATCATGTACGAAAGCATGAAATCAAGCTCATGCAATCGAAATGCAACTCATTATCCAAGCGAGGACACCCCCCACGCCTGTGTAACCGAATGACAGTATTTTACCTGTATCATACAAGGCGCTGTGCCTACCCCTCCATCATGGATTTCCGCAAAGGCTCCTGCCGGCGCTACGAACACACAAGCACTCGCACCGGAGAGCATTCTGATGCCCCACATCTCTTCTACATATTTTGCAGCCACTGCAACATCAGCTTAGTTTAATTCGTTCCGGGAAACAAGGTAAGAGCGTGCCGTGCGGGACTGGCCGGGTGATCGATCAGGACTCGTCTATTTGGTGCGGGGTGCAGCTCTCGCATGCAACTTCCACCACTGACATCTGTCACCAAACTGGATGTCCAAGTCGACCAATCAGCCATGCAGCTTGCACAAGGATGGTCCTGGTGAAAAATACGGAAAGAAGAAACTACAAGTATCAAATGGATTGTGTTGAGCATCTCGCGGGAAATGCGGGCCAGATGATAGAACAGTTCGTGTATGCATGTACTCACCCACACTCCTTGACGCTCGCGCTTCCTGATAACAATTCAATCATATCAACCAGGGATACCCAAGTTACGAACGGTGTCTTCAGACAAGACAAGACCACGCTACGCATCGAATTGGTAGTCTCCGATACCTTCCTCATCCGATTCGCTGTATGGCTCAACCATTGGGCTAGCCTTTGGCCATTCGATGTTACCGAAACATCGATCCGAAGAGAGAGGACCGCTTTCCAGCTGGATTACCAGGGGGTATACTGTATAGATGCTTGATGCATCGATCGTCAGTGCCATCACCACAAGTATCGATTATCTTCAAGCCGCCTTGAGCGCAGTCACTGACGGCCCATTAGTGCGCATTGAAAGTAACTGCCGGCTTTTGAGGTGGTCAGGCATATGTCAGAGTACAAATTCGTCCACATTGATGCTTGTCTTATCCTGCCGATGCGACCGAAACTGGTCCAGAACCTACATGCATCTCAGCTGCATATCCTGAGAGATTCAGGAGCTCACTTACATCATTTTGTAGGATATGCAATCAAGAAAGGTATTCATACGCGTCTATCACTGCAAGAAGTGCATGTAGCACGGGCAGAAGTCAGTCATTGTAAGAGATGGAGCAGCGACGATCGAATAGCAGAATGAGGCTTCATGCCTCCGCATGCATATGCATCTCCAATGACTTGGAAGTACAACAGGACACCGATGTCGAGCGCTACAGCTGTCATAAGACGACGCCTTGCATCTGGACCATGCAAATGACCAAATCCGCAAAATAGAAGGCCTTCACCGGAGGTTTATGAGGCTGTGGTACCATCGGCTATCAGTTCATGCGGAGCCCCCACAGCTTGTACCACGTTGCTCAGCGTCTTTCCAATGCAGGTTCGCATGCTCGCTTGCGACTCAGCCGACCTGTTGCGAGATATGGCGACCGATGAAAGCGTAACCTTCCGCAAATTGCGCAATGATTGACATGTATGCAAGTGAGCATGCAGCTTGCTCGCAAACTGACTCGATATTCGGCCAGAAAGCAGCAATCTACCTAAACGAAAAGGCGGACCAGGTTGAGACGACATACGGCGTCCAGCGCGCTTATCCTGCAAATTGCGGAGTTTACCAAAACCGCAAGTCCTTACAGAACAGGATTCCGCCCCGCACAAGCGAGCCATGCCCCAGAAACGATCTGCTTCTATTCTTGTGTAGGCGAACACAAATGACTTGCTTACAGAAGCAATAGGCAGCAGCCTCTTTTTTCACAGACCAAGAAAGCACGGTGATACAATCTGATCTAGGTCAGCTTGTCACATTCTCGAAGCGGAAAGCCTGCAGTGCCAGCCTCAGCAGCCATGCATCTGCAACGCCTGTACCACGTAGCCTCAGATTGTGCCAATCGGCCCTACTTTATGTCGTACAGCAACACGGACGCAAGGCACAAGACCCATGCCACAACACGCGAAAGTCTGTCGGTCATCTATCCGAGGAGATAAGGCTTGCGATTAGTATGGCGCAGACTGTCCACATACCATGCCCGCATCACAGCGAATCCTAGATACAGGTAAAAACACGCCGTATATCCATCTCGGACCCCACCACGCTTGCCTCGTGCTCGGACAACGCAGCTAGACTAAAGAGTAAAGGAAATCGCACACTAGCCTAGTAATGATAGCATCACTCGCATATGTTCTGCATGGAGACATGCGCCTCATCTCCGATTTCCCACACAAGTAGGAAATTGATATTCGTGTTATCCACGGCGAACAGAAACTAGAAGCCTCATTTTCTTCGTACTGCTCTCGGCTGGCGCGCATAGCTTGAGAAAACATGTCGATACTGCAGTAACTGCCTTGACTTCTTGCTAGTGACCGCGCAGCTAGGCACGCCTTATCATCACCTAGTCCCGCGTATGCTGTCAGACAAACAAAACGCTCGGACCGCATCTTGCACGTTTTCATTGACGTGCATGCTGTGCAACATAGCATGGCCCGAGCACGCAAGCACGCACGCTTAGACGAGCGGGGGAGGATTGCATGGTCGGCCATGTGATGTGATGGATGTGGTGGCTGCCGTCATGACTCGGTACATGGACGTTGTGGTATTGTGTTACGAGACTAGAACGCCCCAGCCTGCTCCGTAGTAAGTCGGATGGGGGCAGAGGGACAGAGCACAGGTAAATAAGACAGGGGTATTATTTTGGATATGCGACAGGGAAGAGGGAGAAGCGCGCACAGCCTTTGCTTACGGACGACTGCAGGACCGGAGTCAGGGTGATTGCGGAGGTTTGCACAGCCGCAGGTGTTTGTTGCGAAGGGGGCTTGCGGGTGCAGATGGAGAGAGAGCTGTGCCGTGGAAGGCGTATGGAAGGATGACGGGGTCACGGTCGTAGCCGTGTTGTTGACCTCATTGATCTCATACTCACTTAGTTTCCCTCTACTGTCAGCTGGATAGCCAATTCCCTTTCCCATTCACCGCCCCTCACCTACGCCTGATTCAATCCACAACAGTGACAGCTTCTATCTAAACTACTCACCGCTCCCACCCGCTCCCCCACCCGTCCCCATTGAAAGAAAACCCTTCGCTCGTAATCACCCCTTTAACCTCCGAAGGAAAGAAAAGTGAAGCAAGCCACAACAGACCCCTCCCCCATAGAAAAAAAAACTCTCCAGAAGAAATCCCGCTTCCACGGCCAAACCTCCGGAGCCTCGCCCACTCCAGCCCAGCCCAGCCCAGCCCCTCAGGGGATCTCTTCCCCGTCCGTTCCTCTTTACCCTTACGCCGCATAATCGAGTTTTCCGTCCGTCTTCCGTTTCCCGTTAGAAATTGCGTGTACCTACCATGCTAGCCCAGCGATAATATTATTGTCTGTGCTTGCGGGGAACGAGATACCCACTCTTCCGCTGCCGCCACTGCCCGCCCGCAGCGTTTCAGCGCACGGTACGCAACGCACGCACGGCTGGACATGGGGAGCGTGTGTGCGTGGGCTTAGCGGAGCGCTGTTGGCTGCTGCTGCTGGTTTTCCCCCCGAAGCGGGTGGGCGGTTCCCGCTGGATGGGAAAAGTAATGTGTGGATGGATGTTTAAGGAAATGACCGGTTGGGAGGGGAAGGGGAGGGGGGAGCTGCTGGGAGCGGGGGGAAGGCGGTGGGTGAGGCGGTGCTGGGTTTTGGGGTGTGGTAATGACGGTGAGGGTGTTTGGTGGCTCTTTTGGTGTTGTTCGTAGACGTAATAGAATGGACAGATTACCTATGCTATGACGCTCTGTTCTACTGTCTTCCCTCGGAGACGTTGTTTACTGAGTAAATCGGGCTGTCATCTACCCACACACATACCGTGATAACAAAACCCATTATAATCCATTCACACCACGTCTGTCCGCCTCTCACCACGGACATATTTTCCGTCTCCTCTCAAGCCCTCTGTTCATAAATAATCATATTCAAAACCAGCATAAAGCTGCCATCATCAACCTTCTGCATCAAATCGTGCCGATACAATCGCCTCGGCTCGGCAGACCGACCAAAAAGCTGCATCGCTCGTGTGGGGTTCACATTCGTCTAACCATAACTCTTAAGCCGAGGGAAACGTAGCATCACATCATGCGCAATGCGCAGCGCATGCATCAACTCACGAGAAAAAAAAGCCCGTGTGTGAGCGCGTGAGCATCGCAACAACAGCCTTAGCAGCACAGAAAGATGCGCTGGCACTGTCTTCACACACACACACCTACCTCCCTCTCGTCTCAATCAGAATTGCAATTGCCGACAGGGACAGCACGGTAATCATCCACCAGCGCACGTACACGAAACATCACACATGATCACCAGAAAAATTGTCGGTTCATCATCGTGTCCCCAATCCAAGGCTACGGGCACAAGAACCGAGCTGGCCTAAGCAGAAGCGTTAGTTGCTAAATGCGCCGAACTAGCCTAACCAACCAGACTAAACAAGGCCAGCGAATTGCCGAAACATGTCAGAAGTGAAGCTTGGGGTTAGATACCTAACTAGACAGAAAGAGTGACAGCACGAGCTAGACAGAGGACGTGCAGCATCCGCAGGTGCCACGTCAACGAACGTGGATTTCCATTTTTTTTCCTCTGTGTGGTGTGTGTGCTTGCTCCCAAAAAGAAGACTAAGAGAGACTTTACTTGGGTAGGAATGTTTCACACTAGAGCCCAGCTTGCTTACCACATGATTGATGTTCTTTGCGGCTCCGAGACGAAAATGGGGTTGGGCAGGTTTACATGTTGCAAGGCGCTTGCTTGGGTATGGGCGGCGCACCGCGTTCGTTAGCTCTGCATGTATGCGACGGCTGTTTTCCTTTCGTAGCATGGATTGTTGGAGGGGGGTTCCATGCAGCTTTCCGGCGCAAAGGAACTGACGTACTATCTGTCTGTTCACTTGGGAGATGTCAGGTCATCACAGACAGAACACAGCAACAAAGGAAGCGTTGGAGACAGTAATTTGAATGTCAAAATTAAAACTTCGACTTGACGCATCGCTGCGCGGAAGCTTATGGTATCATTTCTAAATGTTGAGTGGTATCTTCCTGATTGTGTGATTGTGTCCCCCGCCTTGTGATGATCCCATGCAATGCCACGCCGATGATGACCCCATCCGTATTTCCCAAGCCACAAAAGAAGGCAACATTGGCCGATGCACCCATTTCCTTGCAAGCAAACGAAAAATGCCCGGCCCGGCCCATGTAAACGATTTAGAAAAGAAGCCCCCAAACCATGTCCTGCATCGAAGCTAACATTGGCCTACAGCCTATCGCATCCCAACAAGCACAGGTCCATTGGGATGCGATGAGAAAGGTAAGTTGAGAGAAAAAGAAAGGAAAAAATAAAAACAAGATCAGCACCGCACCACCAAAGTCCCGCACGACGGGGCCGAATGAACTACGCAAATGCTTATTTGTCGTAAAGTCGTAAAGCTGCCAACAGAGGAAACAAAACAAGATGTTGGAAAAAAAAGGTCTGTACAGGGTAGTGCTCGAGCAACGAAGCTCCATGAGGAACAAAGCAAGTCTATAGGATATCGCCAAAATGCAGTGAAATAAGGTTGCTCGCCGGCAAACCCTGTAGAATCCCCATAGTGTTGCTGCGCCGATGACCGATCTGAAAACAAAGTGTTGGTCAAGAAAGGGTATATGCTAGAATGGAAGGAAAGAAAATGAAGCGATCGACGTCCAGTAGGACGATAATCTGGGATAACTTTTATGAGCTAGGCGCCGAGACCGCGATGGGTCCCATGTCAGGCACTGTTGTTCGATGGATTCTCGATAGCCGTCGGAAGGAAGCGCTCTATGCAGAGTCGTTGCGTAATGTTTCAGTCTCCGATCCGCGGTTCGCATTTGTTGGTGGTAGGGAACGGAATTAAAGGCCGTATCCCTGGCTGTGCCGCAAGGCCAGCCCGAAAGCAAGGAACCCAAACGCCGTAGGTTACCAATACAAGTCGCTGTAGAAAATGATGGTGTATGGTACAAATGCAGCTGACAGAACTTGCCGAACGGCCGCGTGGCGGCGTCGTCAGCTGGAAGAGTGGCGTCATCCTACAAGCTTTTGCTATCGCTCAAAGGTACTCGAGCGGCTAATTGTGTCAAAGTCGGATTCGCGCGACTCGCTTCCGGTGCGCTGCTGCTCATCTTTGCGTCTTCTGCGCTCACTGGGCGCACGGCTAATCAAGCGCCTGACAAAGTTGCGGCTCGATTTAGCGCTTGTAGGCTCTTGAAGCGGGCTGGCTGGCTCAATGGACGATCCGCAGGAAGCGATGCCTGAAGGTTCGGGTGCATCGACAATGTCTTGCTTCTTGATTTTGCAGAACAGGGTGGAGAACAGGTATTGCTCGCCATTGCTGTCGTAGAGCGGGAGATGGCGGTAACCCTGTTGGATGCTGTTGAGCTTGGCGGTAAAGGTAGCAAGAGGGGCATGGTTGGTTGTGCGTGCATCGAGCGAGTTCCAGACAGTCCAGCGGACGAAGACAAGACTGGGATACCTTGTCGTGACTGTCATATCAATTTCGTTACCAAACTCGGGGTTGTACCCATTGCCCTCGACGATGCGAGTACGCTTGCGCAGAGGGTTGCCGATCCCGGAATGGCCGTTGCGAGCTGACGCATCCTGTCCACCAACACCAGTGGCATTCGCACCCATGTCTTCTGCACAGTACATCTCAAACTCGACATACGGGTTGATGTTAGCTTCCTGGCCTAGACCGCGGGGGCGCGGTAGCTGTTGAGCGGAGATGATCTGCACAGTGAACTTGACTTCCTTCTTGGGTGCCTTCTTGTGGTCGATGTTGGGTGACTCCAGACGGAGCGCGGCAGGCTTGAGGACGTAGCCCGTGCGGTCGTCACCACTCGCAAACATGGCTTCGTTTAGCTGTTGGCCAAGATCGTACGTTTGCCAGTTCAGAGCAGCCATCTGAACACCGCGACGCCAGCACTTGAGAGGATCAAAGTTTGACGAGTTGATGCGGAAAGCGTGAGGGTATACACGCATGAGGCACCGCATGTTGTGTTCCTCAAGCAGGTGCTTTTCGCGAGCTCCAGGCTTGGTAAGCTTATCGAAAGCTCGCTCGTTGATCGAGAAGACGTGGTTGTAAGTGTTTGCACTTGCACTAGCGAAGTCGGTGAACTTGACTCCTTTAGTGTATACACCGAGATTGCCAAGCTCCCTTGTAATGTTACTAGTCTTGTTCTTCTTCGGCTTGCGTCGGTCATCTGCAAGCTCGGTGGTTTCAGCGGTAGTCACATTTGGGCTGTCGCTGTCTTCAGCTGAGCTAACAACGGCCGAAGTGGGCAGCGTGTTGTTTGAAGTTCGCGGTGTCGCCCAAAACGTAGCGGCTCGCTCTGGCGGGCTAAACGAAGAGGGACTGGAAAGAAGAGGCGAGTTCGGAATAAGGTTGTCGTTCAGATGCACTGGTCGGGACCAGGGAGAGCTGTAGCTGCGCTGTCTTCGGGACGTGATTTCGCCCACGAGAGCCCTGGTATCAAAGTCTTCACCAGCTGCGGCCTTGACTTTGATCAGAATTCGATGCTTCAGTTCCTCGGGGCTAGGAAGCGACTGTGACTCAAAGTCCAATGGCTGAAGAACCAGCTTGTCGCCGAATTCTTGGATCATGATCTTGGCCATGGCGGATTGCTGGATCGCGGAGCAGTGCACTTCAAGCGAAAGAATGACCGGGTAGGGCGACTCTGTAAAGGCGTATTTGTTGATGACCTTGATGGTGTCCTGGAACAGGATGCTCTTGGTCAAGGTGCGGCCGTGCATCACAACGGGGATGTTGTCAGCGCCGTCCCAGCAGTCAATCTCGAGGCACCGGCAACCCTTCTGAAGCGCGGTAATGTAGGCCTCAGTGCTTGACTCGCCTGCGACTTGTCGACCAAGAAGGTATGTGTTGTGAGAGCTGGAGATGTAGTACTCGTTCAAGGGTCGGTTCAGCTCTTGCTTCTTACCGACCGACCTGAGGGGGTGGTTGGCAGCAGATGTGAGGTATGTCTGGAAGCCAGGGAAGTTCATCGACAATGGTAGTGGGACTTCACCGCCTTCGGTTGGCGTGGCAGTCGCCCTTGGCCTTGTAGCGCGGGCAAACTTTTCAAAGGTGGCCGTCCAGTAGTCGAGATCTGTGTTGACATCGATGCCTTGCTCTTTCTGCAGGAAGGAGAAGAAGGTGACCTTGTCCATTTCAATCTTGGATCCTGAGGTGTAAGACTTGTAGATCATCTTGATATCCTTGCGCTCCTTTAGGCGTCGGACAAAGGACAGAAACTGGGATTGGTTAAGTTTTCCGGCGTCCAGAGTATCGGCCTTTTGGAAATAGGCGCGGAGTGTCGCTTCGGTGCAGTTGATGTGCAAGCTGCGGCACAACTCAACAGTGCTAGGGAAGTCGAGAGATTCTTCACTCTCGCCTCGCTTCTTCATGGCACGTTGCCAGACGAGCTTAGCGCTCTTGTCAGCAAAGCCAAGGAGGCCGGCCATGAGGTCAATGCGGTTGCGTGATACTGACTCGAGCGTCTGGGTCCACATGTTGAAGATGCCGACGTCAGGTGCAATCAAGTGCATAGTCCTTATGCGGCCTTTAGAGCGTGTGGTATCGGTGTAGACGATGGTAAACCAGTAGGGCGCCCAGTTCTCCGAGAGACCACACTCCTCGCGGTAGTGCTTGGCCTCTGGACCTGAGCGGATCTCCTTTACATCATCAATGTAAAAGGCCTTGGAGGGTCTTGAGGGGTCCCAGAAGACCTTTGCGGATTCAAGGTCAAGGCGTAGGTTGATTTCCTTCTTCTCTTTCTTGGTAATCTTCCTTAGGACGGTTCCTTGTTCCAGGCGGGCGTTGCGTACGGGGGCGACGACGGCGGCGTCTGGGATTGAGCTGATGCTGGGGGTCGAGTTGGAGATGCCAAGGCCAAGGCAGGGCTCAAAGGGATCTTCAATGGCCTCTTCCTCCTCAAAGGCGTCAAAGTCGGAGAGGGGGGCTTCGGCGTCGGCGGCAGTCCTGCTGTCGCTGCGACGGCGCATAATGACGGGACCAGAGCTCTTGTCGCGCTGTGTGTTTGCGTTGCCGCGACGGAAGCGGTTGGGGATACCTTGTGCGCCACGGCTCACTCGTCGAATCAGGCCAGGGCCCTTTCCGAGAGCTTCGGCCATGGCCGAAGGCGACGAGGTGGGAGCTGGTGAGGCGACGGGGGGCGGTAGTAGCGACTCGGGAAGGGTGTAGGAGGGAATGGCAGGCAACGAGGATGAGACGGGGACGATGCCTTCGGGGGTGGATTGGAGGGAGCCATTGTAGTAGGAAGCAGTCAGAGCCGGACTGGCACGGGCTGGGATGGTGATGGCGCGGTGGAAGGAGGGCGAAGGTGAAGGCATGCGCGGTCGCGCATACGAGTCGTGGAGTAACGACATGTTTGGTGACAGGCAAGGCGGAGCTTCGGGTCGTGTGTGCTAGTACTTCTTCATGGCGTGGGTGGTGATGACGGGGAAGGAGCGTGTTGGAGGGCGGGCGCCACTCTATAATAAAAGCAGACAGGATCAACAGCCTGCTGGGTCCTGGAGGTGTCGCTCAGGCTAAGAGCTGGTTCGCATCGTGAGACTGACGGAATGAAAGCGGCTATGACGGACTGGGAGTTTGAAGCGCGCGCTGCGCGAAATGCAGACGCAGGTCAGCTGGGATTACCGTCTCGTTGACTTGCATGCAAGACGCATGGGGTAATTTAGGATGGAGCTGGATGTCCTTCGGAGCAGTCGTGGGGGTTGGCAAGCGATTGGGCAGACTGGGGCGGGCCCGTATAAGCAGGCTCAGTGGGTGCGGTAGTATGCGGTATGCAGTCTGCAGTCTGCAGTCTGCGGTATGCGGAATATGCGGTCGTGTGCGGACAAGGCCTTCAGCTGGAGGGCGAATGCTTGGACTTGGTGCGTGTTTTGGCCGTAGTAGTAGTCTAGTCGGCAAACGTTGTTGTTGTTGTTGGGTATGATTGTGATTTGATGTGGTGCGGAATGGCCTGAGGAGGGAGAAGGGTAGTATATGGGCAACGGTGACGCTTGGCGGCCTCTTAATCCAGGAACAGACAAGCCGCACACCGAATTTTCAGCTAAATCTTACAACCACACGCCTCTACCTGGGACTCCTGGTCGCTCGGGCTCACGGCCGCCTCGACGCAATTCGGGCTCCGAGGGGCCTTCCCTGTTTGTCTCCTGTACTAGCGTTCCTCAGTGCGCGCCGCGACACTGGTTAGGGCCCCACCGAGCAACGGTGTCTTGTATGACGCAGCCGGCTCCTATAGCATGGGGCCCGCCAATCATGACCTCTTCGCACCCACGTCGCTGCAAGTCACAATTCGCTGCTACATGCACTCTGTCCAGCGACAGCGACAACGACAGCGTGCAGCAGAGGTGGTGATCAAGGACGGTGTCGGCGTCGAAAGCGACATGCACTGCCCTGCCGGGTCCCGTGGTCAGGCAACGACCAAGTCGCACCACCAGCACGCAGTATTACAGCATTTCCAACAAGCGCGACACGGTATTGTCAAAGTTTGCCGTGACATCCGGCCAACGGCCCTGATGCTGTTCGTTGTGCGCTGGCCCTGCTGCGAAACGATGACTCCCCAGCGCATGCCCGTCGCAATGAGTCGCTCTCGAGCAATGGGCAATATCCAAGGTTCTGCCCAGTAACGCCGACGCTCAACCTTAACAGCGAGGATCAATTGGTAATTGCCGCCTACGGCCGATGCGCAACCAGAGCAGACGATGATAGCAGTGCACGCGATGGCGAATTGTGGTCCGCCCAGTGCCCAACAGTACCGCTGACTGGCTCTGTCAACAACGATACGGTGAGTGCTGGTAACACGAAAGCAGCAAGCAGGCTGAGTAGCAAGTAGCGGTCATGGCTACCGTCCATGACTATGACTATCAAACAAAGCGTCCATCCACTCGCAGACGCCGCATGTGTGGCTGCCCTCGAGCTTCCTACACGTGGCGCGCGGGAAAGTTGAAACAAAGTGCGAAGCCGGCACTACGGTACGATCATCATTAGACGGTTGCTGACGGCGCAAGAGCAAGGTCAGGGATCCGCAACTATGCCCGTCCAAGCCCAAGTTTCCCTCGCCTTGGCTGCTTCACAATTATAGCACGTCCCGCACATGCTCCAACAACTGTGAGTCGCCATGGCGCGACACACTGCGGTACGGCTAATGCTCACATCCGCAATGCTCTGCCCTGCCACCAAACCCACGTCGTCCGAGCGTCGTGTGATTTGCCCTGGACACCGTGGGCAATCTTCTGGAAGCACTGCGACGCACTGAGCCGGCAAGCCCTGCAAGCCCTGCGAGCAAGCAAAGCACTATGCCCCTGAGCTCCGACGCCCACGCGCCAATCAGCCCACCGCGCCCCCGCACCGCAACGCTGTCGTGCCGCCTTGCTGGACTTTTCCACTTTTCCCTCCTCATCCCGAGCCTGTCCATGTGACCTGTGGCGGTGTGATGCCCTTTGTCTTCATCCTCGAATCCTGTCCATCGCTTCTTTGACCAACATCGTCCTTCTCCAGCACATAGCTCTCGTGCCTTCAAAGCCTTGCTCGTGCCTCGTAAATTACCCAATTGCACATGTATGTATTCGGACCTTGGGCGCCAGCGACCGCTAACCAGCAATCACTGCCGTCCGCTAAAGCAAGGATGCCCGGCACTGTCTTGTCACAACTGTTGGCTCAATCCATAGGGCTCCCCCAGGAATATTCCGTGCACGCAGCTATGCCTGCTCTGAGCCCCCTTCGAAACATTCGCAACTGATGACATGCATAGCGGTAAAGGTGCGCCGCATTAAGTATCGCCGTTCGCATTGCACCGTGTCAAGGCATATTACCTCCGCATATTTGTGTCACCGTTACTGTGTAGCCTCCCGCTTTGACCACGTCCATCACTACTGGGAGCTGCACCACTGCCAAACAGGTGAGTCACGGGCGATAAGATTCCTACCTAGGTATTCTGCATATCCTTTCTGAACGTGCTTTCCCAATGTGACACAACTGCTCTTCTCAAACGAGCGCCGCCAAGAGACCAAGAGAACCACCAGCCTCACCACCACACTACATCCGCTGAGGACTTCACATCCCAGCATCATCCCACTCCCGTAGATTATACTAACCTACCAACATAGCACCACCACCACCACCACTATACACACAGGCCCTACTGATTCCCAGTCATTTGACACATGCAAGGCCTAGGAGTGGATTAAGCTTGTGGAGCTACAGTCTAAACACTCCCGTCTTCCCTTTGAAACGGCCGCCAGGCGTGCACCTATCACGCTCATCACCGTTTGTTAGGATCAACAATGTCAAGGACCTCGTCATCGGTGGCCGGGGTATCGTAGAATGAACAAGACCCTCTGAAATTTCGGATCACGTTGTGCCCGCCTGAGCTCGTTGTATCTGGTGGGTAACAGGGTGCCCGTGCACGTGTGAGCCGCTCTAGCGTACTGCGGGACGTTGTGGTGGTATCCACGACCCTGGAAGAGACGAGATCGTAGGATGCGTTGTTTACCAGAGCTGCATGTGTTGCCGACCGCCTTTCGAACGCCTTGGCCTCAGTCTCTGCGGGTCCCTGCTCGCCGCTGCTCAATTCGATGCGGCTGTGGAAGGCCGGTGAGCGTGCGTTGCGGAACCTCGGTGGCGCAGGCGGTGCTTGCTTCTGTGCGTTGTGCCTCATGTAAGAAGCGAATCGGACTTCCGTATTGGCCGGTCGAGGGCTGGCAGTGCTGACAGCCCTAGAATGTCGGAGGTACATTGAAGAGGCATCCTCTGAGTAATCCACCAAGTTTCCACCCGCAGCATCATGTGCCGATTGTACAGTTGACTGGTCGTCACTCCCAAAGACAAACGTTCGCCAATTCAGCCCATCATTATCCAAGGTTTGAAGAATCGTCTGATTTTGTATCCCTTGGCAATTGGCATCCATGTCGATGCGTCTTCCGACTCCCCGCTTCAGAGAAGGCAAAGAGGCGGAAATTGAGGACGGACTAGCGCGACTTCCATCGCCTCGACTGGCAGTGGCGTACTGTGACCAATTCGCTGCAGCTTCACTATCATTCCTGGCTGTGGAGATAGCCTGCAAAGTGATGTTTCCGGGCTGTGTGGCTGTATCAGAGTGGCTTGATGTTCCATCAAAAATGGCGAGGTACCTTTTCCAGGGTTCTTCATCGACGATTACGAATATGGCCGAAGCCTCTTCAGCACATGATTGCTCCATCTCAATATTGGCCTGATGCATATGCTCTGTTCGGGACATGGGTGCCAAGTCTGATTCGTCAAAGGTTTGCGTTTCACCGATCTCGTGGTTGCCGGGCGCGATACGAGTACGGCCACCTGCAGGGCCCCCGAAGACGAGACGCAAAGGACGCGCATCACCATGACCATAGTGCGTGAGTCGATAACCAGGCGTAGAGTTCTCGACTGATTTAGGTTCCACTGCAGCATGCTGAGCATGCAGCTCGAGCGGGTTGCAAGCGAGCATTCCTTGCTCAGAAGCATCTCGACCTGGAGGACGTCCATGGTGCCAACCAATGTGGCAGTACTGAGCATTCTCACCGGTCAATGGTGCAAGGGGACTGTGAATAATCTGCTCGGAAGCATCACATGCTGCATGAAGCTGAAGGTTGACCGGTGATGCAGTATCCAGCTTCTCTGGGTGTTGCAGTGCAGGTGGGCTTTCTTGGTCGAAGAGCATAGGGTCTGACGAAGCATGAGATTGCGCATGCTCGTCCGCTTGGGTAGAGTAAGTGTTCTTCAATGCATCTGCGCCGATTCGGATTTTGATGTCCTCGTCTTTGCCGTGCATGGCACCACCACCAAAGGGCCTGACAAAGGCCTCGCCCACAGCATGAGGCTGTCCTCCACCGAAGTCGTCATCTTGTCTTCTTCTTGGAATAGCACAGTGGCTTCTTGATTTTCTCCTACGTTTACCGATCTTATCGTCCTCGTTTGATAGGAATCGTAGGCTGACTGGTTTAGACGGATCGATGCCGACCCAGTCTTGCTGTGCCAGAAGTCTCTTCCTCTTTTCCTCGAGTAGTTGGACCTCGGGATTAGCCCTTGTAGTCTTGCGTTTCCTGCCACGAAAACCTGTCTGGTCATTGTCTTCCTTCACGTGACCTGGACGACCATATAGCAGTTCGTCACGACGGACCTTTTTAGTACCCTGTGAGTCATGTGACCAAGCAGGAGGCCTATCGATGGAACGTTCAAGAGATAGTCCATGGGGTGGCCCTCGAGAGTGTCCCATAGTGGAACACGCGCCGTTTGGCGTAAGGTCTGGTACCATTCTCCCACTTCTGTGCCTCGCTGAATGACCAGTGTGTCGGACCGAACCAGTGCCAAACGAAGATATCCCTAAGAGTCCAGGATCCTCGCTTTCGCGCAGATAGTCCGGGTAAAAGGGCGCAATAGGCGAGTTAGTCGCATTGTGAAGGTGGGTTCGCGCTTTTGCGAAGTACGCTCTCTGTTGCTGCAGGACGCCTGAGTTAGCTTTCTTGGTGCGCTGCAATGAACCTCCCGTCCAGTTCATGGTCGCGGCCTAAGAGGTGCTATGGGAGGTGGGCAGGATTCCACGTAGGCGCCTGGTCTTTGTGGAAGCTGGTCCTCGTGCCTGCCTGCCCATCACAATCAGCTCCTTCCCCATCCCCTTCAACATCAGCACACGCACTTTGTATTTTGCACTGCCTACCTACACATCTTCCTCGGGAGGTTCTGCTTAGGCATCACGCGCAATACGTGCCCGGATATGGCGTGCCGGTCGCAAACCAACCACGAATGAAGGGGCCCACCCACCCTCTTCAGCTTGATCGGCATCTGCGTATCTCCCCTCCGCAAAAATAGTGGAGCGCCGTAGATGAACCGAGTCCCTGCGACGGGAACCCCAGGACGTTGAAAATCTTTCACGTTCACGTTCGTAGTGAAGGGGGCGGAAGCAGGGACCGGATGGGCGTGGCGCCGCCATTGCAACGTCAGACACGTGTAGCAACATGTGCGCCGAGTCTTCTATCTGTGTAGTACCGAGGTCGCCCGCAGTTGAAACACTGGAACCACACCTGGGGAAAACGTGGAGACGTGGAGAATACTGGGTTGACAATCAGAGGTCGACTCTGTCCCCGGATCGCCACGCCGAACTCCTTTCATCCGTCTCTTTGCAATCAAAAGCAATCCACTCGGTTGCAACAAGGGCGCTCGATACATGCCATGGCACTACCTTCTCGGCACCATTATCGGATCACTGCTCCATGCAGCGCGGATTCCCGTCTTCCACGGGGTTGCGGCATGGGGAAGCGCCTCTCGCATATAACGCCTGACTTGAGTCGTTGCCAGGCGTATTCTCCCAAAGCGGTAGTGGTGTTGCAAGCACCCATATGCCTCAGTGCCTCTCTCACTATGGCAGTTTCATGGTCGTTTGCAGGCTGTGGGAAAGTAGGTGCAGTCGCAGATATTGTAAATACGTTACACCTACTCAACCTGGCGGCCTGGTCAGGCCCTGAGAGCTGAGCGCATACCTGCTGCCGCAGTCGATTCCATACCAGCTCGGTAAGTTGCGGTGTATCTCCATGTACAGTTACGTCAAGCGTGAAGTGTTACAGGCTGTGACTCTTGTTGTGGATACTCCTTCTGCTGGCGACCCACTGCATGTACGCTGGATACTACATATGGCTCATCGCATGCGCCTATTGTACTCGGGCAGCATGTGAAAAACAGTGACAAAAATAGTGCCCAGGCTATTACACATACAGGCAATTGCTGGGTGAGTATGCTTTTTAAACGCAGCTGCTTGATGAAACGTGCCGGCTCCCAAATACGAGCGTCTTCGCCAAAAGGGTTGGCACGTCTGCCGAGATAGCCTATGTTTGAGCCTCAAGTTGCCTCATCCAGTTCCCGAAGCTTGGCGAGAACGACCGCCGACTTGTTCTCGCCGGCGACTAGGGACAATCGATCCGCGCTCATGCTAAACTGCACACATCGGGTCATATTCAAGGTTACCCTCAAGGCTGCCCTGAGTCCCTGAGGCTCTTCATTTGCGGACAAGGCAAGCCGATGGTGATGACCACTCTTGAGGCGCAGCGGCCATATGCAAGCTAATCATCGCTGACATCATAGCGCCGAAGTTCCTCAAAATTCTGCAACACCGTTCCACACGAACATCATCAACCGCGGCCGTCTACCACATGGCGCGCATAGCACGGCAAGAATCCGAAACGGCCTGGTATGCACGAGGTCCTGAGCCGCGGCCGCATACCCACTGTTATGGCAACCTGCCTGGGCGTGCTTATCGAGTGGCCATCGAGAAACATGCCACAATCTCGTGCTTGTTGAAAGCGCACGCTTAGGCACAGCCTACCGCTATCCAACTCCCATGTCGCAAGGCGGCGTCCCTTGCTCTGATTGTGACGGATGACGACATCGAACTACGCAATTCCATCCAACAGAATCCTGAGCGATAGGCGCTCTACTCAGGGTCTTGCATTGGGACGTAGACGTGCAGAGTCTTGCCGCTAGAGTTGCCATCATATGGCTAAAGTGCATGTTAGCAAGAGATAGCCCTCGTTCCTTGAATATAAAATATCTCTGTATTCTTCGCAAAAACTTACTCATCCATCAATATACCCACCTCCGCATATCCACATACCCACATATCCACAGTTCTCTCCACCTGATTGAGGGGTTTTCTGGAGAACCAAACTCTCTGCCGGGCTCGACTGCTATAAAGGCCATTAATCTTCCCACGTTTTCTACCTCCAAGCCCACAAAGCAACAGACTTGTCCACTTGCCACGAGTGAACACTGCTCAAACTCTTCGCTTTGCACTATCACTGTCCTATCAACTTTCACCATGTCGACAGCTTCTCTTGCAATCCCTTCCACAGGGAGTCGCTTCGTGCGTCGCCTCTCATCCACCGAAGCCACCCGCGAGAACATCAAGATGGGTCCAACCGTCGTCGTTCCCCCTCAACATCTCATGGCCCCATCAAACGCAGCGGAAGTTGCCAGCGGCTTCGAGACGGCTAGACGTCATCTTGAGACCCCTGGATCACCTGGCTACACACCTCCCGAGACTTCAGTTACCGACAAATACGCATTTGCTTTCGGTAAGCTAGCGGAAACACTCTCTGACATGGCCCATTCTAATATGCCACAGATATCGACGGTGTCCTCATCCGAGGTGGTCGTCCAATCCCGGAAGCCATCGAGGCTATGAAGATACTCAACGGCGAGAACGAATATGGTATCCAAGTACCGTACATATTCGTAACCAACGGTGGTGGCAAGACTGAAGCCGAGCGCTGCGTTCAGCTCAGCAAGCAGTTGGAGATGGAAGTCTCGCCGGGACAATTCATCTGCGGTCACACTCCCATGAGGGAGATGGCAGAAAAGTACAACACCGTTCTCGTCGTCGGTGGTGAGGGCGAGAAATGCCGTATTGTCGCCGAAGGTTACGGCTTCAAGGATGTGTAAGTTTACTTTGCCATGCGCTCGCACAGACAGACACTAACAATGTTCTTAGCGTCACTCCTGGAGACATCATCAAGGACAACCAGGACACTACGCCGTTCCGCAAACTTACAGAGGAGGAGTATAAGAACTCGCGAACCCGAAATTTTGCCGAGGTCGAAATTGAGGCCATCTTCGTCTTCGCCGACTCCCGCGATTGGGCTTCAGACCAACAGATCATTCTGGACCTGCTCATGTCAAAGAAGGGTCGTCTTGGCACTAGGTCAGCCAACTATGACGAGGGTCCACCAGTCTTCTTCTCACACAACGACGTCGTCTGGAGTGCTTCACACGACCTTACTCGCATTGGTATGGGTGCTCTCCGCGTCTCTCTCGAAGCTATGTTCAAGGCCGTCACCGGTCGCAACCTTGAGACAACCGCCTTTGGTAAACCTCAGATCGGCACCTTCCAATTCGCTACTCGTCTCCTCAAGGAGTGGCGCAAAGAAACTCATGGCATCGACGCGGCTCCTTCAACTGTCTACTTCGTTGGTGACACACCCGAGTCCGACATCAGGGGTACCAATGAGTACAACGAGCACACCAAGGACGCCAACTGGTATTCGATCCTCGTCAAGACCGGTGTCTTCCAAGACGGCACCCAGCCCCGCTTCGAGCCCAAAGCTATTGTCAACACCGTTCTCGATGCTGTCAAGCATGGCATGGAGCGCGAGTACAAGAAGGCTCTCAAGGAGAGTATGATTGCCACTGGTGTGCTTGAGGACTAGGCTGGCTGTTTTCGCTTCTTCGTTTCTTCTCTAGTTTCTTTTTGCATAGCACTGGCGCATGGGTAGTACCTCGTTTGATTTTCTTTCAAGTGCGGCGGTTGCTGCTGTAGATCATAGCTTCTACAAACGTAGATACACTGCACACTTATGATATACCATACTGGCATTATATGCCACGTCATTTCAATCGATCGTATGACATCTCTCACAGCTCGCTCCCTATCACTGCAGTTGCTGCCCTCGTGCTTATCCATATGCCCCTATCGGCGGTATCAACCCCACGTGACAACCCTCCACAGCAACCTGACGTACCAGCGCCCTTGCACATAGCAACGGCAAGTCGATCCGGCCATACTCTCCGGTTGCACCTGCCCCTCGATTCAACCGCTACCCCCGAGGTAAATACCGCAGAATGTCGATCTCCATTGCATTCGTGCATGCGCGTGACAACGGCCGCGTTACCCGGAACCTTCCATACAACACAACAGCACCAACACCAGCAACCCAGTTTCTTTCTACGCCGCAAAAAGCTTAATCGGGAACCAAAAGTGTCTGTCCAATCGGCCCGAGGTTTGCTGCTGCTTCAAATTCCGCCGGCTTCTCGTTGGCTCACGGCTCATGACGAGTTACCCACCGCCATAGCCATCTCCCATTGTTCATCATCGACATCAGGCCACTTTTGTTGGTTGTGGGTTTATTGGTAGGTTTAGTTTCGAAATTTGCTTGCCGTGAATATCCTCGCGGCAGATCAAGATTGCGCACTTGAACAAAGCGGACCAGGTAGGGAATAGTTTTAGGTGGGGTTGGTTTTTGTGAGCGTGAGTACTAGTGGTGGGGGATTCACGTCGTTGAACCTTTCCTATGCTGGACATAGCTACGTACAGTACAGTAGCGGACTAGACTAAACGAAACTAAACTACATGAGCAGTAGGCGCAGATGCGTGTTGGTCGGTTCCGCACGACATAAGCGGAAGTTTGTGCAAAAAGAAGGCCACGTTGTATCCCGGTTTACCTTATTCAGAGGCAAGCTTTGGAAAGTCCCATGTGAGTTTGTCTGTCTGTGTGGATCCTGATCAAAAGGCTAATGAAAGGACTGAAAATCTACGTTGTGTTGGTTGTTTCAGATGGATGTGAACCTGACAACGGTCAAGGTCGGCGGGACAACATACGTACGTAGATTACGACGATGCTAATGTTAATGATGACCATAGACGGGAAGAGATAGAATAAGCAAATTACGGGCATCGCAAATCGGGGACTCAGGACGGCAGGAGGGAAGGGGGGACGGGGATCCGTGCCGTAGGGCAAAGATTCCCAATCTTGCGGTCATGTAATTGATCGTGCACGTCGCAAACATGTCGCTGATGTCTCGGACCCGGGAAGAACACAAGCCCGCTAGGTCGACTAGTTCCCAAAAAAAGACACTCGTCGCACGTTAACCTTCGGCGCAGCGTCGCCATAGTTGAAACTCTTGACACGCCTTGTCAAACTACCTAGGTACTTTGAGACTTGGTGCACGAGTCGTCAGCCAACCCTCTTCAGCTCCTCTATATTGCGATGCACGCGACAATTACTCCAAATGCGCGAGTCGGGGGCAGAAGAAGGGTGATGATCCGGGGTCAGGATTACGGGCTTCTCGTCATCACCAGGGTTTCTCCTCGGAAAATTTCTTCTCTCCAGCGCACAGACGGGGAATAACCCTGAGTTTCATTAGACTGGGTGGTATGTGCAACGAGGATAGCTGGTCATACCTGAGGGTCCAAATTGACAGGTGCAAGGGCCCTGGACCCCGTCAATCCTGTCCATCTCTTTCCCGGCTCGTCGAGCGAGGTCGACTTCCGCTTCCCCGCTGTCGCGTTCGTGCTGTGGTGCGGCTTTAACCCAAACCGACTCCGTAATAAAGCCAAACTGGTTCTCCTTAGGAGCTTCCGGACGCGCGAGGAGCTCCGGCTGGGCGCCACGATTGGGCCTTGTTGCATGCGCGTGAGAGGTTCACAGTAGTGAGGGCGTAGATAGTAATAGATGGGGTATCTGAAGCGCCCCAGAGGTCCACAATGGAGTGTAAGAAATATCTTCTATACAGACGTCTTACCTTGGCTGCTGCGCTTTCTCCTGAATGATTGTCGCGCACCATGTGGGCTTCCTGGTCCTTGTCCGACAGTAGTTATTTCTTTCGCTTTTCGCTGACTACTCACCTGCACCTTGCCTATATAGCATACCTTGCTTTCTTAGCGTAGTCTAGCCTACAGGTGCCAAAAGAGGAATGAGGGCTAGACATGGTGTTGGGTTGTTGGAAAGATGAATAATTTTGTGAGACGCCATTCTGTATCCCATAGACCTCTGAAACCACCTCAACCAGATATCCTCTGCTTGGCTGCCCCCTATATGTGCTACAAAGCACTGTATCTGAGCAAAAAAAAGTCTGATACTGAGAGCTCCCAGACGGGGAATCTACAGCTGTTAGTAAGAAGAATCGAATGGAGAGTCTAGAACTGCACTTACCGAACCCCGGCCTCCGGCGTATCGTCCTGAGATGACAAGCCGAAATACTGACCACTATACTATCTGGGATGTGGTTTCCTGTTTGATGAAGTAGAGGAGCCACTATTAATATATAATGAAGTGAGAGAATAGAGACGCAGTTCGACATTGATGAAGTGAGGGAACGGAGACACGGTTGGACATTGATGAAGTGAGAATGGAATATATTGATATATATGTTATTACAAGGTGATAGATAAATACTATTAGTGGGCCGTTGAAGTCTACTTTAATAGCCTGTTACAAACGCCGATATCGATATGTTGACAGACTTGCTGAATGGCCATATGGTCGATTGCTTGAGACCATGAATCTATGAACTGGTCTCCCATTCAGAGGTCTGGTTGTACGCATCTAAACTGTAGAACCAATCTAGCTTCTTGTATATCGCTTCCTCCGTATAGTCTTCTGGGTTGGCATCTTTAGGTCGGAATCGCGGCTCCATGGGGTCAATGAAGATTGTCGAATTGTCGTATCCCCACTTCTCCAATTGCGTAACGTTGAAGGCCACCAACATGCTTTTTTCTTGTTAGCATTAGAATTGAAGAGACAATATGGAAGCTTACTCATGGTCTTCGTGGATGAGGTTGTGACAATGAAACATGTATACACCTTTCCATGGCGCATATCTTGCCACAACCCTGACAACCTCACCCGGAGCGATCCAAATCACGTCCTTCATTCCCGCTGCCTCATATGGCAACACCACATTCCTGCCACCCTCGCGAGACAAGACCTGGAAGTCAACAAGATGAATATGAACAGGATGGGATGCATTGCCCCCTCCGTGTCTGAGTTCCCAGATCTCATCCTCGCCTAGGGTCGGCCTTGTCAGGATACGGTTCTCGATATCCGCCCAGCCCACGCCGTTGATGACCCAATCGCCATCAATACGTGAGAACGTAAAGTTCTTGGTGACAGCCGTTTCCGGTGCGGGCGGAATGTACCGGAGGTTTTCTGGTATTTTACCATTGTTGGTGCAGTCGGTCATTTGGTCGCCAACGATAAAGCGCATGATACGATCCGTTGCCGCGTAGTCGAGGTTTCCGGTCATACCGCACTCGTTAAGCATGGTGATATTCTTGCCCGCATAGCTGGCAAAGTCGACAATGATCTCGTAACGCTCACCATTGGCGATCCCAATGTGATTTGTGTTGACTGGGTGGGAGAAAAGACCTCCGTCGGATGCGATGACATCAAAACCGATAGTCTTGTTGTACTCGTCTTCTTGGAGGGACAGATCGAAAGCTTTTGATGTTAGCAAAATGATCTTCACTACAATGGTACGGCAGAGCATACATCGACTAACGGCACCGTTGAGCAGACGGAAGCGATACTTGCGTGGCTCGACGTTCAAGAAAGGCCAAGGCTGACCGTTGCTATCTGAGAGTTAGTCGTAGAATTGGAAGTGCTATAAGGTTTGCTTACACTTGGAGAACATCACCCCAGAGACCAGTGTGGTTGTGCTCTTCGTCTACGAGAGAGCCATCGGTGGCATATTGCTTCGCGCTCAAGGACAATGGTATATCGTAATCGCCAGCTGGAAGGTTAAGGGCTTGCTCCTCCTCGTCGGTTAAGATATAGAACCCCTCAAGGCCCCTGTATACATTTGTGGCAGTCTGATACTCGGTGTGGTCCTGAAAAACCGTCAACGGATGCTCAAATAGGGTACCTAGATACAATCGGGTGCTAGGGGATGACTAACATGATACCAGATTGTCCGGGCATTCTGCGCGTTGGGATAGTAGTAATCTTTGTACTGGCCGGGTAAAGCATAGTCCGCGGCCCAACCGTCGAAAGGAGCACGGTTGTACTGGCCGTGGACATGGACTGAAGAGTTTGTTGGGCTGTTATTGGTGAATCGTACCACAGCCTCTACAGGATGAGGTCAGCGCTGACTTGCAGGGGCGAATCATCTCAGGCTTACGTCGGCCTTTTTGCATCATAAACGTCGGTCCAGGTTGTATGCCATCATATGTGTATAGGGTAGTAGCAGGGAGATCAGGATACACCTGCTTTTCGATAGCCGTGACTTCGACCTCGTAGTAGTCGATGACGGCACCAGTTTCATTGTTTGTGTAAGTACTATTTCTTGTTAGAGATGAAACGAGCTGCCTTACGTCAGTTTCACTACTCACAATTTCGGTTCTTTCACGGGAGGTATAGGCAAAGGATGATCAAACATCCACTTATATTCCGGGCTTTTCCATTTAGTTGTTTCGTTATTTGGAGGGAGTGTGTCTGGTGGGTAAGGAGCGGCATGTGAGCTTATTACTAAACAGCTAAGCAAAGCAAGTAAATGAGTGACTGTTGAAGGGAACATGTTGAGATGGTATGCCTTTCAGACTGAGGGCATCATCAAGGCATTTCCAAGGCTATAAGAGAAGTTGGAGCAAGACATTGTGTGGAGCCACGCCTATTGATCGGTAACGACATAAGATATCGAAGCCGATCATTCAAAAGACACAGCCAGCTGCAGGGCACGCGAGTGTGGCAGAGTGAGGATAAAAAGCAGGGGCGCTTGTGGCTTGCTCGAAGATGTTCGGATGTGGTGCTTCCGCTCATAGAACCGGGTCCGTAATCTCGGGTGAGTACCTCTGAAGTGGACAAAACTACATCTTACGGGAGGCTCATCTGAAACCAATGAAGCTAAGTAAAAAAGGAACGCAAGGGGACATGCGCCATTGATTTCATATAATAGGGGTTACGAGCAGGTACGCCGATAATATAGAATATAGTGAGACCATCTATACATGACTAGGTGGAGAGCGTGTGATGGAGGGTTAACAGCTGTCGTGGCTGAAAGCGTGATGACGCCTCCCCCCACTAAAGGCATCGTCTAAGCCTAGACAGGATGCGCTAGCACAGCCTCCGGCCACGCTCCTTGCTTCTCGACGGTCTTTCTCGTCGAAACCACTCCACGTATACATGATCCAGATTGCCACCACTTTTCTAGATACACACCATAGAGCCTTTAAGCATGCCGCCGACTGTTTGCGTCGCCGACCTGTTCCCTCAACAGTACAACTCTAGATGTAGTGGTGAAAGAAGACGCAACACTTGCTTTCTGCATGCTTTTCTTTGCGGATTTGCTTAGTACCCACCACGAAGTTTTCGATATCAGAAAAAATGAATATAATTAGCAACTCTACGAAAAGCCTTCTTGCGCCTCTAGTCAGCCATGCACAAGGTGATTGCCAGACATCGGTATCCCTTGCCGACGCGTGGTTGCTACGCCTGGTGCTACGGCCTCGGATACCACGTTTTGTGCGGGCGCACAACATGCTGTGTACACAGGATCTGCGCGATTCCCACTTTATCTGATGCAGTTTGATAGAGAAGCTATAAATTGTCATGGGATTTGATATCGTTAATCGGTAAATATGTAGATGTCGGTCGGCCAGTGAAGACTGCCAAAAGTTTCGGCTCGGCTCGGGGTATTTGCACACTCTGTTCGACTGACCACACTATCGATCTATGCGGTGTCACTTTGGAATATGGAAATGCATAGAAAATCAAATCGCCGGCCCAAGTATCGAATCACGACAAGGAGCTTGTAAAGCTTGCCGACTGGCTCATCAAGGTAGTGCAACTCCCCAGCATTGTCTCGAGCAGCTGCCACGGGACGCGGATCTCAACGCATGTGTCACCTGTATTAGAGCTTCCACGCATTGCAAAGGCTTTTCCACGATTAATCAAATTTGAGACGATCAGAGCCACTATGGAAGTCCTGCACTAGCAATCTCTAAAGCAGTGCTGTAGTTTCGATCTAGCTATACATCCGACTGTTCACCAGGCTCATCTACTTCTGGTACCCCAGACTCGTTCGCCCCTGGTCTGCTAGACTCATCTGTCTCTGAGGTGTTAAAGCCAGCATTTTCAAGAGCCTGACCGACTTCCTCTTTCCAATCGGAAATCAGTTCATCAACTCCTTTCTGTTTATCTCCCAAAAACTTCTCACGTTGCTCCCAAGGTCGATCCGAGAATTCAGTCCAACCTGTCTCAAGATTCCCTTGGAAAGAACCCAGCTCCACACCTTTTGTAGAGCAGTTGTTCAGTAGTCCGGTTAGGATGGTTTCGTTCTCAGATATTTCCTGTAGTAAAGGAGCTGCCGCTGAGGTATTTTGTATTTGCTCTTTCCAACGGTCGCATGCGAGCATCCAGCCTTGAAGCATACCAATGGACCTGCCGATATGGATCCGCATGTTGACTATGTCATGCTGTACATCGAAATATTCTCGGTCTTGGCGTATTCGGCGGGTGCGTTCCGATAACTGAGCTAAAGTAGACAACATGATTCAAGAGTATGATGAGAGAGGAGAGTGAAAATGTTTGGATATGATGCGTATTAATATATGCGGATATTATTGATTGTTGTTTGCTACTTGCTGTCATGGGCACAGATGTTCAGATTTGGTCTGAGGTCATCTGCTTATTGTCAGTATGGAGTCTTCGTTCCCCGTCGTTTGCTTTGTCATATACCTCCAGGATGAAATTCATCAGCTTACCACTGTTCATCTTAGTTTGAATTGAGACAGGGTATGGCATTTCTCTCGAGATTTTGTTCTTTGAATCAAGTTCATTTAATTATATCAATATGTACTATCGTTACTCTATGTGATAGATTGGTAGCAATCTGAAGGTTGTTAGGGCGAAGCCTGAAGCGTGGTGAAATGGTGGTAGTGAGAAGGCCGAGGTAGTGGTTTCGCGCTAAGTTAGATCGGCCAAAAGTTGGCGGCGCGTCATCTCTGCTCACATTTCCAACCCTTTGCGCCTCTGCTCAACACGACTCGACATGGGCAAGGGAACCGACAAACTCTACATTACCCACTCGGAGTGGTCGTCCTCGGACGCCTTTGGCAACGCGCGCGGCGCCAACAGCTCAAATAGGATCTCTGCTGCCGGCCTCTCGTCGACGTTCAAGCGCCTGCCCTTCAATTACTGCGCCGTCTCGCTGCAGCCCTTCACAGACCCCGTATGCACGGCGTCGGGTACCATCTTTGATCTTACCCATATTCTCACCTGGCTGTCGAAACACCCGGACACAAACCCTGTCGATGGAACACTATTGAAGCGCGCCGACCTCATTACACTCAACTTCACCAAGAACGAAGACGGCGAATATGTAGACCCAGTGACGTACAAGGTCTTTACAGACAACACGCACATTGTTGCGCTGAAGAAGAGCGGCAACGTGTTTGCATGGGACACTGTGGAAAGGCTGAACATCAAAGCGAAGAACTGGCAGGACCTGGTTAGCGATGACGAGTTTACGCGCAAGGACATCATAACACTCCAAGATCCGCAGAGTGTCGAATCCAGAGATTTCAGCTCATTCAAGCACGTCAAGGATGGAGATACTGTTGTGGCCGAGGCAGACAGCGGTGTGAACAAGGAGGCGCTGGGCAACGCGGCCAAGATTCTCAAGGCGAAGGAAGCTGTCGCAAAAGCGCGTGAAGCCAGAAAACGAGGCACAAATGCATCCAAAGCCCTTGCAAACGTCCCCAAAAATGGCGCCGCAGCGTCGACCATGGCAGCGCCCAAGAAACCCGCCTACAACGCGGCCGTCTATACCTCTGGTAAAGCTGCGGCATCCTTCACGTCGACCGGCGTCACACCACATACCTCGGGCGAACGCGCCCTCCTCTCCGATGAAGACTACATGCTCAAGCCGAAGCGTGTCAAGAACAAGGGTTACGCGCGCATATCCACCTCTCTTGGCGATCTCAACATTGAACTTCTTCCCGAATATGCACCGCGCGCAGTATGGAACTTTGTGAAGCTAGCACAAAAGGGATACTACAGCCACACCATCTTCCACCGAAATATCAAAGGCTTCATGATACAGGGTGGGGACCCCACAGGCACAGGAAGAGGCGGCCAGAGCATATGGGGCAAGCCTTTTGAAGACGAGTTCGAGGGTCCGGAGAGGCATAACGCGAGAGGAGTATTGAGCATGGCAAATAAGGGCAAGGGTACCAATACGAGCCAGTTCTTCATCACGTACCGCGCGGTACCGCATCTCGACCGCAAACACACAATTTTCGCACGAGTAGTAGGCGGACTGGACACCACCTTGCGCTCCATGGAGATTGCAGAAGTCGGTGAGAAGGACAAACCAGTCGATGATATTGAAATTCTGGATATATCCGTCTTCGTAGACCCCTTCGAGGAGTGGCAGAAAGAGCGCAAAGACAAGGAAAACAAAGAACTAGAAGCCGAAGAGATCAAGAGGCAGGGTGGCATTGCTGACGATAAGACAACTTGGACGGGCAAGCGCATACGTGCAGATGGCACAGTTGACAACAGCAGCGGGGAAGGCCTGGGCGTAGGCAAGTACCTCCAAGCCGCGAAACAGGAGATACAAAACCAGGGTGATGATGAGATAATCGGCTACGTGGATGAAGAGGAGGATGTGGCGCCCGTCAAGAAGAAAGCCAAGACTGGTGGCTTTGGTAACTTTGATGCCTGGTAATGCTTCACGGACCAGGACTTTGGTAGCATGCTACAAATGATACCCCACGATGTCTTTTCGGATCCAACATGCGAGGCCAAGCAAATATCACCGTTGAGCAGCCAATGAGACGCGAACAAGTCCGCCGAGTATGCATCACATCAGCTGCGGAAGCTGACTATTCGAAAGAGTATGTTAGGCAACAATTCACGGCATGCGGAATTACTGCTCTTGACTCCGTCGGCGATAATGTAAAGCCTAAGGCATTACACGAGGCGGCATGAGAACAGTAAGCCCAGCCCAATGAGCGCGAGGGTGGCGGGCTGAGAGCTGCCGAAAGGATTGCATAGACGATGATGCATAATGTAGATAATCGCTGGGGGTCGTAGGCTCATATCCTATCATATCCCGAGCGCATTGCTTATACATCGGTGACGTACATGTAGTCGCCTGTGACTACAAAGCGGGGAGCATACCGATAACAACAATGATGTTGTAAACTGATGGTGGGTGTAGATAAACAAAGAGGCTCACGCCTGACTATGACGATTGCCTCCCGCAGTTAAATACTGAGAATATCCTCACCATCTGTGGTTGTTGGCACTTGCATAACATCGTTGCTTTTCTTACTTGTCCATAGTAACACACTCTTAACCTAGCCAACACAACCATGCCTTCAGACATGCCCTCTACTTGTCGTGCGGTGGTATTAGAGAAAGTCGGCGCACCTTGGACTATCAAGGAAGTCCCTGTCTCCAAGCCCGAGTCCGGCGAGGTCTTGGTTAAAGTACTTGCCTGCGGTGTCTGCCACTCGGACAGCTTCCTTCATCAGGGCCACCTCGGAGATAAGGTGTTCCCCCGTGTTCCTGGGCATGAGGTGATTGGGACGGTGATTGCCGTTGGCGATGGGGAGAAGAAGTGGAAGGTTGGGGATCGCGTTGGAGGAGGGTGGCATGGCGGACATGACGGGCTATGCAAGGCGTGCAATCGCGGTCTGTTCCAGATGTGTGAGAATGAGCTTATCAACGGAGTTAGCAGGGACGGCGGATGTAAGTCTTTGGTTCCCGGTTCCCACTTATGCACACGCTTGAAGTTTACGTTTACGAGAACATGGCTGATGCGGGTCTAGACGCTGAATATTGTACCCTCCGCAGCGAGGCTGCAGTACGTATTCCGGCCGATGCGGATCCGGCTGAATACGCGCCTCTACTGTGTGCTGGCGTAACAGTTTTCAATGGCATACGCAACATGCACATTCAGCAAGGCGATACTGTCGCTATCCAGGGTCTTGGTGGGCTCGGTCATTTGGCGCTCCAATACGCACGTAAAATGGGCTACCGCACCGTTGCACTTTCTTCATCTGCCGACAAGAAAGACTTCGCGTTCCAATTGGGAGCAACTGATTACATCGATACGTCCAAGGAGAGTGCGGCAGATGGGCTCCAGAAGATGGGTGGGGCAAGCCTCATTGTCGTCACAGCGCCCAACCCCGAGATCATAGGTCCATTAGTCAACGGCCTAGGCCCACTAGGCAAACTACTTGTTCTCGCACCCGTGGGTGACGTGCCGATCAATACGGTTAGCCTGGTTATGGGAGGACGCTCGGTTCACGGGTGGCCGTCTGGCCACGGACTCGATAGCGAAGAGGCGATTGATTTTGCAGAGAAGCAAGGTGTAAAGTGCATGATTGAAAAGTTTCCGTTCGACAAGGTGGAGGATGCTGTACAGCACATGCAGAGTGGCAAAGTGAGATTCAGGAGTGTCATCGTCATGGAATAATGGAACAGTCTACCGTCTAGGCTGAGATTCTGGGCTGGAACAGGTTCAGTAGTAGTTTGGATGATGGAAACATTGAGCAGAACCTTACAAGGCTGGAATGAGACCAGGATGAAGCTTGCCAGAACAGAAGTGACAGCAAACTATAATCCACACAATAAGGAAACAGTGAAACGGTTGTTGTTCATGCAATGTGTCGTACCGGATTGACCATTTGGTCTAGCTAAATGGCGGAAGTTCGGGATGAAGGAAGTCGTTCGCCATGAGCGGGCGCGGGTATCGAGAGGCTCAAGCAGCATCCGCCAAGGCGTCTCTGGTACAGTGTATTTCCTATGAGCATGGCAAAGCCAAGACAAACAAGACACACAGCATTGCCGCCGAGAAAGCTAAGTATTTGCATTGCACTGTCACCCACTCTGGGCAAGCCCCACGTGAGAACGCACGCAGGCCTCAGCCACGCAGCCGCCAGCAGGCTTCGCGCCCGGAGCCGCCGAGCTTTAATATATGGCTGCGCGATACGTATCTCTCACTAATAGCTCCTGTACGACTCCGCGTACCTGCATCTGAAGCGCGGTCGCGACATGTAACGCTTGCACTGCATCGCTGGGCCAATGAGTGAACCAAGGGCGCGGCGTGCACTAACGCTGGCAAGCTCCGTTGTTTCAGAAAGTGAAATGTCGGCCATTCGCGACACTAACACAGGGTCTGCCGGTCCCGAAGTGAACCTGCCAATTGCTCTGCAGAATTGCAAAGGATTAGTCGACGGGGTAAGAAGGTGGGTGATGAGGCAAGGCTGGCGTTCCTTGTAGATCTGGCTTAAGATGTACCGCGTCCCCGCTGCAGGGCCGCGCGAACGAGCCTTGGTTGTTGACCGACTACACCATCAACAGCTCTCTCCTTTCTGCTGCTTCTTGTGCTCTTTCTTTTTCCTTCTTTTGCATCAACACTCTTGCATAACGCTGCGCGTCCTATTTTTAACCCTCGTTTTCGACAAGTACCGCTCCTTGCAGGCCCGGCGCCAGAAAACAAACGTTTAGGCTTCGGTGTCATCATTCACTTCCTTTTACAAACGTCGTTCGAGAAACGCTTTGTTTATTTGGTACTAGTTATACCTTTGTCCTCACAGTCACACTGCCGTGTCAGAAGATTCTTTTCTTACCTGAATCGCACCGTCCGAGTGTGGGCGTAACACCACTGTCGGGAACGCTTGACAGGAAAAGGGTCCGAAATTGGTTGTCCACAGCAACGCGCTAGATTCAGCCATCGCAGCCTCACATCAATCCAACATTCCGGTACGATTATTTGAGATCGACTTTCCAATCTGTACACAACGCAAACGGCCCGCCAGTCTCGAAAACGTCATACCATACATTCAAACACCAGTCGTCTCAGCACACCCGGAAGATCTCCTTGCCTTTGCAAGGACGCCCAAGCTTGGGGAAATAAGCCGCTTGTACATTGGCATTAGGAGCTTGCACGGCTATCTTTCAGCCTTGGGTTCATCAACCTTCTCTTCACATTCCCACACAAAACCTTACCATGCTGCCCACATCATTACGCGCAGCCGTGCTGGCTCTCGCCTTTGCATGCAGCACAGAAGCAGCAACCGTTTCTCTTGCATCTTTCATCCCACGGATCGATAACCTACCCACAGCCTGCAACACTGTCTATAGAACAGATATCTCCGGATGTACCGCCGATGACTTCAAGCCTGGCGCAACATGCACAGATGCATGCGTGCAGGGTCTCTCCAAGATTGGCGCGAGCGTGAGCGACAAGTGTGCAGGTGTAGATGCCGGCGAGTTAAGCATCATCGGAGTGTTCCAGAATGGCTTGGGCATTCAGAGTCTTTGTCCAGGCGTCACAATTCCCGCCATCAGCTCAAGTGGCGCGAAACCAAGTACGAAGAGTTCGACCGGGGCCACGACTACACAGGCGCCATTGCGTACAACTCTCACAAGCTCGGCAAGTACAGTAACATCGACTACGTCAAGTTCAACCGACGATGGAGATGGGGATGGAGATGATGATTCGACAAGCTCAGCGCCTGCACCAACATCGACTGCAGATTTGACCCTGGACCCCAACACGAGCGCGGTACCGCCAGCATCCACTGCGCAAGCTGGATCGTCGTCATCAGATTCAACGCCAACCAGCGCGCCCAACGCCCAATTATCAAACTCGGACTCGGGCGGTGGGTCACCCTTTGACGTTGTAGCCACTGGTTCGTCTTCTCAACGAGAAACATTCGGCACAGCAGCGGTAGCCCTATTCGCAACAACATTCTTATTTGTCATGTGCGCATGATTGCGCTGCAGCGTTTGTTTCTTTTGTTTCTGCATGGCTCATGTGGCTCACGACATGGCGTTTGGGATTTGCATGTTTGTACTATATACCCGCATTGGTGGAACGATCAGAGGACGATGATCGGAACATGACAGCCAGCTGAGCATGTCAGTGATAGTGGCAAAATACTCGTGTATATGCCAAGGAGAAGAGGCAATGTCTAATGTACCGTGTACATAGCAAGCAAGGGGGGCACCCATGGGCGAGTGTAATGTGATTATGAATTAAATGCACAGCCATAGTACCGCCTCAGGCCACAACTTGGCGTCTACTTTACCTGCTTCACCGATACATTGATTGTTTTCACACTACTTGCTTGAAGTTTATGCATCACAAGCCCACGTGCGGGCTTTCGGGGATACGACGACACCGACTAAGTACTAACATCATCATCCCTGCGAGGTAAGCGAGTCCCGGAAGCCTAGACGTAATCGACCTTTTCTTGTGGTTGCACTCTTCCTCAGCCCTCAGCCCTCAGCTAACCTGGCCCCACCATGCAGGAGCACAGTCGGGGACCATGAGGAGAACATTATTGTTGTGTTTCATCCACGGCTTCAAGGTATGTTGTGTTTGTGATGGTGTATTTGATCAACTACGTCATCGCGGGGCCACAGCACCATGTCTCGGCCCGGCCGCTGCCCCGTCCGAGAGTAACAGAGGCGAGATGAAGGATAAGAGCAATGCTAATGGCGCATTCATAGGGCGGAGACGAAACGTTCCGAACATTTCCCAGTCATGTGAAGGCGCTGCTGCAGCACGCCCTGCCAAAGGTCACCGTCCTGGCCATTACCTATCCACAGTTCGAGACGCGAGGCGACTTGCACGAGTGCGTTGGCCGCTTCAAAGAATGGCTACAGAATAAAGTCATAGACCTCGAGGTCGCCAATTCGACGCCTTCGCCTACAGTCGACCCTTCTGTGCGCACCATCCTCGTCGGTCATTCCATGGGCGGCATCGTTGCGGCTGAGACACTTCTCTCTATTCTTGCCGACCAGCCCATTCACTCGCAGTCGAATTCGCAGACGGCGGCAGGATCCACGGGCTCGCTATCTGACCACTCGACGCTTATGTTCCCGTATATACAGGGCATTCTCGCCTTTGACACACCATACTTGGGTATAGCGCCAGGCGTGGTTGCACACGGCGCGGAGAAGCATTGGAATACAGCGAGCTCGGCGTATTCAGCCTATAACAGTCTCGCAGATGCTTTCGGATGGGGCGCTAAGGATACTGCATCGGGTGCCGTCGATACAAGTAAGATGCTTCCTGCGCCCTCGGCATCTTCCACCGCAGACGTGGCATCGGCACCACTGTGGCAGAGATACGGCAAAGTGGCCATGTTTGCTGGAGCTGCGGGTGCGATAGCAGCAGGTGGTGCAGCAGCCTATATGAAGAAGGATCAGATCACCCAAGGCGTAACGTGGGCAACATCGCATTTGGAATTCGTCGGAGTCCTGGCCCGTCCCGAGGAGATGCGGAAGCGACTAGAGAAGATTGTGAAGATTACCACGACCCAGGACCTCGGTTTCTGTAACATGTACACCACCCTCGGCCATGCGGTAAACAGCGAAAACAAGGAACACGGTTGGACCGGAAAGGTCGCCGGAAAGGACCGTACCTTTTGCAATCTACCCAAGGGGTCGCTCAAGAATTACTTCATGCCCGCCGTCAACGACAAAGCTACGGCAGAAACCTGGGCTCACATGTCCATGTTCGAACCCCGTAACAACCCAGGCTACTACACATTAAGCGAGACAGCCAAGGAGAAGATTATCGAGTGGACCGAATCGACCGACTGGTACGAAGAGAGCGAGGGCCCATTGACGGGCGAGGTGGGCGAAGAAGCAGAGATTGTAGAGCGCCAAGAGGTGGATGAGCAGATGCAGAAGGAGGCGGACAGGAAGCAGGCTGAGGAGGAGGAAGAGGCAAGAAATAAGGGAGATATTGATGCATTGGAAGTGGACGGCGGGTTTGTGGATCTGAAAAAGGGAGCTGAGGCTGCCGAGTGGGAGGATGAAGCGAATAAGAGAAAGGAGCTGTGAAGGAGTGTAGTATACGCTTTTATCCTACGACTTATAAAGTACGGAAAGCTGGTCAAGTGTGAAGAGATGCTGAAACTTGTAATCCTAGTCCAAAATAACATGGAAGGTTCTCAAATACGTGTCAGCTGAATACAACGAAATGCTCTGGATAACCGTTACCCACTCACGGTCGCCTGGCTGGATAAGGTCAGGTCGAGTACGTCTCTTGGAACCTGTGACGACTTTCATGGACCCGATAACGCCTATCTGGAAGCCTGTCTCGTTAAAGTTGTGGATGTCCTTGTCGAGGATGCCATACTTGGCTATGGTCTCTTCAACCAGCTTAAAGCACGCGCTAATCACCTCTGGGTCTTCCTGCAGCACTCTCTGCCTATCCTTTGGGCGATTGAATGATATCTTAATCTTATCTGAACGCGTTACGAAGCGCGTAGTCCACTTCTTGCCAACAGGCTTCCTACCACGAGCACTCATAAGTTTATTAACCATATCTTCCACCTCGCACAGCTGGGGCGCAAATCCTCGCGAATTAAGGTTAAGAATATACTGGACAAGCGTCTGCTCTTCGGTAAGAGTGAGATTATGGCGGGGGTTGCGTAAATCTGGTTTTGAGCAAATTCCGTTATATCGGTCAATTAACGTAGACTTTGGGATTTTAAAGGCTTTAGCAGCGCGTCGGAGGCTTGAAAATTCGTTATTCTTATATTTAAGAAGAGCTAAATCAATTTTACCCTCTTGATTAGTTGTATTCGCATGTCGTTGTTGGGGCATAGTGTGAGAAAGATAGTTAGGGTGGTCTTGGCAAAACTGTCTGGGTCGATGGGGTTGTCCGGGTCGATGATCAACTACGTTGTATGGTTTTGATTTTAGGTAGACATGGTATAAGGTAGAGTAGAAGAAGGAGAGGAGAAGAAGAGGATGAGGATGGGAAGATATAGAACCTGCCAAGGTCTCATTTATAAACTAGATATTTTCAGGGCGGGAGGAGAGACGCATTTATCGTGTTCTTCTCTTCTTTTAGTAAGAAAAAAGAACGGAAGAGCAGACATTAAACGGTTTATCGGGGCTTTTGTTATAGCAGGAGAGCATTTTGGGTCAGAAAGGAGAATAGGAAGGAAGAAAGGAGGAAGAGCCATATTACTCGATTGTGAGTGCTTTCTTGTAAATCAGATATAATTTTGAGAAAGAGGAGACACATATGCTAGAGCGTCTGTGCCTTTTAGTAAGAAAGAGAAGCGGAAGAGAAGACATGATAAGTTTATATCGTAATTTTCATATAGAGAACCTCCAAGGTAGAGCAGAGAAGTATTAAAAGCAAAATAGGGAAGAAAAACCATACTATCGTCCACTGTTCATTTTGGTAATACTAGCTTTTTGAGAAAGAGGTAAGACACACATGGTCATGGTGGTGGAATGTTTTAATTAAGAAGAAAGGGCAGGAAAGCAGACATGTGTTGGAGAATGTCAACTTTTAGAATTGAGATCATTTTTAGGCGCAATGTTGTGGAGAGAAGAAGAGTAGAGAAGCAGAAAAGTAGAGTGCTTTTATACCGTTAGAACTAGCGCCTCCACGGAAACCAGGGAAACATGGGCCAGTCAAGATAGATTTTAGATTTAGAAATTGTTTTAGAGCGCTGTATGTAGATAGAGGCAAGGGGAGAAAACATAGATGCCATTTTCACCTTTTTAAACCAGCTGTCCTTTTCACAAAAACAAAAAACCACACACAAATTGGCATTGAAAGATTTTAGTAACTGTCGGATCGTGAGTATCGGTAGAGACGTCGGCTGCTTGACACTTCGGCCCGACTTCGGCCCGACTTCGGCCCACCTTGCGCAGAGCTTAGGTATACCTTCGTAGCAGCTATGTTCGTAGACAATCAATCAGAATCACCGAACAGAATGCATTCCTATTTATCGTTATTTCCCTTTACGCACTTAGTGCAAAGCCAACCAACAGTAACAGTTGTTTTTAAGCATTTTTGAGGTAGAGGAGGGGAAGGGAAGCCATAAGTCTGAAGTAGTTAACGTTTAGGAAGAAAAGACACACATGTCCCAAGACGACACGCTATTTTAGAAGCCCATCTTTTTTATAAGGAATTGGTGGAATAGAAGAGGAGAGACAGCATAGAGAGAGGCTTATATACGCACTCTCCGTCCTCTTCTCTAGGGAGAGACGCGGGAAAGAAAACATATAGGTCCTTAACCTTGGTATTGTACGCAATGTTTTGACGGAGGGAAAAGCTCATAGCCTCAGAGTTGGAGGTTTTTTGTTCCACAAGGTGCTCCGCATATGCGACGCAAACGCTTTAGTTTTTATAGGAGAAACATGGAAAACTTTTTGCAGTAAAGATTTTAGAGCCCACAGGAAAGGGGAGAAAAGGGCTGGACATGGGAACATCCAAATGCTGATTTATTACCGCACCGCATTTGGTGGTGTAAAGCGACAACGAGAAAGAGGGACAGACGCTCCCGGGAAAAGTTTTTATACGCGAGCAGTCGAGACCGCAGAACAAACCCCATGACTTGGTTGTCCTGTATTTTTGATAGCATGTAAACAAAAGCAGAGATACCCAGCATGTTACGTACTTCTGCAGGTTTTCAGAACAACAATCTCCAGCTAGAGGAACCGTCCTCGGTGTTGTTCAACGTTTTCACCTCCTCTCCAGCGGCATAGTCAATCAGTACGTCCTTTTTTGCGCAACATGCGACCTTGTTGTTATCATTTTAGTCGCTTCTCCACACATAAGAACATGATTGAAGTTGTTTTTGCGGGCGACAAGGACACGGTCATATCGCCGTGCTCTGGCATGTTTTGGAAATCGAGGTTGAATGGTGTTGATAGAGGAGAAGCGATGAGGAGACAGAAACGTTTAGAGTAGGGGATTTAATATGTGTGGGGTGTTTGGCGAAAGCCATTTGGGACATAGAGGATTGTTTCAAGTAGGTCTGACAGTGAGGTAGACAAGAGGTCTCAAACATGTGGGTCCAACTCTTGGTTTTGATACCAGGGGAGAGACGCCGTCATTTTATTGTTCGCGGTTGATTTTAAGTCACCGGGTTTGTATTTTTAGTGTTCGAGAACGAGAAAAGAGGAAAAAGAGGAGCATAGTATGTAGAGGGTATGAGTTTTCACATCGTGCGTTTCACTTCACACGTACGGAATCATGTACGGCTGTAAACAGCAGAACACACTTCCATGGGCAAGGACTTTTTCGGTTTAGAAAGAACAAGTATTTTTTTTTAAAGAAAAGGTAGTTTTACACACTTCAGCTACTCCCACAGCATCCACGTTCACAGCTTTTGGAAATACGCACTTTACAAACACGTACACGCGAGCAGGAAGGAGAAACCCTCCCGTTAACCTCCATCCGTAGTCTTTTTGAAAACCATAACCCTAGCCAAACAAGTGCACAAGAAGATCAGAGCCAAGTCATCGATGACAGCAGCTTTCAATTTCAGAACGCGTAATTTTAGACTAAAGGACTATGTGGTGAAAAAAAGGAAAGACTCCAAGTGTTTTGGCAAAAGTAGGCCGTGAAAAGGCCAGGGAGAAAGCCATAAGATGGGCAGATTGCGATTTTAGAAATACAAATTTTGGAGTATTAATGTGTGCTGGAAGAAGGAGAAACACATCGTTTAACACATACAGAACCAATTTTCGCAATGCGGTCTGCGTAGTATATATGCGTAAAGAGGAAGCAGGAAATGTTTGGTGTGCAAGCATTTATATGCGTCCTGGCTAGCGGTGGATACTCCGCTATGACCATGTTCCCCGCCTTCTGCGTTGGCTGGTAGTCGCTGCATTCACACGTGTGCATCGGGTCATTTGCTTCACGTACCAGTGATACAGGTTCTGGGATGTGTGGCGCCGCTCTGGCATACCACCTTTCTTTGTCCTGTTCTATAGAGCTATTCGGCAGGAGTGATGCCTCGTCTCAAATAATTTCCAATCACTTTGCAATGGAAGTTCACGTTTCAGTTGTAGTTGATTGCACTTTTTAAAGTAGATACACACATCGAAACCCAAGCCAAAGTAACATCCAGGACCACATCAACGCCGACTCATGCCCATCACCCCTACAAACACCTCGTCATGCACCAACGCTCTAATCTCCAGCCGTGCACCGTGTATGGGAGTAGAACCAAGGAAAGTAAGAAATCGCTCAAAATACTAGAGTCTGGCTTTCGCACTTTGGTCTTGGGGGCCCGAGTGTAGTTATTCGCGCATGTTGACGACGCAGCGAATGCAGTCGCCAGCCTTCATGTCACCAAAGGCCTGGTTGATCTTGTCGAGTGGCTGTCGGTGAGTGATGAATTCGTCGACCTTGAGGTCGCCCTTCATGTAGTCGGACACGAGGCCGGGGAGTTGGGTGCGGCCCTTGACACCACCGAAAGCGCATCCTTTCCAGACACGGCCAGTAACGAGCTGGAACGGGCGAGTGGAGATCTCTTGGCCAGCAGCTGCGACACCAATGATGATGGACTCTCCCCAACCCTTGTGGCAGGCCTCGAGAGCGGCGCGCATGACATTGACGTTGCCTGTGCAGTCGAATGTGTAGTCGCAGCCGCCATCGGTCATCTCAATGAGCTTCTCCTGAATGCTCTGCTTGCCGAGCTTGGTAGGGTTGACAAAGTCGGTTGCGCCAAACTTCTTTGCCCACTCCTCCTTGGCGTCGTTGACATCGACTACAATGATCTTGCCAGCCTTGTTCTTGGCGGCTCCTTGGATGACTGATAGACCGACACAGCCAGCACCGAAGACGGCAATATTTGAGCCTGCCTCAACACCACCCTTTCCGGCAGTAATGACGGCAGCTCCGTAACCGGTGGTGATACCGCAGCCGAGCAAGCAAGTGCGATCCATGGGTGCGTTCTCGGTGATAGCGACGACTGAGATGTCTGCTACGACGGTGTATTGCGAGAAAGTGGAAGTGCCCATGAAGTGGAGAAGGTCCTTGCCTTTGCACCTGAAGCGCGATGTGCCGTCGGGCATGACACCCTTTCCTTGTGTGGCGCGAATCTTACCGCATAGGTTGGTCTTTCCGGATTTGCAGAACTTGCACTCCTTGCATTCTGGAGTGCTGTATATTGTTAGACAGTCTTCAGTACTTCTGTGGGTGGAATGGCGTACTATAGAGCGACGACGTGGTCACCGGGCTTCACATTGGTGACGCCCTCTCCAACTGACTCGACGTAACCAGCACCCTCGTGTCCAAGGACAATGGGGAAGGCACCCTCAGGGTCCTTGCCAGAAAGTGTGTAGGCATCTGTTGGTGTTAGAAACTACTACTGAAAACACATGGTGAGGGCTATAAGCTCAACATACCGGTATGGCAGACACCAGTGTAGTAGATCTGGATACGGACTTCGTGTGCTCTGGGGGGGAGGACCTCAATCTCCTCAACCGAGAGGTCCTTGCCGGCTTCCCAGGCAACAGCGGCCTATTCTCCTGTCAGCTCTGCTTGTTTCTGACGTCGTATGATTCCGTCTCCGTTTCGACATGGGACCCGCTGCTCCCGCTATGGACCGAGTTTCGCAAAGCTTCTGCGGGTCCGCATGCCAAGCTTCCCATGCGGTCATAGGAGTTGAGCGACAGAGATTGGAGGACGACGCGACTTGAGCACCTTGAGTACCACGCCGAACGTACCTTGCAGGTAATAGTCTACAAGAATGCTTGTTAGCCAATGATCATGGTCGAAATAGGCGGCAAAGTAGGTTGCGGGGTCGTGGGGCTTGCCTACCTTTCCAACAGTGTCTGCGGACATAGTGATTGTGGTTTGAATTGAAAGGGCTATCTCAAACGTGTACAAGGACTTCAATTAAATAGAAATCAGGCTGAGGGGAAGTACAAGCTACTCCGTACTGCGCGAGCGGCTCCGGTAGCTTTTATGTGAGCATGTGGGGTTGCGCCGATAGCACAGCGTCATTCTGCGACGCAGCCCCTCCATGCCCCTCATTCGCGGGCGCGGTTCGGTATACATCGCGCGATGCTCGCCCTTGAGGCTCAAACTCGTAGCTGGCTCGGAAAAGTCTGGTTGTCACGGCTTCTAGACGCGTTTGATGACTATTGGCCGTGCAAGACCGGGCATCTTAGCCACATGTGGAGAAGTGGCAGCTTCCCATGCCTCAATTGTTCTTCGGCAGTCGCGCTGCGGACCTACTTGCCGCTTTCGGATGATGTAAACGAAAGACTGATGTGTAGACCTACGCCATTCAGCAATCCATCTCGCACCGCGATACCACGCTTTCTTCACCTTGGTGGCGCCCGTGCCCTGATACTACTGGCATAATCATGCGTCTGGACCAAAGGACATGACACGTCCAGTAAGCATAATGTCTTGGTATAAAGCTAACCCTCATAATCGAACCCCTGCACCTCGCTCCAAAATGCTTCATACCTTTCGCCATAGCCGCTCAAGCCGTAGAGTGCCCTGCAAGTTGCTTAGGGTCCTCTTCTACAATCTTTTCCGGCGTTGCCGCCCTACTACCGTCTATCGAAGAGTCCTGGGTGCTCTTGCTCCTACTTCGAAGTCTTCCCCAACTCATGACCCTCTTCCGTTCTTTCTCCTGCCCTTTGACACCGTGACTCCACTTCCTCCGAATAGGCGGCCGTGTGCCATCCAGCCCGATCAAGTTCCTCAGTTCTGACACCTCGGCATGGCCTCGTGTAGTCTTCATTCTATGCGCCCATGTGCATTCTCCGTTCTCGAACATGAACTCTCCGCCAACCTGCTTAAAGTCGCCGCCCTTTAGCGCTTTTCTGCCTGTGCTGAGGCCTTGAAATATTGATTGAACCGAGTTGATGAGCAAGTGAGTTTGCATGTATTGGGGCTTCGAGCCGAGATTATAGGTGCGTGTCATACCCAAATGGTCGTAGAGCTTGCGCGTAGGTTCGGCGTAGATGGGGAAGGGACAGCCCGTGGCCTCAATGTACATGGGTATGAGATCGGGCCTGCCGCATCCGATGACAGTGATGGACGTAGGTGTGGGTAGCGCAAGGAGGTCTTCGGGCTTTACGGATGAAGCGAGCGTGCGGATGTATTCCTGACAGTTCTGCAGCCTGTCAGCCCTCGTTACCCGTACTTGGTACCCGTGTAACTGTAATACATACCCCACAGAAAAAGTGCCGTATGAAGATGATCAGCTGTCGTGACGCGACATGCGGTGCCTGGTAGATATCCTTGAACGGTGTGCTTTTGCCTTGGGCGTCCAGTATGAGGAAGTCGCCGACGGCGCTCAGGTCCTTTTGTGTCGGTATGTCGTTGTTGACATGGGCGGTACCCTCAAACTCTTCCTGCTCTTTCTGCAGGACAGGTGTCTGGCTCGAGGGTGAGAAGGGCGGAGTCGTGTTATCGGAGACATCCATCGAGGGCTTGGGGTCGGCCATGTGGTCGGATCGTGAATGTGGTGGTGAGGGTAGTTGTGTGGGTGCTGGTCGAGGTACTGAAGTCACAATGGGTGGAGGCACAGTCGCGGCCGTGTTACTATCTTGAGACTCCATGCTGAGCTGGCTATGGAAAGATAGGGTTGTTTCTACGCTCGGGCATCTAGGTATTATACCGCTTCAGCTCGTGGACGGAAGCAAGCTGGGCCGAGGCTAGAGGCTGTTACAGGATCGATCAGCAGCCGCGATACGGAGCAGCGTGTGTGAAGGAGGTAGTGTACAATCTGCAGCGTCAGCTTTCACTGCAGGAATGTACATGTCCAGGCGATAGATATTTCAACAGAAGAAACATCCGAAACATGCTACACTTGCGACACGCTCTGAGACACGTCGCCCAGGTACGAGCACATATACGTCAGCGGCTCTCCAGGCCTGCTGTTAGCTCCCGCTGTAGTGTCAGTGTATATGCGCGTCTGGAAAAACGCCATCCCTCCAGTATGTTTGGTCATCTGTTCTTTTCGCGAGCGTGGCTGCTATCCGATGTCTGAGTCATGGCTCAAGGCGTGCGCGGGTGTATTACGCTGTGCGGCTGCGGCCTGTGGAGATGTGATGCCCACCCTGTCTCACTGTCACGCTCTTGCGCAGGGTCTGGCGCTAACCGAACGTTCCTGAAAGGCGCGCGACCACCATTCATCCCATCACTAAAACATCACCATTAAGTTTCAGGGGACGTCTTTCCCAGTAATTCCATTCGCCATTCAATTTTGCTCTACCCAAGTGCACGACTGTCGTGCTATCATGCCTGGCCGCAGTGCCCTATTGGCCTAACCAATGTACACCTCAGCCCAAACGCTATCGTCATCATACGAACCACTATGCACCCCTCTGCGCCTCCACCATGGCCAGCTTCGTTTTGATGCGATGAAGCGAATCTGCGTACTTGGTGTAGTTAGGAAAGTCAGTGCCTTGGCAGTCTTTCTTGACCTGCAAAGCCCTGACACCCGCCACCTCAGCCATCTTAAAGTCGCCCCTGTGCTCGCAGACTAGCGCGATATCAAGAAATCTGGTCAAAGTTAGCGGGTTTCCCGTGACTGTAAGAGGGCTGTGGAGGTGATATAGAATACTTGATCGTGTATCTAAGTACCTAATAGGCGTGTCTGGCGCCTACAGTGACCTTTATACACTATCAAGTATCTTATATCACCCGCGTGGTACTCACACTGCGGCCAACCTGGCAGTATAGTCACCCTCGAACGTGTGAAGAGCCGCCATCTCGAGCAGCTTCTGGACAAAGTCATCCTGCTTGGCCCCCTCGGACAAGTTAACGCCGCGAAGGAATCGGGTCGCCCTCTCCAGCTCCTGGAGCCTGTAGCGTCTCTCGGCACTCTGATAGGCGAAGGTCGACTCATCCTCGTCTTTACCACATGCTGGGCAGTCGCAAACGAAGCCGTAGTGCTTGCAGTCGTACGAACGCAACGCCTTGTCATGCAGCATGTCGCAGTAAGATAGGGTAATCTCTTCGTCGGTAGCCACGTCTTTGATGATGTGAATCGTCTCTTTTCCAATCTTTTCGTTCCAGCTAAAACATGCGTTTGGGTTGCAAGCATGGTTGAATCGCGCGGCGTACGGAAAGATTGCCGCACCCGCGTTCATCTCCATGCAGTTTATCTGGAAGACGCTGATCAGAGTAGGTTCCTTGCCAATTCTCGCTGCATGCTGCTCCTCGATTCGCTGACGCTCCTTGGGCTGTACTGATTCATGGATATGGGATGGCCACTGTTTCGGATCTTGACCATGACCGGAATGCAGAGTGAAATATAGCTTCTTTTGTTCAGGCGTCAGCTCTTCGAAGGCCTTCTCGATGTCGCATAGCATGTAGTCGGCGATAGGGACTATCAACAGTGGATCCTCCACTAGGATTCGGGTACCGCGCGCGATGGGTTTCAGTGCAAAGCAACCGTAGCCTTTGCCAGGAATCGCCCGGACTTCATAGTACTCATTGCCTGCTGTGCGGTGTCAGTGTCTGTTCCCTGGCGATCGTCTGAAAGATTCCTGTGCAGAGCATACACTACGTACCTGGAGCTGCGGGAAGACTGGTAGACTCCATTGTAGTCGTGAGGATGGCAAGGAAAGAACGGGTCGATAGTATGGTGTTGTTGCTTCTGTTTTCCGCAGTGATAGCTGTCAATGGGATTGCCCGCGTTTGCTGTGCGTTTGCTGCCAGTAGGCGGTGAAGATCGTGACAAAGTGAGGTGCTTTGGGCTTCACCTTCACATTACGGGCAGCCCGCCCACTATAGACACGTAGCACAGGTTCCCATGCTGTCAGGTAAGAGCGCAGCACATCTCTCGCCGCGCTGGTGGATTGAGTACAAAAGAGATTGCTAACAAACGACTTCGTGACCGCCATGGATTGGGATCTAGACCTGAAATCATGCGGCCATTCAAACCGATACCTATCACGAAAACGCAATCCAGATCTGTTCAGAATTCCGAGAAGTGGCTAGGCCTTGATTGTGGGCCCGCTACACACTTCATGTTCGTCCACAAAAATTGCGGCCTTGGTTTGGAGATCAGCAAAACGTGGAATAATCTCAGCTTTTTGCCACCCGTGGGACATGAAATACTTGACAGTTTAGTGTAGAAGTTTACTGTAGGCGCTAGATACGCCTATTTTGTGCTTACCTACTCTGTCAAGTGTTTCATGTCACCTAGGTCCCGCTCTTACGAACATCTGCCGGGCTTGGCCAGGATCTAAAACGGGCGCCCTCGGCGGGCCTCACTGTGTGACTGTGGCGGCGCCACTTCCCGAGCCCGTAGGATTGTTGATATGAAGTCGATCCTCCGAACTACAGCCTTGCCAACTGAATCAGGCCCGAACGATCGCCATATCCATGCTTACATGGGCCCTAAGTAACCGTGATCGTGGGTAGCTAACCCTGGATAGCTAACACCTGTTTTGTAAATTACCTCCCCGTTTTTGATGTTGCGAACAACTCCGCGGATCCCCAGGATACAATCAAATTAGGGTATCCACTGACGAGTAACCAAGAATGGTATGGTGCTCCCTTCTTCCCAGACCCCACTCAGCCAGATAAATCCACGGTGATATCAGGACTATGCAGAATCTATCGCCCGGACAAGTATGCGTGAGCTGCATGTCGAGAGCACCATTATCACCTCTATATTGTACCATTATAGTCATATCTGCTATATATATTCCACATCGCTTGGATGTTGTTTAGTGTTCCCTGATTAACACTGAAGCTTACGCAAGCTAAGGCAAGTAGGCTCTGATGTGCTACTCTCATTTCACGATGATTGAAAGAAACCAAGGACTATATTGACTACAACAAGTGTTGTTGTCCCTGTCGAGATGTTCTAAACTCCTTGATACATCAACTTATTTCTACGTTTAGACATACAAGACTGTAGACAAACCACTCAGGGTGGGTCTGCATTAGATAAGCTTATTCGCCACACGAAAGCAAGGGAAGAACCGCTGGGTGCTTTTTGCTCGTGCACTCTGCAGTGACTCTGAATATAAATTTAGGTGGATGCCACAAAGGCTTAAGGATACTTTCAATGCTTTCTTTGCTTACGCGGAAATGTTGCTCGTGATCAGCATCTTGATCACACATCCGTGTTGGCATGTCACGCGGGAACAAGAAAAACGCCGACTCCGGGAGCTCCGCGCCCCAACTAAATGTTTCCATCCCAACACGCCCCATGCGCACCCCCTATCACTCAACCATCATCCTATACAACCCTAGATATTTTCGCGCATCTTTTTCGCCATGTCAAAGAGTGGGATTTCCAACTTTGACACACCTAAAAAGGCTCGCATTAAGGGTGCAGCTGAGTTCATGGATGCAAAAGGTATACCATACTTACATACTGATCTCTTCGCTTTCAACCACGTCTCTAAGCAACAAGGATGGGCTATATTGAAGGAGAAGGGAGTAGAGCACGATCGGACGCATCATAATGATCCTACAACCGAAGAAAAGCGCGGAAGAAAGCCAAAGTTGAGCCAGAAAGACCTGGAACGTTGCGACAGATTCCTTCAAGATGTCGGATGGGATGGAAGAGTCCTGACGTGGCCACAACTTGCAGAGGAGCTTCAGCTCGACGTTTCTGGCAACACTCTTCGCTCCGTGCTCGGTTCTATGGACTATCACAAGTGTATTGCATGTACAAAAGGCTGGGTTTCAAGGAAGCTTGCGAAGAAGAGAGTTGAACATTCTGAAACGATGCTTGCACTCAAACCTACCGCAGAAGACTGGCGAGACGTACGCTTTTCAGATGAAGTACACTGCCGTGTAGGTCCTCAAGGCAAGCTTCGGATTATCCGGAAGCCTGGGGAGCGTTACTGTAGTGACTGTATTCAAGAGCAGCTGAATCGAGATGATGAACGAACGTGGGAAACCTCGCACATCTGGGGCGCTGTTGGCTACAACTTCAAGTCAAACCTCACGTTTTACTCAAATCCAACCAACCGAAACGGCAAGCTCTCTCTTCATGTGTATCGGGATCAAATCCTGGAGCCTGTGGTGAAGAAATGGGTCCAAAATGATCCCCCCTTTATCCTAGAAGAAGACAACGATTCCGGGCATGGAGGTGGAAGCTCTTCCAACATTGTAGCCACCTGGAAACGCCAGAATAACCTCGATTTCTTCTTCAATTGTTCGAATTCTCCTGATCTTTCACCCATAGAGAACTGCTGGCAAGTGATGAAACAACATCTCAAGAAGTTTCCGCACTGGGATGAGTTCGAAACGAGAGAACTGGCCTCCGAGGGATGGCAGAAAGTATCACAAAGCTTCATCAATGAGCGCATTAATCAGATGCCAGAAAGACTGCAAGCTTGCATTGATATGGAGGGTAGAATGACTGGTTACTGAAGAAAAACGGGATGAAAACACACCCTGAACGCTCTGTTGAGCTACAACCCCAAGAAAAAGTCTGTATACAGCTTTCATATACAATTGCAAAGCTTCAAGCTTCAATTTGAGCCCAAATATGAGAGATTACATGTTGTTTTGGTGGTGCTGTAGTACTAATGGTGGTGCGCCAAGACATTTGCGAGTCGGCGTTTTTCTTGTTCCCGCGTGCATGTGTTGTTGTTGCTGCCCGAGCAGGGAACAGGGGAGCAACCCCAACACCAACACCACTGCACAGTACTTTCGAATACGGCAACCATGGTGAACATAGATGTATATTAATACTATATATATCACATCAGACTACTCGGTCTTACCAAAAGCCCATAACTACAACACGTGAGCAATCCAAAACATAACCAAAAAGTATGGATATCCAGCCATACTCTCTGTATTCACCTATTCCGGCAATGGATCCGCAAAGAAAGACCAAGAGAATCCCAAAGGCTTTTGTCTGTCCTCCCCCACGTTGCAAGCCCTTGATTACCCGAATCCCGTCATCTTGCAGGCAGCACCCGATACAGATTTAGCGCTACACAAGCTTTTTCGCTACCAGATCGTGTCAGTGCCAGCCCCGTGCGCCCGGCTTTCTGACTAACTGGACCACTCGTTGGATTTGCCTCGGTGTCATCATCTCCTATGGTCCCGGCCCGAACCCCACCATATCGCTCGCCTGTTATATAAGTGCCACTGGTAAGAGATGAGCTGGGAAAGGCAGGAAGAAAGACTTAGTGTACCAAGATTATTGTGGTCAATCTTCATTTGTTTATTGCAAAAGAGAAGTAAGCGGGGGTCTTCCTGTTGTAAAGTGGTATGCAGCCCGACTAACGACATGAGTGTGGGCGACATTACACAGAGAAATAGAAAGCATCGTCGTCGTCCTAAGGCTCATCGATTTCCATGTCCTCATGGTTGTCGTCAACATCATCCATGTTCTCCCCACTACTTGATGAATCGGATGACTCGTAGCTGAACTCTCGCACCCTAACCACGAGCGTCTTATTACTCTCTTCAAATGCTTCGTTCCACTCCGCCATGCCGGTCTTCTTGTTACCAACGAAATAGAGATAGCTAATCTCTTTGGCTATCTTCTTGACCTGCCGCTCTAGTCTCTCATTTTCCTCCTGTTCATACAGCCTCGCTGCAAGGTCTGCATCGGCCTGTAAATCTTCGGAGGACAGCGAGTGCGACAAGGGACTACGTGGCGGAATGGGTCGTGTCTGCCCGCGCGCATTCCGCTGAGCTAGGCGGGCTTGGTTTATGCTGTATTCGTACACCTGGCGACTGAGCAGCAGCGATAAAGGAATATTCCAGAATTCTTGTGCGATTGTGTATTCCGGGCCCAGATTGTATTTGCTGCGTACCGCACGGTCCATTGTAGTTCGCTCATACCAGCCTTGTTCAAGTCTTTCCCTCTTTCTTGTCTCATTGCGAAGTGTCTGCACCGCTTGGCGCAAGCTCGGGTTTCCTTCCGTTGTTTGCGCGCACCGGCGATTTTGGTTGTGGTGCGGGGACAGCGTTGTGCTGCACCTGGAAATGGGCGTGGTGGTAGAAAGTGCGCCTGATCGCTCCCACCATGCTGCATAGGCTGCAACTTGGGCCTCAGGGATATTCGTGGGGTAATACGCCACCATAGAGTCACATGCCGGACACAGCGAACAGGTCTCGGGTAAGACTGCTGCTGCCTGGGTACGTTGGAAGTCGAATCGCTCATGCGCAAAGTTCCATGCCTGCTCACGTTCCCAGCGCAATTGCTCGTTTCTTCTCGCTCTGTCGAGTCGGTCTCTTGCAATATGGTACGCTTTCTTTGCCCGGTTCCACCGCTGGGTGCGCATGTAATCTGGTGGAAGCAAGCCGCCCTCGGTTACTACCTTCTGCAATGCAACTTCCGTCTTTGCTTTGGCCTGAGATACAGCACACGGGGAGCACCATGGTGTATGTTGTGCGCTGGATGGATGGATATTGTGGCCACATTTGCTAGCAAACCGCATCTCGTGACCGTACTGTGAAGAGGCATATGGTTGCTTCTGGACAGGTAACATCGACGCCATGTCGGGCATATATGTGTCGGGCATGTATATGGGCATTGTGGGCATAAACTTCTGGTTGATGTATTCGGTGATTGATGTTCGCGGAAGAGCTAAGGTGCATTATTAGAAGTGCAAAATGATAGTACGGGTCGCGTGTGTGGTGAACCACGGATCAGCGAAGGGACAAAATCGGTATATTACAACAGTGAATAGTGAGGCCAAGGGATGCGTGCAAACGTGAATGTTGAGTAAAGATGTTAGATGGGCTTCGGCAGTGCGAGGGACCAAGTCAAAGATGTACTTTCGTCTATCTTCCTAGTGAGGCGTGGAGACTCGTAAGCGGCCATCGAGGCTATGATCGCGTGTGCTCGTGATTGGCCTGTTGCCTTGGAAGTAGCACGCGAGCAGTCATCGACGGCTGCCCGTGCACGCTAATACCCACTTCGCTGACAGTGTCAGTGGGGGTTTCCGACTTCAGATGAGCGCGGCAGCCGACAGTGTGATATGTGGCACCGGAGGCCAGCCTCAGGCATATATGTATTTGGCCGCCCAGACGGTACCTAGGTAGCTTTCTAGATGCATCGTGAATATCGCTGAACATGGCCGCCTTCACTTGCGCAACACAGCAGACGCCACCCATGTCGGGCTTCCATTCCACCGATCGGAGACTCACCTTCACCTGGACTATGCGAGTGGAATTTATCGTAGTGGTCTCATTTGCGACCTTGTCCACACCACGGGAGACATTCCCCTTTGAAGACAGCATCTCTAGTCGCCTGGACCGTCAAGGAAGATACTGCTTGAATTCCTATTGACTATAGCGAAATCGTGTGTATACCGCCATTCACCGCAAGATCAATGCGCAAATTCCGTTTGTTGATGGATCTGCGACGCAAACGAAGGCGACCGGTAATCTTAAAAATCTTAAAAAGCATGTTAATGTTATGTTCACTGCGACAATGGGACTTGGCGCCCTGCTCAAGAAGCGCAATTCAACTATCACCTTGGTCGCTCTCCTCATTGACTGTTGACTTTAGCAACTGCAAACATGGCGCCGACGCAACCCGCAGTGCCGCAGAGGTCTGTGTCTTTCAATCCTGAGGCGGCCACTTTCAGTCCCAGCTCTGTCAACCCTACGACAACGACTGCGGATACAGACCCAACTCCGCCAAAAGTTCAAGAGCATTCAAGAGTCCCGGATATGTTTGGTGGTGAGTTCCCCAATCCACATACTTGAGCCGTTGGCTAACAATCACGAAGAGAAATGGCGTTTTCGGTCAAGCAGACGCGGACGTGCTAACCGCCGTCGCTATCAAGGTGCAAGAATAGCATATCCGCTTCGCAGTACGGCTCGTACACTTGAGGGGGTGCAGCAAGGTAAGCACAGAACGAATGAGAAGTAAAAGTTTGATACTGACTCAAACAGATGCAGCTCCTCGCGACACTCTTCCTAAAGACAACATCAACATTCCCATGCCGTTTCCTCCCCTCGGATTGTTATGTTCCGCACGTCGTGGACCCGACTTCAGTGCACCCCCAGTTGGCGAACTGAATGCGAACCTTGGCTTGTCTGGTGCCAAGAGAACTGACACTACTAACGACTCGCCAGTACAGTCACACGAGTTACCAGGATCTGATGCCGATGCCCTAGCCGGTCTCGATGGCAAGCTCATTGGACAAGCGCTGAACAAGCCCATGACCGCTAACGACCTAGCCCGGTACCTCAACGGCTTGACTGTTCATCAAGGAGGCCTGATTCCGCCGTCTCAGGGCACTCAGTATGGTTATGGCACACGTCTTCCGGAGATAGAGGCTAGCGAGGACAAGGCTACAAAGATTGTGAAGCCGCCTCCTGGTTTTGGTCGTGTGCAGTCAAGGAGGATTCCGGCTGGAGAGTCAGGCGCTGCAGTTCTATCTGTCATGGATCCGCAAAACGTACCTACAGGTCCTGCTGCAATGACCCGACCCCGACGCTTCAGCGACCTTCCCCAGTTTCCGCAACATGCCTCCGGTTCTGGACATCGTCGCCGTTCGCGAGCGTACACCCGCGGCAAACGTACTGATCAAGGCCCAGAGCCATCAGCTGCCGACATCTACCCTGAAGATGCCAACGTAACTCGCCGCTCTTCATACCTCCAACCTGCTGTTCCCTTCCTCTTTCCCAAGGCTGAGCCACTCCCTCAGTCACATTTCAGCGCCGAGGATCCTGTCAGCTGGCCAACTCCCGCAGAAGTGGATACACTTAATCTAAAAAAGCCACAAACTCCCCGTTCCCTCATCCGACTCTTCGACCAGAAGTTTGGCAACGAAGCTGCCGCCGCAGCTCTCCCTGCGCCCCCTGCGCCCTTCGACATCTTCGCAGACCACAGCTACCCCACAAAAGATGACTTCAACGCCGCTGACGACGAAGTTCGCTTCCTGCTGTCTTCTATCCCCACCTTCTACTATCAACAAGAAGTAGGCCAGGCTCAGACTCAGACTCAGCATCAAGACCAAGGCACCGCCTATCTCACCTGCGATACTCGCCCCCTTACCCCCGAACAACTCACGGGAGCACGTTACGGCATCCGCTACCACGGCATCGGTCTAGGCGATAACTGGAAGTGTCTCGAGGTCAAAGAGGGCGAGCCTTTCCGAGTGCGTCCTCGTAACCATGACGGTTGGGGCAGCTGGGAATGGGCCATTCGCAAAGGATGGGCCAAAGAGTGAGTATTTCCGTCTTGTAGAAACTATATCTGTTTTCTGAGACGAAGTGAAAGAAAATGTTCTTTTGCTAACCTATGAGAGATTCGGCGGCAGGATTGCGGCTTAGGGGCTTACATGGTAGCATTTCCGCTAGGCTTACAGGATAAGGCTGGCTCGCGGTATGGCTTGGGATTGGGCGTTTAGGTTAGGGCGTTGGCCGCTGGCTGGATGACCTGGGGAGTCTTTTCTTATCTGGATACCTTTTGCTTCTCTTTTGCAGAAGAGATGAGGGGGTTTCAGAAGCGATGCTTAACTTCGGCCATATGGCGACGAGATTTCATTTATGATGATGCATTGGGCTGCTCCCGATCTAGTCCCATTGGACTATTCAATTCATGAAATTCATAGCTGATGTCATTTTCCTCTTTCACACCGTGACATAGCAAGGGTGGTAAGAAGATGTCAATTAATAGTTCGAGTAGAGGACAACTGGGACATCTGTGGTGAAACGTGTATGAAACTCAACACCTTTTCCAGCTGAAGTAGCAAGAAAAATGCAGCGATAAAGCCAAGATGTAATTTGTCATGTCTACAGTACTATCACGCCCCTGCGCCCCTCGCAAGCATAAACCCGTGTTTCCATGCCGTGCCGAAAGTTAACTATGATCACCACCGTCTAACCGGCCCCTCAAATGGGGTCAAAATCCGTTTCTTGACTAGCCCTCTCATTGTCAAACGTGGCACCGTAGCGGCACTGATAACGCACCTAATTCACGATGACGGATTAATATGCGCCTTCAAGTTCAAAGGCTGGATACCGTGTTCACGGGGCGTTGCAGCGCCAGAGTCTACTTGGACCTGAGGAGTGCCCATGCCAGACAATGGACTTACCGCGCCAGAAGGTGCAACGGGTATCTTGATGTCCTCGGGGCTACCGGGGACCATTGATTCGGGAAGGTTGGGGATCTTGATGCGTTTGGCTACATTGTTGTAGGACGAGGGGATGATCTGATAAACTGTGAGCAGGAGTAGTGAGGGAATGACGGAGTAGCACTGGTACTTACCTCGATAATCTCATCGCGGGGGAACTGCAGCTTGGGGATATCGGCTGCATTACATGCCATGAGATAACCGTACAGCACACGGAGTACGGATTCGTGGGCAATGATGAGAAGATCGTTCTCTTCGCGTTCGAGCTCGAGAATGATGGGTTCCATGCGCACAGCTAGGTCGTGGTAGGATTCTGCACGTGGGTACCGGTGGTGGTATGGATCTGCCTCGTGCTTTGTGACTTCATCTGGGAATTCCTCGCGTATCTTTGCTTCAGACATTTTTTCGCACACGCCTGGGTTCATCTGGCTCATTTGCGATCGTTGCCTGACTCGGTAGCCCATGGACGCTAGAACTTCTGATGTCTGGACAGTTCTCCGACGTGTTGAGGTCCAGATAGTCAATGGCTTCAAGGACGCGTCTGTTGCTCCAGATTCAATAAGCTTCTGCTTCTCTTCCTCGCGGTACTGCAATAAGACCTCGCTCATCTTCTTTGCATAGTCGTGCCCTTCTGGTGAAAGATTGGCATCGGCCTTGTAGGAATCCTCCTCCCGTGTGGTTCCAGCGCGAGCAAAGTAAGTTTGCCGCGACTTGATGTGAAGGTTGAGCAAGTAGAAGACAATTCGTTGGGAAAGGTATCCAAATGCGCAATTGTTGACTACTACTCGCTCGCCAGCGTTGATCATCTTGATCCAGTGCAGATCGGGCTCTTCCATGGTTTCAAAGTGCGGTATCCGTGCATTAATGCGGGCTAGGTAGTCGTGGACTGCGTCTTCATCCTTCCACCCCTGGTAGTCCGGCGAGGAGATTTTGACACGACGAACGTTTTCCTGGATGATGCGCTCATCGGTGCAGTGTGATTCGATAAAGACTGTCTGGATGCCGTTCTTTGCAAATTCCTTGGCCAGTGATCGCCGGCCTTGGCTGATAGCATTGACGGCGTCGTAGATGGCCACTTGGCCCTTGTCGTTCTCCAAAAAGTGGTAGATATCCTCACGGCACTTCTTCAATATCTTGTTGCGCAACAAGACAGATTGTGGCGCTGCATTTAGGAAGAAGTAGTCCTCCGGCACGTCATTGTCCGGACCTAGAGTAGCGCGACGATAGTCGCCAAGATGAAACACGTGAGTCTTGACACCCAGCCACCGAAGGTAACGGGCGAGGGCAACGGAGGTATGAGTTTTGCCTCGAGCAGGCAGTCCACAAGTAGCGATGACTATTCGCCCGGAATGGAAGAGGCGGCCCGATTCTGTGCTATAGAGTTGAGCGGGCGCCATTTCTTCCTTGGTGGGTAGATCGTGGATTGCGTCGACATATGTACTAGACCGCCGCCTGAAGCGCGGAGAATTCGCATATATCTCTGCGGTGCTGTTCATGATCAGTGAATGTTCGCAGCGTTGGTACTCGGATACGGCCACGGGAAGTGGGGTCATGCCACTTACAGTAGGGTGTCCATGATTGCGAATGGTAAATTCTATAAGAATAATGGAGGTAGGGAAGAAGCGGATTTTGAAGAAGAAGAAAATTGACCGATCATCAAACAAAGTAAGGTTGGGGGTTGATGGTTCAAGAGGGATACGAGTGCAGCTAGGGACCGGGCGTTGATATAAGTTTGCCGAGACTTGGAAGCGGATAAGGTGCGACAGTCAAGCGCGGCCAGTCTACCAGGACACGTCGCAGAGGGTCCGAGGGTCCAGGCAGCGTTTTGAGGGGAATGTCGCAGCTAGCTCGCCCAAAAAGCAAAGCTCAACGGTTCAATGTGAAGTCGGATGGCGCAGTGCATGTGGGTTAGCGTTCGGAGTCGATTACAACAGACACGTGATGGTGGATTATGTCATCAGGTAACTTTTCAAAATGTTCACCCATATCGTCACCGTCCAAGCGACCGGAACGCATCACAGCACCCAACAATCTGCTGCCATTTCCACACGACCCGTGCCGGCCCTCCTGCATCGTAGGGAGTTTCTAGTCCGACGTGCACGCATATTTCCACAATGGCCACCCCGCTGCAATTTAACCCGGCAAAAGAACAAGCCATCGCTGACGTTCTCTCGCAACCTCGCGCCGCCAACACAGGCCCGTTCGCACAATTCCAAAATGTATACGACGCATTCCTAGAGCGGAGAGAAGCATTGGGGCTCAGCAACCCTGGCACCGTCGAGAACATTGCGAGAGAAGTGCAGCGCGATGTTTTCCTGAACAACTCGAGCTTTTCTGGCCTGCGCGCCGAGCTCACAAAGGCCTTCAGCGCAGCCCCGCTATTCCAGGTTGCGCATTCGCTATCTATGGGATCTCAGGTTATGCCGCCATACTCTTATATGGTTCTCTATGGATCACCAAGAGTTTGTTGCCCAAATCTGCAACAGTCTTTTCAAAGCTGATGATACCAGGTTTTTATGCAAGGAAACCTCGACAACGAGCTCGCCTTCTCCGGACGCTTCAACTGGCGCTGGACGTCAGCATTCGTCACCAAGACAGCTGTCCAGCTCACGTCCCAAGGGAACATGGTCTCGTTCGAGAACGACTACACAGGTGCAGATTTCTCCGCTTCGCTCAAGGCCGTCAACCCCTCCATACTTGACGGTGGCATTACTGGTATGCTCATGGCAAGCTATCTTCAGGCCGTCACACCAAAGCTATCGCTCGGCATTGACGCTTTCTGGACACGTCCGGCCATGGCCTACCCACCCGAGCTCAACGTTTCGTATGCCGCCCGCTACAGGGCTGTTGACTGGATGGCCTGTGGTCAGATTATTCCGGACCGGGGTGTATTAGAGGCTTCATACTGGCGCAGACTCACAGACAAGGTGGAGACAGGTATCAACTGCAACCTCGCATTTGCTGGAATTGGACCTGGCGGACCCATGGCTGGCCCACAGAAGGAGGGCAATGTTACGATTGGTGCCAAATACGACTTCCGCCAGTCGTCATTCAGGGCGCAAATCGACAACCAGGGCAAGGTGTCGTGTTTGCTGGAGAAGATGATTGCGCCGCCGATCCGCGTAACCTTCTCTGGAGAAATCGACCACAAGCAGGTACGTCATCTTTGACTTCAAACTTTGCTACGCCATGCTAATAAAGACGCAGAACGCCGCCAAGCTCGGTCTGGCTGTCGCAATAGAAGCCGCCGACGAGGCTGTCATGGAACAGCAAGAACAACAGGGCGCCGCAATGTCAGCCGGCTCAATTCCCTTTTAAACGCCTCTCCACACCCATGTACCGACTATAATACCATGACTCTTCTCTTTGCTGTATTACCACGTTTTCTTGGAGCGAGCGCAATCTGCGAATGTCTCCATGCCACCACTCGCGGATTGGGTACGGTTATGCAAGCGCACCGCTTGAGTGACAGTTTGTTACAGCATCTCACTGGCGCACGGTTCGCATCTGATGTCTATGAGCATTTGGTAGACCGGGACACGGCGGATTACGTTTGTGCGCCAGATGAGTACGAATCTAGACGCTGTATTTGTAAGTATTGTTACATAGCCGACAGGCATGAAGAAAAGAATAAATGTACAGAGAAACTTCATCACTATGCTGAAGTTATGGTCTCAATAACGTGACGCAATACATAATCGTGGAGTCGAGAAATATAGTACAGATCATTACGGCATCATTTTGGCCGCCTGTATGCACATGTTACAGTCCCGTCCATGCACCGTTTCCAATATCGTAGCAAGACAGGTGTGAAGAGCCCGCCGCTCATATTGAAGCGACCACCAGTCGAAAAGCGCTCAATCAAGACAATGGTTTACAAAGCCGGCTTTGCGCCCTGGGGTTGACCAGGCATCGGCGCACCACCAGGAGCCATAAACTATACATACGTTAGCAATTCGCACCTTATCAATCCCACATCATCCCGCAAAAAATGGAATAATTTTTAGCACATACCTCGTTCTGCGCCCGTTGCGCCTGCAACTCAGCCCTCTCCTGCTCAACAATCATCTGCTCTTCACTGTACGCCAACGCCCACGGCACACCCAGCAGCAGAGCACTCGTGCTCACAACCCACAGCGTCTTGCCGCCCATGCTCAGTCCCGACTTGAACCACGAGGAGATTGTGGACGCTTTCGACGAGACGGAGCGGCGTGTGCTGGCGGGGATCATGTCTTGCAGGGCAAGGATGCGCTCGTAGAGCGATTCGTCTGGGTGCAGCGAGTGGATGGATGAGGTGTCGGACTCTGAATGGACCCCACATTAGCATTCATTCAATCATTAATCCGCTTATATCTTTTGTAGGGAACATTGAATCACAGAAAGAATTCTTTCGGGAAAAACATGATCATTTGAGCGGGGTTTTTCTCTTCATACCGGAATCGGTGTCCCATTCATCGTCGTCGTGCGGGCCTTCCTGCTCACGCACAAACTCCTCGTCCATGACTTCTTCGAGTTTGACCATCTTGGCGGTATTTGGGGGGCTGCCGGGTTAGACTGGTAGGGTGGAGGTGGGGTGGATTTGATGGATGGGCGGCGTGGTGGTACGTAGTGGGTTCGTGGTGTTGGGCCGCGAAAGCTGTTTGTGCTTGCGACGATGATTGCGATGATGAACTTTTAGTGCATGGACCATGTGCGCGCTGCGCTAGGCTGGGGTTCTACCGAACGGCAACTTCACCACTGCATGACGTATGGATGGGATTGTATTCGAATTTCCCAGCATTTGCAATATATCATTAAAAGCTTGCCGGAATTTAATAGGTCGTAATGACTATAAAAGATCAAACTAATTTCATAGTAATTTTCCAGTAAATGCAATCTGTTGTTCCCAAGTCGCACTCCATGGCACATCTACCCCGTCATTAGCTACTATACTCAAGATCACTTTAAATTCTAGTAAAGTGTCCATTTCTATTCGCTTAGCGATAAGGTGTTGAAAGGTGGATTCATGTGTCTACGGTTGATATGACGATGCACCCGCAAATGCTGCCTCCAGAACTTCCCGATAGCTCTCAACCTTGCGTGGACTTTACGGACTCAATATGATTCAAGACCCATGGCCGCACGCGTGAGTTTCCGACCCCTGAGCACATACGATCCTTTTCTGTGCCGACCCTGTGCCCTCACGTAGTAAGATTTCAACATCTTGGCCTTATTGTCAAGTTCGGACGAGATGTATCTACTTTGGAAGCAATAAATGCCTGGGCCATTCGGCGCGTCTTTCAAGATTTAGTCCCAATCTCTGAGGTCTACGGATGGAGAGTAGTCGAGCGCGAAGTTTTCATATATATGCAACTCGTCAGGGGCCTACACCCAAACAACAATGGCCCGCCCTATCTTTCGATAACAAGTATTCCATATGTAATGATCTTCGTGCCATCATATCAAGATTCTGCAACCTCCACGATAGTGATGTTTAGGGTCAAATAGGTGCGACATCGCTAAACTTCGAAAGGTTCCATAAATCACGGCCTTCCGCCGGATTACTGCCTGAAGCGCCTACCACTCCTGAGGCCATTTCCCACACGAGCCGTCTTCCACGACTGGCTTTCCTGGCTGTGGCGCCGGCATGTTCCTGATCCACAGACGATTGAAGATCCCTGGAGATACTTACTGCCGAACGACGGTCCCATTGTATTTACGCATGGTGATCACCACCGAGCCAATATCATCGTCACCGCTACAAGTCCCACTAAAGTAATTGTGATTCTTGACTGGGAATAAGCAGGCTGGTACCCGGAATATTGGGAGTATTGCAAAGCCTTGTTTACGGCTTCATATAATGGAGATTGGCATGAGTACGTCGATCGGTTTTTGATCCCCACACCGTCCCTGTGGAAGCATTCGATTTTTACACATGCACCCTCGGCAAGTTTTGAGCTTCAAATACTTAGAGCGAAGGTAAGGTTTTCATTAGCGTTCTTGATCAAAACGGTGGATCTTTTTGCGAGTGCTGGAAGAGCAAAACAAATACAAAAAACAAGGAGCCTGCTTTAGACAGGACAAGCGTTCAAGTATGCAAGTTTTGCAGCACAGGTCCATCAGTTCAATCTCATTTGGGACTGGTCATAAAAAAAGCAAAACAAAAACATACAACAGCGGGGATTCGCCAGTGGTCACCCACCTGACTACTAATCCGCCGGTACACCGCTTGAGTACCGCTGAGCGAACGGGAAGCGCTATTGTCGATGTCCTATGGTCGTATGTGAAAGATCTGCTAGCTGCTAGCGTTATGACCAAAGGTAGAGATGGAGGTGGAATGCAAAATGGCAAAAACATACAACAGCGGGGATTCGCCAGTGGTCACCCACCTGACTACTAGTCCGCCGGTACACCGCTTGAGTACCGCTGAGCGAACGGGAAGCGCTATTGTCGATGTCCTATGATCGTATGTGAAAGAACTGGATAGATTTTGGTATATAACAGACATTAACAGTAACAGCACATTACCGGAAGCATGGCTTTTGGTATCCTGCCTGTGTTGATGGAATAACATGGTGGCGACCATCAAAACCCGAAAGATAGCATAAAATATAAAGACAAATAATTGCAGATTGTCTACTTCTCTTTTCATCTATGTACATTCATCGTCTATGTACCAAAATCGTTTTTTGTTTTACCCCCACTCTGTCCCTCAGCGACGCCTTCCCAGCATCTCAACTCCCAATCCATCACGACCCTCTGACTTTGTAATCTGCTCGGCAGCCTTGACAAGGTCGTATGTAATGTCGTCGCTCACCACACTATCCTTCTTGTACTCTGGGTGCGACTGGACGAAATGCCTGATCCACTTCGCCGCCGTCCAGTACGTGCCGTTTGCGCGCTTGCAAATCAAGTCGAGGTAGGTAGCGAGATCACAGCGCGTCTCGACATCGACGTTCATACTATTGAGGTATGATTCGACGAGCGGGATAAGACCAGGGAAGCCGTCACCGTCTGACGTGGTCTGTCCATTGATGACTTCATTGATGGTCATTTGTGTGTATTCGTCCTCGATAGGGCCAGTGGGTGTTGTTGGTCTGCTGAAGGTCTCTGCGGGCGTGGAGGTGCCCGTGCCGCTTGACTTGTGTGTCGAGAAGGGGTCCTTGCGGAACCAGAATTTCTGAGTCGATACGGCGTCACGGATGTGTGCTGTTTCCATGTTCTCTGACACGAGGGTGATGGGAATGTAGAAGTTGAGGTTGAAAGAAAGGATTGCGCGCGTGAGTAGCACAATGAAGATGGAAAACGCTGCATTCTCGAAATCGGTGATTTGGATTTCCATGGGTCGGAATTCGACTCGCCAGCCCATATCGGAGCCTGCTGGCGGTGGCTTGAAGCGCATGTGCTGCCAGTTGGTCGACTGCAGATTCTCAAAGTGATCGGCTTTAGTGAGGTCCAGCTCCTTGAGGTCTTCGGCGAACACAACAATGGGATCCCGAATGAAGAGGTGGGCGAAGTGGGTTGCTAGCAGGTCGTCCATGCCACCTTCAACTAGGCGCTTCTTGATATCGGTATCAATGATGAGATCCGGGTCGAGGTACTCAGGCCGGAGACGCGGATCTTGGGATATGTACGTTGAGTTGGATGCATAGCGGGACTTGGGGAGTCGCCAACGGTCGTTTTGCAACGGCTATCACTAGTAAACACGCGAGTTTCTGCCACAGGATTTCAAACGTACCTTCTCTCCGAGTTCCTCTGGTGTGCGATCATCAACTGCATTGCTGATCTGGTTCCAGCGCACGTCGGTGTCGGCCAGGAAACCCTTGTAGATTGGCGTCGCCGCCGTCAATGCAAGCAAGATAGGGGCTATAGGACTGAGCTGGTCATACATTTTTCGTCCTTCTTCAATATTTTTCGCTTGGAACGTGATCTGTAGACAACAACTTCCCATGCCGAAAGCCATGGCATCCATATGGATGTAATTGTCTTTTGCAGCACCATTGCGGACGTCATCATCTTCCGGCCAGTTATGCAAATCATAGTTGACAGTAGGATCTTTCCAGGGCCACGGTGTGTTTTCATCTCTGAAAACTGGTACATTGACCTGTACTTTTCTGCCTCTCCGCCAGCGAATGTTTGCCGCTAGAGTTGGAAAGCGGATATGGGGGTTCGCAATCTCATCGGGGACAAACTGGGAGCGGAGCTTAGGCCCCGAAACAGGATACGAGGGCACAATGCAATCGGTCGATCCAAGACGGGGAAATGTTGTCAACGTGATCGGGAACTCGGTCTGGGCCATATGATCCTTGGCTATGGTTCGTCTGACAGATGTGAGCTACCGAATGATCGACGATCGGAAAATCTTGTCTACCTCCACTTCATGTTTGGTTCGACATCTAGCAGATCCTTGAAGCCGATGCCCCATGGCTTTCCTGGAGTCGCTTCAAGCATGAACCTTCCAAACTCGGGGTGGAAAACGGGGGCAGGGTTCTCCTTTGCCCTTTGACAGTCAGTATGATGAAATCAAGTTTGATTCTGTAGCCTCACTCGGCATTTCCGGCCTGGAGGTCAGGCACTCCCCCTCCCTGCTGCAGAAGCTTCTCATCATTGGCAAGGGCAGCTAGAATGTCTGCTTGGCGTAGTGACAGTCTGACCTTGCGGTTGTTTTGATCATAGCAAACAACCAGGTACTCGATCTGGAGACCAGTTAGTTGCAGATTCTGTACCAGGTGAGTAACCGATGATGCTTCACCTCATCTCCCCAAAGGAGCGCGTCCCTCTCCTTGGCTTTGGCATTGCGCCATATGGCGAGCAGTTGCTGTCAATCACATTACTACACATGTCTCTCAAGCCTCACAGTCGAGCATACTTCAATCCCCCATGACCTGACCTGGCCGGCAACCTTCTTGGCGTCGGGCCAGTCAAGAGGCGTTCCAAGGGCACTTGATATAACATTAGCGAGGGCAGGCAGCGATAGGCGTGGCACGGATCTCACAGCAGACCCATCCCCAACTTCTGTAAGGCGGTAAGTGATGCAATGCAGGCTGGTGCACGGGCGGGCCGAGGTGACGTGTGAATGGGTGGCTGCTGGTCTTGAACGGCGATTGCAGGAGGCCTTCGGGGAGCACTGCAGAATATGGGCGTGTTAGCGGGGTTTGGCAGAACACAGGGCTTTCGCAGATGTGGTCCAGCCGCAGACGCCGCAGTTCCCTGCGTAATCGGGGATTGTCAAATAACGGACAATGGGGGGAGAAGCAATTTCTACATCCCCCGCCGGCACACGGGCGATCATGTAAAGACTAGAGGGGTGTAGTGATTATTAATGCGGGCGAGATGCTATGCCCTTTCCGAAGAAGAGAACCCTGCCCCGACACGCTTGCCTCTTTGGTAAGCTGGACACGACAGCAACAGCAAGCTCGCTGTGCCACTTCTGCAGTGCACACAATCCATCTTCCTTTGCGCAACATTGTTTGGGCATACGGACAGCGAAGCGCGTATGCACGGGCTACGGAACGGCGTGTCTCACTGTTGTCTCCAGAGTATGTGCCTCGCCTACCGTTATCATCAACCACGTGCATGCAGTCGTTACGGATTTGCGCAGCCCGCCGACTGGATTGAGACGAGCTGGAGGGCTGCTACGGAGACGGGGATGGAGAGGGGGGGATCGATCTCGATCATGTACGTCGAAAAGAGCCGTTACCGCGGGCCGTCGTGACATGACATCTGCAGCGCCACCAAGGTTGACCTGAGAAGTGAAAAGACGACGAGTCCATTCGTCGTCGGTGTAAGCGATCCCGTCTGATGAGTATTTGGGCAGAGCGACCGCCATTGCGGCACTGCACGACCAGGATCGGCTGCTGCTTCGCGTGCCGCACCCAGCATCGTCGTTGTACGAATCGCCTTGCATGCCTTGGGACACTGGCTCGCAAGCTTATCGTTCTTCCTCGCTGCTCCGGGCCTTGTGCAGATTGATAGACCGCAAAGTACGACCCCGATGACTTGTTATTGACATATGATACAATATGCGGGGAGCCTCGCCAGGTGCCCGCAGCACGCAGAGTTTATATTGGGAGGAGCCTGCGTCAGCATGGGGGATAGCTATCGTCGTACGAGGGGTCCAACTCCTGTTTCCGCCCGTCATTTGGGACAGCAATATATCACACTGGGCTGCACATGGTCTGACAAAACGTGGAAGGGTGAACATGTAAATATTGAATAGCTTTTACCTTGATAAGCCTAGTAGCCAGTGGTATCTCTTTACAAACGCCGTCAAAACTGCCTCAAGGCCTTCGTACACTTCTAGTAAAGTGTGTGTCGTGCCAAAAATGCCAGGCAAAACATTGTCATCATCAGACAGTAAGCGCTTGCTAATGCGCGCCAAAGCGCCCAGTCCTATGATCGAGCCACCCTAGAAGATGGTCATGTACAGAGAACGCCAACAGCCATTCCATAGGCCTGAAAGCCCCCATGTATGTGCCAAAATGCAGCCGCTGCTACTAAAAGACAAGCAAAGAAGTAGGCTGTAGTATGCGTAAAACCCTAGCGCACGAAGCCGACGTGTAATTTTCGAGGACCGCGAGCCTGAACTCGGCATGCGTCGACAAGGGCGTGCTTCCTTCCGGTTGGTAACGCGCCCCTCTGTCCTCTTCACAATCGTCGATGTCCGTCAGCCAACTAAAATACGACATCACCGAATCATTACATGGTACAAAGGTCTGGTCTCTAACAAGACAAACTCGTAAATGAAACCCTCCTGTAAATGCAAGCAAATTTCTGCGCCAGCGCTCCTGTGTGCCGAAAATAACTCGATGCCATCCTTGGATCAAGGCAAGTATCGATGTGAATATGTACTGGTGGGTGGGTGGCCGAGGTTTGCGTGATTATCCGCCGAGTCCGATAGACGTCTACACAACGCTTTCGGAAAGCCCGGTAGCTAGTGCTACATCGTCATACGATACCGGAGAGCCGTCACATCGTTGGTGAACCGTGATCAACAGATTTGGGTCGTAAGTTGGAATGCGTCATCGCTTGCTTGCCGCCCATCTTGCGGGTCAACTTTGCATAATCTAGATGGAATGTTAGCCAATAAAGCACATGCATGATATTGCTTTGTACTTACGTAGACCACAAGCATTGCACAGAGTTCGGGCACCATCTGGCCCTCGTCGCCACTCTGGCGTCTCTGCTCGATTGCAACTATGACATCGGCCTGGGGGAGCAGCTCGCTATTGATCTAGTCAGCATTTGTGTACCACTGTAGACTGGAGAAGACTTACGCCTCGTTTTCTTGTCTTGTTGTCGCCGCCGGCGAAGCCACCGAGTCCCTTGGTGTCGTCTCCATAATTGCTGCTGTTGTCATCATAACCGTTGACCGGTCGATAGCGCGGATCTTGTGGGGGTTCCACGATGCTTGCTTGATGATGATTGAAGACAACATCTCGCATGCGCTGGAGAGACATGTGAATCCTCTCGCTTTGCTTTAGCATATCGTCCACTTCTTCTAATCTTGGCATGGATTGTGGTGTTAAGCCGATACGCTGGTTCTCGTGCGCCCGTTGGCGGTAGATTTTTGAGAACTCAGCAATGTTCCCAGATCCATCGGCCATCTCGTTTAATGAGGCCTCTAGATCGAAGCTCTCGAGGTGGCGCTTCACTGATTCACCATAAGGGGCTAGACTTGCACGGCCAATCTTCTTCTCTTCCAGACGAGCCATTTCCGCGTTATCTTGCCATGTTTGCTGAGGATATCGGGGCGGAGCAGAATATGTTGAAGATGCAGGGGGGTAGGCCGAGTTGGGAGCACTTGCAGACTGGGCCGACGGAGGATAGCCAGGAGGATATTGTGAATAAGGGTGGTGCTGGCTCATTGGTCCCGCTGATGGAGGGGCAGCGCTCTCGTAGGTGGCTGCGGATGGCGGATATGATGAATAAGGAGGGCGAGCAGCGCTCGTTGGTGGGGATGGCGCGGTTTTGAGTGGATGGAGAGCCGGTAGCTTCTGGGTGTGCTGGGGAGTCGAATACGGTGGCCTTGGTTCGGAATATGGAGCACGAGGGAAGGACTCTTGCTGTGCCTGGGGTGGTAGAGGTGGGCCTGCTTGCGATGTAGGAGGAAATGGGCTTCTGGAGTGCGAGAATGGATTTGATGGTCCCTGACCGGCGTGCTGAAGGTCAGACGGCGAGTGGCGGGGCCTTTGGGTAGCAGGAGAAGTATTTGCAGATGGTGCGGGATAATGTTGAGGAGCTGAGGTGATGGATGAAGGTGGAGGCACAGTGGTAGAAAACGATAGTGACGGCTGCTCAGAGCCCAGGGCCTCATGTATCGATGGAAGCGACTGGCGCGGTGTCGGTCGCTGCGAGTCTTTTTCATCGCCAGACGTCCGGCGTGATTCGGGAGGAGACAGCAAGCCTCCAAGCGAGCCGGGTACTGCGCTGGCGATTGAAGACTGGTGATTGATGTGCAGATGCAAAGGTCCGCCATAAGGGTGTAACGGGCTGGACATGGAGACAGCCTGGCGTTTCCTCTGGTACTCGACCTCTTCGCGCTTGACTCTGTCGGCATCCATGTGGTTGATTGAAGGTAAGCCGATGCTACGGGCACAATTAGCACGGGCAGGATGGGCGGTCGGGAAGCGACGATGGGCGACGGGCGGAATCAAACAACATACCTTTGCCTGCTTGGGGCTTCTAGAGTTTCCATGGTGGGTCGTATGTCGGGTTGATGTGTGGGTGGTGCGCTCCGGGATGCGAAAGCGAACTGCTGCGGGTGAGCGATGGCGGGGGATCGTGGGTCCCGCGACGTTGATGTGCCTTCCCGCACAACGTTTTCCGGCGCCCAAATTTGGAGTCGTTCCTCGAGGTATCGGTTCAGCCAAGCTCTTTGGTCACAACACACACACGATGGTGCAAAAATCCACGCTCTTGTTGATCACGGGGGGTTTTCGGTTTTTCTGAGCTCGAAGCGGCAAAGTCTTTCGGAACGTCGTTTTTGTTTTTCTCTTCCCAACGAAAGTTCGGGTCAGTCTTGTCGAAGGCGGTGGTGGTTCCCCGGTTAAACGGTGGTTGCTGGTGGTGCTCTTTCTGGACTTGATGCTGTGGCTGACGTAGTGTCGCAGGCACGACTGGGCGGAGGGGTCGGTTCAATCTCAGCACACCTGGTGGCCACTTGTTCCGTCTCTTGCTTGGTTGCTTTTGATGGCCAGAGGCGGGCTTGGTAATAGGAGGATGTGTGTTTGAAGCTGGCAGGTGTGACGTGGGCGGAAAGGCGGAGCAAGGCCAAGGGCGTGATGGACTGCAAATGCAAACTACTCGGAATTCAGTGCCTTGTCTATGCCTGCAGGCATGGTGTGAGAGGAAACGAGTGCTAAGACAAGGCACAGTGGGCTAAAGCAGATGCGATCGGAGATGAACCGCGCCGGCAGCGAGTAGTGGCTCAGTGTGACGAGAGCAGGCAGCTTCACGGGCAAGGGTAAGCAAGGGTAGATGGATACGGCACGTCTGTTTGCCCCAGCAAGGATGCGGGTGGAGCAGGCGGTAGCTGGGTGTTCAAGATGCAACACTCTCGCGCTCCAGCAGACTCCCAAAGCGTCGCCTCCTTGGGCAAGGATGGGCAGCACGCCAAAGCCGGCCCTTGCAACGCTTGCCTGATCGGACTTGCATGCCCCTAAAAGCAGCAGAGCGTATTAGGGAGGGGGACGCGCAAAGATCAGCGCCAGCGAGCCTCGTTCGTGGGCCCCCCGTCGGTTGGTCAGCAACAGAGGGGGGTGCTGGGTGGCAGACTGCACTTGCAAGCTCTTCCAATCTGTTCGATCCGCAACCGTTACGACCAGGGACAAGCATCGCGACCGCCATCCGCGCAAATGGACGCCCCGCGCACACGAGGTGAGATGCGCCCAAACTGCAACGGGAACAGCCCGGCGCTATGGAACGAGTTATCGTTGTGGCATGCAATCGAGATGCAACCGAGCGCCCATCATGCACCAGCCCCCGGCACCTATCCACGCCCATCTGTCACTCGGGGGCTTGGCCGCGACAGCCACAGACCGTCATCCGCAAAACCACCCGCGCCACGTCGGAACACGGTGGAAACACCTGCTGGACTATGTGGGAGCCGGCCTGGAATCCTAGAAAATGCTACATGGACGGAGTTTGCCAGACCCCGAAACTGCGGCGCCGTTGGGCCCCAACTAGTCAGAACCCTCCTCGATGGTGACTCAGGCAATTCGCGCGCCCTCGCCATCGAATCTGCATCCATCAGCCACCCGGGAATCTCCACCGAGCCAGGGGGAGCCGCCCATGTTGAATCGGTGGCAATGCGATTAGTGCAGCGGGGCTGCGGCCGTCAGAAGCGCCTACACACTCAAAGGCAGTGAGTGCCGAGCGCTGCCTGCCATATCAGATCGCTTTCATCGGCCCGGACCTGACCTACACGACGACTCGTGAAGAGAAGAATAAACTTGGTTACTTTTACCACCATCAAGTCGAGACAGACGGACGCAGAGCCAATAGTCTCGCCGCCATTCCTGTCAGACCACCCGTTTGCCACTGACATGCAAAATCAGCTATTATGCGTCATGTCTCTACTACGTCAGAGAAGTGATCCTCGGACACCATCCATCAACGGACCTCACCCGCATCACGTGCACTTACTACACACTGTACACTTGTCAGGCCTCACGTGTATCGAGTCAATATCACGTGGTTTTTCGTCACTATCACGCAGCCGCCGCTCATCTGCATCTGCACACCTCCACGCACGTCCGTCCTTGTGGTCCGCTCATTTGGTCCGCTCGTCTCGTGTAACCGTGGATCGCAACTTCTGCGCCAGCCGTCGTGGTTGCCTTCGCGTCTACTTGCCCACACGTCTGCCCGTGTCCGTGCCTGTGTCTATCATCGACTATTGTCAATGCGCTGGCGCTGGCGCTGTCAAGCCAACAAAAACGGTAACCGAACCAGCCATCTCTATCACGCTACCAACAAGTCTCCGTTGCGATTTAGCTGCATTAGCGGGGCCGTAGGTCATCTAAACCCCAAGCTCCTCATCTGTCATCACTCACGTAGAGTCACGACTCTCAGCTCCAATTCATGCTACAACCCTGCACCCCATGCGATCAGGGACGCATTTCCATCGCCAGCGCGCTCGTGTCATCCCTGCAGAGTCAGTCATACGTTGCCGTCTCTGCTCGACTCGCATCTCGCAAAGTATTACGGAAAGTGTATCCATATGCTGACGACCGTTGACTTGGGGCCGGCCAGAGCGACGCTCGGCCTCATTGTTCCGCCCAGTGATGATCCCTTCGGCATGGCTTGAGATACCGAGTGCAACACTAAAGATGCTTTCACAGCTGATCACTGCAGGCAGCAACCCAGCCATGATATGTCCCACAGCCTGGGGCTCCTGGTACATACTACATACTTACGCACATGTCAAGTACGTACTCTGCTGCTCGTGACTATCACGCAGCCGTACCTGGCCGTGTCATGGACGGGCCGCGCATCAACGCGATCGGTGGCTTGCAACGTCGAACCGGCGCAGAAGGCTCGCTTGCGCCACCATGAGCAATCATGACCAGACCATGTTGCCGGCCGCAACAACTAAATTCGACTCACCGTTTGACGCCTTCGCAGCTCGCGCCCGATTGACCATTGTCCGATACGCTCTCACATTCGCATTTCCACGCACCCGGCATCTGACAAGCACCGGTTTGCGCAGTGTTACATGATGTCAAACCAAAACCCTGCACGCATGGCCGTTGTCGCGCCTAATCCATTTCTCCCAGGAACCGTAGCGTTTCGAAACGCATGTCATTACGAAATCTGACAAGACAGGCAATTGATTCTTGGGCCGCAACACACTGGCCCACAACTTCTCGCTGACATGCAGCACGATCCGACAAGTCCGCAGCACGATCCGACAAATCCGCAGCAAGGTATAGGTGCCTCAATCGCCGCGTGTACGTTTTGACACGGTTATATGCTACTTACGAGGAAAACGTGAGCATGTCCAAACGTTACATCTGCTTGACACAGATGAGTGGTTGCTCGCAGATACATGGGCCAACACCCAAGACCGGACGTGTTCGACGTATGCTAAGGACAAGTCGATACAATCTGACAATTACGGGGAGTGTCCAGAGCTTGGTCAGGATTTGAATTTGGACCCTGTTCTCTCGGCATAGCCTCAACGGCCGGCATACCTACAGTCACCCGCACAACTTGCTGCATTCTGGCTAATTGCACTTGATCTCCAGATGTCGAGACTCTTGGCCAAGTCGTTGAAACAGGAACGGCCATCAAGTAGCTGAAGGTCATGGAACAATTCGTCGCATCCAAGCCTCCAATTAGAAGGTGCGACGCATAGAAGCTTGCCTGCAGCTTAGCGATCCTTCGTCGTCCAGAAGAATGCCCCACAAAGCCCACAAATTCATTATTGATAAGTGAAGCCCCACAATAGCTCCAGCACCGAGTATTCACGAGTTTCATCTATTAGAAGATTGACTTTGGCAGCACATGTCATGCATCCGTCTCCATGTCAGGATGGGGCATCGGAGTCGGTTTCATGAGCTGAAGCCCTCGGCAGATGGTGTGCGTGGGCAGAAATGGCCGGTCTTGCGCAGCCAGGGTACTTCGAAACGGGTTCAAAACATTATTATCGGTGAGCTTTGATGCTCATGCATCCTTCACATGGCATGTCACTCGCCGCGGCGTAGTCATCTCACAAAAAGCACATATCCCGTGAATCCATCCCAGGACCGCAAAAGTCGCCGCTGAAGAACGAATCAACCCCGACGCGCATGCAGAAAATGCAATTAGATATACCTATCCCTGCAATAGCATTCTGTGCTGACTCGAGATCTTCCATTGCTTACCTCGCTTAGAGCGATCTCGATCTCCGTTCGGGCGCACCCTTTTCGTCTCACACATGCACCTTAGCGGATGTCAGCCTAAACAGGTCTAATGTACCGTCCCCGATTCGGTCGCCTGCCTAAGCGACCTGGTCAATCGACCAGTGCGCCGGTTGAGATGCAATAAAGGGTATTGCATCGTACGAGTCTTGACGCAAGCCCTGGAGTTTCTGCGAGTCGTGTTTCTAGAATCAGTTCCTGTTCGAGCTTGGATAGCTGGCCTCTTCTCGGTCATATCATCCAGCTGGCATGTGATTGATCATCGCATCTAGTGGACATGCTGCGAGTCTGAGGCGAAGCGATTTTCACGCGGCACGATGCGGGCAAAAGAACCGTTCGACGTCCCATTCTACACAGGGTCCGTAGGAGGATGTCATCCCCTCTACCTTTTCTGGCCACGTGCATCAGACATGTGTTGATCAGAATATTGAGCCAGCCTTTATAGCCTAGCAGGTGCATGGGTGGTTACAGGATCAGAGCCGCTTATTTCGCATCAGGTGCCCGAGGCAATTGTTGCGAAAGGGATGCCCTTCTACGTAAGCAGACAGTGCTCATGGCAGTTGTCGGCAGATACATTGCGATCCTGCAATCGGACGGAAGGACAATTCTTAGCTGAGAATCTCTCAGGGCGAGTACGTACGTAGGCAAGCGCAAAGGCCCTTCGGTTGCTTTTTACGCTTGAGCCACTTTGCTCCGCTGCTTCCATGTTAACCTGAGAACGTACGACTTGAGGCGCTTGTGGCCCATGCGACGTGTGGGGAAACTAGAAACTTCCGCTATGCCAGCAAGTTGTGAAGGTGACCACCACGCCAGTACTTACAGTATACGAGCTTCTTGCCACTACATTTTATGCAGCATGATATTCGCATTGATGCCGCTGTCAGTTCGACCCTGTACGTATGTAGGATACAACTCCACACCACAGGACTGGCGAGGTTGTGCATCCCGGGAATCTCCAGAGGTGAATCAGCTGACGCTACGAGTGCATATACGAAAGCGATCGATCAACAGCATTCCTTGGCTGCGCATACTCACATAAGTCGTTCGCATTGCGAGCATAATGGTTAAGACTCCAAGGCACGTTAAAATAAAGGTATGCCAGGTTGTGATGATGTATGGTTCTCCTGCATGCAGCAGATATCGGATGTCGTAAGATGCAAGTTACCTCAGATCTATAGATCTATAGATCGCAACAGGGTTGATATAGCAAAGGTAGCCAGTAACCCATGGAAGCCACGGTCCAAATCGCAGATGATCTGTGAGATCTGATACTGCATGCAAGCCAGACCTGCAAAAGATCCATGACGACATCGGTCTGCCCCTCCACATCGGACCCGTGCAATGCATAGAACGTCCAAGCCCAAGGTTCGCGCCTTCGAAACTGTTTGCCAGAACCGCTCAAGGGACTACCGTCATTCGTCAAGCCCGCTGCGGGAAGCTCTTGACTCCACAGGCCACACGAGCTGGTCTGGACGCATATTCTCAAAAACGCGAATGCGAGGTGCAGATCTCTGGGGCCACCCGCGTGAGACGGCGGGAGCTCCCCCCCCCCCCACATCGGATTCGCTTTCCTCTACAAAAGATCCATAAGCCCTGCACCCATGTGGGAGCCTGGTCGTACATTTGAGTCAGGGTTAGACAGCAACATTCAACCAAATATACCGTTGCCTTTTTCGGATGGATAGCTGACGTTTAAGGACAGCGCTACACTTGTCACGAAACGGCTCGCGGCACGTTACGCTACAAGCAAATTGGTTGGTTTTCACTCAATTACCTGCTGAGCGCAGCACGACGCCAATTTATTAAAGCGGCACGTCATGCACGAGCTGCTGCTGAGATCGACGAGACGATAAAGTTCATTACTACACCTGCCAAGCGTTAATGGAAAACTTCGCAATACGCGCATACCTCGGCACACGATACTGTATGGAGCCGAATCTCGTCGCTTTTTCCACAGGGTCCAGACTCCTCATCTTCACTGTACCGGTAGGTATGTGTTTCCTGATTCCTATGCCAACCCCTCTTAATCAAAGCCACCACCACGTCAATCAGCCAGCGCATCAACCCTTCATCAGCCACACCGCAACAAGGCACCCCAGAACGTGCTTCACGATCCAAGGACCGCGCCATCAATCTCCACTGATCTCCGCGTAGCTGCGCATCATACTTGCTTGTTTTCGTTAATCTCCTATAGAGTGCGCTCTCGTGCGACGCTTGTACCAAACTTTCGAGCGCTATCAGCATATCTCGGGCTGCCCTGCAGGACGGGGGCTTACTAGTGCTTCGTCTGGACACGTGAAAGCTCATCGTGCATTGAGAGATCCTTCGTCACAGGCCTTCTGATGATATGCGGAGCACAAATGTTGATCTTGCACTAGAGGATCCGGATAGATGAGGCTCCGCGATCATCCTTTAACCCTAGACATGGATTGCTCCCAATCATCCCGTTCGTTTGGGCACGCAAACTGCCTCCTTTGACGTCGGTCAACCCAAAGTAGCCGGCTGCGTCATGTTCCTGGCCCGATGTGAGAGATTAGATTTGGCAAAGCATCGAACGATACCGGGGACACGCGCGGCCACCAGCGTTGGCTAGTTGGCGCCTACGGGGCGAGACCCAGGCGAGGCTCGTGAAGAACAGGAAAGCGAAATGGCCAGCCCGATTGCCATGGGTCTTTGTATCAACACCTACATCGCAAGGAACCCTGGATATCTGATAGTCGCTCGTGTCTCTACTTTGACTATAGCACTGACTCAGGGCTGCTGGGCGTGCAATAGTCTACACACAAACTTCCGGAACAAGACTATCATCGGAGAGTCGTAAACACCGTCCGTTGCCTTCGTGTGTGGGCTTAAAGATGGAGCAACTGGACACGAGACGCGTATGCCTTTGTGAGACTAGTTTTCAGCGTGGCTGACTGGCCGCACAACAAACAAAAGTGGCCAAAGGCTACAGTAAAGAGCACGATAGGGAATGGTTGGTTGCGTGAGATATCCTACCGGTCGTATTGTCGGCGGTCTAACATGAAGAGATTTTTAAGAATCGTCTTAGCCAAGTTTCACGTGGAAGGTAGGTCGAAAGAAGATGCCGTGACTCGAGGCACTATGGTTGTCACCAGTTTGACGATAAGAAGACAACAGGAGGGTAATATCGTGATAACGATGCCGGTTAAACTCGTATTCACTGTTGGTTCTAAACAAGAAGAATGTAACAATAGTCAACGTCAATTATTGACTATCGGGATAAACTAAGCGTAACGCTCAAACTCACAATCCTTCCCACGCACACTCTCAGCTGGTATACACGCTACTGCAAACAAACACAAAGCTTAATATTCCCCCATTGCATACGCAATCTCTGCAGTCCCACGCTCTCGGGTTATTTCACGCATGCAGGCAGGATATGCTCGGGCAGATGAAAACGGGGCCTTGACTCGAGATATTGGTCCGTTGTCTCTCCCATTGTTTTTGATTTTATGCTGCCGAGCTTCCTACCGGTAGTGGTCGTCTGCCTCACTTCTCTACCACATACCCGGTAGCACATCATGGGCCACGTATTAGGTAGTATCGAGCCAATATCTTTGGGATACTTGGTACGAGGCGCGCTATGTTTACCGATCTACAACAAGTTTCGGATTTGATTCTGATTCTGGTTCTGGTGCATTCGCTTGGCCTTGTTTAGTTTATACGGGGATGGGATGGACAGACAGGCATATTGACGTCCAGGTTCGGCCAGCCCTACAAATCAATCACGCGGGACGTCCCGTCCAGCAAACCAGGGCCCCCAGCACCAGACCCAGACCCAGACCCAGACCCGACAAGACAGAAACACGCAAACGTATGAGGAAAGTAGAAAAGAAACCGAAAGTGTGGCCGATATCTTGTCTAGATGTCCCGATTGGGATACCAGCTAAGATAGGTATCATGGGTGTGTGATTGTGGGTTTCGAGAATATCGGTGTCACACGACCGTCTTTGCGTGGTATAGTTGGGTGGAGTCGTCGGGGGGAAACGGAAAGGGGAGGGCTGGTTATGCGTGATTGATCACGATGGGAAGGGGCGGTGTGCAGCTGTTTTGCTGGCGGTGTGGGGTTGGACTGGGTTCTGGGGTTTGGGGAGTGAAGAGTTTTGGTTGTAACAAGGGGGAAGGCAGGGTATAAATGGCGAGGGAGATTTTGATAAAGTAGAATGGGGGGTCCAAGGGCACTATGTTATGTGTTTTGATGTGCGGGGTTATGCTATGCGGCACTTCCTCGAGACATTCGTAAATCGCGTGTCGTGCTAGGCCAATAATGAATTGTTAGATATCTGGTCCTCGCTCTTGTAGTTGGTGAGGTTGTATGCTGGACTTAATGGTAACGAGGTGAAGTGCTATGAGCCTGTAGAGTCCTTCTTCGCAGATTTTTGCTGGGGAAACATGGCGACGCAGTTCGGTGAGAGCTCGAGTTCCCCTCTATAGTTACACCCAGGCGTGTTGTTAAGATTCTCCTTCATCTTGATATAATCTACTCTAGGTACTCTAAGCTTTTTGCTTTTGGCACGATCGGAATTTCATAGTCTTCGTTCGTCTCTGATACTAAGGCTGAAATAATGAAACCGGTCCGAACTGCTATTCGTGACTCCCGTGTCAGTATATATGTTCTGGGTAACCATAATCGTCATACTGACATGCAAGTAAAGGATGAACTCTATGTTTCAGTGATTACTAGGCGAAAATGTGCGAAACAATACCTTCTATCTCATCGTGAATATAAGCTTCCGACCGGTTTGCTTGCTAGCGGAGGCATATCGGCAGGTCCATAAGCATAGATCGTCGCGCGTCGTTCTCGTCCAGATACTCTCTCGATGCTTTTCGCAAACACGCCTCATGGCATGTGTGCACACCAATAGTAGCTCTGCTGAAAAACTTCCTGCCCTCTTTAGGCACGTTGTGCATCTGCCGACCGAGAAACATTTAACATGCAGAGATATCTACTTGATTTAGACGGGCCTATATGAGAAGGTCGATGAATCTGGGTTCGTTGATGTCCTGGCGCAGAATCTCGTCGAGTTTGATGATATCAGTACGCATTTCCTATAAGACACCGCTCGTTTCCTACGCTGGGAATATATCGGCTTGTTCTCTATCTCCTTCTTAGAGAGATAACCGTATATCATTGGATTATCTACGTTATGGAAGTGCAAAATTTTACTAAGGAATATCATGTCAACGTCTTTGTAGGGGTTATTAGTATCGACATATCCGTCTGATTAACCCAAATTGATAGTAGTAAGGCTTTATCAATCTAGAAAAGATCTGACTACCCAGCCGTAGAGCAGACTCCGCAACAATCAATCGATTGACATGATTGATTCCTATATAGGTTAAAGAATTACTTCATTAGGCAGCCTTTAACCTAGATAGGAATCAATCATGCCGATCCGATTGATTGTTGCGGAGTCTGCCGTAGAGACTTCGTCGAAAACAATTATATTCACCAATCGTAACGTCGACTCAACGACTTCGCGCATCATATCCTTCCCATTCTTCGCTGTAATTCAAGTCGAAGCTGTCATGTCTAATTAGAGCTTCTCTCAAGTAGCCAGAATGCATTATGCATAGCCATACCTTAGATTTGCCTAGCCGTAATACTAGCCAGTGTATAGATTACTAGTAAATATGTTTTCCTGTACCGCCGGCGTCTGTGATAAGTATTCGCCTAGCGTTGTAGTTCCTATGATTCACCTCACGTCTTGATGCCTAATTCACCACAAGGGCTATGAAGTAGCTCTGTTTGAGGTTGAGCCTGTTTTTCAGCAGGAGTTCCGCAAACTTGAGCTAGCCCAGTTGCTGTATCTCAGTAGTGTGAATAGAGCGTAACACATCACAGTGAAGATTACCGGTCCGTATGTTACCTGCCAGATAATTTCTGGGGACGACCTGTGGTTGCTCGAACTCGTCTCTGCCCAGCGCCCTTCGAACGAACTCCTTCTGTTCGCATCCCTCCTTGTTGCGCTTGGCAGCTTGGATTTATCTGCTGGAGAGTCTGGAACCAAGTAGAGTAGCAAGCAGACGGCCTGGAGGTTGAGCAAACTTCTTCAACTGCAAAGGATTGGGAGGGGTAACAACACCAGCCGACGAGAACAGATGGAATGCTGATTTGGACCCATTCAACATCGTCTAGGTAGCCCTCTGACTGCTTGATAAGCTTCCTGATCTCCTCTCCCTGCCGTTGGTAATCGATCGGAGCTCCCACTAATTCTCTGTATTGTTGTCGTGTTCCAGAGAGATGTTATAATTGGGGCTTTTGCCAGCTTTTGTATCCTTGTTCTTGCCGGCCTTAACCTGACGACCTATATTACGCATCATCTTAATTTTTTTAACAACAAGACAAACCTGTTGTACTTGCGGGGTATCCAACTAATCGAACTCCGAGGAAGCATTCGTCAACCCTTGACGATGCTCTCGTATATCAAAGGCAACCGAGTGTACTTGTTCAGTTTCACAGGGTCTTCCTCATTCTTGTTACGAAAACTGAAATCCAAGAGGAGGGGTAATACAGTGTATGCACCTAAGACATTATCCTAATGGACTTAGCATTTCAGTCTACTACCACAATATAGCATTTGTAAACTATGTTCTGTATCATTAGGAATGTAGACATTGTTTGCTTCATCAGTCGAGCGGATTTGTATATTGAGATGATGGACTATTTTAGCATTTTCGTGCGGTTCTAAGCCTTCGTTATGTTCCCTTGAAGGATCTAGGATTGCACTATAACACTATGGTATATCGCTATACCTTTGCAAGGCGGCAGTGTAAAGGACATGGGAGCTAGAAAGCTCGTAGTATGCTCGAAGAACGGCAGTTCTAGTAGCCATCTGCTGCTGTATCCCTGAACTGCGCTTCACGTTCGTCAATGTGTTTGCCGACATGAATTCTCCATCGCTGCAAGATGCGCTGTTGGCTTTCTGGGTACTTTGGTTGTATCTTCGCACGAGCATTAGGACCTTCTTTGCCACATACCCTACTATTTCAGGCCCTTGCCCGGTCGGTCTTGGAAGTTTGAAACGAGCAGAAGCTACTGACGTAATTCGATATCGATGGCCATGGAGACGCGATGATTTTGCGAAGCAGAGTGGTTGTATTATCCTCCTGTTACGTGCGGATAGATTGAACGAAGAACTTCGTGAGCAAGAGTTCCTTCTTTGAAGTATCCCATAGGACTGTGTCTTAGGATGTTTCATCGCAATGTGATCCTACCAAGATATGACTAGTACCCGTGTAGTAATCAAACAACGGTGGTGCTTGTGTGGAGTTGAGCCGTACTATCAGACACAAGCCAATAGTAATTTAAAGTTATCGGAAATTTTTGTATCAAACAGACTCATCTATGTCGCAACTACCAGCTAGTACCTGTGTCCCGTGCTACTTCGCAACGTGAGTATGCTTCGGTAGTATTTGAGGTTGTGGCTCTAGATGAGGCTTTTCGCGCTTGAGATGTATCCAAGAGCTGTTATGATATAATCGTGTGATATTAGCAAGAGATCGGTACCGGGAGGCTCGCAATCATATATGGGCGTTGACTGTGGGTGATAAGAAAGGGCTAGGGTTACGCGGGCTAGCAACTCCGAATTTGGACTAGCGCGTTTCTTTCACGGTCACCACTCAGCCCGCCACTGGCTCAGAAACTCCTAGTTTTTTTTGACGACATCCCGATTGTGAATTTGAACTTTCCAACACAGCCAGCATCTAGTCTACGTCTATCCTTTGAACTTACAATACCTGTAATGACTACAATGTGTGTATATCTCACTATGTCACTGCCTCCAAAGAAATGACATATTCTAGAGTGATGGATGTCCGCCTCCACACTCCAGCGATTCAACCTATACCTACCTCCCGGGATACACGTGAAGAGATGGACGACTAGAAAGCGATGTGACAGTATTGCGGAAATGCGAAGAGAAGACAAGGCGCAGTGTAACAGTGACGGACGCATGAAGAATGAAATGTTGGGATGGAGTGAGTTGATGTGTACTTGGGGAAGTCGCTCTAGGCATACCTTCCAGTCTCTCCATGTGTGCCTTCCAGTCCCCGTAGGCGTACTTTCCTTGTACGCACAAAGGGTATGCGCCACTTTGGGATGTTTGTTTTCTCTTGGCGCGCATAATTGACAATATTGCGATAACAGCACAGCTGAGGTTTGCATTACGACAGCCGTAAGCATGCGAGAAAAAGCGTGAGAAGCGAAAAGCGAAAAGCGATGGGGATGATTGAGATGAACAACCGTGGAGTATCGGTGTCATGGTTCCGACGTCTCAATCCCAAACATGGATATTGATCGGCCATGATTTCTTCCATGCCATCAGTCAGTAGCGCCAATGTCGAGTGCAATGGATAGCCATGTATAGGCGGATATGGCAACATAAACAGGAATGGTACTCACCATGATGGTCGGCCGGATGCAAGTCATTCTGGCCGGCGTAGTCATCTCCACAATACGATGCGGCCATCCGGTCTGGAACGCGGCGGCGCTACGGTACAGCCTACCACGGTACGGGAGTGCATCCGTCAGGGCTGGAGCAAGGCAAGACGGAACGAGGGGCGGGAGATCGTCCCCGCCCCTCTGTCAAGTTGCGAGTGCCATACGTCACAACCAGAGCATTCATAGTTTTGACAGGTCTCTGGTCCAACGACAGAGAAGTCGATGGCTGCATGTCATGGGGCTGGCTAGAGCAATGGCGCGGTAATGAAGTGCAGCGGAAGCCATGCGGCTGAGACAGGGATCCCCTCTTGCGCACACAGTCTCATCTCCCGAGGCGGGTTCAAGTTCAGGTCAAGTTCAGGTCAACTTTAGGTCGTCGTCGTTTCTACATCCGTATTCGCATCCGTCTCTTCCTGTGTCTTGTCGATGCGCGGAATACATGGACGCATCCCCCACCGGCGACGAAATCTCCGATCGATTATTCTCCGTCGACATCCTCGAGGCCATCGCCTGCACAGTCGGCCAAGCAGGAAAGCGTGTGGCCTGGAATAGCCCACACTTGGCCGTATCCGCCGGTTTGCGACTAGCCCCCCCGTCGCCGAGTGCCTCTATCGTACGATTTCTCGAACCACCCAACGCTCTTCACGCTCACTAAGACGCGCAAAGTCCCTTTGCACCCTGGCTCCGTTGCATGCTTGTGGCAGGCGACTGCAGCACGTTGCGGCCCTACTCCACACGCCTCATCGATAGCACGAGCTGCAGCTGTCGGATCTGCCACCCGCAGTCGCTGGTGAATCCCTTTGCTCGGGGAGTGGCATGATCTGGACTCTCTAGATTGTGTGTGCGCCGCAGTTGGTAAGACAGCCTTTCAAGTGCGTTTTGCCTGTTTTTGCTCTTTTCTGCCCTCGCTGCTTTCCACATATTTTTTTTTTGGCACCGTTGGGTTTGATACACACATTGTTCCCCCGTCTCCGTCGCTCTGCCGCTGCCGCCGTGTTCGCCGTTCTCGCGCCCATGGCTGACGAACCTTACGGCAGCCCCGACGACGGGCTGGAGCTGGAGCGAATCGCCGTGCGTGACGCAATAGCTTCGCCCATCTTTGATCGCTGTGCTAACAGGAATGCGCACTTCAGGTCGGTCCGTACTGCGTGTTTGACGACTTCAGACTTCCTCCGAGCCCGCCGCCCATGTCCGAAGCCAGGCCGAACACGGACAAGATGGAAGACCCTATGCTTTCGAGCGACTATCCCTTTGCTGCAAACATGCCCGGCCCGTGGCTCACAACTGCCGGTGACGACCTGACGCTCACTGCACCCGCTGCTGAAATGGCCAACTGGAACGACTGGATGCATTTTGATCCCCGCGCCGCCGCTGCCCAGCCGTCTCAGAATAATCAGCATGTCGAAACCAAGGCCGCGAATCCACAGGGGCCTGCCGCGTACCTGGGGCCCGCTCACCAAACTCACCAAACATCGCCCCAGCCCAACCCTCACCAGCACTCGCAGTCGCTGCAACCCACCAACACACCTACCACCGCGCCCATGTTCACTCAGTCGCATGGCTTCACCTTTGGCCAGGGCTCTGATATGCCCCAAGCTTTTGACTTTGTCGCAAACGACTTGAGCTCGCCGTTGACGGCCGACATGCAGCATCAAAACGCCTTCTATGCGAACCAGCAATGGCAACACCACCAACACCACCAGCCGTCCGACAACCCGCTCTTCTCTCCAGCCCAGTACCAGCAGTCTGGCTATGGCGGGCCACCACCACCCGCCTCAACCCCGAGTCTCCAACATAGCCCCACCTCGCTAAACAATGGACGAGCAAGCTCGACTTCGTCGCATTCATCACCTGAACCTGCCACCACTAACTCAAGGAAGAGGAAGTCGTCCGAGTCGGATGAGGGGGATGATGATGCGCCGTCAAGCAAGAAGGGCGGTGGTCCGCCCAAGAAGACTGCACACAACATGATTGAGAAGCGATATCGGACTAACCTCAACGACAAGATTGCTGCTCTTCGTGATAGTAGGTCCCTCTCTCATCTCACCCTAATGTACCAGCTAATCATGCCTCAGGTGTCCCAAGCCTGCGCGTCATGTCGCGGCCCAATGGCACTGAGGAGGATGATGACCCCGAGGACCTGGAAGGACTCACACCAGCGCACAAGCTCAACAAAGCAACTGTTCTATCAAAGGCGACCGAATACATCCGCCATCTAGAGAAGCGAAACAAGCGCCTACAGGAAGAGCTCACCACAATGAAGGGCCGAGTTGAGAGCTACGAGAAAATGTCCATAACCGGACCCATGTCATTACACGGAAACCTTGGCACCCCGGATGGTTCGCGATATCATGAAGATCCGTTCGCCGCACAACACGGTATGCCCATGTCTGCGCCACCACCGCAAGGGATGATCCCCGTGCCAGACAATATTGCTGCTCTTCAACGTGGACTACCTCCACAGCAGCACTATGCACCCGCATATCCGCCGGGCTACGGCGGCCGCCAAGCACAGGGAGCCCCTATGGTGAACGCACGGCGGAGCGGTGCGATGATGGGAAAGCTCATGGTTGGCTCTCTCGCAGGTCTGATGATACTAGAAGGACTTATGGAACACGAACAGTCACAAGAAGCGCCAGCTGGCCGTGGCTTGTTTGCTCTTCCCGTCAATCTTGTCAGCATCCTAGCTCCTCGCGTTTCCCTTGGTGCATCATCGGCTCAGGTTCCTCTTGCCAAGGTCCTCCTCATCTTCGGCGCCTTCTTCTACCTCGTTGCACCCTGGCTTGACTTCCAGTCGAAACCGAAGAGGAAGTCTCCGCCCGCTGTTCTACTATCCCCCGCGCCATCGCTTGCATCTCCAGTCGAAGTACGTCGAAAGGCATGGCTTACTGCAATCCAGACGGTATGGGTACCTCAGCACAACTTCATCCTCGAAGTAGCTGCGTTGGGCCTGAAAACGCTCAAGCTCAGCATGCGCAGGATCATTGGCTGGGAAGGTTATGCGCATCTCACCGGTATCACCAAGGAACAAGAAGCCGCTCGGGTCAAGGCCTGGGAGATTGCACTAGACGCTCAGCTTACGGGTGGAGACGCCGAGATTAGCAAGAGCCGACTTCTTCTTACATTGATTGCTTCTGGCACACTACCCGACACCCCAGCGCGGCTCATGCTCAAGGCTCTTCACATCCGTATTGTCCTTTGGGAAATTGAAAACGCTGGTCACGGCTCCTGGTGGTTGCTTGATGGCCTGAGTGCAAAACTGGCCCGAAGCTATTGGAACGTAGCACGGAGTGAGCATCGTATTGCCGTAAACACGTCAAAGCAGAACAGCGAGGCCGCACCACTGCCGGAACATCTTGCTGCACTTATCGAGAAGGAGTGCGATGAGGTCCTGGTTCCTGCCGTCATTCAGCGTGCATACAACCTCGCTTGGAACAAACCAAGCGCAGAGCAGACAACAGTAGACACATCGATGGACGCTGTTGTCGAAGACTTTGCCATCTGTTCGCCTTTGGATGCACTTGCCGCTTGGTACTCTAGCCACACGTTGAATAAGGGACTCGCAAGCACACTCGCTACAAAGAACTGCTTGCCCAAGGCGGATGTCCTTTCTAACCTCGACCTGGCTCTCCGAGTGGCACCACCCAACTCGCAAGCTCACCAACGCGCACTCGTCGCCCACGCTGTTGTACTAGACGATGAACGTGACTCCTACATTGCATCGGCGCTCAAGATCCTTCCATCATCACCCAAACCAGCAGATGCTGGCTTCATCAACATTGTTGGCAACGGCTTTGTAGCAGTCGATGTCCGCAAGGCTCTCACGCTAGCAAAGTGCCTCTCCCTTGTTGCCTCCGATACCCCCGAAGCCCACCGTCGCGCCGTCTTCGTCGTCAACAACACCTTCCTCCCAGAAGTCACGACTACACTCCTCAGCTTTGTTGCTGCGCAGAAAGTGCTCATGCACTTCATAGCAGACAGTGCGCTGAAGACGGAAACTAGCTGTGGTCTGGAGAGGATTGCTAGTTCACTAAGGATGTGGATTGGGCATGACACGGGTAGGAGGATTGGACTAACCAACACCACCAGGGCGCGAATTGTGAACAGATGTCTTGATGCCAGCAAAACCTTGGTTGGCTTATCAGATAAGAAGAAGAAAGAAGAGGGGGATGTAGATGATGGCTACGTAAGTGCTAGTGTCAAGGACGACTAGCTGTTTGATTTGGCTTCTGCTTCGTTTTTTTCTGTTCCGTTGTTTTGATGCGAGTGTACGCGAATGGAAAACGGAGACGAGACATGGGTATCATAACCCCCTTTGGCGTTGGCGTTGCTATGGTCAAGCTATCCTAAGTATGGATATGCATTTTTGTGAGATTAATCTCTGGGTTGATGTAGTTTTGCAGCGTTTTGGGTCTTGTGGTCTATAGGCTGCTGTCTTGTTATCATTATTTATATTGCCATCTAAATGGTTTGTCTGTAGTTGACCATAATCTTGCCATTGTATGCAAGAGATGCCGAATCCAATGCATGTCATACAGTACCTTATCTTGAACTGTTGGTGTTTCGTCATTCTCGTGAAAGCAAGTTGAGTCGTCCCAACTCATGCGGCTCCAAAATGAGGGTGGTGTCGAGGCTGCATGTTCTCGAATACATCTATCCTTTGGAATCAACACCATCTCTCCTTTCTCACATTTTCCATGCCTTGACACTGTTCATAACCCGGTATTCTCACTTTCCTAACGTCATGCAAACTTTGATATTTCCACCCCTCTTTCATCTGCTTCACCCAAGCATACTCCTCTTCCTCCCCCTCAACCTTACATCTTCCAACCGCCTCAACACGCTCTTGGCCCCCTTGCCCATCTCACCATACGCTGCGAGCACCTCTTGAAACAGCGGTTCTGCAGCCGGATGTGTAGCCGCAAATGCGCGTTCAAGGACGTATAAATCCACCGCTTTATCTTCATCTTGAATCGACGCGCTCGTCAGACCGAAGTCGATGAGGTAGACCGTGCCGTCGAGAGAGTCTGCGTCGGAGGAGGGTAGTGATGGTGGTGTACGTAACATGATGTTGCTCGTAGTCAAGTCGCCATGACAAACACCTAGGTTGTGTAGTTTACCCACTTCTGTCCCTACCAGACGCATTAGGTTGTGTATCTTGTCTTCTCCCTCCCCTTCATTTCCATCTCCCGCCCCATCCTTGTCTTTCTCCTTCCTCTCCTTCGCCCACGCATCCAATACCCTCCTCACAGTCTTCCCCTCCACAAATTCCAACACCAACCACCCGGTTTCCCAATCTGCGCCCAGTACCCCGGGTACATTAACCCCATCCCTCTTCACTCGCACCAGACTGCGTGCTTCGGCTAGTAACCGCTGTTTTGTGAGGCGTCGGTCGAGCGTGGGGTGGCGGTAGGGTTTCGGGGGCCGGTATTTTACGACGACGGGCGTTGAGGGGGTGAGAAAGGTAGTTTTGTAGACAAGGGCTTCGGCGCCTTGGGTTATGGGTGTTAGAGTGGCGTGAGTGAAGGGCGGAGGGAGCGTGTGGAGGGGGCGTTCGGGTGTTGTTTCGGGGGGTGGTGGGGGAGTTATTGGGGGGACGATGGGGGCTTCTGCCATGGTGATTATGGTATAGTTGTTTAATCGATAATTCTACACTTTTGTTGTCGTCGTCAATATTGTTCGTTTATTGTTATCGCTCAGTGCATACAAATCTCGCGTTATTAACCTTGGGAAAACTTCCCAAACTTTTTGTTCGCGCGCAGTTCGACCCCGCGTCAACCACACCAAAACCACACACCACACCACCAACCGCATCGGACCCACTCCACTAGCAAGCACGAAAAGTCCCAACTACCATACTCCATCCCCAAACACCTGCTCCCTACAATCCACACCTCCCTGCCAAACCTTCCCAGACAAGTAATTCGTCTACCGTACCAAGACCCCTAATGCCGCCTACATCAGATCCTATATCCACCCACCCATCCACACAATGACGCCCCGAAAAATATCGATGCCTAGTTACCCACCCACCCCAGCGATCGAGTTACCTACCTACTTACAGCACCTAGGCAAACCTGCCTAACCAGGCCCCATCAAATGCGATCATCAGTCAGCCAGCCCTACCGGTACGTACCAATAAACCGCTGTGTCGATCTGGTGTTGCGTGCGTCCCTACGCGACACGCGAGAAGGGGGTAAGGTACCGTACGTACCGGACAACGGATCATGCGGTCAGGCTGATCATCCACTGCCCAACCGGCCTTTGCGGAGAAGCAAAAGCCATCTTCCAGGGCAAAAAGAACCGAAATGAGAGCGCGGACGGACGGACGGGGTTTTGGGTCAGAGAGGCTGGAGGTGAGCATTGATGTGTGGTTCCGTTTGCAGATCGTGGTCGTCGCGCGACGCATGTATGCATGCGTGATGACGATGATAAGTCATGATGCTAATTCCAGCGAACGCGGATGCATGACGGGCCCAGACAATGTGTGCGGCGGAACTGCGTGTGTGATGTAAGATGTGAGGCATGCAGTGCAAGACTTCGGAATAACCTCGTGAAGTCCTCAGGATATCAAATCAAGTGAGATCAAGTAGAAAGGACACATTGCAGTATATACCCGCCTGAGTCGTGTCGACAGCAATGATGGCTGCTTGAATGCTATCACTATTGAAATCAAATCAAACATCACACGGTGAAGATTGTGCAAGTCAATGTTGGTAAGCGAGTGTGTTTGCATTTAGGTATCTCATCCTACATGAATTCACGCCACTACTTCTGTCCTACCCGCTCTGCAAGCCAAAATGCATGCAGTAGCGAGAGTATTTGCTATTTGTTTTGTTGTTGTTGTTGTTGTTGTTGATTGATTTAAAAAACCCAGTGCACCAGTCCTCCCTCTTGAACAAAAGATAACACGCACACAACACGAAAAAGCCCAAGGAGTGCAAGAATCTCTCGGCCACAGGCAAAGAGATCGTTGCCCGTGAAGCATGTCCAAATTTCGCCCGTTCAATCCCATACAGAGCTTGCCACCATGCTCATTGAAAACAGTTCGCGTCAAAGTCAGAAGAGGTGAAGAAAGAAGAAAAAAGTCAAATGTGGACGGAGAATGAGGATCTTTCCATTGTGCTGGGAAAGAGACGAAGGATAATCGTGATATTCGATAAACAACAAAGCTGACCTTTGGTCAAATGCAAGAACAGAAAGAACAAACGGGCAAGGAAATGATCGTAATGCCGTAACATAGCGCGTCCGAAGGCGCCACAGTAATATTCACACGGGAGAAAGTCCCTGATGGGGTTTGTCCAATCCGCAGACCTACTTAGAACACGGTGTTCTTGCGCTTCTCAGCGCTGGTAAGGACGAGCTTGGGCATGCCACGGCGTTGACCGTTCTCCTCTGGGCGGATGTCGACCAGACCGCCCCCGACAGACGCGCCATCATCGCTGCTAACGCTATTGGCAGTGTAAGAGCGGTTGACGGAATGGTCGCGGGATCGCTCCTTGGAAGCCTTGCGCTCTGAGCCAATGGCGCCGTTTGCAACAGCACGAAGGCTGCCAATGCTCGGCCTTCCGGAGAGGCTACCGCTTCCTCCGCTGTGAACACTGTCGGTGTCGTTGTCAGAAGAAGGAAAGTGCTCGCTGTCTGGCGAAGCGCTTCCACTACCAGTCTGGTGAGCACGGCGTCCGATGCCAGCTCGTACAAGACTGCCCACAGCCTGGCGGCGTTGGCGGGTAGCAAAGTTCTTGCTGCCCTCGTGCTTGGTAGTGGGACGTTCCTTGAGCTCCTCGATGGAAGGAGGGTTGCGAGGCTGACGCATCGGGTGCTCTCCAGCGCGTGCTTGACCAGGACCGAAAGTGCCGGTCATGGGGGTAGCAGGGAAGCCACCAGGACGGGGGAAGGCTGAGCGAGGAGCCTCGGGTGTCTCAGCACGGCCATCGACAGCAAGAGAAGACATGTTCTTCTTGTGACCACGGCGGAAGGCATTGGCGGATGGCGGCGGAAGCGGAACAACATCCTGAGGCGGGGTGTTGGACTTCTTGGGCGGCGAGGAGCTGCGAGTGGCCCAGGGGCTGGGGTTGCTCTCGTTGGGAGGAGACACATGGAGGACCGGTGTGTCAGTCTTGGGCGGCGAAACAGCAAAACGGGGAGTCGGCGGAGGCGGCGAGTGCGACAGAGCCGGCACGCCGTTCTGGGCAGACATGTCGTGCTGGTAGCTCGGGTCAACAACGTACTGGTACTGGCCAGTCATTTGGTTGAAGACGAGGTAGACACCGGGCTGGTTAGTCTCCTGGATGGCAGTGTTGCCAAACTGCTGGCCGTAGGCGTTCATCTGGGGCGTGTACGGCGTGTTGGGGTACTGGTGTGACTGGTACTGGCCTTGCATGTTCATGTTGCCAAACTGCTGGGTGGTCAAAGCAAGCAGTTGCTGTTGGAGCTGCTGCTGCCTCTGGGCGAGGTACAGCTCGGTGGCCAGAAGCTGGGCGGCGACATTGGGGTCCATCTCGCCGTCATCGAACTCGAACGAGGGAGGGGCCAGGACCTGGTTGTAGAAGTCGGGCTGCTGCTGGTGCGACTGGTTGAAACCGGAGCCGATAGCAGTCTGGGGCATACCCTGGTTGGCGCCATTGTACTGCCTCTGGGAGCGGTTGGCGTTGTTGGTACCCTGGTTGTGCTGGGGCTGCGAGTAGGGAGCCGAAGCAGGAGGCTGACCGACAGTGGGAGTCTTGGGCGCAGTGCGGAGGCCGGCCAGGAGGTGGGAGCGGCTGGTGCGAGGCGTGGCAACCGAGTCCTCAGCAATCGAGGCAACCTTGGGCGGCGAGGCGACACTGAGACGCTTCAGCTGAGCACCCTTACCACGAGACGCAAAGCTCGAGGTGGGGCCGCCGAATCCGCCCTGGGATTGGAAGTTGTTGTAGGTCATTTGAGCAAGACCGCCAGCGTCCATGCTCATTGTGGTGGTGGTCTAAGAAGAGAGTTGCGGACAAAGGGTAAGGCAGCAACAAAGAGTATGCTTAATGCACGCGAGAAAGGATACAGAATCGAAGATGATGCACGGCGCTCGGGAGTCGAACGAGGCGGGAAGAGGGAGCGTGGGCGCAGATCAGAGGCCGGGCTGGCAGTGGGCGGCAAGGTTGGTGGTGGTGGTGGGCAGACGGGCCTTGAAGCTGGCGATTATGGGATTAAGGATCGTACAGATCGGGTTTTTGTAAGGTAGCGTTTGTTATCGAAAACCGGCCGATGGGCAATGTAGTTGGAGCTATTAACAGGTGATGCGTCGGCTGGCGAGCTCTTCTCTCGGGTCGGAGCGACGGGGCTGGCGCGCTCGCACAATCTCAGATTAGGCGGGGGATAAGCTGGTCCAAGGCAATCGGAGCAGGTAGAAGATGCAGAAGCGGCACTGGATGGGAGAAGAGAGCGAGGGAGAGAGAGAGAGAGAGGTAGAGGAAAGGGCGAGATGGAGGGGCCAGGAGAGAAAAGTGACGAGCAGCGAGGAAAGACGGCCAGTGGACGAAAGAGAGCGCTATAAGGCAACGGGGCTTGTGGCAGCGGCGCTGCATCGGGCTTAGCGCACTTGCAACCCCCTGGACAGGCTGCAGAGCTGGATGCATGGTTGAAACACTGGGCCTGATGCGCAATAACGGAGGAGGGACCGTTCCTGCGTGCGTGTACCCTAGATGCGACCTTCTGCCTTCATGCTGCGTTGCTCTGCTACTGTATACAAAGCGTTTGGCTGCTGCCGCAGTTTCACAGTGATGAGGTGAGGCTGCGGGATGGGATGCCATGGTCGCTCCTTCCGCTCACGGCGAGGGCGCGGACGTAGACACAGACGCGCCTTCCACAAAGTTACCCGCTTGGCGCTCTGGCAGCAGCGCCGTCTGACTGTGTCCGTCACTCTACCTGCTGCCCCAGTGCTCGGCGTCTCATTGCTCGAGCACGGCAGCCCACAGCACACCGCAACACGCGCTGCATTGCATGCGTAGCGTCTATCGAGACCATATAGGCCACTCGTTCGTAGCGTCCCAGTAGTCTGCCAACGGCGGCTATGCCACGTCGCACCGTGAGTGGCCAGTGCCGTCAAGGCCAGTCTGCGGTTGGCCTCGATTGTCTTCAGCCACGAACAAGACGGTCTAAATTTACCTCGTCCAAGCCTGCGCTGAGCGCCGACGGGGTCCTCGTCGGCACCACCAGCGCTGCGGGCGTCTTCAGTCCAGCGCTCGCCCTGCACGTGACGGGACGTGACGACAACACCGACATGGCCCGGATGGGGAAGCCTGGGAATCGTGGCCGACATAATGACATACAATACCGCACTACTGCCGAGCTCCTGCATGCATGAATGCCGTCGCTCAAACCTCCTGTCAGCTCATCAAACCTGCTCGTATCTTGCGTGCCCAATATCCTATCCATGCCGGGGCGGGAGGAGCGTGTGGTGGTGTGCAGACCCTGGACCTGGCCGCCAGTCACGCTTTTATTGCAGATCCGGTCATGCTCTTTGCTAGCTTCGTACCAGACTCCCTTTTTGCCCTCTTTTTTCCACGTCGCTGCCCGTCGCCTTCCGCCGTCCTTTTCGCGCGCCCTCTCTTCGCTGTCACTAGGTGCTGCGCCGCCGGGTCTACCCTGCTGGCTCGGCCTGAAACTGTCGCTCAGTCTCAGCTAACGCGGCCCCGTACAGCGCTCCCTCATCTCGCTAATCCAAGCCCTGCAGGAACACCTGCCAAGGCCGGTATCCCAAGTCGAAACATGCTCTCGGTGTTGCTAGCCTAGCGGTTGGGACTCGGATACGCTGCGAACCTGGAAGGCCGCTGTACGGGGCGTTGTGCTTAAACGCCCAACGTGCAGTTGTGCGGGGAGTGTCTACTGTCTGCCATGTGTGTTTCTTCACGTCAAGCTACACACACACACACACACACACACACGTCGCTCACCTGGAGAAAAAACACCAGCGGGACAACCGAACGCACAGCCACGTCCCCCCACGACTGCTCGGCGCCACTGGCAGTCGGGACCACCACACTATCGATTTCGGAACCGACCCTTCTTCGAATCTACCGACGTCGCCAGACTCTAGACTGTCAGAGCCGCCAACATTAACGCGTAATGCAACGCCATGCTCAACTGACTAAGCACACATATGCCGGTAGAAAACATCAGCATTGCACATTCATTCTGTAACACCACAAAGGCAACAACGGTGCCTGAAGTGAGGCACACGATGAAAACGAAGCAGTACCAAGACGCGCGCAGCCAAATACACTGTACGTGAACAAGGGCTGTGGCATCGCTTCCTAGAACCACGAAGCAAACTACGTAGGTGGCCTCTCGAACAGACAGCATCAGCTTGCACAACATCTGCGTCGCGCTTGAATGTGTCTAGCAGCGTCGTTTCATGAACACGATCTCCGCGTCACTGAATCAACGGAAGCTTTAGTGCCGCAACGCTGCAGTTTCGAACGCGTTCCGTGCTCCTCCGCTACACGTTGCAGTCTACCGACTAGTACCTTTACCACTGAGCACCTTTGTGCCATTCCCATCCCAACATCGCGCATACCAGTCTGTCGTCGCGTCTAGTCGACTTTTCCAATCTCCTCGGACTTCCCTTGCTGAGTTGTCGTTTGGAGCGGAGATCGGCAACATGTTCAAACTCCGAACTTCATTCGAAATTCGGCCTGGTGGTCGTTGCCTCTGGATACACTCTGCAAACTCAGTGCAACGCATCGCGCCGTGTCTTACTGCAGCTGCATCGCAAAGCGGTCCGTTTGGAGGAAATAGTAGGGAACAAAAAGGTAAAATACGACAATATGTTTTGAAGTACGACAGTAGCAAAGGCAAAAGGTAGGAAACTCATACCAGCATGAAAGCAGTCCTGCGTGAGCACGTAAGAAGGGCCGACGCGTATTAGTATCCAGTGAAGGAGTTTGGATGAGGCCAAACCTTATCGGCTTCACATGATCCGCTCATCCAGACCCACATGATTCGGAACGCTCAGAGCAAGAAACAGAAAACAGAAACTACTCACTTCTAGTCACCCGAGTGTTTCCTCCAGTGGGAGTTCGCCGTTGACCACTAGACCCATCCGAAATGTTTCCCCGTGTTTGAAACTTGGCATTCGACCACTGATAACACAGTTTAGAGGACCATCTCCAAACATTATAGAGTTCAACTCCCTCAAGTCCGTCGCAACCACAAGGCAAACAGCGTCCGGTGAGCCTCAGCTTCGTCCTTGATGGTAGTAAGATGAA